TTATCTCCACAGACATGCTGGTTAGCTCCAGAATCGCTTAGCCACACTTGTTCAGTCACGGGTGCTTGCATGGGGGTTTGTATTGCATTTAGCATGAACGCTTTCCCAGGGCTTTTATTGGCTTGTGCGGGATTATCTGAAGGTTTATTGCTCTGATTTTGTGGATTACTCCTGCATTCCCTTTTCCAGTGGCCCTTTTTCCCACACCCATGGCAGGTTGTTGCCTTTTTCAACTCTTCAATGCTCTGTTTCTTCTTGCCTTTCTTCTGGTCATGGGTCAAGAATGCCTTTGCTGCATCTTGATTGGTTGCTGCTGGTTTGGATTCCTTCCTCTCCAACTCCTCCTTCTTCAGACGGGCAAGTAGCATTATCATGCTCTGGTCCTTATCCGGAACGCTGTCCCATGCCTTTTTGAAGGCATTATACTCCTCGTCGGGGAGACTTAAGACAATCTTTGTGACAATGGATGCTTCAGGCATGACGACTCCCATTTCATTTAGTCTTCTGCCCAGCTCTTCCACCTCTGCAAATGCTTCAATCAATGACTGACTCTTGCCAATTTTGTAATTGAAGAATCTAGCCATGGTATGTTGCTTGTTAAGCGAGCTTGAATCTGAATTGATGCTTTTCAGCTTGTCAAACATTGCTTTTGATGTAGCGCAGTCATAAATATGATTTGTTTGAGTGGCACTGAGAGTGGGGACAATGATGGATTGTGCTTGTATATCCTTCTTATCCCATGCTGGCTGTTGTGCTTCATCTGCAGGTCGTTGGGTAGTGCCGTTGACCACTTCCCACAGGTCATGTGACTTGAGAAGTAAAGTTATCTGAAGTCTCCACCTCGCGTAATTGGTGTCGTCTAGCTTGACAATGTGCGTAACATCTATTCTTTTGATTGTTGATGTCATCTTGTCGTTGTGGAGTAGGGAAAGCAGAAGCGAAAAACAGAAATAGACTTGTTACCTTCTCTTTGCCTAATAAAGAGCAGTAGAATCGAAAAAGGTCGAGATTTGGTAGACGGGAACTCAGGATTTGGGTAGAGTGGTCGTCCTCAATAAAACTCGTCCTCGGGCGGAAGGTTCAGCTTCGGGTAGAGTCAAAGGGTTGATGTCTCTTGTCCAAACAATGGTCCAATTCACGGCACACTTTTACAGGCTTACTCCGTCCAGACTGGCACTGGGCAGTGGAGACTTACTGCTATTATTAACTGATGAATTGACCTTTTCACTTCACAACAATAACACTGATCTACTTCAGTTTATCAAGTGTTGAACAGGAAACAGTTCTTCTCGTTGTGAGACTTTAACAGACTCTGAGACTGGGGCACTTTTGAGACACTCAATGAGGCAGGTTGAGACCAACAATATGAATCATACAAACTAACGGCTTTGCTACCATGAAAGTAAAAATGATCTCGCTGGAAGATATTTTTAGACTGATGGTGATTTTTATTAAACAACTTGGTTTTAAGGTTTCGACAGTACATAGGAGACATTCATACATATGTAATAATATGTGGTCAGAAGTGACCATACAAACTACGCAGAGTTATGCTCAAACGAAGTGTCCCTTCTAATGAGGCATAAAAACAAAAGGACCCTTTTAATCCCTTGTCCTGGGAAAAAGGTTGGAAAATGCTAAGCCCTCATAAAAGTCGACAAACTTAAAAATTGATAAATATGGAAAACTTTGTTAACATGCATATTTTAACATGTTTTGCCATGAGTTAATAGCAGAGTTCCAGAAAACTCGTAAACGAGGCAGGGTCAACTCTGAAAGGAAAGTGGACAAGAAAACCTCCGAAGTCGGGAAAGAGGACAAGAAAACTTCCGAAGTCGGGAGAGTGGACAAGAAGACGTCCGAACCTATGGATAAGACTGACAAAAACGCTTCCGAAGTCTCTCCGAAGAGACGTAGACCTCACCCCTCTGCTCGATTCAACCGTCCCATCCGTCGCGCGCCCCGTAGAGCAGCCTCCTATCCCCAGCAGACGATCGTCATAGGTGGTAAATCTTACCTGATCTACCCAGTATATTATTAAAGTTTTTTATCATTATGATTTTATAAAATAAAGGAAAATTGTACCTGTAAAAGGTGTCCCCTTTAATATATGTACGTACGCCCATAATATTTTCACTATACTACGAGTTTTTTTGATAAATTATGTCAAGAAGAGCACCATAGACACTTTTCCTGAACGCGTTGCAGACAAACTAATTGAATTTTAATCGTTATATTTCCACAGCTCAAAATATCGTAACCCAGCACACAAATAGCCTTCACTTGAAATAATGAGCATAATTTAATTAATGTATGTTCAAAATAATTTAATTTTTATCATGTTAATTTCAACTGTCACGTGGGTTGATCACGTGGATCTAAAATAATGTTTTATTTCCCTTTGCATGGAAAATTTTCATGAAAAACGATCTCGAAATCGTCACGCTGATTCGTGGTGATCACCAATTTGAGCAGAATTGGCCTTGATTGGGGGCACCGGTCGTCAACTGCGGGGGGTTACCGCGTCCAGTCCCACTCCCCGTTGCTGAACATCTCGAGACGTGGCGACCACGTGGATACGATTTTTCTTAAATACTTGCACTCGGCAATTATCAACCTCTCCTCATCCCCCGAATTGACTGTCCTCAATGTCACCCGTATACTCGACCCTATCATTATTGGAAGCTACTGATGATATGAACTCAATTTCGATGGTCTCATTCTGGTGCCCATTATTTTGTGTCCTCGCAATAGTAGTCAGTCGTGCTTGGAGGAATCTTATCCGTTTCCATTGAATCAATCGAGAAACTATTCCTTTTTGAGATCGGTATTCCTTTTCGATAAAGCAAATTAGATATTATGCACTTGAGATGTTCAAGAACGGGGAGGACGCCGAGTGGGACTGGACACGGTACATGAAGGACAACCCCCCGCAGGTGACGACCGGTGCCCCCAATCAAGGCCAATTCTGCTCAAACTGGTGATCACCACGAGTCAGCGTCACGGTTTCGAGATCGTTTTTCGTGAAAATTTTCCATGCAAAGGGAAGTAAAACATTATTTTAGATCCACGTGATCAACCCACGTGACAGTTGAAATTAATATGATAGAATTATTTTGAACATACATTAATTAAATTATGCTTTTAATTGATCATTATTTCGAGTGAAGGCTATTTGTGTGCTGGGTTGAGATATTTTGAGATCTCAAGTTTATTAAGAAACCTTCAGACTGAAAAATTCATTTTTATTCAGAATCGACTAATCACAATTTTCTACCAACAACTTAGCATAATTCATTTTCAGACTAGAATATCGAATCGTTAAATATTTACATATATTATACAATAATAAACTTGGGTTCAGTTCGTGACGGTAAATTCAGAGGGTGGGTGGGGACAGAGGAGATACAAAATGAGCCAAAAGTGCAAGTCTTTTTCGCATCGATTTCACCAAATTGCACATAAAAAATTACAAATTCAGTTTTGGGTGGGGGGATTAATATAGCATAGCTGTTTTTGAATTATATTCAACCACACCCCCTTCAAAAATTGGGGAAGAAAATTGGGAAAAATGAGAAGGTCAATGTACACTCGGTACAGAAAGAAGTAGATACCAACTTGCATTTGGCATTTGACTTCCCTCATGAATATGAACATTTTGATGCATCAAGACTTTCAAAATTCGAAAATTGGCGGTTTTTCGACCTACATATAAATCGTTAAAAAAGTGACCTTAGCGGTCATTTCGCGGCTGACAACCTGATGCCAGATTTTTCTTCGTCAGAAGTGCCACATTTTCCGCTTTTGTTGTCCGTTGCGAAATGACCGCTACCATGACTTTTTTGGGGTCAAAGTTTCTGAGGGAGGGGCTTATACGGCAGGAGCCGTAACAATGTATAGGTATTTATGATATACATAAAGGTAATTACATAGAAGCTATTAAAACAGCCTCAAATCGCCCCAAATTTAAAACTTAAGCTTTTCTGAATTTATAATGATGATATGCATTCGAAAATTAACGCTATGAGGCTTATCAACGAAGTTATCAATTTTTCAGATAAGCAAATTTAGTTTATCCAAATCGCCCCAAACTTAAAACTTAAGCTTTTCTGAATTTATAATGATGATATGCATTCGAAAATTAACGCTATCGGGCTTATCACTGCGCTTATCAGTTTTTAAGATAAGCAAATTTAGTTTGTCCAAATCTCCCCAAATTTAAAACTTAAGCTTATCTGAATATATAATGGTAGTATCCACTCGAAAATAAACGCTATCGGGCTTATCACTGCGCTTATCAGTTTTTAAGATAAGCAAATTTAGTTTGTCCAATTCGCCCCAAATTTAAAACTTAAGCTCAACGATTTATCAACTGAACCAACTCGTGTAAGAGATGAAAAGCATCTCAACACGAGTTGGTTCATAATCCCGGTAAACAATTTGAAGAGAGTGAGAAGTGAGACGGACCACCATACGGCACTGGCAACGACAGTCAGCGGTGGTGGTGGTGGATACCCACCAGAATCCGAGTCTCACTCTGCCTTTCGCTAAATAATGGAAACTGCGTTTGTGAAACGGTTGGGCTGGTTCAGCTCTACTTTGAATGAAAGATTTCTCACTCCTTTCATTTTTCATATCCTATACATGGAGCGAATTAAGAAATGAAGTCAGATGAAGTGAAATGAAATGAATTTGAACGAAAATGTGAATGAAAATCTTCAGTCAGAAATTGGGATGACTGGCTTTTGAATGAAAACTAAATTTTTGAACAGATATGCATGATTTTAGTACTTCCATTAAAAAAATACGAAAATAAGAAAATGGGTTATGCGAAGTGACCGGAAACCGTAACCCGCCATATGAGCCCTGTACGACTTAAGTGTGATGCACAAACTACAAAGTGACCGTTCTTCTCGTCATCATGAAATATGTCGTCGTCACTGTTACAGCGTCGCATTTTTGTCGATACATGAAAAACTGGGGGCGAGACCGGAGCAGAGTTTTTTTTAGTACAAAACAGAATAACTTTACTCCATAAAAATCGTCGTGGTCAAAACTGTAACAAAAATTAGGTCGTGTTTACATCTTACAAATTCAATTATGCCATTTTTATCAGTCATACGAGAAGAATTATCTCGTCACAAATGGTGACATGGGGAGCATATAAAAATCTAACGCATGGAAATATTACATGAAATTTGACAAACGAAGGAATTTATCTTTGGGGATGAACCTTCTTCAAATGCCTCCCAAGGTTGCCTTTCCGCGTGAACGTGTGCCCGCAGTGGGGGCAGGGGTGCCGTTCTTTAAAGTGAGCATCCTTCAAATGTGTCACCATGTTACTTTTTGTGCCGAACTTCTTTCCGCACTCGGGGCACACGAAGTCCTTCACCTTCCGGTGAACCGTGTTCTTGTGGCTGGCCAGATTTTGTTTCGTGGTGAAGGCCTGGTCGCACTCGGAGCACTGGAAGGGTCGCGGATTCGCGCTGTGAATGCGCTTGTGCAATTTTAAGTCCCCATTACCAGTTTTCCACACTGGTCGCAGCGGAACGGTTTCTCCTTCGTGTGGGAGACCAGGTGCGCATGATAAGTGGCGTTGTCGGGGAATTTCTTCTGACAGAATAGACATTCTCGACCCGAACCCTGCTTCACGAGGGTGACCTTCTCGTCCTCGGAGAGATGGGCGAAACGATGCGCGGTCATCGAATATTTGGAGGAGAACGTTTTTCCACAAGTGTGACACCTTCCGCCCAATTTTTCCTTCGTGTGGGTCAGCAGATGACAACTTAATTTAGATGGAGCTATGAACCGTTTGGTGCAGAAGTAGCAGCCGTGTCGCCAGCCCTGCCGCACCTCCGCGCGCTCCTCGCGGCTCAGGTGGACGAAGAGATGCCCGGTCAGATGTGCTTTCCGGGTGAACTTCTGTTTGCAGGTGGGGCAGGCGTGGTTCTTGCGACGTTCGTGCGCAGCCACGTGGTCGGTAAAGTGATGGCAATTGAAGAACTCTTTTTCGCAGTGGGGACATTTCTCATGGAAAAGTGAGGACTCCTCCAACTCGTGGGGGTTGAGGTGGGTGCGGGCGTGGACGTGAGCACTGGTTCCGTTGGTGAAGGGACGCAGGCAAATTTTGCATGGGTAAACTTTCCCCACCACGTGACGACCCCGCTTTCTGCCAATTTGTGGTAATTTCTTGGCCTTCGATGACCTCCTATTATCTGAATGGGACTGCACGTGGTTATCGTCGCGTGGTGTTGGTTCACGTGGGTGGACGGAGTGAGGAAGTCGCCCATTCTTCTGTAAACGGTCCCCTTTCTCCGTTGGGGAGACGAGCGGTTTGTGTCGTTCGATGAATTTCTGGTCCGTTTGATTGACTTCCATCTCGTTCTGCTCGGAAATTCTTGCGATCCTTTTCTCTGCACAGAATATGATTACGTCAGCATTCCGAGTAGAGAAGTACAGATTTTACATGCAAATTTCGAATCCAATCTTATTTACCAACGGTTCCTTCTTAAAATTTGGGCGTGAGGCGTATGCTATACGAAGTAAAGAAGAGTTCCCTCGTCAAATTTTGCGGTTCACGAGGCTCCTCCACAATTTTCAAATGACGTCCAACTTTCCTTACTGTGCGATCGATGTGCTGCTCTTTTTTCCTCGATGTAAACTGGTCGGAAACTTTTAAAATTTGTGAAATTACTGTAGGAAGAAGTAATGAGCTCTTGTTTGCTGAGGAGCTTGTTGGTCTCTGTCTCCCTCCGAGAGGTAGCTTCGCTTATCTGCATATCCCAACAGCCCTCAAGTCTCGGAAATAACCTCCTCATAGTCAACCAGAAAAGCTACAAAATGCAGAATAACTTTTGTGTGTTGAGCAAGAAAATTATGCCACAAGCAATAAGACAGTGGTGATGATGCTCATTATCTTTCATTAATTATTATTCAATGCAGATTGAGCCAGTTGTCCATCCGTGGAAAAAATCTGCCACCAGAATCCGAGTCTCACTCTGCCTTTCGCTAAATAATGGAAACTGCGTTTGTGAAACGGTTGGGCTGGTTCAGCTCAGGACAATGTCCCCACGGCTTCCGGGGTCATTGTATTCGTACCCATTTATGTTTAGCATTGTTCATTCCATTTAATTAATCTACTCCGCTAAGGTATAGATTTGGTAATAACTTCCTACCCGAATTGTATAGTGATTCGTTTCTGACTGGTCAATTTCTCATTAACGCAACATTAACAAGCGGTAATGATCGTTAATACATATATTTTTTAGAGTCATATATATGTACTCCGGTCAGTAATAGTTTACTACCAGTTGTGTTTGACCTGAATCGGGGTCAGCATTAATATCATGGACGTGGTCATCATGCTACCATCGTCTCATTACCTGTTTCCTGGACATCTCTCCAATTCCATACGTTATAACATGTAAAGCAAGGAAGCAATGTAATGAATCAAACAATCAGACTGATCTAGATTTCTTTTGATAAACAGATTACACTAATAAATATTTCTTTAATACCAGTTTTCTAAGAGTGTAGATAAGCAACGTAGATAAGCAAGCGTTGGTCGGGTATTGAAAATTATGCAATGAGACGTGCAGACAGAGCTGGATTCTGTTCCTGTAATTGTTTTCTGATAATGTTCATTAAATTTCGTCATGATTCACAATACGATACAATGCTAAACATAAATGGGTATGAATACAATGACGGGTGAATTTATCCTCCTTTTTAATTAATCCTGCATTTATGAAAATGGATGACATGAATTAACTCAGAAATTTTCATTCTTCATTAATTTTCATTCATTTCAGTAACGATAAATTCAGAAGTGATTCGTTTCATACACATTTACATTATATCATATTGTGAATTATGGTGAAACTTAACGAACATTATCAGAAAACAACTGCAGGAATAGAATCCGGCTCTGTGTGCACATCTCATTGCATGATTTTCAATACGCGACCAACGCTTGCTTATCTACGTGCTTATCGACACGAAATTAATTGCGAAATGCGAAATTATAAATTGCATACTAGTTTGCAAACCTATGTATTTATGTACATATATATTAAAAAGCTATAAACTAAATGAGTAACAATTTAGTAATGCAGATTTCAATGTAGAGAGGAAATTTTGCATGGATTCTTGGATTATTTTTTGCAGAGATTTTTGTTTATATCATAAATTCCTAAAATAATAGCAAATTGGGTAATATGAAGAATAAAACGCCTAAATTTCAGCTTTGACTGTATTTCTGTAAAGTTTTGGAGCTTGGGAATTTTACGTTGTATGTGCAAATACTAAAACTCATCATTTTAAAGTTTTCATGCAAATTCGCTCATTTGTTAACAAATCGTTTTAATTTTGATTTTTTTATATGAAAAACTTCATATGTACGAACGTAATGAAACGTAATGAAAATGTGAGACAAAGAATTCTGCCTCTCGTCACAAGTTGTAGTAACTTTTTCATGCTGCACGAGGTGTAGAAACCTTTAGTCACGCTCATGAGCTCATGAGGCGTATGGAACTAATTTTTTGTTTGGAACACTTTTTTTTCTAAAATGCACCCCCTGCTGGACTGCAGGGAGTGGCAAAGTTATTTAATTAATTATGAATTTAATTATATTTCATACTACTTAAAATACTATCATAGTACTATAAAGTTACTCATTGAAACTGAAATTGTGCACATTTTAAACACTGCTTAAAATGGGGTGAGAGGATCATTAATTAGTATATCCTCACGGGTTTGAACTGTGATAATCTCATTTTGATTGAATGTCCTGAACAAATATGTCGCTAATAAAAGTTGAGCTTTCTGCTGAATTTGACAGTTTTCATGTAAAAACTGTCATAATCAGATCAAAATGAAGATAGTTGAAGCACACGAAAACATGCCTTTTTTCATGTTTTTTATCCCTTCGAGTGGGTGTGGAAGGGGGGAAATGCTAGGGACGCAAATACATATACAATCAGGCCCTCAAGATCTGACAATGAGTAGAGGACCCTGGAATTTCATGAAAAGCGTCTTTTCCATGCAGGTATTTCATCTTGCCCCAGAATCTCAAACCTCCCACGACCCCAATCTTTCATGGAGATCACGTGGTACACTTGGCCCCTTCTCATTTGCATGTTCACCAATCGGAATATGCCAACGAGGCGAGAAGCGTGCTTTCTCGTCTGCCGGCCTCTCCGGTTTTGCTCTCAGATCCCTCTAACTCGTCATCCTGCCTGTTGCCTCGTGCTTCTCGTGCTCCTCTTGCCGATTTTGATTAATTTTTTTCTCTTTGGTTTAGCCAAAGTTTAGAAATTAGAGCAGTTTCGAAACTTAATTGCAAAGTCATGATTTTAACATCACGAAATAACCAATTTAACGAAAGGGAGAAGAGTCAAAAATAGAAAAAGTTTTGCCTTGTAAAACTTGATCTAGATCGAAATAAGAAAAGGGTAAGCGATGGTTTACTTGTTCATTTTTAAAAGCATTTATCATTTCAGGACAACTAGTATTACCTATTATTCAGTAATTAATTGATTGTAATTTGTGCTAATTGTTTGTACGTAGTGAACGATGGAGTCGATCATCCATCCAAAAGATGCGTGGGCGGTCGAGGTAATGGACGCCACTTTAGGAATTGTCATGGTCGATGTGAAGGCGACCGGGAGAGACCGGAGGAAGGTCCCAGCACCGCCGGTATCGTCCTCCAGCAGCGAGGATGACGACAACAAGGAAGAAGAAGAGCCCGCTGATCCCAACGTTTATATGGTGGAGGCGATTCAAGGGCAGAGAACGAGACAGGGAAGGCTGGAATATCTGGTAAAATGGGAGAATTATCCCAAGTGAGTCAAATAATGATATAATCATACATTTTAAACCAGGTTTATCATCAGGAATTAGTTGATATCGTTTTGATTTATCTTTATAGGGAGGACAACACTTGGGAGCCGGCCACCGGTCTGTTCTGCTACGATCTCATAGAAGAGTTTAAGAAAACGAGTAAACAACGAAGGGTCAGGTCAGAAGGGAAACGTCGGAAATCCGTTAAGGTGCAGGTATCCGGCAAGACGGGAGGAGAGCATGATTCTGGAGCCGAATTGAAGAAAGATAGGCAAGAAGGAGAAACTCAGAAAGAAGATAACCGATCTGTCGAACCTGCCAAGGCGAGTGACAAGAAACCTACCGGATCAACTGAGAAGAAAGAGTCTGAAGTTATTGGGAAGCCTGACAAGATAACTTCCGAAGTCGGGAAAGTGGACAAGGAAACTTTCGAAGGCGGGAAAGTGGACAAGAAAACTGCCGAACCTATACAGAAGACTGATAAGAAAGCTTCCAAGGCTGTCGGGAAGACAGAAAAGAAAGGTTCTGAACTCTCTCAAAGGAAAGACCAAGCTCGCCCCGCTAGGCAAGATGAACCGCTTCCTGGTCCCTCCCATCGTCTCGACCGAGACCCACGCAGAGGTGCATCCTCCCCCGAGAAGAAGGAGGTAAAACAAAGAATTCCTTACGCATTCCAATTAACGTGACCATTATTAATTGATTCATTTTTTTACCTTAACAGCTGGAAGCCGTCGAGACTACGAAGCCGGGTCGGAACGGACTGGTTCGAGGGTGGCGGGTCAAAGATATCATTGGAATGGGCAAGGAAGAGGGTGCCGGTGAAGATGCAGATTTCTTCTTCGCCGTCACTTACAAAGGACGCGACGATAAGGAGGCGATTCCTCGAGTCGAGTGCAATAAGAAAATTCCACACAAAGTTATTAAATACTATGAGACGAACCTCATGTGGGCCCCTAGAATGAAAGACGATTGAAAAATTTTATAAAAATGAAAACTACCGTTGATATTATGTTTTTAAATACTTAAAAGTATTGTGTTTCCAACGCCAAGTTGGCAATTTGACTCTGTTAGCATAGTATTTAAGGTTAGAACTTTGTATTTGTAGCTATTTCGTGAAAGAAGTATAGTTTTAATTGGAGGAAGCCTCCGGTCTCTGTTTAAAGGGGAAACCATTTTAAAAAATAGTTAATAATTCATATATTGGTAATAACGGTTTTAAACCACTTGTTAGTTTGTTTAGATTGAAACTTAATTGTTTATTTGAATGAATAAATGAATGCGAGATTGTTTGTTAAACTGAGAATATGCTTGTTTGTTTTATGGAGTTTTTCTAGTCAGGCTAAGTCCCCATTTAAGTCCGATAATTGATTGGGTGGCATGATAAGCATATCGAATAGTGGATAAGGTGGCATAAGGTAAATATCCATAGTTGGTAGGGTAGAAGAATAAGTATACTGATAATTGATGAGGTGGCATAAATACGATTATAGATAAGGTAGTATAACTATAACTATAATTGATTAGATGGCATGATAAGTATATCCTATAATTGATACGAAGTTATGCGACATGATAAGCATCCATAATTGATACGTCATTCCCACGTTGAATGACCCATTTAGTATCTTGAAATCAAAAAGTGACTCGTAATTTCGCTATCATTTGGAATTTTACACAGACATTAAAAAGACGACAATGAATATGTAAATGAGGATATGTTATTAATAATTACATGCACAGTTAATTAGTTAATTTTAATTAGTTTAATAAGCTTGAATTTTAATCTTTATATTTCCACAGGCTCAAAATACCTTAACCCAGCACACAAATAGCCCTCACTTGAAATATTAATCAATTAAAAGCATAATTTCATCGAGAGGCATCTAGTCCTAAGTTAATGCAAAACAAATGTTTCGTTTCTTACGGCTTTGCTACATTTCTTGGACTGTACAGCAAGAAATAGCAGGTAAAATAGTCCCCATTCTTGCAAAAGGTTAGTGGTTACATGCATATCTGATCAACATTGGCGTGTAACCCGTTGGGAAATCTGGGGAAATTAAGAACATCGGAGAGGGGGGAGGTTCCACGGCCACTGCTATTCTACACTTTGTGTTGTTCCATTACGCAGTGGCTGCCGAAGCTGTGGGGACATTAACATTGTAGGATAGGGGAAAGACGGGTTTGTATAAGATGGGGAGATGATGGGGACATCAAACAACCGTGGGGACATTGTCCATGTGTCCCCTCACGCTTCCGCCGCCACTGGCGCTGAATACCTGGCCCAACGGTTCAATCGAGGTTGTCGACTTGACCTCAAAAATTCGTGTGCAGATGGCCTCCTTGTTTGAGGCGTCGAGTCCAATCCAGACCGGAGAAAGTAGACCACAGTGTAGCCAATCGACTCCATGTCGTCCCGTCGACTGCGGACAAAAAAACACGCCACATAATTACTGCGAGGAAAGGTAATCAAAGAAAATGGGTGTCATGTCATATCATCGGATCCCGAGGTGTACCCCGCCGTCCCGGCGACACCCTGCGTCTTGTTTTCAGTGTAGGACAGGTGAAAGTACGACGTCCGGTAGACCTCGGCCAGTCCAAAGTCGATCAGGAAGAGCTGCATGCGTGCATGAAGAAATTGCATGAAAAAGACGCACAATGTAGGTCTCCAAATGTATGCGATCCGATTTTGGCGAAATCAGTGTGAATCAATGACAGATTTAATTAGTATGGAATTTGCGAAAGACAGCATCTCCCAATGGGCACGTTTGGCCCAGACATTTGCTTTTGCATCCGAAAAGGAGAAAAGGCGCAGTAAAGTCGGAAAGTGTAAAATTTGTCGGGTTTTAAGACGCCTTATCTCCTCTTTGGATGCAAATATCTCGGCCAAACGTGCCCATTGGGAGATCGTGTCTTTCGCAAATTTCATACTAATCAATTTTGTGGTCATTGGCACTAATTTGCTCAAAATCGGAGAGCATCTGGGAGACCTCCATTCTAAGAAAGTCACATGAAAATTGTTCCTCCTCCACCTCGAAACAAAATCATGCATACTTTTTACAGTCTAGTTCATCAAATTACATATGTAAATACACATTTCGTCACTGTAGTTGAAAAAAAGTTGAAAATATATTTCGAATCCTAATTCAAACCAAGATTATGAAATTTACCAAATTAATAGTGCACAATTTTACAATAAATTGTGCCCAAGCAAAAAAATCAGTTTTTACTGCATAATTTTGTCACAAATTTGTACATCCTGCTCTGCATTGCACTAAATATGCTTAACTCATCTCCTTAAGATGAATTTACATACCTACGTATGCAAATTTACGTATGGTTGACTGTCTTCACTTATTTGTACCAATAATTCAAACACTGTTTTTGCAAATGTGGTGCAATCACTAGTCGCAAATTTTTGTCTTTTCTGATAAATTTGCATATTTGCAATTTCCTCGTGATGGATTTCAGTCTTCCTGTAGCACTCTAAAAATCCAGGCTGGGATTTTTCCTCTTGGACCTTTTAACTTTGAGATTTTGACTGTTTTTTTTTTACTTTTTTCAAAATTTTGGACTTTTAAACTTGCACGATTTTCCAAATTTTTTCCCAATTTTGAATTTTAACCAATAAAATCCAGATAACCAGTAGCTTGTAACTTTTAAATTTTAGACTTCTTTTCAAATTTTTCCAAAATTTTTACATTTTTCCTAAGCCAACACCTGCATAAAATCCTGCATAAGGATGACCACCAGTGTCAAACAGCAACATTTATCTGCACCAGAACGTACCTGGCTGGAGGAGGGGCGACACTTATCAGGGATTCAGATAACCCAACCTTCGTCCTCCTCCCCCCACCAACTGCCCGACTGGGTTGACCCCGTGCTCCTGAAGGAAGGCCAAGCTTTCGTGCAGCGTCACTTGTTCTCCGTTCTTTTCGCGCATCTCGTCTCGCTCCTCTTCCTCCTCGCCTACGCCCCCGTGAGGTCCGTCCTCCTCGTCACGAGAAGGTCATCGACCCCACAAAAGTCAAAGTTGAGGTGAGTCTCCACGACCGAAAAATTGGAGGTTTCCGAGTGTATGAGATCCTATTTTGAGCAAATTAGTGTCAATCGATGACAGATTTAATTAGTATGAAATTTGCGAAGTACACGATCTCCCAATGGGCACGTTTGGCCGAGATGTTTGCATCCGAAGAGGAGAAAACGCCCAGTAAAGTTGGAAAGTGTAAAATTTGTCGACTTTACTGCGCGTTTTCTCCTCTTCGGATGCAAATATCTCTGCCAAACGTGCCCATTGGGAGGTCGTGTCTTTCGCAAACTTCATACTAATTAAATTTGCGATCGATAGACACTTGTTTGTCCTAAATCGGATCGCATACACTGGTCGACCTCTATTTTGAGACAGATTGCAACAGAATTCCAGCTAAATATGCAAATCACCAGGTACGCTTCGACCCTGCTCCACGTCAAGAAATGGTACGAAGGTGACCTCCTCCCCGCAGATGGGAAGGCCCCCACCGTGGCCGACATTGGAAAAGTGTGCCGCATCCATGCCGGCGTTGTTTCCCGGGTACGACAGCACTTTGACGATAGTCAAGTCAAAGTGGGGACGGAAGTGGACCTTGACGTCGTCCAGATTGACGAGGAAGCCGGAGTGGGGCAAGGAATTCGGGATGATTTCGCCAGATATTTTAAAAATGTGGGAGAAACTGAGGTACGTATGAAATTGACAGGATAGAAAATCATACTTATGCTTAACAGTGGCCGCGGAAGATAATTGAAACCGTGGGGACATGCTATAGAAGACTATTTTGCAAATCGTGGAAACTTTTTAGAAACAAAAAAATCCAAAATTAAAAAAATGTTGGGTTTAAAACAATAATCTGAAACTTGAATTTTGATGGCAATTTAGGAAAATCGAAATCTACCTGATTCTTTGAAAATGAATTGATTTCGATTACAAAAAATTCGTATTTTTATGATTTCTTTTTTGTACATATTTCGTAAATATTTTGTGTTTCTTTTCGTAAATAATAAATACATATTCCAGCGATTGTTTAAAAATACATTGCCCCCATGTCCCCACGCTTCGGCGGCCACTGCTTACACAATAATTTTCCCAGCAGGACAGCAATAACAACAACGATACCACGACCCAGGACGGCACACCTGAATTCTTCTTCGAGGGGGCCGATCCTATTCCCCCCATAATTTCCCAACTGGACATGGCCATCACGCAATTCTGTTTCATGGGGTTCGTTCCCCTCTTCCCGAGAACCTTTGGCCTTCCCCCAGACGAAGATGCCGTCGGGGTGAAGGGTTTCCTCCACATGTGGGCCCTGCTCGGACACCTGCTCGGAATCCGGCCCCAGTTCAACCTCGCCCTCCCGGAAAACGAGTCGCGTCGCGCCTTGGTCTGGACGTCCGTCCTGATCCCCAGCTTGGCGGAATGCGCCCCGCAAACGTGGCGCCTTTGGTCCGCCCTAGTTCAAGGGCTCAACTCGGTCATTCCATTCCTCAAGTTGGAAGCGTTGCTGGTTTTCGTGGGGAAGAGGTGAGGGAAATGTTTTTCGAAAATATTTGGAAAATTTTGGAAAATGCGACTAGTTTCCGGGGCATAGTTTCTCCCACCTTGCATTTCTCCCAGGTCAAAATATTCACCTGCAAAAAAACCACTTTCTTCTTCCCCTTATTTCTTGCACGTGGTTACTTATTCCACCCGAAACAATGCTTTTTATCCTTATTTTTTTGTTCTGCTTTAGGCTTATCAACGTGGATAAGGAGGATTGCAACGTGTGGAGTGAACTCACCCTAACCCAGCGAGTATCTTTCTACATGCTGAATGCATGTTTCACCTCGTGGGTCAAGTTTTCATTAGGCAGACGTTTCTTCAACGCCATGGTTCGTCTCGCCATCAAGAAATTGGCAAAAGTCTAGAAGTTTGAGAACAATTCGTTCCCATTTAAAAAATAAATTGTTCGCGTAAATATTAAACGTTCGAAACTTGTAGTCTTAGAACATAGAATAATTTAGTACTGATCTCTTAATTACTTAGATTACCACAATTTTAACCGTTTTATTAAAAGTAATAACAGTGCAAGTTTTTTAACATGATAACAATTTGTGAAATATTCATAATAATAAATAATAAAAAGGGAATAGATTTTCATGAAAAGTTTTGTTAACTAGGATTAATTCTATTTCAGAAATTCCGTGTGTTTCCTCTAATTGCATGGCGTTGTTGTAGCTACAAACTTATTAATTGTAAGAATGGAGGTGTCCCAGCGTATGTGACCCGATTTTGAGAAAATTAGTGTCAATCGGTCACAAATTTAATAAGTATGAAATTTGTGAAAGACACGATCTCCTAATGGGCACGTTTGGCCGAGATATTTGCATCCGAAGAGGAGAAAGCGTACCTTAAAGTCGACAAAATTTTACATTTTATAAATTTACGCGTTTTCCCCTATTCGGATACAAATATCTGCCAAAAGTGCCCATTGGGAGATCGTGTCCTTCACAAATTTCATACTACACGTTGGGTACACGTTGGGAGACCTCAATTGTAGCTAACTTTATAAAATCCGTGCCTTTTGTACCATACTTTTATAAAACTTTTACAAAATAAAGAGACGGCCACCCTCTCACCGGAGCAACTTTACAATAATTCGTAAGCTAATTCGAAATATTTCCAAAATTTTGTAAAAGTTTGTAAATTTATAGAATTTACATATTATATAATGTTACCAAGGCCTGCCTGAATTGCTTAAATATCTCAAATACTAAAGTTTAAAGTCTCTTCATAACCACGAAGTTGTAAGGTTTCGGGCTTAAAATCGGTCCTGGGGAGGAGACTGGTCGAGTCTCTGGATCCAAATGACCTGGCACCGTGACCAGCTTAAAATTCCGGGCGATTGTGGCCAAGAAGAGGAAGAGGACGTCGTTAACGATGTCCTGCATTGGGTCGGGAAGTCCGAGCAGGAAGAATTGTGGGGGTCGTAAAGCACTTCCCTCGCTGGGAACATGGTCCCCTAACTGCTGGGACGGAACGAAGGAGTCCGGATAAGCCCAAAGCGATTTATTCCGGTGGAGCGAGTACAGGCTGATAAGGAGACGTGTGGCCTATGGAGATAAGTGATTATTAGATTTTTTTCTGGGATTAAGGATTAATAGTAATTCAAGACTAGATTATTCTGGGATTAATTAAGTATTCAATTTCATCGGGATTAATGATTAATAATTAATTCACAATGCTTTTGAATTTGGGATTATAGATTAAGGATTAATAATCCTTAATTCATTAATCTCTGGTGGTCCATCAGAGTCAACAAAAGTAAGAATGATTACCTAACTACGTAGTACTTGGTACAAGAAATGGTTACCTTTGGGATCTCGTACTCTCTTAGCGTGAAAGCTTTCTGACTTTTAAGCGGTGGAGTGACCAAGGGACGGACACTGGCGAGTCGTTGGACTTCCAGCGTTACTGCGACAATGAAGGGCAACCTGGTCATGGACATTGTTAGCTTGACAAGAATGAATATTCGTGTTAATATCAACTCAGTTTTTCTTTTCCATCCCGCGCTGGTATCCTTCCCAAGCTATTAGTATGGTAGGGATACGAAGCGGGAATCAAATTTTTGGTGAAGTAATTCTGAGTCAGTAGTAACATCGCTAAAATTGTCAAAATCAGCACATTTTTAATCATTTCTCGTCTCTGGGAATTTATTTTAAAATTTTGACCGACAAATTTGTAGAGCAGATCGGTGCCATTTGAAAAAATATACACTCCAGATTTTGACTTTTTGACGGAGGAGATCTCAAGTTTAATAAGCCTTTAGAAAAATTGAAACTGATCGAAACTGGCTTAAAAAACTCAGTTCCATTCTATCAATCAACTCACGGAGGGCAAATTTGTCGTCCAGAATTTTAAAATAAATTCCCAGAGGGGAGAAATCATTAAAAATGTGGGGATTTTGAATATTTTGGTGAGTTAAAGTGTCACATCCGCACATTTTCCTGTCCTTCAGAGAGACGACGACTTCCTTCAGATCGTTTCCGGTCACGGTGAGTACTTCGGTGAACATTTGGTCTCCGATGGCCGGGTGCAGCGTGATGTAGAGGACGGCCCAAGCCAGCAAGCTCCAAGCCCCGTGGTAAATTTGGGTCAAGAGGAAAAACAAGCTTGGGTCGGGGGACGCTGAATCTGGTGTCAAACTCTGTCCAGTAAATGAAGCAATTAGAAAAACCAGATTTAGCCCGAGTCAGGTCCTCATTAACGATAGACTCGATGTCTAATCGCCAAAATCAGCACATTTTTAATACTTTCTTCGCTCTGGGAATGCATTTTAAAATTCTGGACAACAAAATTTGTAGAGCAGGAAGTTATCAATTTTTCAAAAATATACAGTATAGTTTTAGATAATTTTCTAAAGAGGAGATCTCAAGTTTAGGAAGCCTTCAGAAAAATTGGAGCTCATGCAAACTGGCTGAAAAAACTCAGCGTCATTCCATCAATCAACTCACTGAGGACAAATTTGTCGTCCAGAACTTTAAAATAAATTCCCAGAGCAGAAAAATGATTAAAAATATGCTTATCTTGGTGATAAGTATCGAGTCCTGCAGTAATAAATGAGGCAGTACCACTACAACTCTTTTTTTCACACATTTTCTCATCTTCCAACTTGATTCCTACTTTTGCATGTTCTACGTGTGTCCAAAATTTCAAAGTTTTACCAGTCTAATCGATATATAGACAGACAGACAGACAATCATGACGGGTAGATGAGCCCTGACTCGGGCCAAAAACTATTAGATTATATTAATTTCCAAGATATTCACCTGGATAAGCTGGCGCATCTCGTCTTTCGCCAGTCTCTCACTTTCTGGACCATCTCCATCCTGGCGTTTAGACTTCAAAATGACGGAATCTGCCTTTGCGACCAAGTTGTTCACATCTTCCGAACCCACTTCCACCCCCGCGACCCCACAAAGAGCCGCCATCACGCTCGAGTTGAGCAAGGTGTGACTATGACCCACGAATTTGACCCCGTCCGCCATGTCGGACCGAAACTGGGCGACGAGTCGGCGCAAGACGGGACGAAGGATGGAATCCAGATCAGATTTTTGTATTTTTTGAAGAAGTTTTGGATCTGACAAGGTGAAAAAATCAAATTTTCATAAGGTTTTCATAATTTGTATACAATTTTCATAAATCTGAGGTATACATAATTTTATAAATATGTATTTCGTCACCAATATTTCTTAATTGGTCGTCACGATTATTAGTAAACTGGTCCAACTCCTTGTCCCAATCCGTTACGACGACTTGAAGATTTGAATAATGAAATATACATAATTTGCAAAAATTCACAAATCGAATTTCAATTATGAAATTCATTTTTTTACGAAATGTTTTTTTTTAATCCATACCAAAATATTTCGAATCTAAATTAATTGTGAAAACGGATCCAAATTTGTGTCCTAATTTATGCAATGCTGCAAACAATTCACCCTTGCGAACGCCTCCATGCGCCCACCAGAGCTGGATAAGATTTCCGAAAAGTGGAAATCTTCTCGGACCTGGGGGAAATTTTGTTTTCAGATTTTTTTAATAACACAATTAATTAATTAATAAAACATACCTGGAATTCGGGTCGGATAAGAATAAATGTAATAGTTTTTCCACTTCATGAAAAATAGGAGGGTTCCAATCAAGCAAATAAGTTGGACCCAAAACCACATTTTTTTAAATTTGGAAAACCAGGTTCAATTTAAGAGATGATTTTTGTAAATATTTTATTGCAGAGGAATATGTAATTCCAGGTGAGCATGTTATATGCTTGTGTGTATACATATGTTGAAATGAAGGAGATAAGTGAACATCACGGAAGATAAGCCGGTGAACGAATCTGTCTCTTATCTCCTGAAAAAACAGCATAAATAAATGCATCATTTCAACTAAGGAGGAGAAGGTCACTACTTGTCGGGCCCCGATTTCGATCTCCTTTGGATATGTCGTAGTACTACATGAGTGTAGAAAAAGTGAAGGAGGGTTAGACTCCATGAGCCCATTTACGCCCGCCACACCCCCTCAAAGGCGCCCAAACCCCCAGAGTTGCTGCACTAAAATCATCGTCAAAAATCGAGTTTTGGTCAGATTTTCAAAAAATTTACATTTTTGTGATCCCAGATAGTTGCTCTATCATATCCAATAGCAAACTCAACTTTTTTGAAATTTTCAATATTTTCGAAGATTTTCTGACCAAAGGTATGTATTGAAAAAAATCGAAATTTCAAAAAAGTTGAGTTTGCTATTGGATATGATAGAGCAACTATCTGGGATCACAAAAATGTAAATTTTTTGAAAATCTGACCAAAACTCGATTTTTGGCGATGATTTTAGTGCAGCAACTCTGGGGTTTTGGGCGCCTTTGAGGGGGTGTGGCTGACGTAAATGGGTTCATGGAGTCTAACCCTCCTTCACTTTTTCTACACTCATGTAGTACTACGACATATCCAAAGGAGATCGAAATCGGGGCCCGACAAGTAGTGACCTTCTACTCCTAAGTAAGAAATGAAGTCTGATGAAGTTAAATGAAATGAATTTGAACGAAAAGGACTGAATGTGAATGAAAATCTTCAGTCAGAAATTGGGGTGACTGACTTTTGAATGAAAACTAAATTTTTGAACAGGTATGCCAGGATAATGATGGGATCGATGATGACGATGATGAAGCAGACTGGAGCGGTTTTGAGGAACTGACCACGTGGGTACTGATTTTCCTGTATTCTTCACTAAAATAACTTCATCCCGATGTGCTTTTCCATTTATGTGGCCTACTTAATGGTATAAAGAACTTTATAATTGTAGCCCTGAATTTTTTCGAACGCACGCAATCGCAATAAGTTTAAAACTTATTGTGGTCACTTAATTGCACTTCCACCCGAAACACTGGTATCTTTATTTGTTGCAGGTAGCCAGAGTAAAAAAATTGCTTAAGTACATATTTATTACGGCATAATAAGGATACATTCGTGGCGTGGTGTGGTATCGTTTTTAGTCCATTTGCCCATTCACTTTTCATTTTATTCCCACCCAGCAGTTGAGTTGAACCATAATGATAATCATCACATCATCATCACCGGTCGGAATCCCTGTAATAAGAAGACATCACACATAAGCAGACCCTTATGCATGGATGGATAGCTGAGTGATCCTGAGGCGAAGGGCACCCTTAATAAGAAGACCAAGTAACCTGCATGCGGAAAAAGTTGAGCGTCAGTCGTGCAAAATCTGTCGTCGTGAACGGTTCGCAAAATATACGGTTACATCTTGGATGCAGTGCTAGCCATTTTTTCTGCAAATATTTCCAGACGAGGGAGAGAGATACTTCTTATCTTCTGTGGTGGTGGTAGTGTTCTGGTGGTGCAAGATAAGGTTGGACTTATCCAAATTTATTGTGACATCGGGATTATCTCTCTCCGTTGCGGATTAATACTAATTGGATAAAAAGGTAAGGGAAGAAGATTTATGGAAAATGATGATTTATAAAGGGCCGGCATTTTAGCAAATTAATTAATGAGCCGATTCCTGTTGCTCGATGAAAATCTGGTTTTAATTCAGATTATTTGTGGTACAAACGCGTTTGCCGGGGGCCTTTTTAAGGGTCCGTTTTGAATTTTCTCGGATTTGTTGCCCCCGTTTTCCAAAAAAAAAAAACAGAAATCCAATTGGAATTTCCCCGATTTTGTTTTTCCTAAAAACGAAACAAAAATCGAACCCCATGGTCAAATTCCATAAAAAGATTTGTAGCTCGTGTCCACGTCTACACGTGCATTTTGTAACTTTTATGTATTATGTAGTTTTACATACATTACATCTCTGAATTTGGTTATGTTTATGTTTATATTGCAAAATTGGAGCACTCTCAATCTCATCTTGAAGAAGTTATATACGAGTTTCATTGAATAATAGTCGTGGTCGTGTACGAAGAAACATTTTATTTACTTGTTGTTATTTTTTTCTTTTATGTCGAGTCATTATTTGTGTATGTCAGACAAAAAGTAAAGTAACGCCAGATTTCGTGCCGTAGGAATAAAAAAAAAAGTGGTAACGTTACTTCACTTGATGCATTATTGCATTGTAAATATTCGCATGCACTTATTAGATAATTGTTGATTTATTTTATTATTTTTGACCAGTTGGTAGCACTAATAAAATTAGATCATGACGCAGATTTAGGGCGAAATTGGGCTAGGGAAATAGATCTTAAGGTGGAATTGAATTTCAGTTCTGGCATTAATAAATAATATAAGAATTGAAATAATGAAATGAAATGAAAAGTGATAAGTAAAGGCTTCCTCTGGTTTCATGGGTGGAGGAGGAGATGATAAAGTGATGTAACTTATGCAGGGTGCCATCCTATTGTATTATTCTGCACAGGTAGGAGTCGTACTTACGTGTTTTGTGGGGGAGATGAAGAAAAAGTGAAATTTGTAGGGATTTACATATGTATGAATGAACGGATCGTGTAATGCATACGGATGAATAACGGGGTGTATGCATGGTGGGTCAGTCTTACAAGAAGGGAGGTCTCCGAGGGGATGCGGTCCGATTTTGGGCAAATTGGTGTGAATCGGGGAGATATTTAGTTAGGATGAAATTTGCGAAAGACACGATTTCCCAATAGGTACGTTTGGCGGAGATATTTGCATCCCAAGAGGAGAAAACGCGTAGTAAATCTGGAAAGTGTAAAATTTGTCGACTTTACGGCGCATTTTCTCCTCATCGGATGCAAATATCTCGGCCAAACGTGCCCATTGGGAGATCGTGTCTTTCGCAAATTTCATACTAATTAAATTTGCCATCGATTGAGACTAGTTTGCTAAAAATCGGAGAGCATCCACTGGGAGACCTCCATTGTTAGCTGCTAAAAGTAATGCTCGTATTAAATAATTGACATGCAGAGAGAGATATGTGCAGACGATTATTCTGTATGCATTTCTGCTCCTTATGGAGCTTTTTTTAGCCATGCGTGACGATATTTTTTTCAATTTGGGTGTGGCAATTTACAAATTTGGGGCAGAAAACGCGAAATTTTTCCAAATTAGTAATATTTTTTAATTTTCAAGTTTATTAAGCAACCCTGATTGACTTAGGTATATGATTGATCTCGATATTGATTGATTGCATGATATGAGATTTTGATAATTTGCAAAGTCGGCTAATGCACTTTTTACGTGATTTTTGTTGGTGGCTCGTATTACATAACTTTTTAATGGAACAAATTTTTCGCCATTGATGGTAAAAATTGATAATTTAGAAAAGTTTGTAATGAGTGAATGTTATGTGATCTCGGCCCGAATTGAGTATTGATTGATCGATTAGAGGTAAAGTTTTCTTGTAAATGAAAAAAAGCCGTGTTATTAGCTTTATGAATTCAGTGGCCGCGGAAGCCGTGGGGACATCTGGGGACGTTAACATTATAGGATAAGGGGGAAGGGAGGAGTTTATATAAGATGGAGAGATTATGCGGACATCGAATAACCGTGGGGACATTATACCCTCAAGCATCCTCCGCGGCCACTGTAAGGGAGTAAAGTCTACTTTGTTGAGGGAGCAGTGGCCGCGGAAGCCGTAGGGACATCTGGGGACATCATTAACAGTGTAGGATAGGGGAGGGCCGGGTTTATATAAGATGGGCACATGATGCCGACATCGAACAACCGTGGGGACATTGTTGACCCTCTGTCCCCTCACCCTTCCGCGGCCTCTGTATTACACGAACATGTGGCAAGTTTGAGGAGAGGGGAAGACAATGACGAGCCGAGGAGGCAGGCGTTGTCCACATTATTCTGGTCAGATAGCTATCTATATTTGTCTTCTTGCATTGTTGTTTGCCTTGTTCCGCATTATGTGTGACTTGACGTGAGTGGTGTGCATCTTAAAATGTAGGTAATACGTACATACGTGGCCGGTGCATTTGCATTGTTATGTTTTAGAGTGGACATTGACTCTGCTGCCATCCTTACTTACGTAACAATTATCATAAATATGAATGTACATATGTCTGTCTGTTAGTTGGGCATAGGTTTTGGCAGATTATTGGGAGATTATTGAAGCTAATTACACAGTTTGTGTGTAAATGTCTCCTAATGTGCGTGTTATCGATTTACATGACTTATCGGTAGAAATGCTCAGGGGATGGGAATAAGCGCCGACATTGTCTCGAATTAACGTATTTAAGACTCGATGCCTTATCTTCATATTCAGCATATTTTAAATCATTTCTCTGCTGTGGGAATTTATTTTAAAATTCTGGACAAATTTGTAGAGCAGGGAGGAGTTGCCAATTTTAAAAAAATGTATGACAGTCCAGATTTTGACACTTTTTGAAAAAGGAGATCTCAAGTTTAAGAAGCCTTCAGAAAAATTGGAACTCGTCGAAACTGGCTGAAAAAACTCGACGCCATTCCATCAATCAACTCACTGAGGACAAATTTGTCGTCCAGAATTTTAAAATAAGTTCCCAGAGAGAAGTGATTAAAAATGAGTACAAATTTATCGTCACTAAATAATCGATGCCAAAAGATAGGGGTATCTATCAGATCGATTATATATGTCTGACTACATGAGTCGTAGATCAGTCGTGATTATTTTTGCCATAATTTCGAAAAAAAATTTCATAAACAGTATACTTTTCTGCAAGGGTGGAGTAGTTTTTACAATTTTTTTTTCTAAGGTGCCCTTTCAATACGGCATTCCCCACCATACATATTTTAGTAATGAGAAGGAGGAGGAGGGATGTTGTCACAATGTTTATTTTTGGTTTGGTCATTATGCAAATTAATACATGATAGAGTGGAGATCTTTATGCTGGTTAGGTCTTTATGCTGGTCGTTAAAGTGTGTCACCACACAGTTATTTGTTTGTGGTGCTGCTGCTGTTTAGAAAAAAAAGGTTTACCAATTCCTCGGTCTCGTTATTGTGCGTCTCTTGGTCGTCGTCGTCGTCATCTTCTTCTTTTTATCTTAATTTGTCACTTATTAGTCAGCCAAAGAGGGTGCCTTCTTGTTGCGTGTGTGCAAATAATGTGTCACTTATTCACGATTATGTATAAATGTACCTACATAAGTACGTACCTAACCCTCAGAGTAGTGTCGCAATTAGAAGATTGTCGTGATAGCACGACTGCCCAAATTTTAGGTCCAACTTTTTTCGCAAACGTATAAAATGTACAAAAGGTTTGCAAAAGTGTCACCTTTCTCCATTGGCCTAATAAGCAAAAAAAGAAGTGATTTAATAGTCTCAATATTTTAAAAAAAATTGGTAATTTAATTGATGCAATTTTTAATAATCTCAATATTTTTAAAAATTATTTAATTGGTGATGAAATTGATGGCGAGATTGATTAATTGTAATAAATTGGTGCATCTTGTTAACAAAAATTGTTTTTAAAAAAACTCAGATTTAATAAAATTATGTCGAAAAATGGAAGCTTTTTTCTTGTATGAAAGGTCTTAGAATGGACAATTTTTGCTATTTGATCCAATTTTGTACCGAAAAATGCCCCTTTTTTGCTGTATGACGTACATGACATGAAATTTGTGTAAGGTTACCATTCTCCCGAAGGTTTTAGAATGGAGATTTTTTTTTCATATTTGATCCAATTTCCTTGGCCCGTATAGAAATAAAATTCATGATCTGCTAAAAATAGTGGTTGTGGTTGCGCGTGTTTGGATAGAATTGATCCTGTTTTTTAATAGGTTTTCTTTCTTTATTTACTTATATGTCATTAATTGGATTGGATAATGTAATATTCTTCGGTAAGAGTAAGTATTTAGTGGTTGGGTTGTTGAGATAAGTGGGTCAGTTTGTGTAGTGAAATAGGTAATAAATAAATTGGACGGGATACCTACACCTGTACATAGCAGGTAGAGGAGACCTATGAGGAGGCCTTTTGTTGGTTGGTCAATAGAATGGAATCGCTTTAAAAATATATATTTTTTATGAATGTTGAGCTGAGATTGCACCTTTTGCACGTACGATAATGCGATGATGAATTCAAGCCAAGCTGCTGGTAGTAAATAAGTAGGAGCGTGTATGGCAAAGAATTGACCCATAATTGCTGCCTGCAATGCAATTTATGCTTATTTACTGGCTAACTGACTAAACGAGGTGGTTAGTTATTTATTTATTAGACGAAAGTGTTTAAGCAATTCATTGAATTTTTTAAAAGTGTTCATGAGGGTTGATTTTTTATGTAAAAGTTTCAAAGTGCAGAATCGTGTCGTTAAGAGTGCGTGATGATCGATTGCTTGGAAATATGCAGGGACCACACCCTTAATATGATGATAATGTCATGATAAAATAGAATATGAATGATCAGACCGCAGGTTAATTGAGGTATATTTTATATTCTGTTCCCTAATTAATGGCATATTTAAAAATTGTGGCATTATTTTGCAGCTGATTAAGATCTTCTTGTGGTCATTTTTGTATGCGTTTCAGGGCGCAAAGTGCGCGTCCTTCTGTGTCAAGATGGATATGCAATTTTGTGAATATAATAGAATCCTGCTCTAATTTTTGGTTTGATACAAATACGAAATTGAAATTGAGTCGTGAAAGTGATGATGCAAAGGTTACTTGGATTTTGCAGAAGTGAAGTGGCTGGTGCAATATTTTGCACAATAATAACATAACACGGACGGAGGGAAGCAGTTAGTTTGGGAATTATTGAGGAATTACTGCATAATACGTATGTACATACTCCTCTAGTCTGGTCTGGTCTTTCCTATAGGGAAAGAATTAGCAAAAAGTGCAGCAGTAGCAGCAGTGGCAGAAATTGCGAAAAAGAGAGAAGAAGAAGAAGGGATGTAGGTAGATTGCACATCGTCAAAGTCGTCATCACCAGCATGCACGTTACTTACCTGACTACGGTACACCGTCCTTGACACAGTAATAATTATATAACGGGTTATTCATTTCGTTACATGGGTATCGAACGATTAGATGGATGGAAATTTGGCCCATGGAAGAATTACTATGTCGCATAAATATGTACGTTGGCTACTTGGTAATGAATGGAAATTACGCGTGTACATAAGTTGAGGAGTCCGATACGAGTTTTTTTAAGTAAAATATGTAAAGAAGGCTTGACTTAGAAAAGGGGGTGGAATTTTGTTTAAAGAAGATGGCACATGGTTCATCTTCATTCATTCAGACAGAGAAAAAATGTTTAGTATTTACAGCACAGGGTTTGGTTTTGTGATGTTTATTAATAATAAGTTAATACATAATTGAGGCAGAAAATATGTCAAGATTTCACTTAATATAAACTTGTACGGTACAAGTTGTACCAGAGAATAATTCAATTCAGAGGCGTGTGAAAAACGAGAATGGGAATGGGTGTGAATGCATCAAGTCAAGGTGCACGACACAATTCCTCAAATCCTATCTTCTTCTTTTTTCTCCCCTAATTTGACAAGATTTCTGAAATTTTAAAATTATTTATATTTGAAATAGTTGGTTGGTTACAGGGCATGCCATTTATGATATACTGGATTTTATTTAATGGTGGTGGTGGTGGCCCTTAAATAAGAAATGAATGATAAGTGCACATGCATGTTATCTTGAAGTTCACTCAATTCACAGAAAATTATGATGCAAGTTTCCCAAGAAGAAAATGAGGTTTTCTTTTCATGAATTGTTGGGGGTAGGGAAATTAGTCGACGTTCTGGGAATCGTCGTCGTCGTGGCTGACGAAGAATCGACCGGATGGATGAGAAGAATAAGCTATTTGTCTAATTGGGAGGGGAATTTATGTAATTTATGAACCTACTACACGATTCCTTTGATAAGCCAATAATCCAATGATAATAACGAAGGGACTGCTTGTTAAAGAAAATGAAATGGTTATCATGTAGGTAGGTAGAGTTAACTTTAACCTTGCATTATTTTATCTGAGGTAGCTTGGGTATTGTGCCTCTCGTGGGAAAGGTCGTGTATTTACGTATGTGGAGGAACATGCTCATGCATGTCTTATCATCAGCGTGATCTGATATCTTGAGGTGTAGAAAAGGAGAATTTTGAACTTTGAGAAATTTGAGGCAATGGAAATGTAATGAATTAATTTGATTTGATTTGATTTAATGATGATTTAGTTTCTTGGTCGGATTGATTTTGTGCAAGGGTGAGATTCAAATTAGAGTTTAATTAGGAAGTTTTATAGACTTGTTGTAACCTTTGGTTTTTCATGTCAAATTGAGTAAAGTAAGGTCTTGTTGTACAAATTGGGGTGGTTTGTGTAATCGGCGGAGTCTATAATTGGATTGGAAGTTAAGTTACATATGTACATACATACGGAAGGAAGGATAAGGGAAAAATAGATAGAGGATAAACTACTTATGAAATACTTATCATCAATTACTTATCATCATTTTTACTTTATAAAAATCCTTCTTAAAAGAGAATCAATTAAACAAACAACAAGAATAAGTACGTACGTAAGTGCCAAAATACCGGCACGCATGTAAAGAAAAAGATGATTCAAACAACTTATCAATTACTTATCATGATACGTACTTATCATCATTCATTTTTACTTATAAACACTCCATAAAAATCCTTCTTAATAGAGAATCAATTAAGTAACAAGACCAAAAGTGCCAAAAGACCGGCGTAATCAGGACACATTTAAAGACACGTGTGATTCAAATTAAGTACTCATCAATTTCTTATCATCCTTTTGGCATACACACTTTATAAAAATGTGTCCTAAAAGAGAATCAATTAAGCAACCAGAATAAGCACATAAGTGCCAAAACACCGGCATAGTCAGGCCACATTTGAAGAAAAGGGACGCTTCATTCGTGTCTTGACGATTATGCAATACACCACGAAAAGTTCGTGCGTTGTGTGGTGTGGTGTGGATTCGTCATTAATTAGTAGTCGTCCCCATGCCATACGTTACGTTACGTTCACCATAATAGGTCAGCCGTCGTCTAAAAGCAGTAGTAGTAAAGTAATAATAATAATAATAACGTGTTACTCAGCAGTGGCCGCGGATGAAGGTGTGGGGACATTAACGTTGTAGGATAGGGGGAGGGACGGGTTTATGCAAGATGATGCGGACATCGAACAACCGTGGGGACATTAAGTCTCCTTCCGCGGCCACTGAGAACGCGTTACTGAGAGAGGAGTCAAATAATCTTCGCGATAAATACACAGAATACAAATCACTCACCTCACTTTAGTTAGTTAAACATGACCACTTGCACTTTTTGGTGTGCAAAAATATTCTGCATACGTATCACTGCCGACCCAGGACTGGCCTCTTATCGACGTTTTCTTCTCTTCACTGTTGATATATTTTTTTCTTTACCTTTAATAAGTCAGTTAGTTAATAGTGAATTACATTATCAGTGAGTGAGTGGTAAATAAGCAGTTAATGAAAAGAGTAGTGTGACTTTCTCTCGTATACTGATTTATTTACCTTGTTTGTTGTGTGAAGGAATGACCCAATTTTTCCGTAAGTACTACAAACCAACTTTTTAACTACGATTATAATTAATTTCGTTTTTTTCTGCTTCCATTCCAACAATGAAAATGAAAAGAATCCTGACTTGGATTGGATTTTATTGCACTTTTGGCTTTTATTGAGTTGCATTTAATTTAATTCAGAATTTTTGAGTCGTCTTCTTCTTCTTTTCTTGTATTTTTCTTGTTCCGTGTAGTTTGAGGTGAGATGCACTTTTTTTATGACAATTAAATGCAGACAACAATAAAGAGTGATGATACATATGTCAACATACATAGATCACATTGTTAATTTAATTGCATTTCATTGCACAGGTGTATCGTCTTCATTTGTGAGGTTTTTGTACCAAAAATGTTGCACGTTGCTGCACGTGATGCATTTCAATTTTCAAGTATTACGCAATTATTTAGTGAAGAATTGCAGTTGCAGTACGTGAAGAATGTCAAATTGTGGGTGACTGACTGACTGACTAGTCATGTCACATTTTGTGTATTGTTTTGTTTATCTATCGACTTTTGTCTTATCGCTTGAAATGAAACGATACTTTTAATTCAGGTTGGAAATCTTCTTCTTTTATAAAAATGTACTCGTCCACTTTTAGAAAAACTTGACCAGAAAGAAACTGTGTCAGTGCAGTGGTGAAGTAGTAATTTTAATTTTGTGTGCATTTAATTAATTGGATTTGTATTTATTTGTACGTTAAAATTAAGTGTGGAATATTTGGGTTAATTTTAATGTCATCATAATAATAAAAGGATTACATCAAGGAAGATGAGATTGACGATTGTTATATAATTTGAGGAGGACTGTAAAAATGTGAGAAAATTGAATTTGATAACTTTTACTAAAAGAGGCATGAATAGAATTGTATGTACATACTTTGGTCAGGGGTGGGGAATATGTATGTAAAGAAATCCAACTCTATATACTGCGAATTAAATAATCTGTAATCAGATTACTTTATCAACGGATTACATCAAGGAAGATGAGGATGAGATTGACAATTGCATAATTTGAAATGGACTGAAAAATGGGGAAAATTTAAAATCTGAATTTTTCAACTTTTAGTAAAATGTTTAAAGTTGTACTTTTTGGCCAGGGTAAGATTTTTGGTCTGGTTATCATTAGATTTATTTATGGGAGGTGGGGACAAATATGTAAACAGTGGCCGCGGAAGGGTGTGTGGACAGAGGGACAATGTCCCCACGGTTGTTCGATGTCCGCATCATATCCCCATCTTATATAAACCCGTCCCTATTTCCTATCTATCCTACAATGTTAATGTCCCCACGGCTTCCGCGGCCTCTGTGCGTATGTATGTAAATGAGCACAAGTACAACTCTACTACTGTGAATTAAATAATCTATAATCGGATTACTTAATCTGTCATAATCTCTTTGGACGTACATAAATCTGTAGTACACAAATAAATAAATAATAACTTTGAATGAAGGTATCACAAATTAACAAGAAGACGAGACTTGTCAAAATACTCGTATATATGAAAAAAACTAATAATATTTTGTTCATTACTGACTGATTGTAAACGGGTACAAGTTGTGTTACACTGTTTTTTGACGAGTTTTTTTTTGAATGAAATGAAAATGAATGAGCCGTGAGTTGGTCAAGTTGGTCAAGTTTTTTTCTGCATTATTTGACATGCAGATTGGAATTTGGTACATTGAAAATTGATGGATGAATGATTTATTTTTTTCCTTTTGCATTTGTCTTTTATCGAATTGGAGTAGAGTTTAATGTGTGAAATAAATTTTTCTTGTTACTGATAATGAAGATAATTTGTGGAATTTATGTATGGGAGAAAATGTGAAGGTGAAGATGAGACGAAATGCAGAAATTTGTATGGTTTTGTGGTTGGATTTTTTTGCTACTAATTTCGCGAATGGTTCACCTTGTCGCATTTGGTTTGTTTGTTTTGGCAAATTAATATTTTTACTAAATAAGTAAACAGATGATACTAGGGAAGATGTGATGTCGGTCAGTTGATAAGATTGTGATGTTAATTTGGAGAAATTAGTGAGCGTACTGTACACACGTCAACCTTCGCAAATTGAGCATAGTAATATATGTAACTCAACCTTGAAGTTTTGCGAAATTTTGCGAGATTTAGTAAATGTTTGCTGGAAAACGATGCTATTTGTTTGCAAATTTACCTAGAAGTTAGGCATGTTCTTATTTAGCAAACTCATCCCTACAGAAATTTCTGTAATTTTCGCACAATTGCAAAGCCAGAGAAATTACGTTACATGGAAATAACATCAAAATCGATGTTTGCAAGATTTGCGAAGTTATATTTTGCGAATCCCTACACACCAAAAATTTTGTATCTTTGCAAGTTTCCAAAATGAGTTGCGACACGGAATAAGACGTTGTTGCGAGTACGAACAATGCGAAAATTTGCTGGATTTTTGTGTTTGCGATTTTCTAGAGCTGTGTTATTATGTTATTGATTGTGTAAATGTTTTGTTTGCAGTCTAACAAAATGAGGTGGAGTACAGTATTGTTTCTCGTCGTGGGATGTCTCGTTGGTTTAGCATGTGCCAATCCGCTGAGCCGGTCACGTCGTCAGGCTACCTCCACCACGACGGAGAAGTCCACCACTGGAAAGAACGCGACGTCGGGGGAAGTTAGTAATGTTGAGAGACAGTGGCCGCGGAAGCTGTGGGGACATTAACATTGTACTAGGACAGGGGAGGCCCGGGTTTGTATAAGATGGGGAGATTATGCGGACATCGAACAACCCTGGGGAGATTGTCCCTCTGTCTGTCCTCACTCTTCCGCGGCCACTGATGAGACATAATTCCGTGATAAAATGACGATATTTTGTGTAGGATGACATCGTCGACGTGCTGCGCGCCCTCAACTTGCCGGATGACTTTGCCGACACGAAGAAACCCACGCCCACGACCACGACGGTAGGTACGACCCCGACGACCACGGCGAAAAGTATTACGACCACTACGACTGCATCCACGCCCAAAGCGGAAGCCAAGGTCGGGTCTGGAGACACGAATAGCATTGACTCCAGCCAGTCCCGTGTGGCGAGACAGTACTTCATGACGGGTGAGGAGGGGGACATATTTTATTTATTAACAATGCACATGTTTTGTCAAGGATCTTCTTAAAAAATCAAGTAATTTAAATCAAACAAAAGTTTGTGTGGGACTTGACCATTTCTGTAGAATTTACGGATTTATGAAGGTTACAAGTTGGCAAAAAGGTGCATTTTCACCATGCGAAACTATACGGCTCTCCGCTTTCCGATGTGAAAATTCGCATTTTTCCCAACTTAAAATCTTCATGACGCCATCAATTCTTCAGAAGTACTTAAGTGCCATACGGTTTTAAGTTGGCAAAAATGCGAATTTTTACCATCGGAGAAGTGAATGCCATATTGTTTCGCATGGTGAAAATGCGTATTTCTGCTAATTTGTAACCTTCTTAAATCCGCGAATTCTGCAGAAGTGGTCAAATCCCAGACTAACTTTTGCTTGTGTCATGTTACTCGATTTTTTAGCCCTGGTTTTAACAAGATCCGTGACAAATATGTGTGACACGTGCCTTACTTGTAAGATTACGGTGATGAGGATAAGAGTATTGTTTTTCTCTCCTCTTAGGAAACGCTATGTTGGACAAGGTAATGAATTGTCCATGTCAAAAGGATCAACTCGACTCGATGGGGGTGAACGGCGTGCCGTACAGTAATCAGCCGAACCCCGCAATTTACCGTGATCCTCCCTACGGTCCGGACGCCCTCGGACCTGGCGATGTGATCGCGACGAATTTAAAGTCTGTCGGAGGCACGACTGGAAACGTATTCGGGCAGTTGATCCGATTGATGTTGGGCTTACCAAATTTGGCCTTGTCGCTTCTTAAACCGCTCGTCGTGGGGGCGGCAGATACCTTGGCGCAAACGACGGACGCCGCAGCTGGAGTGACGCAACAGGCAGCGAAGACTTTGCCAGTGGTATGCACTTTTTGTTTGCAGGGGTGTTTAGACGGTAGCAGTGGGCGAGGAAGATAATTTGGAGTGTGGGGACATAATGTATAACTCGATGGAACAATTTTTTTTCCAAAATTTCCAGACAATTTTGAAAGTCTATTTTCATGAAATTTTTGTCGCAACAAATACAAAATTTGAAGAGGGATAATGCTGGGTGTATGATTAATGATTAAGCAGTGATATTAAACTAGAAAAACGCAAAATTTTCATGAAAATTTAAGGCAACTTAGGAAAATTAAAATCTAGATAGTTGATTTTTGCAATATGAATTGCATATTTTAGAAGGATAACGCTGGTTTTGACTAAACAGTAATGGAAACTTTAAAGTGCAAAATTTTCAGAAAACTTCAGAAAAATAAAATCTATGTGATTTTTTCAATATGAATTGCATATTTCTAGTCATAAATTTCATCAATTGTCTTGAAATTTGTTTGGCGAGGAAATATTATCGCCGAATTGCCATATAATTTTTTAATTATGGTTTGCGTTGGTCGGTGTTTGTGTTCTTCAGTCCCCCGCGATCGTGGACAAATGCACTACGCGTCCCCACGGAAAAATTTCCGTGGGGACATTGTCCCTCTGTCTCATTGTCCCCCACGATTCCACCCCCATTGGACGGAAGTGACGCAATTAACCCAAACCTTTTTCTCTCCTCAGGCCGTCCGATCTGGCGCCGTCGTCCTAAAGAAACTCCTCGAAACCGTCGGCGACGTGACTGGCGGACTTCTCCACGTCCTCTCCAACTTGGTCGCGTCCCTCGCCGCGGCCAAAACCTCGCTCTCCGGCACGCTCCCGTTCGCCTTCGACATTCTCGGCGACGTGAGCGGCCGTGTGTCGCAAACCGTCGGCACGGCTGTCGACTGGGTGGCGGGAACGAAGGAAATCTTGGCGTCGGGCGTCGTCCAGGCCGCAAAAACGGGCGGAAATCTATTCTCCGGTCTGGTCGAAGGGACCAAGGGCTTCTCCACCGGACTTCTGGAAGGAATCAAGTACGGCGTCAATGACGAAACGCCCCCTCCCTCCGAGCAAGCTTGGCGACGATAGAAAATATTTAAATAAATAATTATGCCAATAATTATGACGATGATGATGCTGAGTTCCTTTCTAATTTTTAATTGTGATTCGTACCCTACAAATTATGAAATTAATTACTAGTATTTTGAAATTATTATGGATATTTTTATAAAAATTGTATTGAAATTGAACAAGAACATTTATTTTTTCCTAAATCAAAAAGTCTGGTTATGCTAAAGTACATATAAATTTAGATAAGTAATCGTTTAAGAATGATAAAGCCATTGTATTTTAGTAGCCATTTAATCGCCACAATGATGATTAATCCTTGTTCATTGCTCATTTTTTAGACCGTGCTAAATATGATTAATTTTAATAATGGATATCTAAATAATTAAATGAGCTTATCATAAAAATGTTTGTGAGCGGACGTGAAAGCGCATGGATTTCTAAAATTTGTGTAGAATTTCCGTAAAATTTTTAGAATTTTTATTAAACAGCCTTCCAATCTGAAATTTCAATCTGTTAAGTAAATAATTAGTTAATGAGCGGCTGATGATAAAGAAATTAACTACGAATAGAGTTTAATTATCTTTTTGATGATGTGTGTGTGTGGTTATCTGGTTGTGAAAATATGTGAACCCGTGTAATGTGATATTTCATAGTTTTTTGTTTCATTTTGAAAAAAATAAAACTAAAACGTGAAAACATAGTTAGGAAAAAATATATAAGTTAAGTTAAGTTTGGTAATTATTAATTGTATTGATTCTATTCGTAAATATTATAGATTTTTTTTGGGTAATGAGAAATAAATGAGAATAAAATTGCATAGAATTGATATGAATTTGTGCTGGTTGTCGGATGCATATTTATTTTTTGAGAGATGTTTAACGGATAAAATTATGATGACATTTTCATAAGTTTGAAATTAATTTGTAAATTGGAGAGATGAAACTTGGGACAAATCAGATAACATTTTTTGATGACAGATAAGCCATCTTTCATAACAAGACACCCATTGAATACGACTTTTGAGCCTCTTATCTAATAAATTTCATTCATTGCGTATGTTTTTGTTCACGTTTCGGTCTGAATAAAATACCATTTATGTGCATACATATTTAGATTTCATAATAAATAAATGAAACCTAAATACATTTCCTAAAATACTAAATATTTCCATTTCATGGCTTATTTCGTGGGTAAAAATCTGCATAAAGAAGGCAAAAATCATGCGAAAACATACGTTTTGTGAAGAAATTAACTTTTTATAGCAGTCAAAATTTATACATTGCTGTCGCAATTTTTTAAAAATAATTACATTATTTTGACCGAGATAAAAAGTTAATTTCTTCAGAAAATATGTCTTTTCGGGTGAATCTGAAATCGCGATTTATTTCCGTCTCATATTTATTGCAGCCAGCCAGCGAGACTACTTTGCATATTATGTATATTAGCGGATTCAGGAATTGCGACTTTGGGAGATGGGCAGAGCAAGAAAACGTTTCCGAACCTCAGCTCTAGCTTGCTTTTGGTTGCTTCATAATATACTTGGATTCGTGATTTTGATGAAATTCGTTATTTCTCTCATCTCTTAAAGTTTGTAAGTTGTTTGTAAATTAGTTCATTTTACAGGGTTATCTCTACTTTTGATGATAAGGTGAATTTGCATTATTTGTTCATTACGCAGGTGGATCGCTGTCAGGACAAGATTGAGGATATAAGTAAGACATTAGATTTCGAAAGGTTTGTTTTAATTCTAACCGTTAATTAATTATTGCATTGTTTCTTATCTATTATTTACTAAACTAAAGAATGGATTCCGTGGATAAAGAAGAAAAAGTTGATCGACCCGAGGAGACAGGTCGTAACAGTGGGACGACCGATTCTCCAGTTCCTCCACAAGGAGATGATGACGGTCTTGTCGAATATGTTCCTGATTTGGGTAAAGATGATAGTAATCAGGTCGATAACCGAGGTATCGCGGTTGGTGGGGATGATAACGACGATAACCTGTCTTCCTACTACACATCTTCCGAGGACTATGTGCCCCAGCACGTTCAGAAACTATATCATACGACAAAAATAGCAAGAACATCGTCTGGTATTTCTGAGAAAGAAAATGTGCCCATTTCTTCATCATCAACTGAGACAGATAAGGAGGAGAAACTACAGGAATCCGATAAAGCCTGGAACCCAATGAAGACTGACTGCGACACGGCACAAAATGTGATTTCTGCCGATATCGACCAAAGTGCGGGGGCATTTTTCATGGGAGTCAAACACCAGGAGAAGTCATTGGCTGAGACGCCATGTCCGTTTTACAAAGGGGAAGGCAAATACTGCTGGAAGGGGATGAGGTGTCGAATGTTGCATAAAGTTGTGGAGGGTAGGTTTGTCAGTTATGCAAATTTAGTTGGTGGAATAAATAATTGTTAAGTTAACTGATGATAAGCATTGTCTCTTTTCCTTTTCGCAGTCTCTGATCTGGGAAAGGAAAGGGTTACCAGTTCTTACACTTTGGATAACAAGCCCCATTTACAACATGGAATGTGGATTGATGTTAAAGTTGTGCACATCGTCTCGCCCTCGGAGTTTTACGTAATTCCTAGAAAGACGGCGGAATGCATTTGTCGAGCTGCATTTCCACCTGCAGCCTCAAAGAGTACACCGCCCGTGAATCCGATGATGAATGATGGGTCGATGAGTAATATTCCAGACACGGGGACCGAAGAGTTTGGTAAATAATATAAATTTAATTATCTCTTAAAGTCTATGATAAAGATGTTATCAATTTCATGAATTTCTTGCTCGTATTCTTAGGCACAGGAGTCGAAGCGTTTGATAAGATTAAGGCCAAACTGAACGAACTTTTGGAACCCAATATGGCATGGCGTCAACGCCAATCTGCCCATTACGCTTTGACGGAACTGGTCGCTGTGAAGCGTACGGAAAATGGAGTGCGAACTTGGCTCCGAGGTGTCGTCCTAGAGGCGAACCTTACTAATGTTGCTGACCGTGAAATTCCATACCATAAAGTTCAACTGATTGATGCCGGTGAAGTTTTGACGCTCCGGGCGGATGAAATGTGCTCCCTTCCAGTGTACGTGAGCTATTATCCTGCTCTGGTGAGTGATAAAATGCGTACAATTTGTACATAATTGGTGGCATGTCTTTATATTAGTGCTAACTTGATAAAATTTATGTTAATTAGGCCTACAAATGCTGTCTTAAGGGGGTTGTACCCGTGGGGAATATCTGGTTGAGAAGAGCATCGGTTGCCTTGCAGAGGATGACGACTGGAACAAATATTAAGATGAACGTCACTAAATCGTAATAATAAAATTAAATGTGATCAATCTAAACTTTTAATGAATATTTGCAATTCATGAAACCTTTCATTTTTACATGGACAGGAATAAATCTGATGCCGTGTGCAAGACACTCGAGGTTGCTCCATATCTAGTTGACCTGTTCGTTCCAAGGCTAAACGTTCCTCAAGATCTGACCATTGAAACGTCCGCCCCCATGGTTTCAGCCGCTGAAGTCCTGACAGGCAACGCCTTGGCACTCGACTTCAACCAATTCCCTAGACGGCCAATTTTGAACCAGTTTTTTGACCAGAAGATGCTGTTTTCTCCCATCAATCCTAACGTGAATGCTGAGCCAACCAAGATGCTCGCTAAAGATTTCCAATTTCTGACAGCGACCGATAAGAACGAAGAAGATGAGAAGGAAAAGAAAAAAGATGCCGATAATTACTCATTATACTCAGCATCAGTTGCGTCCACTTTACCATCCAGTGAACAACAATGATTTTCTAAAATTGTTGAATTTTGATTTAAGTGAATCATTAAATACACTTTGTTAAAATTAATTGCTATTATGTGTTATATTTCCTATGCATTTTTCTAACGTGGTAGTGCATACATTGGAGACATGAAACTTGAGATAAATCAGATAACATTTCCTGCAGGTAAGCCATCTTTCATGACAAGAGATCCATTCAGTTCATACCTGAGTACAACTCTTATCTAACAAATTTCATTCATTACGTGTGTATGTTTTTGTTCACATCTCCGTCTGAATAAAAATACCCTCTATTTATTTACGTCGCATCTATGCATATGCAAATGAGCCATGATTTCATGAAAAGGAAAGACATGCATTTTTATTTATCGATTAAAACTGACATGAGTGAAGTAAATCCCATTCATTTATTAGTCAATTACATATTGCTAACATAATAAATTAGGATTTGCTGCTCGGTCAAAATCATAGAGACCTAAATGTTGGAGAGGCTGCGAAGCCTCTTCTCGATCGGGGACAACTCTTTCGAAATGGTTGCCCGGCGCAGGGTCGCCAAATTCAATGCCGTTAGCCTCGATTTCATCAAGTGTTACGATGACACATTTGTAAATGCAGACGTACTGGGGCTCCGTGTGAACCATTCCAACCTTCGTCATAATTATGCTACATATTTCCAGTAATTCATCATTGTCATTTGCATATCTCACCCTTTGCGCCCGCATTTGACTCACGATGCTGGCAATATTGACGGCTTTCTTCTTCTCGATTTGATTCAATGCAATATCGACCGCAATGAAGGTCCCAGTGCGACCGACGCCTGCGCTCCCGTGGACAATGAGGGGCGCGTTGGATGGGTTTCCCAGAATCGGAGAGGGAGCATACTTCCGAACCTCTCGGACGAAGTGGACAAGCGCTTCGGGTGGGTCGACGGACTCCAAATGGGTCCAAGTTAGAAACTGGTAGTGACGAAGGCGTCTTTCCTGCTCCTGGAAAAAAATATGCAAATTATGGACTAAAGAACTTTCACGATGAAAGATGTTTCATTTTTTCTTTGTAAACTTTGTAGCGGAGTTTCAACTCGGAGATGATCCATTTGTGAGGCGAGCGTCGATACCCGTCCAGAATTTCGGACATGACTTCGACCTCAATTTCACCATACATTTCCGAAATCGAGGTGCTTGGCCAGTAATGCGTGCATTCTTCCCGATCTGGGCGACTGAATTGGAAAGGATTGAAGTCATCCGGGGACGAAGGTCGGTCTACGTAACGGGCCAACATGACGACGCACGTGGCATTCAACTCCCAGCATAGCCGCCAGAAATCGTTGACCGTGTTCTTCAACGGCTGTGTAATTAAGGACAATCATTATCAAACTTTGGGATAAATTTCATGAAAATTTTAATTTATTTGTACCGCTTGGGTAGCAATGTACTCTCGACCACGGAATTCTCCATTGGAGTTGTAGCCCTGCACAAATTTGCATGAATAGTTTTCCCATGAATGAATAATGCATATTGCAAATGTGGGTATGGAAATAATTTTGGCACGGATAATTGTTGCAAAAATGCGAACCGTATTACCGAGATATGATTCGCGTTGATGTAGTCACTGAAATCCACGCCTTCAACGGAGCTGAGAATTACTCGAGTATGGTCGAAAGGCAGAACGTTCACGAACCGGTTTTTCGGACGGTTCGTTCCCCGGTTTCCTGCCGACCGTGCCATCATCTCGCCTCCACGAGTTCTCAGACTCTCAAACTCGATGGACATTTTGTAACTGATAAGTAAAAGAAATGACCGTTTTTTTCGTATTCATGTCCACCGTATTTGTATACCAAATTTATTGCTTGAAATAAAATGAATGTACCATGAATCAGACACGAGGTCCTCGTAGTGGTTTCGGAATTCATGAAAGTTCATACCGCGACTGGCAACAAAATCATGTGTGAAAACACAATCGGAATAATTTCATGATTTAAGAATGTTTAAATAAAATATTTCAAAATTTTAATAACTTACAACATTTTGGCAGTTTTTTTTTATAGTTTTTTGGTGGACTCTGATTCTGCAAGACGTTAATGAATCTAGGGTTTGCCGTTGTGTTATCCTTTTCACTTTCCTCCTGCGACTAAAATGCTTTCCTGGGGACGCCTCGGTTATGCAAATATTTTCATAGGCATTTCTGGACAGTTGTACATAATGCATGCATCTTGTTAGTGGACTTATTATAGTTTAATATATAGTAAACTCAGGTTAGTTTACATTTAGGCATGCATATCAATCGCTCTTCAGTAAAAAGTGGTTGATGGACGAGGTAAGGTATGCAAATCCAATCCACCCATGCAAAAATCTGCCCATATCTCCTCCCATTTCGCATATTATTACATTTCGCATTCCGATGACGTGTGTGCAATAATAATTTTATTTATTATTTTATTAATCAGCCACCAATCGCTTTCTTTCCCATGCTTAAAATTTGTGGACGACTTGGAAGTGAATTTGCTGGACTTGCTCACCGACCCATTTTCATTTCTCGGAATTTATGCTTACATGTTTTTTTAACAAACAACAACGCAAAGGCAAAGTCCAAGTTATGCCCAACCTCGTCGTCCGTTAAGTTTTTCAGACTAATTAAATGCAAATCAAGTCGGACTTATTATTATTTTCAGAAGTATATGAACGAGCGGGAAAATGAGACGGAATTCTCTCCAATATTTCCACTTATATGGAGAATTGCGTCTCATTTTCCCGTCTCGCTAATATATTTCTGAAAGCATTTGCATTCCTGCCTTTAGTCTGAAAAACTAAAGTAACGATGAGCTTGATAAGCACATAACGCTATAAAAATTTGATTCTTATGCATTTATCATGTAAATATTTCTAGAATTAAGGAGTAAATTGGAGAGATGAAAGGACAGACAAATCAAATCATGCGATAACGAATTGTTGCAGCTAATTCTTAGCCAGCATTCGAGACGAGAAATGCGGATGCACGATAAATACGACTTATCAGTCTTGTTGTTACCTGATAAATTCAATTCATTGCGTTCGTTAGGCTCACATTTCCATGATCTGCGTCTCAAACCCATGATAAGATTGTCATCTCTTTTGTATGTACATAAGAATCTACATACATGCTTACATACATTTTGTATCATGGTCATTTATTTTTCTCGTTCGGGAATCCAATCCAACTTCCCGTCAACATTGTCCCTCCGAATGGATGAAAATTGTCTCCATAATAAAAGGACACTAAAGGATAAAAGGGCATCTCACCTTTTTCAACGAGTCAGTCTAATTCTGGACGCTCTCGGACACTTCTCGGGAAAATTGTAAAGAAGAATTTGTTGAAAATCGTTTTCCAAAAGTACGTGAAATTAGTGAAATTACTTGTCCCTCTCAAAAAATTAAAAAGGATAGGTAAGTAATTAAATTATGTTTTTTCATACTCATGTAAATGCACGTAGGATTCATCACCAAAATCGTAAAAATCCACACATTTTTAATCATTTCTTGGCTATGGGAATTTATTTTAAAATTCTGGACGATAAATTTCTCCTCGGTGAGTTGATTGATAGAATGGCGTTTAGTGTTTAAGCCAGTTCCAATTTTTCTGAAGGCTTCTTACATTTGAGATCTTCTCCTACAAAAAGTGTCAAAATCTGGAGTGTATATTTTCTAAAAAATTTACAACTCCCAACTCTAGAAATTTGTCGTCAAGAATTTCAAAATAAATTCCCAAAGCGGCGAAATGATGAAAAATGTGCTGACTTACAATTATTAGTTGTCATGTCTTACCTTAAACTAAAAATGTGTTTTTTTTCTCCAGATCGAGATGACTTTGTCCAGCGAAGTCAGTGTTCTCTATTTGGAGTTGGACCTATACCGACAAACACTGATAGGGTCACGGATAACCTCCTGCAAGTTTTCCGACGAGTTGAATCGTCTCGCCTACGCGTTGCACTGTCTGCATTGGGAGGCGAAGAACCTCGACGAGGCGATTCGCCAGGCCGGATCGCGCAGCGTCGTCTACAACCAGAGCGCCTGGAGCGTCAGTCATCGCGCTTACCTGCTACGTCACGAGATCCGCTTCTCCAAGGCGCAGTTCGGGATTTGGGTAAATTGTAAGTCATCAAAATACTCTTATCGTGATAACCAGAGGGCGGTTATGTATTTAGGTTCCACTTTCTTTATTAATGACAACCGACAGTAAAATTTTGTTGGTGTATTACTGATCTCGTACAGATCGGAAAAATTTCAAAATATTTCTGGGTTTTCTTAGACATAATTTAAAACATTTCTGCTATTGTTTAAAAAATACGTAAATATTTTAGCTATTTTTTTCAAAAATACATAAATTTTATAAATACTTCAATGACACGAGACGAATTTTTTTGTTCAAAGAAATCGATTACAAAAAAAACAAATAATACAAATTCTGCGAAACTTGTTACATATTTCGTAAATATTTTTGTTTTTGTAAATACACATCCGCTCCCTGATGATAACTGTGTCCATAAATTTCACTCATTTAACTAATCGTTTCTTTATTTTTTGATTGCTGCAGTGATTAAAAATCCGCCCACGAAGTCCACGATTTTCTCGTCCCCGTCCCACAGCGAGTCGTCTGAAGGTCAAGGCCCGAGTCGCTCGGTTTACTGGTGGAGTCCTCAGCGAAAGCAGGCGTCGCAGGAGAAAGTGGCTTACAAATAGTTCATTATTTAACTTTGTACTTAGGAAAACGGGCCAAGTTTTGAAAAATTATTGATAAAATGTGCATAAAATTAGGATTTCCAGCCTCATATGCATTTCATGTTTCAAAGTGCTTAGAATTATGTGCATATTTCTGAAAAAGTTTCCATTAAAAAAAATCATGTTTAAACAAATTCAATTCATTGTTTATCATGAAAGAATTTGACTTTATTATTAAAAGTATTGTGGTTGTTCATGATATATAAATTAAGACTGCATGACTAATTACTATTTACATTGCATACATTTTGAGGTGGGGGTAAATAATCTTGAAGACCTTATCGAGATCCTTGAAAGAGGTCACTCCTATAAATAATTGTAGTGCCAACTGAAAAAGATCTCAAATCTCTCTCCCTCCAAAATAAATGTAGGTAAATGTGATAATTAATTACCCTGTATTATCCCGCTCCCAGTCCGGCATACCATTACATTAGCTTTCGGACATGGTAAGACCATGGCCACACCCGTGAACGCATCAGGTTCGTACCTGTCAGCGAATGAAATGATAAACGTACTTATTAATCAAGTAGATGGGTTATTTATTAATGAGTATGTTATCATTTGTTCGAATAGGTTTCTCACGTCATTTGTGGGGTGAGCATTCGATCCTTGGAGAGGCTCCTCAACCTAATCTTGAAGCCCACACTGAAGGCAGCAGAGATGTTTTTAATCAACATTCCAAATGGTCTCACATTGAATCCCACCGACCGAACCATCGCTGTGAACTTTGTCACTGCAATCTTGCAAGCCTCCACCGATTTAGCACCGGAGATGATCATATTCCCGCCAGGGAAAATCATTGCCGTGGCGATTGGATCTTTGAGACGCATGACCAAGGGTGCGAATGACTCGGGATTATAGCGCAAGTCCGAACATGCATCAGCGACAGCTTTCAGATCCAAATCTGCTCCCAAGTTCACCGACGCCGCCACAGATCTGCAAGCAACAGTAATAAGAGCAGAATTAAAACCATCAGTTAACTTTTTATTGCCATTCATGATGTAATAATTATAATACTAAGAATAATGTTAACTGGAATTGCAAAAGCTTACAAAACGGTTGGTTCCAACCCTTCCGGCGGCTCAATTGGACTCTGCTTCCACGGAGCATTCTTCAACTTGTGCGGCTCGGGAATGATGAAGTTGTACTGCGAATCAAGTTCATACTTGGGATAAACAGTGCCCTTCCCATTTCCGAGAATGCCGTCGGCTTCAAAGTTGGACTGGCTGACTTCAAAAGCAGGCCGTTGTCGTGGCAGATTGCATGGCACGAAACTTGGTGGATCTCCTTCTCCTCCAGTTCCAATTCGTCGAGCCGCCCGAAGTGGCAATTTCCGAGCTGTCTCAGTCGCCACCAAACTTGGTGGATCTCCTCCAGTTCCAATTCGTCGAGCCGCCCGAAGTGGCAATTTCCGAGCTGTCTCAGTCGCCACCAAACTTGGTGGATCTCCTCCAGTTCCAATTCGTCGAGCCGCCCGAAGTGGCAATTTCCGAGCTGTCTCAGTCGCCACCAAACTTGGTGGATCTCCTCCAGTTCCAATTCGTCGAGCCGCCCGAAGTGGCAATTTCCGAGCTGTCTCAGTCGCCACCAAACTTGGTTTTCTTGCCGACTTTCGTTTGCCCTTGAGGTCTCTCCAGCGAAAAATTTAACAGAATTTAAGCACGATGAAATTCCGCGTGAACATTCGTCCTGAGTACTAGGCTTTAGTTTGCATAATAATAAGTGGCATGCATGCAAATTATTGATCAATGTATTTGATAACTTTTAGATTGATAAGTTATTATCAGTCGGCGCTCCACACTTTTTAATTGGCGGAAGAAGGTATGAATTCTATTTGAGTAAATTAAGTATAAATTCTAAACTTCAAAAAATAATGTGTACGAATTGACTTTACACAGGGTTTGGATAAGAACAACAAATAAGGTCTGGATTCTATTTGAGGAAATCATACACAAATTTCGTCGTAAATTTGAACAAAGGAAACAGCTGGACAGTATGAACGCCACGCCGATATGCTGCGATAAGATAAGGCTGCGCTTGTCTCCTTTTACTCGACTGCTTCATTCCTTCGTTAGTCTTGCCTTGTTTGCTGCTCCGTCACGACGACAGGTCTTCTTAAAACAAGTCACTTAAAGTTAATAAGTTTTCAGGCTGAGATTTTTAAAAGTTATTAATTGTTCAGGAATAACTACAATTTTAAAACTTCCAATAATGGAAGAATCATCAAACGAAGTCATTGAGAATTGTCCCTACGATGGCTGTCCTGTTAGACAAATAAGTTCCGAGTTGAAGGTTCACAAGCAGACTTGCGGTTATCGGTAAGACTCATTAATTAGATAAGGTTAAGGTTGTAATTACAAATGTATCATTCCTTGTGCAGGATCAGACTCGACTGCCATGTCGAATGTGGAGTGGAAGATGTTCCAATGTGCGAATATCTTCTCCACTTGACGACGGTCCACAAGGTCCCCGTGTTTGAGGAGCGAAAAGCCACGGTTTTTGTGCAAAAGACAGGCCCGACATATTTCAAGGATGAAAATACTCGTGAGTTTGGCATGAATTGTTGTAATTATATTTATCTCCAAATTAATGCAATCGTGTTCTTATGTATTATAACGAATTTTACTATTATTTTGCCCACAGTGAAATATCAACCGCTTGGAATTTTCAAATTGGACTCGACCCAATTTCTGGTCATGGCCGCTGAGGCAGATTCACACTACTGGCTGTATTCCATCATTCTTATCGACGACACTCCCACCGCCGATGCCGCCGCCGCCGCCAGTGGCGACGACGACAAGAAGGAAGGAGGAGGAGGTCGAACTCCGTACTTTTGCAGCTATCTGCTCGCTCCACCTCCAACGATGGTCTTGGACACGTCCGAATACAACATACTCAGAAACCCGAAATCCAATAAATTCCATGAAATGATGCAAAATCGGGTTCCTTCACAATTCGGGAGGGACAGAGTGCTCTCACTCAAAGACTCGTTCGACCCCGAGTTTAACATGGACTTCTTATTCCAAATAGAAAAGCTTGCGACGGGACAGTTCTTCCTCGTCGGCAAGGAGAAATTTGAGCTCAAAGTGGAGATTCTTCATGTAAATGCATATTTATACTCAAATGTGGATTTAATATTCTAGAGTGTTTAACAATTTTACTCAATAATTCACAGGAAAAGGAAGTATTCGCTAAACTTAATCGATTCGGGGTCGGTCGAGCAACCAAACAAGAATGTTTCCCAGTATTATGCGATGACGTGAACGAGCAAAGTCGTTTGGTAACCAATACTTCTGATTATTTTTCATGGAAATACTTAATTCCACTAATTTTGTGGGTAATACTAACCACGTAAATTTGATAATTAGCTAATTGAAGCGAGGGACGAGATCAGACAGCACCAAGTCGACGTTCGGGCCATTTTCGAGTCCGAGCAGCCCAGCCCTCACGATCTGAAGCGTCAATGCCACTTGAGGGCGAGTTTGGGCGATGTGGCCGATGATGAAGTGGTCGATCACGCTGCTCTCATGGCCAAGTTCCAGGGGAGCATGTTTAGCTGAACTTATCATTTTTTAGACAACCCTGTTGCTAATTTTTATAGGTAATTATGTACGTCGCAGTCACTCACAGTCATTCTGTTTGCAGTTATCAATCAATTATTAAGTCGACTTCTAATTCTATTGTGATCAGATTTCAGGAATAAAGCTAAATTCATGGATTATTAATAAAGTTTAAAGTCATCAATGTTCTGGTTCTTCTTGCATATCATTATTTTGAGACATCGCATCACCACAAAAAACACCCTTAACCGCTCTAAATTCACTCCATATCTATCTATAATTACTGCGACGATATAAGCACTTCAGTTTGTTCTCTCTCAGTAATTGTCTTTTGATAATTTTCGAGATAATGCAGCAACTATTTATGATTAGTTGAATTTGATAAGATCGTTTTTACCATACTTATCAAAGAAAAACAGACTTACAATGGAACCTTTTTTCAAGCTACACGAGATAAGCTTAGTGACTTATGCTAAAAAATCAAGCTAAAAATTAGAAATGACGTGGTACTTATCATTCCGTTGAATGGGCACTTGGAGGTCAAATATTTGAGGGCAAAGTTCACAGTAGCGGCCTGTTTTTTTCTAAAGCGGGCGAGCGGAAGAGTGAAAATTTTCTCCTTCGAGGTCACTCCGCTCCGTTCTCGTACGCTCGCACATCATTCAATGCATATTATTTTTGACAAAATTTCACAATCTCGTAAATTGGTGTATACATTCGTATAATTTTATATTTGGTTTTTAAAATCCTACTATTCACCGATCCGTAATAAAAAAGTCACGATGGGTTCAATAAATTATAAGTTCGTATAATTAATGAATGTATTAATTAATTAGAAATCACAATCCTTAAAGTTGACTTATTTTTATTGCCACATTTCGTTGTATATTTTTGGAATGCATATTCATTAATCGATATGCACTTATAATTTATTGAACCCATCGTCACTTTTTTTTATTACGGATCGGTGGATAGTAGGATTTTAAAGCAAATATAAAATTAAATGAATGTATGCACCAATTTACGAGATTGTCAAATTTTGTCAAAAATAATATGCATTGAATGATGTGCGAGCGTACGAGAACGGAGCGGAGTGACCTCGAAGGAGAAAATTTTCACTCATCCCCTCGCCCGCTTGAGAAAAAAAACAGGCCGCTACTGTGAACTTTGCCCTCAAATATTTGACCTCCAAGTGCCCATTCAACGGAAAGATAAGTGCCACGTCAATTCTAATTTTTACCTTGATTTTTTAGCATAAGTCACTAAGCTTATCTCGTGTAGCTTGAAAAGAGGTTCCATTGTTAGTAAATTAATCGTGCTACTATTTTTTACTATTCGAAGAAGAAAATATATATATAAAAATGCATTAATGGGTATTGAGAGTCTCAAGTTGGGAGAATACTCTTCTCCCAACTTGAGATTCAGACAGAAATGCAAGAGGAGGCAAGTCGAGAAATCTCAACTTGCCTCTCATAACCAGATTCTGTTGAGGCCATAGCATGACAAAAATACACTGTAAATTCTGCATAGAGGTTTCTTGCCTCTTATCGGGGAGTATTACGACATGTACAAATTATAATATGCATAAAAATGAAGGAAATTTGTGTCCTCAAAATATCAAAATTTATACTTTTAGTCTTTACTTTTTAGTACAAATGCAAATTTTCAGTTTTACTGTGATATGGAAATCAGGGAATTTTAATGAAATAATTACTAAAGCATTATCTTTTCAGAGTGATTATATTTCTTCAGAATTCTGAAGGGTTGCTTATCTCCTTATTAGTCATGACCAAAAATATTTCCATTCTTATTTTTACGTCTCATTTTTATCATCAAACTTGCATATTAACTTTTATCACCCCACGTCAAAATGAGCTATTATTCCGTTAGATAAGTAAACCACAAACTTTGCTTATCAACTTAGCTCTTCACGTGACCTCTTTATCATTCAAAGTAGTGACCTTCCTTTGACCTTTTGACCAAATTGTGATCACTTCCGCCCCTTGACAAAAAAATACAGTCTCTCCTTTGGCGAGTAAGCTGTCGCGCCAGAGACGAACAGACAGTTCGGAAAACAGGTAGAAATAGATATAAAAATAGCAATTTTCTAAAAAAGGGTTACTCGTCCCTTTCTAAGGGACGGGTTGCAAACAAACATTTCTTCACTACGCGTGTCCTTCTGGCTACATAAAGTTCAGTTCAAAGGTTCATTGTCTGTCTGTTTACACAGCTGCTGATTGGATATTTATTGTAAGTTGTACAATACAATACAACAATTAATACTTTGTTAATTTCCTGACTATTGAAATTGTTTGGGGAAAGTAGGTCTTCAATTTGTAGTTGGTGGCGAGGAAATCCTTACATTTCATATTTAAATACTAGGTAAAATTATTAATAATTAGCTAAATAACGTAAATCAAAATGGTAAAGATGTTTTTTTGGTAATGTTCTTAATTTCAGGCCAGAATGGGTCGAATATTCCTCGAGCACCCAGGTGGAAATCGATTATTTTCCTGTGCTTCGTGCGACACCGTCCTCACCAATCGTTCCGAACTGTTCAGCACTCGTTTCACGGGGGCCACTGGGCGCGCCTTCTTGTTCAGCAAAGTGGTCAACTTGACCTACAGGTGGTTCGTTTGTAATTAATTTTTTTTACCTGTACGAGACCTTAGCTAATGATGATTATTAATCTTTCCGTATTTTCAGTGAGGTTCAGGATCGCGTTATGCTCACGGGTCGTCATATGGTGAGGGATGTATCGTGTAAAAATTGCGATACGAAGTTGGGCTGGATTTATGAATTTGCGACGGAAGGTGAGTATCAGTTAGATAAGGATCTTATCGAGTTGTGAGGAATATATACTGATTAGATTGTGTTTTTTTAGAAACGCAACGCTACAAGGAAGGAAAAGTAATTTTGGAGAGGGCATTGGTCACGGAGAGTGACGGGATTGAGGAACGTGACCCCCCCGTTCCAGCCCCTGCTGCTGCCGCGCAACAGCAACAATGAACACTATCCTTAGTGTCAGCGCAGCATACATATATTGATAAGTAACTACGTTGGTTCGAATTTGGTACATATTTTGTAAAACTTGTTGAGCAGACTGTGCCCAAGTTTACGAACGACACGATGAATTGTACCAATATCCATATTGATCACATTTACCAATTAATTAATTTACATGTTATGTTTACAATGATTCCTTGTTATGCTTTAACGACAAAAATATATCGTTTCATCGAAATACGATACGGTAAACGACTTTATTTTCCAAATACTCGCTGTACATATTGATTAGAAAGTTGCAAATAAAGGTGTTCGTTTTATAACCTTATCTTAAATGCGTAGATTTTTTATTCTTTTTATGAAGTGGCTGAGAAAATTTAGATTCATATCGATCATCATCATGCACGTTTGGCTCATAATTTAGGAATTTCTCTCATTTATTGAATATTTTATGTAAATTCTAGTCATCATCTTCGTCGTCATTGCCATCATCACTATTGTTATCATTCCCATCGGAACATTTCCCATTGCCGCAGAGACTGTCCCATTTCTTATCGTCAACGCTGAGGTTGGACGTGATCTCCTTAAATTTGGAAAGGGTACAGGGATGGTCACAATTTGAGAGGAGAACTTCCTCAGCGACACCGTTGGGGTCGGTTCGATACAGGATCTGGGTGAAAGTATTGAATAAATTAGACTACACAGGGTACATTAATTAATGCGTCTGTCTCCTCACCTTGACCCAGTTGATGTCAACGCCCTCCTCGTCCTCATCGTGGTGTAGTTCGAAGATCAGGGCTGCGTCGTAGGGGGGTGGTTGCGTGGTGTTGTAGCCGCTCAGAGATTCCAAGAGGCCGGAAATTGTGGTGTCGTGGGTCGCGTAAATGTACAGGTTCGCCCTTCTCAACGATGCCAATTCCTCCGCGGTCATTTCACTCAATCCAAAATCATCAAATCCAAGCATGGTTTCCAAATCGAGGATAATCTGGTGTAGAATTGGACCCACATAGAGGCGCTGGAGTTCTTCGGTGGACACGAATTGGAGATAATTTGCCTGTTCGAGAGCCTGGATCTGTTTGGCTAAGGGAGGAAACCAGGCAGGGAATGGGAGACCGTACTGACAATGCTGGAAGATGAACATTGCAAAAATTGCATACTTATCTTTACCAAAGTCTCCAACTTTTTTGCTACTTACCTGAATTGATAACGTGTCCATTATGTTGTGCACATCTTTATAACTTTGAACATCATTTCCCGTCAAGTCGGACAAGTTACGGAGTAATTTAATCGTATTTCTATCCTGTGTTGCACCCAGTTTGGCGAGATGTTCGGAAAACAGGGCATCGTATTTGGGACATGGTCGCGTGTTCTTCAATTTCTGGGAAAAAGAAAAGTGATAATTTCTTTTATGGATAAAAGTGAGACTCATTTTTAAGTAGTCTTACATTGTCCAACTGCGGGTCCATCGTGAAACAAGGGATCGGTTGCCACCGGACTTTAGGGAAGTCGACATGACCTCCAGGGTCTCGTCGGAGTGGGGGAAACAGTCCAGCGAGCAGAGACGCGGCTGACATTGCGGTTCTGTCCGTTTGGGAGGAACGACAGTAAACTTGCGACATGGAATAGCGGGTGGAGAGGAAGGATCCGTACCGACAGCGGAGATACTGCCCGAGACGGTAACTCCAGTGTTTGCCAGGCTGGGAAAAAAATATTTGCTAAATTGTTGGCGAAATCATACGAAAAATGGAACAAAATTGTATCTAAATCCCACCCCCGTGAGCTGTCCAAGACCTTCAATCCCATAATCGAAATCTTGAAATGGATCGAAAACATATTTGTACATTGGCGTTCGTGCCCCGTGACGGAAAAGCTGGAACAATGAATTCAAGACGTGACTATTATTGTATTTCATGAATCATGACTATTTTCTGTATGATCTTTATTTATTTACCACTGCCGATGCTACCAGTGTGTCCAAATTATCCGACTCCAACTCACACCACGCCCCCGTCGGCGTTTTGTCCCAGATGGGTCGAAAATTGCAGATGGAATCGGTCAGTGAGATGGGGGCAGGAGGAGAGCTTGATGTCCCAGACGTGACGGTGGGATCGTCTTTGTCCTCGTCCTCGATAAGAATAGGGGATGGTGGGGGCGGCGGTGGTGCAGAGGTCGTACTCACCTTCACTTTACCACGCCCCCCTTTTCTAGCTGGAGTTCCATTCACGAGCGATGATGAAACCAACAGCACCAGAACCACACCCGTCACCATTTTTACACGCCACGCCATGGCAAACCAAATTTAAAACTGCAATGAAAGTGAAAATTATTGCATGCAAAATTCAACCATTCAGCTAACCAGCTCAAGAATAATGAATGATCCAATTTGATTCCAACGGTATAAACTGTAAACACTAAAAAAAATACCCTGCATCATGAAATCGTTGCAATTTTGATATGTCTACGAATTCATGATTCATCAGAATTCATGGCTGTAAAATTTGAGAACATACGATTAGGAATGTGACACGATCGTCACTACATATTTAACAACTTTGAACTTTTACACGACTTTTAATGACACGACATAATTCTTGGTGAAGCATGTGACTATAGTCAAAACAGAATCTGGTTCAACCCAGAAAGAAAGATTGGTCAAGATGGATAAGTCAAAACAGGAAATTTTTGTAGAAAAAAAACTTTTTTGTTTTCGTTCACGTGATAAAATATATACGTTGTCAATTTATTGTCAATCGACTGCAGTTCATGTATATGGCGTAATTTTGGAATATATAAATTCTAAGATTTGGAAATTGTAATAATAAGTATGTAAACTTGTTCGGACGTTGACTAGACTTATTTTTAATTATGTTTTTCTTCCGTTACGTTACGTTTTACGCTGCTGACTACGGAAATGTTGATGGTATTGGTCCTCGTCGTTGTGATTATCAATTTGATGCTGACTACTGCGTTTCATTCTTTCCTGTTGCATCTGTCTCCCCTCTCGCCCCTTTTGTAGCTTTTCCCAAGCATACTTGACTGAACGGACGATCCCGGCGGAGAGCAAACCTTGAACAGTTTGTAGAATGGATGATCCCCAAACCACGTCGGTGATTGAGTTTCGAATAAAATTGCGAAGGGTGGGCATGTAGCTTAATTCAGCCATGACTTCTTCAATGTCACAGAGACGAGGGTCACGGAATAGCTGACGGCAAAGGTTTATCTGCGCAATTTTTATTATGATGAGATGTATATCCACAACAAAGGAATAGGAATGCACTCACTTGAACTTGGATAGGAAGTGCCATCAAGTGTTTGAACCGTTCTTGTGGTGTGGTATTTTGAACGATGAGACCATCCGCGTTTACCTGTGAATAATGAGCATGCATTAAATCAACTAGTTTCATAAACAGTATTTTTTTCTGTTAAGACAAAGGACTACTTACGAACATAAAGCTACATATATAAGACTATTACCTCCACCATGGGCTTGAGCCCGTGAATTAATGGGGCATACACGGCTTCAAATTCACCCATCATGGGGATCACAATATTCCTCGCTTTATCCGGATTTTCGCCCAATTTCATTCTCGAGTCGCCTAAATAAATCACAAACAATTAGTAAAAAGAATACTTAATCAGATCAATATTAATTTCTTGCTTCTTTCAATCTCACCCAAATAAGACAACTCTGTAATTCCGTGAAACAGAGTATATTTCGACAAATATCTCCCCTCCTGAAGAAGAACAGTTCTCAAGGCGGACTCTCGATTAAAATTTAACGCTCTCATCAAACTTGCTGAGGATGGGGGTTGTAATTCCAAAACGGGTTTATGCAATCGTCCCGCAATATAGATTTGGTTCCATTTGGTCAAATCTCTTTCCAGAGCAGATGTGCTTATCACGCCGTACTTTATGAGCTGTCAAGAACATTGTAATTTAATTATGACAACTTTACAGCACATGGATATTTATTTAGTTATACCTGTCCGTCCAATGTAACGAACGGATTGTAATACACCCCAGAAGCCATTGATTCTTGAACCTTTGCAATTAATCTGGGGCCAAAATATCTCAGGGCAGAGTAGTGACTGGAATTGAGTGCCATGTTCTCTTCATGCCATTCAACTGGTGAATCCACAACAAAAATGAGGTCCAACATCTACTCGTAATTAAACAATTTTAGAACCAGATCGATTCAAGATAAGCAATTAACTGGTAATCAGTAAATTATTCACCTTTCCTCCTTGTTTCTGTCCCTGTTGCGCAAATACGGCGGATCCGTAAGCAAATGCATAATTACACTTTTTTGGAAAATGTGATAAAAGATTGTGAAGAGTGGATTCCCGAACGAGATGAACTGCTGATTTTGCTGCTATTTTAGCAACAGCAGGAAGTGCCATTACCAAAAATTTGGATCAAGTCATAAAAATAATTAAAAATTTAGTGATTTTTACTTTACTACGAATTTACAATTTTGGATCTTTCCTAGAACAGAATTTCATGACAAGATTTTTTGAACTCGTTCCCGGGCTCAAATTGTACCATTTTGCCCCAAATGTCAACCGTCACTTTGCATGAAAGCTTATAATAAAAACTTTTCATTCTATGAAATCCACAAGTTTCAAGTTTCTTGGAAATTTATGAATGCAAAAAAATGGAAGTAGTCAAATTTTCTAAAGACAACTGAACTGTCTAAATCTTGTGGACTTTATTTATATTTATATAATCATAAACTTTTATCCGCTCATGAGTAACAATACTAAAGAATAATAATAATAATAATAATAGTGACAATTATAATTGTAATAATAGCATACAAGAGTAGTCCCAGTAGTAGAGTAGTTAGTCCGTTAGTTGTTGTAGTAGTTAGTTTTAATACATAGAGTGGTTAGTTTCAGTTTAGTAGTGGCAATAACAGGGGTAGATTTACATAGATAGATATAATAGATTTAAGGTTTTTTTAAGGTAGATAAAGTACAGAGTAATAACAGCAGCAGAGTTTTCTTTTCTCTCCTCCTCGTGTTGTTTGTTAGTAATTGTTCCTTATTTAATATTGTTGTTCCTTAATAATTATTATTATAGAACGTTCTTCTCTTTTCTTCTGGTATGGTACTTATTTTATGGTATATAGGTCACGGCGAAAAAGTTTGAAAGTTGTTTTTTACCTAATTTTATAATTCATAATAATCTGATAAGTTGTCTAAAAGGAAGAGTTGTATAATAATATAATAATAACAATAATAATCTGAATTTCTCTCTTTCAAAAAATGCCTGGAACAACAACGTAACATTTATCTAAATACGTAATAATAACACCCACACAGCAACCGTTACAATTAATAATTAATGAATTTGTGGGGTTTGGCTGGTTGGTAGTTGGTTTGCTGGTAGTGATTTATACGGCGAGTGATGGAGGAGGATGATGATTAATTTAATAATAATGATGACAATAATAATAATAATAATAATAATTAATTCATGACGAATGGATTGGATGATGACTTACAAAATACAACACTTGGTACGTTTCTTCTTCTTTACCTGAAATTGAAGATTGCAATTAGACGAGAGCTTATCATAACTTTAAATAAATAAATTAAACAATAACTTGTCATACTTGTAATGCAGCTCGAGTCGCGGTTTCGAAAACTTCTCGGACTCCTTCCTTACTTTTGGCGGAGCACTCAAGATAAGCGAAAGCATTGATTTTCTCCGCCATTGCGCGACCCTCTTCCGGCTTGACCGGCTCTTGCTTCATTTTTGCTAATTCTCTCATGGTGGCTGGATCGTTGCGCAAATCCTTCTTGTTTCCGACAAGAATGATGGGAACATTGGGACAAAAGTGCTTCACCTAAAGTGACAAACCAGTGATATTAGTGACTTCATTCATCATTAGTTGACCTTTTCTCTTCAACAACTCACCTCAGGATTCCATTTCTCCGGAATGTTTTCCAGAGAGTCTGGCGAGTCAATGGAGAAGCACATGAGAATGACGTCCGTATCTGGATACGATAAGGGTCGCAGGCGGTCATAATCCTCCTGTCCAGCGGTATCCCACAATGCGAGTTCGACCTATTCGAAAATAAAGGTCACGCAGGTCAAGAGTAAGTATTTGTGATCATTTTAAGCCCCCATTGAACCAAATCGGTCCACTGGTTGTGTCACGACGGAGAGAGATGTATACCCACAAAATTACACTAAACCCACTAATTTACACAAAATCAAGATAACCTTCTAAAACCCCCCACCAAATATCCCCCTCTCATCTCATCTTATCATCTCCCCCGCCCACACAAATCACAAATCTCCCTCATAAAACTAAATCACTCACCTGTTTCCCATCGACTTCAATATCGGCGACATAATTCTCAAAAACCGTGGGTACATACACCTCTGGAAATTGATCTTTGCTAAACACGATGAGAAGACAAGTTTTACCACAAGCTCCGTCACCAACTATCACCAACTTTTTACGGATGGCGGCCATCGTCCTATCTGAACAATTCTTCTTCTGCCGAGACAAAGAACAAGATAATAATAAGGAAACGATTGAAATAGTGTATTTATGAATAACTGAATTAGTGAAAAGTTAGTTACCTTTTTCTTCTATTAGTTTTTCTATTAGTGGTCGGCGGCGGATGAGTGGTTGGTTTGGAGGAATTGAGGAGTGAGCGAGTCAGTCGTCGTTTCGTGAGTCAGTTATTTTGTTCAGCCAGCAAAAGAGATCTGCTAACCACCATCATCATCATCATCATCGTTTCTCTGCTGGTTTTCTGCTGGTGCCGGGGCGGAGAGCCACACACGCTGCACGTCACTGCGAAAAAGAGATAAGATAAGGTCAAGGTGGGAAGGGCGTTTTAACGAGGGGGTGAGGGGGAGGGGGAGTTTTTCGAAATTTTGGGGAATTTTGGGTAGGAGTTTTGAAAAGAGGAAAAAAGTTTGTGAGGGACGAGAGGATAGGGAATATACGTTGGAGGGAGCGGCTCACAAGAGAAGAGAGACAAGAAGACGAGAGAAGAGTTTAGGTTAGTGGACTCAGAATGTTGTGGTGAGAAGTGGAAAGGGTCGTTCATAAAGGTGGGGAGAAATATGATGATTAATTGATTTTAATTGTGAAGAGAGGAGGTTCTGAGGAAAATTGAATGGTTTTTAGGTATGATTTGGTATTAGTTTAAGGTAGAATTTGTGGAATTGATGGAAAGAATAGAGGTTTATTCTTGAATTTAGGGGGCTTGGTTTTGGTTTATCATGAAAAAAGAGAAGAGCACTGGAATTGGGAAAATTGAGATATTATGCTAATTAGTAATTAACTACGTGTTAAATTTTCTAATTCTCCTGTTGAAAATGTGGATAAATTTTATATGTCAGGGTGAAGAAAAGGGTCAAAATTTTTCACTTTTCTGCAAATTTATTCCCATTTTTACATACTTTTCTTCCAAATTCATACACCTTTTTTCCCAATATGTCTGAACGAACCGTAAGGTTCATACAAGTACACGTTTACTTTCATCCAAAAAGTCTCGAATCCTTCGGTTATTACAAAAATATGATATGAGGAGAAGAGGAGCCATCTCTCGGAGGTATGAAATCCTCCCTTTTCTCGCTTATCTACTTCCGCCGATAAGTGACACGATGCAAGATAAGGTAGCTCTCCACGCAACCAAACCAGCCCCCTTTTTCCCATACGAATCAAACTATCCAGCAGAATGACCAGTGGCAGGCAAGCATCTCACCAAAATATTAGTGAAAGGAGGCCTCTGTCTCATTTTTCTCTGGACCGAAGAACTTGCGTAATCCGTTGTACTTCCACTTCACGAGAATTCATTTACGTCATGCATCCAAAAAAAAATAAGTTTCCGAAATTTTGTCGGAAAATTTTCTTAGGAAATTTCCCAAAACGTTTTATTTAACAATGTTATAAAAAACAGATGATGCTGATGAAATCTCTTGATTCGAGAAGAAAGGAGACCTCACTCTTGGAGGAAGGGGGAGGGTGTCAATTTAGCCAGAATTTAAGTAACTTAACGAACATTGCACAAGAAACTCGAGCTGATTGACCAGTGGCCGCGGAAGCTGTGGGGACATTAACATTGTAGGGACGAGTTTGTATAAGGCAGATGATGCCGACATCGAACAACCGTTGGGACATTGTCCCCTCAAGCTTCCGCGGCCACTGTGTGATTGACCATACTATTTACATTTAGCCATTATACAACGTCCTCCAGTCCTGGTAATAAATTTGCTCCTTTTTTAATATAGTAGTAAAGTAACTTGGTAAGTAAGTACTGGTGAAAATTGTTGTGAGTGATGTGATGATGGAATTAACGGTGATCTCACTCATACTGCATACATATTTAGCTTGAGAGAGATGAGAATGATGAGATGAGACGACCAACTAACAACATTATTCTCGTTTTCATTTCATCATCATCATCAACATTGAAATGAGAGACGACCAGTTTATTTAAGTATGTATCTTTTCTGTGATGAACTGAACTGCTGGACATTACATCATTACTTGAGCCAATGTTGCATTGCAGTTTCTTTGAGTTCATAATTAAAGTTAAGTACTTGGTAATGTAATGTTGTGAAGAAATGGTGTAGAAAAGTATGAGTCACATAAGAGCCGAGGTGCAAGTTGACACCAGTCAGTGGTGTCAAGTTAGTTAATGAAGGAAAAGTAATACGATCTCAAAATAGGGATGATTTTATTTTATTATTTTACTTCCCACAGAGGTTATGTGATGAAGATTTCATGCAAAGTTGTCATTATTTTTATGCAATGCAGACAGAGTAGATCGATTGGTCAAGTTATGTATATGCATATGCAACGCCGTCTCAATTTCCCAGAGATGGTTTTATAGTACTACCTGAAAACTGGGTGACGATAACAATTAGCTTATCCAAACAATGATAACGACTATTATATGCAAATCTTTATAGATCCAGAATTTCTTCTAGCTACTACTTTGTTGTTTTAAATACAATTTTTGTACTGTATTTAGTCATTTAACTTATCTTGGCTAATCACGGGTTACAAAATTGAACTTTTATGACCATATTTACAATTCACATTTCCAGGAAATCAAACATTTTTACCGTTTCCATATTTATTCACACGTATTCTTTGAATCCGTACAAGTGCACACGTCAGAAGAACATGTGTACATATGAATGCTTAATCAATTTTAAAAGTCAAGAATTCCAAGTATTATTATTATATTTTTCGCAACAAATGGTGGAATAATGAAAATGATAAGTTCGCAAAAAGGTGGGATGACATTAAATTTGCACAGGGATTTGCAAAGCGATGCACGTACGTATGCAAAAAAAAATAACAAGTGAATATTTAGCATAGATCACGAGATAAGGATGAATCTGCATTTCGATGGTACGGATAATAATAAAAGGGAAACTCGTACCCAATCTGGATAACATTTTGGTGTAGACTTTTACAGGCTGAATATTACATAATTTTTGCATAATGGCTCATAGAATCGTGACCGTCTTTCTTCTCGGACTTGTTGCAGATGCCAGGTATGTATGTACATATGCAAATCTTAATTCGTGTGCAGTTTGACGCGTAAAAAAATTCATAGAATTTCTTGACAATTAATTATTAACCAACAGCGCCATGACTCACGCTCAAGCCATGACAAGATTGACTGCTGCTGGTACTCGTTCAAATTTTGAGACTTATTTTCAATTCGAATCTGAATTTTGATTTTTTCTTTCTAGGAATGTCGGTCACCTCGTCGGGCGGTTGCAGTGATCGTAACAACCCAACGTGCACATCTTTCGAAGGCGTCCGAGAGAATACCATTGCTGGGTTGGAAACGCTCAAGAGAGCGTCGGCGTGTCCCATAAATGTCACCGGAGGGACAGAGGTGGGTTGATAAGTGTTTGTACAGATAACCACTTGCAAGAAATAACGGGAAGAAGAAAGTGGTTTCTTGCAAGTAAATATTTCGACCTACAAAAAATGCAAGGCACAAGAGACCGCTGTAAATACTTCATACGCAGCGTGGCTTAATGGCGCATATATTTCTTGCACCCCGCATTTTTGACGTGACTTGCTTTCCAGTGCAAAAAATGTAGCGAAACGAAACACTGAATTATAATCAATACCCCCTCGTTTATAATTTGCAGACGGGTCATGCCTCCGGAACTTATTCCCACTGGAACGGATACAAGGCGGACATTTCTCTCAACGCCTGCATCAACAGCTATGTGACAAACAGCTTCACCTACATTGGCGACCGAGGCGACGGTGCCCCCATGTACCAGAGTGCGGCTGGCAACATTTACGCCAAAGAGGGCAACCACTGGGACATTTTGTACTATTGAACAAATCAATCTGACAGATCACAGATTATTTAATCAATTACATGAATGTCCTTCAGAAACCAATTGACATATTTTTTCGCCAGCTCGCGACTGTGATAAGTATATAACACTAAATTTATTAATATCCATTACCAAAATAACTTCATTGAATATGATACTTGAAATTGTTGGATTATTTTCATTGGAAAAATTAAACCCCAAAATATTCGTACATAATTGCACATGTACTTTCATGTAATGAAATAAATCATTTACTTTTTTTAGTATTGCATATTCCAAATTTTATTTGACTCCACAAGTCACTACAATATAGTCTGTTATCCTGTGATAATTAACTAAATAAATTTTCTCTTAGTGATAATTAAACCGTAACAAAAAAAAAACTAGTCATATTAATAACGATAAAAGTTTTGGGATAAAATATTTATGTATGTAGGAATGAACAATTAACTAACTAACTTGTAAATACTAAAGGGTTTTAAAGGCAAGAAAATTGAAGATGTGGTTTAAAATATTCATAACAATTAGAGTTACATTAATAGGATGATAAGAGAGACCATGTGTCCAGATAAGCACACAAGGGCATACTTTGTGACAAACGTGATACAATTATCAGTTAATTAATATCACTAATTTTAATTTTATAGAGTTTTTTGTCCAATATCATCAATAACAATAATAGTTTTAATAACAGTCTCTTATATAATTTGTTTGTAATAGTGATTTCATTTTTCTAATACTATTATCACCTTCTTTTATTTTTTGAGCAATTAAGAAAAGGTAAACTTACGAGAGAAAAAGTCGAATCGAAAATCAGGTTAACAAGTTAAATTACTTTCATCAAATAATTAGTAAAAAAAAGTATGGTCAATTTGATTTGATTTCTTTTCATGAAAAAAAGACACAGTCAACAGTGCAAAGTCTTAGTAATACTTTTAGACATAAATTATATAGTATTTTGTTCCCTGTAGAAATAAATACAATCATTTGTTCCTTGTTAATTATAAGCTAACTCTTTGTTCCCTCGGTTTGTTCATTAGTTTCGTTGTGAACCATTACGAACTTTAGTGTAAAAGGATTACTTTGGCAAATATTTAGTAATTATGTGTAGTAGCAATTGTTGAGATTTGAAAGGCTCTTCGTTCGTACTGGATTAATGAATTGCTAAGTCTATAGATTTGGTACTAATGTTTGTAAGGCACACACAATAATGATGACACATGCACACATCCGATAACTTAGCAGATAGGGATGGGAAAACATTATTCAGTGGGGAATGTCCGGCTTTTGGGTAGTTAATTTTTTTGGCAGTACATTTGTATAATGACATCATAACAAGTTTGACAACCTGTATGTGTCACGTAACCACTCAAAGCCCATAATACAAAATAGTTAAACGTAAAAAAATTGCACAATTAAATATCATTTCATACATCACTAACAAAAAAAATTGAACAAAACGTATCAAGGAAAGCTCTTCCCATCTAAAATATTCCGGAATATAAATATGTTGCCTCTTTAAGGGACACGATCGGAATGGATACAATTTTTAAAAATCCTGGAATGTTTCGAAGGAAGGTATAAGAAAAGTAAATATGCAGTCACATTCAATATTAAATTACTAAGGGTTAAAAGTTAACCGAGTTAAGTCATTAATAATTTACAAATAAATTACACAACTCGTGGGTCAACACAACAATATATAACGAGAGGCATGTTACTTAGTTATTACGTAGTAGTGAGCACACAACTCACTGTTGAACTGAACACTGACTGAGGGTGGGTGGATCGTTGTGTCGGATTTATCGGGCTATGTACAATTAGAATTAAGTGTGGGTAAAAAACATGGTAATTATGGAAAAGATGTTAACGAAGGGGGGAACATTTTCTCTTGTTCTTGTTTCCGTGAATCTGTACCCTTAGTAGAGACCACAATCCTTCAAATTGTTCTTGATAATGACATCAGTGACGGCTTCAAACACGAATTGAATATTATTCGTGTCCGTGGCACAGGTAAAGTGGGTGTAAATTTCTTTCTGATCTTTCAGTTTGTTCAAGCTCTCAAATTGATGTTTGATATATGCGGCTCCATCCTCGAATGTGTTGGGTCCTGTGAAGAAAGGTGGCGTATTAGTTAATTATTTATTTGACATTATAGAAGTAGATTCACTAGGTCAAATTAAAATACCTCGATATTCCGGAAAGCAGATGGTAAGCGGACTTCGTCTGATTTTCTCCTCGAATAGATCCTTTTTATTTAAAAAGAGAATGATTGAAGTTTCCACGAACCATTTCGAGTTGCAGATGGAATCAAAGAGTTTCATCGATTCAATCATTCGATTCATTTCTTCATCTTCGGCGAGAACTAGATCATATCCTGTTAATAATTAAAGAAAAACAAAAAATCATTATTATTTATAACCTTTTATGCAATTTCTGTTCCAAATATAATTTGATAAGATAATTCACCTGACAGCGCTACACAAAATATAATGGCCGTCACCCCCTCAAAACAATGAATCCACTTCTTTCTCTCACTGCGTTGCCCACCGACGTCTAGACACACCCAGATTAGATTAAATTAGACACATTAAATTAACTATAAAATGATAAAGTAGAATCAAATTTACCGAAAAGCTTAAAGTGCAGATTTTTAAAGGTAAATTGCGACTCCACAATTCCCGTAGTTTTGACCCGTGTCCTTAGAACGTCCTGCTGTGTGGGAATATAACCCGGTTGTGAGATACGGTCCAAGGCGTTTAAATAGTAGGCAGCAGAGTCGTTAAGTTGGTATTCCCTGGCACGCGAGAAACATTGCTGAACCCCACCATCAGTCCAGAGACGTTTCATCACGGTGGCCAATTCCAAACTAATTTCGCCTTCCTCCGCTCCCGACGCAAGTGTGAAGAATAACCGGGCGTCTTCCTGCACAAGTTAATGATATTTTCATAGCGGAGTTTTTTTTAATATTCAATGATTTCATCATCTTCTCCTCTTGACCTACCTTTTTGTTCGGATCTCTAAAATCCACGCGAAGTTGTCCCATCGCTCGGATGATGGCCATCAAACTTTGAATAGTATTGGAGTACACGACGGGACGGTATTGTTCACATTCTTCCGGGGTATAACCAGTTTCGTGAATTATCTTCATTTGTTTTACAATCGTACTCTTCCCCGATTCACCAGCCCCTGTTGAACGTATAGAAAAATAAAGATATTAAAGGATACAGTTAGTTAGTTTAGTAGTAGTTAATTCGCAATCATTACAAAATACACACACACAAAACTGAAATTCTTCTTCCTATTTTACACTTACCCAACAAAAGCAACTTCACTTCTCTCGACGCCTTATGTGCATCCGCCCTCAAGTCACGGTCAATCCTTTTCGACCGTTCGATCGCTTCCTTATCTTCCGCAATACTGCTCACGGCACACCCCATCTTGTCCTCTTTCCGGTGAATTAAACTTTACAATTAACTAGCCAACAAACTAACCACGAGAATAGTAGTATAATAATATCTTCTCCCAACTTAATCCACCCACTAATTAAGTAATTAATAATATCAAAAGTCAACAACTCAAGTGGTTTAGTTATTAGTTAACAAGTTTGTTTTGTTAATACAAACAGCGAGTATGTACGTATAATAAATCACAAAAAAAGACCGCCCAGAAGGGAAACTACTGTCTAAGAAATGATTAAAATTTCGAAATTAATTGCAACCATTAAAAAAATATGACAAATAATTAACTAAAGTTGGACATCTCGTCCCGAGTCGTCGTGTAGTCTCGTTGATTCTGTCAAAGCAGCAGCAGCAGCGAGCTCTCAACGGTTGTAAAAGTCCCATCCCCTCCGACCAGGATTTAGCCTCTCGGTTCGGGAACAAAGTGCATGAAATGATGATAAAATTTGTATCTTTCTGAAGTTCATAATACTTTTTTGGAAAAATACCATCCTTCAATACGTGCAAAACCCGTAGGAATCAAAATTGTCATAAAAATTTTGACGTTTAAATATCTCAACTATTTAATTATGATTGCATAATATCGGGAACAAAGTGCGTGAAATTAAATGAAATTCTACACAAAATTTTTTTTTCAGAATTCTTTTCTTTTTAAGAAAAATGCCATGCTTCTATAGGGTAAAAAATGAAGGAATGAAGTTATGAGATCAAAATTGTGCTCAAAATTTCGAATACATTTAAATATCTCAATTCAATACGAGTTAGTCTTATTGTGAGCAAGATGGATCAGTAACAAATTGTAAAAGAAATAAAAGTTAGGACCACAAGAAATAATAAAAATAGTGGTCATTCAGAGTTGGGTGAAATAGGGATTAGATTTGGTAAGTAACGCTTGAAACGCCGGGTGGTGGGATGTCCAAGACAATTGGGAAGATTGTCGATGAGAGTTCTACTTTGGGAACAATTTCGAACCCCGGAGGAACCCATCCATACGGTTTAATGTCAGGAGCTTCGCCCGTTTCGCCCTCCCCAAAACCGAAGACGTAGTCTTTTCCGTTGATCTTCATGATGCCATCTTTGACGACGAATTTCCACGAGTATCCTTTCCGGATGATCTGACAAAATAATGAATGGAAGCATTTAGTATGGATTTGGTATTTTTTAAGAAATAGCGCGACCAACCTTTTCATACTGGCAAATGATCAAGTTATCCTGAGTATACATCCTTTCCCGTTGTTCGGCTCGGTATTCCATTGCAGCTTTGTTAAGTTCTTCTTCCTCTTCCTACAAACCGGAAATAATTGAAAATTTAAATATACGTACATACATATATATTGAAAACATTATTGATAATTCACTCACATCAATACAATCCATGTCTTCGCCATCCGACTCTGAATCGAGCCCACCATCCAGCTGAGGGATTTGCTCGTCTTCAAGAGCACGTCTCCGGCCACGACCACGACCACCACGCCCCCTCCCTCTTCCAGCAACTCTCCCTCCACGACGAGGCTCAAACTTGATCTCCTGTGGCTCATCCACATCGCTTTCGTCTTTGTCGTTTGTGGCGCGAATAGCAACCTTGCTAGATCGACCACGGCCGCGACCGCGTCGTCCGCGTCCCTCCACGACCAGGCTTAAGCTCAGTTTCTTGCTCATCATCCTTGTCGTTATCTCCTTCATCGCTGGAGTCACGTGTAGTAATTTTGCTAGATTTACCACGACCTCGACCGCGTCCCCTCCCTCTAGCAGCGCCCCTTCCTCCACGACCAGGCTTAAACTCAGTTTCTTGCTCATCATCCATGTCGTCTTCTTCTTTATCGCTTGTCTCTAGAGTTTCAATTTTGCTAGGTCGACCTTGACCTCGCCCACGACCGCGACCGCGTCCCCTCCCTCTGGCAGAACCTTTTCCTTCACGACCAGCCTGACGCACAATTTCTTGCTCATCGTCCATGTCATTTTCTTCTTTATCGCTTGTGTCATGAGTAGCAATTTTGCTTGATTCACCACGACCACGACCAATTTGAGGCTCAATTTCTTGCTTATCATCAATGTCGTTTTCTTCTTTATCGCTCGTGTCTTCATTGTCGCTTGCGTCTCGAGTTTCAATTTTGCTGGGTCGACCTTGACCTCGACCGCGACCACGGCCCCTCCCTCTAGCAGTACCTCTCCCTCCACGACCAGGCTGAAGCTTAATACCCTGGTCATCATCCATGTCGTCGTCTTCTTTATCGCTTGACTCACGAGTATCAATTTTGCTAGGTCGACCCCGGCTACGACCACGACCGCGTCCCCTCCCTCTAGCACCGCCCCTTCCTCCGCGACCAGCAGGCTTACGCTCAATTTCCTCTTCATCATCCACATCGCTTTCATCTTCATCGCTAGTGGAACTGGTAGCAAATTTGCTAGATCGACCACGACCACGGCCGCGTCCTCTCCCTCTAGCAACACCCCTCCCTCCACGTCCACGATGTCCAATCCCTCCGCTCTTCTTGGGTACTCGCCCTTTGATAATTCGGAGCCCACGCTTGCGCAATTCTTCATTCACTCTGGCTTGTACGACCGTAGTGAAATCTTGCTCGCCCGAAATTTCAAACATTCCGGGCACGGAAATGATTTGCTGACAAAAAAAACAAAATATTACTCAACTGATTTTATCGACTTGTTCTTATTCTACTTATTCCCTTGTTTACCCGTAATATTCCTCCATGTAGAGCTGCCACCGGGACCGTGACAGTTACACTCGGCCCATCCTCACTGACAGGTTGGATAAGTACAGGAACACCGACAGTCTGCGCGGGTGGAAGGATGTAGACAACATCCCCTTTCGCTATATCTGCGTTAAACCAAAAAAAAAGAAAGATGTTTACAATAGTTTGGATTAAACTAATTGTTTAGTTAACTAATTTTTAACTTACCGTTCATTGAAGGCCCCGCTGATGTCGATGGGATTTCGCTCTCCTCAATGACCCTGTTGTCCTTGAAATCCGTCACAGTTCCCATTTCAGCTAAATTTTTTCGCCACTGGACACCCAAATCGACAAGGACACTTTGATCTATCCCTGCGTCCAAAAAAGTCCCAGACATATTGCGGATCACACTATCAATGACGTGTTGATAATGCCGATGCTATTAAAGAACAACATTATGCATAAATAATTAATTAATTACTCCAACATCAATTTAAATTTAATACCCTTACCACAGACACCTGAGAATTTTAATTATCGGTGGAGTCGCCATCTTGATTCGAATCTATGATCAATTCCCTAAAACAAATAAAAAGAAGGTCAACATAAATTAGCAATCATTCTTTTAGGAAATTATGAATTATTATTTTCTTACGTTAGTTTTATTCGGAAACCAAAAATTCACTCAGGCAGGCACGCTTCTTCTATCGCGAGTGAAGGAGATGGAGACGAGTCCTGCAGATGACGCTCTCAAGCCATTAGAATTTGTTTAATCGGCTCAACTTGCCTCATCGTCTCATATTTTTTGTCGCTCAACAGGAGGTAGGATAAAAAATCAATTAATTATTAATTAGCATGGGTATTTAAAAGTCTACTCAAAGTGTGGCAATGATGGTGATGCGAAGCAACTTTGCAATATTAGATATTCCCCGTTTGTATTTCCTCTTTTAAACTGTTGGTTAAATGCAATTTGCAGATTTTAAATTGAATTAATTTACATTGTTGTGTATACATACATATCATTCTCATCATCGCGTCTGAGATCATAAAATCGATGTGATGCTAGGGTCAGATCAACCGATTCCCTAAATCGGCAGTTAACTCGCTAAATCGAATAAGTCGTCATCGTCACGAATCACACGAAATATCTACAATGTAAATAATATGAGTTGTTATTATAAGAAAGTAAATGAGAAATCTAAGTAATTGGATGAAATGGATCAAAATTTCATGAAATTATGGCAAATAATCACCAATTTTGTAAGATCAACAAAACATTGTTTATAATTACTGCCAAAATGTTAAACAAAGTGGGAAAAACGGTAAACAAAATGGATCAGTAACATATTGTAAAAGAAATAAAAGTTAGGACCACAAGAAATAATAAAAATAGTGGTCTTTCAGAGTTGGGTGAAAAAGGGATTAGATTTGGAAAGTAACACTAGAAAAGCCGGGTGGAAGTTCGAAGTTGGCTGGGAGCATTGCTGACGAGACCGTGGGTACCGCTTCCGCCACGGGAAGACTATCCAGCGCAGTCGCCTTCGGAATCGGAGGCACCCATCCAACCGGTTTAACTTCCGGAGCTTCGCCCTTTCCAAAACCGAAGACGTAGTCTTTTCCGTTGATCTTCATGATGCCATCTTTGACGATGAATTTCCATGAGGATCCTCTCCGGATGATCTGACAAAATAATGAATGGAAGTATATTTAGCATGGATTTGACAAAGTATTTTTTTAAGAAATAGCGCAACCAACCTGTGCATACTGGCAAATGATCAAGTTATCCTGAGTATACATCTTTTCCCGTTGTTCGGCTAGGTATTCGATTGCAGCCTTGTTAAGTTCTTCTTCCTCTTCCTACAAACCGGAAATGATTGTAAATTTAAATATGCATATATAGATATATTGAAAACAGTATTGATAATTCACTCACATCGACACAACCCATGTCTTCGGCATCCAACTTTGAATCGAGTCCACCATCCAGCTGAGGGATTTGCTCGCCTTCAAGAGGACGTTTCCGGCCACGACCACGACCACGCCCCCTCCATCTTCCAGCACCTCTCCCTCCACGACGAGGCTCAAACTTAATCTCATGTTGCTCATCCACATCGCTTTCGTCTTTGTCGCTTGTGGCGCGAGCAGCAATTTTACCAGATCGACCACGACCGCGTCCCCTCCCTCTAGCAGCGCCCTTTCCTCCACGACCAGTCTGACGCATAATTTCTTGCTCATCGTCCATGTCGTTTTCTTCTTTATCGCTCGTGTCACGAGCGGCAATTTTGCTTGATCCACCACGACCATGACCAATTTGAGGCTCAATTTCTTGCTTATCATCCGTGTCGTTTTCTTCTTTATCGCTCATGTCTTTATTGTCGCTTGTGTCTCGAGTTTCAATTTGGCTAGGTCCCCCTTGACCTAATGATGACATCGCTAACGACGCTGTTTCTTCCCGGATGGTCTGACAAAAGAATGGATGTAAGGATATTTAGCATGGAATTGACAAGTATTTTTTTAAGAAATAGCGCAACCAACCTCTTCAATCTGGCGAATCAGCCAGTCGGCTGCACCTGTAGCATACATATTTCTCCTTACTTCGTCCAAATAGGCTAACAAATCCGTTGGGAATTGTTCTTTTTCAAGAGGACGTTTCCGGCCACGACCACGCCCCCTCCCTCTAGCAGAACCCTCTCCTCCACGACCAGGCTTATGCTCAATTTCCTCTTCATCATCCACATCGCTTTCATCTTCATCGCTCGTGTCAGGAGTAGCAATTTTGCTTGATTCACCACGACCACGACCAATTTGAGGCTCAATTTCTTGCTTATCATCAATGTCGTTTTCTTCTTTATCGCTCGTGTCTTCATTGTCGCTTGCGTCTCGAGTTTCAATTTTGCTGGGTCGACCTTGACCTCGACCGCGACCACGGCCCCTCCCTCTAGCAGTACCTCTCCCTCCACGACCAGGCTGAAGCTTAATACCCTGGTCATCATCCATGTCGTCGTCTTCTTTATCGCTTGACTCACGAGTATCAATTTTGCTAGGTCGACCCCGGCTACGACCACGACCGCGTCCCCTCCCTCTAGCACCGCCCCTTCCTCCGCGACCAGCAGGCTTACGCTCAATTTCCTCTTCATCATCCACATCGCTTTCATCTTCATCGCTAGTGGAACTGGTAGCAAATTTGCTAGATCGACCACGACCACGGCCGCGTCCTCTCCCTCTAGCAACACCCCTCCCTCCACGTCCACGATGTCCAATCCCTCCGCTCTTCTTGGGTACTCGCCCTTTGATAATTCGGAGCCCACGCTTGCGCAATTCTTCATTCACTCTGGCTTGTACGACCGTAGTGAAATCTTGCTCGCCCGAAATTTCAAACATTCCGGGCACGGAAATGATTTGCTGACAAAAAAAACAAAATATTACTCAACTGATTTTATCGACTTGTTCTTATTCTACTTATTCCCTTGTTTACCCGTAATATTCCTCCATGTAGAGCTGCCACCGGGACCGTGACAGTTACACTCGGCCCATCCTCACTGACAGGTTGGATAAGTACAGGAACACCGACAGTCTGCGCGGGTGGAAGGATGTAGACAACATCCCCTTTCGCTATATCTGCGTTAAACCAAAAAAAAAGAAAGATGTTTACAATAGTTTGGATTAAACTAATTGTTTAGTTAACTAATTTTTAACTTACCGTTCATTGAAGGCCCCGCTGATGTCGATGGGATTTCGCTCTCCTCAATGACCCTGTTGTCCTTGAAATCCGTCACAGTTCCCATTTCAGCTAAATTTTTTCGCCACTGGACACCCAAATCGACAAGGACACTTTGATCTATCCCTGCGTCCAAAAAAGTCCCAGACATATTGCGGATCACACTATCAATGACGTGTTGATAATGCCGATGCTATTAAAGAACAACATTATGCATAAATAATTAATTAATTACTCCAACATCAATTTAAATTTAATACCCTTACCACAGACACCTGAGAATTTTAATTATCGGTGGAGTCGCCATCTTGATTCGAATCTATGATCAATTCCCTAAAACAAATAAAAAGAAGGTCAACATAAATTAGCAATCATTCTTTTAGGAAATTATGAATTATTATTTTCTTACGTTAGTTTTATTCGGAAACCAAAAATTCACTCAGGCAGGCACGCTTCTTCTATCGCGAGTGAAGGAGATGGAGACGAGTCCTGCAGATGACGCTCTCAAGCCATTAGAATTTGTTTAATCGGCTCAACTTGCCTCATCGTCTCATATTTTTTGTCGCTCAACAGGAGGTAGGATAAAAAATCAATTAATTATTAATTAGCATGGGTATTTAAAAGTCTACTCAAAGTGTGGCAATGATGGTGATGCGAAGCAACTTTGCAATATTAGATATTCCCCGTTTGTATTTCCTCTTTTAAACTGTTGGTTAAATGCAATTTGCAGATTTTAAATTGAATTAATTTACATTGTTGTGTATACATACATATCATTCTCATCATCGCGTCTGAGATCATAAAATCGATGTGATGCTAGGGTCAGATCAACCGATTCCCTAAATCGGCAGTTAACTCGCTAAATCGAATAAGTCGTCATCGTCACGAATCACACGAAATATCTACAATGTAAATAATATGAGTTGTTATTATAAGAAAGTAAATGAGAAATCTAAGTAATTGGATGAAATGGATCAAAATTTCATGAAATTATGGCAAATAATCACCAATTTTGTAAGATCAACAAAACATTGTTTATAATTACTGCCAAAATGTTAAACAAAGTGGGAAAAACGGTAAACAAAATGGATCAGTAACATATTGTAAAAGAAATAAAAGTTAGGACCACAAGAAATAATAAAAATAGTGGTCTTTCAGAGTTGGGTGAAAAAGGGATTAGATTTGGAAAGTAACACTAGAAAAGCCGGGTGGAAGTTCGAAGTTGGCTGGGAGCATTGCTGACGAGACCGTGGGTACCGCTTCCGCCACGGGAAGACTATCCAGCGCAGTCGCCTTCGGAATCGGAGGCACCCATCCAACCGGTTTAACTTCCGGAGCTTCGCCCTTTCCAAAACCGAAGACGTAGTCTTTTCCGTTGATCTTCATGATGCCATCTTTGACGATGAATTTCCATGAGGATCCTCTCCGGATGATCTGACAAAATAATGAATGGAAGTATATTTAGCATGGATTTGACAAAGTATTTTTTTAAGAAATAGCGCAACCAACCTGTGCATACTGGCAAATGATCAAGTTATCCTGAGTATACATCTTTTCCCGTTGTTCGGCTAGGTATTCGATTGCAGCCTTGTTAAGTTCTTCTTCCTCTTCCTACAAACCGGAAATGATTGTAAATTTAAATATGCATATATAGATATATTGAAAACAGTATTGATAATTCACTCACATCGACACAACCCATGTCTTCGGCATCCAACTTTGAATCGAGTCCACCATCCAGCTGAGGGATTTGCTCGCCTTCAAGAGGACGTTTCCGGCCACGACCACGACCACGCCCCCTCCATCTTCCAGCACCTCTCCCTCCACGACGAGGCTCAAACTTAATCTCATGTTGCTCATCCACATCGCTTTCGTCTTTGTCGCTTGTGGCGCGAGCAGCAATTTTACCAGATCGACCACGACCGCGTCCCCTCCCTCTAGCAGCGCCCTTTCCTCCACGACCAGTCTGACGCATAATTTCTTGCTCATCGTCCATGTCGTTTTCTTCTTTATCGCTCGTGTCACGAGCGGCAATTTTGCTTGATCCACCACGACCATGACCAATTTGAGGCTCAATTTCTTGCTTATCATCCGTGTCGTTTTCTTCTTTATCGCTCATGTCTTTATTGTCGCTTGTGTCTCGAGTTTCAATTTGGCTAGGTCCCCCTTGACCTAATGATGACATCGCTAACGACGCTGTTTCTTCCCGGATGGTCTGACAAAAGAATGGATGTAAGGATATTTAGCATGGAATTGACAAGTATTTTTTTAAGAAATAGCGCAACCAACCTCTTCAATCTGGCGAATCAGCCAGTCGGCTGCACCTGTAGCATACATATTTCTCCTTACTTCGTCCAAATAGGCTAACAAATCCGTTGGGAATTGTTCTTTTTCAAGAGGACGTTTCCGGCCACGACCACGCCCCCTCCCTCTAGCAGAACCCTCTCCTCCACGACCAGGCTTATGCTCAATTTCCTCTTCATCATCCACATCGCTTTCATCTTCATCGCTCGTGTCAGGAGTAGCAATTTTGCTTGATTCACCACGACCACGACCAATTTGAGGCTCAATTTCTTGCTTATCATCAATGTCGTTTTCTTCTTTATCGCTCGTGTCTTCATTGTCGCTTGCGTCTCGAGTTTCAATTTTGCTGGGTCGACCTTGACCTCGACCGCGACCACGGCCCCTCCCTCTAGCAGTACCTCTCCCTCCACGACCAGGCTGAAGCTTAATACCCTGGTCATCATCCATGTCGTCGTCTTCTTTATCGCTTGACTCACGAGTATCAATTTTGCTAGGTCGACCCCGGCTACGACCACGACCGCGTCCCCTCCCTCTAGCACCGCCCCTTCCTCCGCGACCAGCAGGCTTACGCTCAATTTCCTCTTCATCATCCACATCGCTTTCATCTTCATCGCTAGTGGAACTGGTAGCAAATTTGCTAGATCGACCACGACCACGGCCGCGTCCTCTCCCTCTAGCAACACCCCTCCCTCCACGTCCACGATGTCCAATCCCTCCGCTCTTCTTGGGTACTCGCCCTTTGATAATTCGGAGCCCACGCTTGCGCAATTCTTCATTCACTCTGGCTTGTACGACCGTAGTGAAATCTTGCTCGCCCGAAATTTCAAACATTCCGGGCACGGAAATGATTTGCTGACAAAAAAACAAAATATTACTCAACTGATTTTATCGACTTGTTCTTATTCTACTTATTCCCTTGTTTACCCGTAATATTCCTCCATGTAGAGCTGCCACCGGGACCGTGACAGTTACACTCGGCCCATCCTCACTGACAGGTTGGATAAGTACAGGAACACCGACAGTCTGCGCGGGTGGAAGGATGTAGACAACATCCCCTTTCGCTATATCTGCGTTAAACCAAAAAAAAAGAAAGATGTTTACAATAGTTTGGATTAAACTAATTGTTTAGTTAACTAATTTTTAACTTACCGTTCATTGAAGGCCCCGCTGATGTCGATGGGATTTCGCTCTCCTCAATGACCCTGTTGTCCTTGAAATCCGTCACAGTTCCCATTTCAGCTAAATTTTTTCGCCACTGGACACCCAAATCGACAAGGACACTTTGATCTATCCCTGCGTCCAAAAAAGTCCCAGACATATTGCGGATCACACTATCAATGACGTGTTGATAATGCCGATGCTATTAAAGAACAACATTATGCATAAATAATTAATTAATTACTCCAACATCAATTTAAATTTAATACCCTTACCACAGACACCTGAGAATTTTAATTATCGGTGGAGTCGCCATCTTGATTCGAATCTATGATCAATTCCCTAAAACAAATAAAAAGAAGGTCAACATAAATTAGCAATCATTCTTTTAGGAAATTATGAATTATTATTTTCTTACGTTAGTTTTATTCGGAAACCAAAAATTCACTCAGGCAGGCACGCTTCTTCTATCGCGAGTGAAGGAGATGGAGACGAGTCCTGCAGATGACGCTCTCAAGCCATTAGAATTTGTTTAATCGGCTCAACTTGCCTCATCGTCTCATATTTTTTGTCGCTCAACAGGAGGTAGGATAAAAAATCAATTAATTATTAATTAGCATGGGTATTTAAAAGTCTACTCAAAGTGTGGCAATGATGGTGATGCGAAGCAACTTTGCAATATTAGATATTCCCCGTTTGTATTTCCTCTTTTAAACTGTTGGTTAAATGCAATTTGCAGATTTTAAATTGAATTAATTTACATTGTTGTGTATACATACATATCATTCTCATCATCGCGTCTGAGATCATAAAATCGATGTGATGCTAGGGTCAGATCAACCGATTCCCTAAATCGGCAGTTAACTCGCTAAATCGAATAAGTCGTCATCGTCACGAATCACACGAAATATCTACAATGTAAATAATATGAGTTGTTATTATAAGAAAGTAAATGAGAAATCTAAGTAATTGGATGAAATGGATCAAAATTTCATGAAATTATGGCAAATAATCACCAATTTTGTAAGATCAACAAAACATTGTTTATAATTACTGCCAAAATGTTAAACAAAGTGGGAAAAACGGTAAACAAAATGGATCAGTAACATATTGTAAAAGAAATAAAAGTTAGGACCACAAGAAATAATAAAAATAGTGGTCTTTCAGAGTTGGGTGAAAAAGGGATTAGATTTGGAAAGTAACACTAGAAAAGCCGGGTGGAAGTTCGAAGTTGGCTGGGAGCATTGCTGACGAGACCGTGGGTACCGCTTCCGCCACGGGAAGACTATCCAGCGCAGTCGCCTTCGGAATCGGAGGCACCCATCCAACCGGTTTAACTTCCGGAGCTTCGCCCTTTCCAAAACCGAAGACGTAGTCTTTTCCGTTGATCTTCATGATGCCATCTTTGACGATGAATTTCCATGAGGATCCTCTCCGGATGATCTGACAAAATAATGAATGGAAGTATATTTAGCATGGATTTGACAAAGTATTTTTTTAAGAAATAGCGCAACCAACCTGTGCATACTGGCAAATGATCAAGTTATCCTGAGTATACATCTTTTCCCGTTGTTCGGCTAGGTATTCGATTGCAGCCTTGTTAAGTTCTTCTTCCTCTTCCTACAAACCGGAAATGATTGTAAATTTAAATATGCATATATAGATATATTGAAAACAGTATTGATAATTCACTCACATCGACACAACCCATGTCTTCGGCATCCAACTTTGAATCGAGTCCACCATCCAGCTGAGGGATTTGCTCGCCTTCAAGAGGACGTTTCCGGCCACGACCACGACCACGCCCCCTCCATCTTCCAGCACCTCTCCCTCCACGACGAGGCTCAAACTTAATCTCATGTTGCTCATCCACATCGCTTTCGTCTTTGTCGCTTGTGGCGCGAGCAGCAATTTTACCAGATCGACCACGACCGCGTCCCCTCCCTCTAGCAGCGCCCTTTCCTCCACGACCAGTCTGACGCATAATTTCTTGCTCATCGTCCATGTCGTTTTCTTCTTTATCGCTCGTGTCACGAGCGGCAATTTTGCTTGATCCACCACGACCATGACCAATTTGAGGCTCAATTTCTTGCTTATCATCCGTGTCGTTTTCTTCTTTATCGCTCATGTCTTTATTGTCGCTTGTGTCTCGAGTTTCAATTTGGCTAGGTCCCCCTTGACCTAATGATGACATCGCTAACGACGCTGTTTCTTCCCGGATGGTCTGACAAAAGAATGGATGTAAGGATATTTAGCATGGAATTGACAAGTATTTTTTTAAGAAATAGCGCAACCAACCTCTTCAATCTGGCGAATCAGCCAGTCGGCTGCACCTGTAGCATACATATTTCTCCTTACTTCGTCCAAATAGGCTAACAAATCCGTTGGGAATTGTTCTTTTTCAAGAGGACGTTTCCGGCCACGACCACGCCCCCTCCCTCTAGCAGAACCCTCTCCTCCACGACCAGGCTTATGCTCAATTTCCTCTTCATCATCCACATCGCTTTCATCTTCATCGCTCGTGTCAGGAGTAGCAATTTTGCTTGATTCACCACGACCACGACCAATTTGAGGCTCAATTTCTTGCTTATCATCAATATCGTTTTCTTCTTTATCGCTCGTGTCTTCATTGTCGCTTGCGTCTCGAGTTTCAATTTTGCTGGGTCGACCTTGACCTCGACCGCGACCACGGCCCCTCCCTCTAGCAGCACCTCTCCCTCCACGACTTGGCTGAAGCTTAATACCCTGGTCATCATCCATGTCGTCGTCTTCTTTATCGCTTGACTCACGAGTATCAGTTTTGCTAGATCGACCCAGGCCACGACCGCGTCGTCCGCGTCCCCTCCCTCCACGACCAGGCTTAAGCTCAGTTTCTTGCTCATCATCCTTGTCGTTTTCTCCTTCATCGCTGGTGTCACGAGTAGCAATTTTGCTAGATTTACCACGACCTCGTCCCCTCCCTCTAGCAGCGCCCCTTCCTCCACGACCAGGCTTAAGCTCAGTTTCTTGCTCATCATCCATGTCGTCTTCCTCTTTATCGCTTGTCTCTAGAGTTTCGATCTTGCTAGGTCGACCTTGACCTCGCCCACGACCGCGACCGCGTCCCTTCCCTCTAGCAGAACCTTTTCCTCCACGACCAGCCTGACGCACAATTTCTTGCTCATCGTCCCTGTCATCTTCTTCTTTATCGCTTGTGTCATGAGTAGCAATTTTGCTTGATCCACCATGACCAGCCTGAGCCACAATTTCTTGCATATCATCCGTGTCGCTTTCTTCTTTATCGCTCGTGTCACGAGTAGCAATTTTGCTTGATTCACCACGACCACGACCAATTGGAGGCTCAATTTCTTGCTTATCATCAATGTCGTTTTCTTCTTTATCGCTCGTGTCTTCATTGTCGCCTGCGTCTCGAGTTTCAATTTTGCTGGGTCGACCACGACCGCGTCCCCTCCCTCTAGCACCGCCCCTTCCTCCACGACCAGCAGGCTTATGCTCAACTTCCTCTTCGTCATCCACATCGCTTTCATCTTCATCGCTAGTGGCACTGGTAGCAATTTTGCTAGATCCGGTCTGTGGGGGAGGAATGATTTTCGCTACATCTGCGTTAAACCAAAGAAAAAGACAATAGTTTACATTAAATTAATTATTTAATCAACTACCTTACCATTCATTGATGATGAAGGCCCCGCTGATGTCGATGGGATTTCGCTATCCTCTATGACCCTGTTGTCCTTGAAATCCGTCACAGTTCCCATTTCAGCTAAATTTTTTCGCCATTGGGCTTTCAACTCGACAAGGACGCTTTGATCTACCCCTTGATCAAAAAGATCGCGGATTACACCATCCATGACGTCTTGATAATATAGATACTATCAAAGAACGACATAATGCTTAAATAATAATTAATTAATTACTCCAACATCAATTTAACAACCTTACCACAGACACCTGAGAATTTGTATTTATCGGTGGAGTCGCCATCTTGATTCGAATCTATGATCAATCTCCTAAAACAAATAAAAAGAAGGTCAACATAAATTAGCAATCATTCTTTTAGGAAATTATGAATTATATTTTTTTACTTTATTTTTTCGGAAACCAAAAATTCAGTAAGGCAAGTTCTTCTCTCGCCACGATCTTCACTCCTCACTCCCAGCAGATGACTCTCTCAAGTCGTTAGAATTTTTCTATCCGTCTCAACTTGTCTCAAGATCTCATAGAAACTTAATATTACTTCAAGATCTTGAGACAAAATGAAACTCTACACAAATTATTTATTCTTTTTAGGAAATGTCTCATATTTCAACAAACGAAGGAATGAAATTATGCGATCAAAATTATCATCAAAATTGTGAAGACATTTAAACGTGTTAATTTAAACATAATTGCATTGTAATGGTACATGATTTAATAAATACTTGACACTTCCGCATTTATTTCGAGCTGAACCTAGTTTAACGTTTGTTTACTAATAAAATAAAGTGTGTAGTACACTCAACAAAACTTGTGTTGAGTGCTGTGCTTAATTGTTAATTATTTATTGATCAGAGGCAACTCAATTAAATTGACCCATGTCACAATTAATAGGATTAATTATTACAACAATACTACTCCTGGTGCAACCTGGCCTTGCTGTGAATCCTTTGAGTCTCGCAGTTTTTGGGGGGGAAGAAAGAGTGGCAGGGATGCAGTCGAAGGTTGGCAGTGGGGGGGTGTACATTTTTGGGGTGGTGCTAGTCTTGGTGGGAATCAGGGTGGCGGTCGTGCTGGGGGGGAAGACACCGCTCCCCCCGCCGGAGGATGACCCTCCATCCGCCGTGGGAGTAGGAGGAGGAAGTAATAGTTCGGGTGGGGGGAAGGATGAGGATGAACTGAGGGGACTGAAAGGTCAGGCGAATATTCTCTTGTCGTTGCAAAAGGGCAGCGCCAAGTGTGCGGTGCAAGGGTCGTACGGGATTAAGGAGGAGTGCTCGAAATATATCGAGTGTAGGAAGTGAGTCAATTTTTGGGGGGTATAATTTGTAGTTTTGCTTATTGTGAAAATTTTTGCATGTATTTGTTATGTATGTACAGAGGGTGGATAAGTATTTGCGAAAAATTGTTGGGATACGTATGTATTTAATATTTAGGAAAAAACCCCAAAATTTTTTATATACGAAAAAACTACACGAATAAAAATGTTCATATAAGTTGTATTTGTAATTTTAATACTCTTGATTTTGTGTGGTCCAATTTCTTTAAGCAAGAAGATTTCGTTGAAACACTCACATCGTTGAAATATTTACAAAATATGTTCAAATTTTTGAAGATTTATGTATTTTTGAAATAATAGCGGAAATATTTATATGTCTGAAAACCTAGAAATATTTTGAAATTTTTATGATCTATGCAAATTTGGTAATACACCCACAAAGTTTGACCATCATTAAATGAAAAAGTTGAAATATACATATTTTAAGTTAGGTTACTTGAAATTATGCGTATGCAGTATTCATAGTTTTGCAAATTTTTCGCAAAGTTTGGCAGTTCAAATATGTTGAATGATGCTAATTCAAAAATGATTCCAGGAAAGGGACCATCCCTGCTACAAAGTATTGCCCCTCTGGTAAATTTTTCGACCATTTTAAACGAGTTTGTATGCAGTCGAGTAACGCGGAATGTAGAAGTGGTAATACTTCTTCTCACTTTTTCAAGAGTCACATATGTCAACAAATTACTGGCTTAATGACCAAGTTTTTCTCAATTTTGTAGACATTTGTCCCAGTGACGGAGCAGTTCTGGCAGATCCGAAAGATGACGAAGCGTATCTTAAATGCGAGAGAGGCGTTCCAATGCCGTACCAGTGTCCGGAGGATCAAGAATTTTCAGCAAAGGCGAAAAAATGTGTGCCGGCTGGGAATTAAATTAAATAAAGAATAAAGTCGTCAAGTTAAATGAAGTGTTTTATTTGTTTATATACTTTAAAAAATCAAAGTGGTTCCAAAATGAGTGATGATTTATGTATGCATTTTTTCCATGAAAATCAGTGAGACAATGACCAAACACAAATTCCACACGAGTCACTGGAGATCTCACAGTGCATGATCTGCGATTTTGACCAAATTAGACTCCATCGATCACAAATTTAACTAGTGTGAAATTTGTGAAAGACGCGATCACCCAATGGGCACGTTTGGCGCAGATATTTGCATCCGAAGAGGAGAAAACGCGCCTTAAAGTCGACAAATTTTACAGTTTCCAAATTTACTGAAAATTTTCTCCTCTTGGGATGCAAACATCTCGGCCAAACGTGCCCATTCGGAGATCGTGCCTTTCGCAAATTTCATACTAGTTAAATTTATGACGCATTGACACTAAATTAGTAAAAATCGGAGAGCAGGAGACCTCCATTGTTGGTAGAGTTTGGAATAATGATGTGTTTAGCGAGTGGTAACTTCGCATCCGAATTCAGATACACGTATTTAATTATGCAAAACAAAACAAAAACAAATGAATTGATTTTTTGTAGACAATTTATTTTGGCCTCAGATCGTTTCACAGTTGTATGTAGAGGAACAGGAGGAGGTTGCACAAAAAAGCTGACGCATAATAATTGGTACAAAAATGTTGCATGTTATCTTACAATTATAAGGTAAACAAATACAATGAAACTTTTTTTAGTATTAGACTAGCACCTGTCAAAGGCATTCAAAAGTCTGTAACACGGGGCTTGTTTTTTATTTATTTATGTAGAAAAAAGTAAAAACACCAAAAATTTCCAATTGTTTGTTGTAAATATATCGCATGTATTATTGACGGCAAAAAAGCTTATTGTTTTGTATAAAATAAATGACTCAAGAGACAACAATTTAGATTTCATGTATAAATTGTAAGAATTTTTAATATACTTTTTTTGTTTAGCTAAAAGCTCGCATTCGCTTAATTTTACACCAGCAATTTGTATAAATTTGACCAATTTCGTAAAATTACATGTATGTTTTTTTTATCTATGCCTGCGAAGGTGAGACAAATTATGTGTGTACATAGAGATTTTGTGTAATAGACTTAAGTACCAGTGGGTTCAAATACTTTTGCAAAAATTAAATAATTATGATGCTGATAGTTTTCTTAACCGGAAAGGAAATGGTTTCGTTTCAAGAAGCTCCTTCGTCTTCTTCTCTCCTCTTACACGCTCTTCTCCTGATCAATGACTAGATACACAAAAAAATAATGCAAATGTCAGTTTCACACTGTCAAAACATGTATAATTAATCATTTCAATCATTATCTGTGACTCACCCTCCTTGGTCGGTAACGGATTCTTCTCCTGGGTTTCAGTATGCTTGAGTTTCTTGGAGTCGAAACTTTCAATCCCTTCCAACAAATTCTGCTGGACTTTCTCCGTTTGGATTACTAAAATTTAAAACAAAAAACATTAACTTTAGCCTAAAAAATATTCATCGCCATTTTTCCCCAAAAATTTCCAAACTCACCTTCATTATCAGGCAGAACAACTTTCTCTTGTGTCTCAGTCGGCTTCAAATTGTTGGTGTCGAAACCTTCCACTCCTTTGAGGAGGGCTTGCTGAGTCTTTTCAGCAGCCACGTCTACACACCACAAGAACACGTAATTAATTAATTGTCCCTTAGCTAAATACATAAATGTAACAGCGGTACATAAGCAAAAAATAAAAATAAAAAGTGCACGTGCAAAAAAAGGTAGGAGGACAACCTTGGGCATTTGGCAAAATCAACTTTTCACTAGTTTCAGCATGCTTGAGACAATGTTCTTTGTCAAAATGTTCCACACCGTGGATCAGTTCACTGTGCCGGCGTTCTTGCTTGACATCTTACGTACGTGCAATCACAATTAAAATAAAGCATTTTAGAAAAAAAACACAAAAAGTGGTGTTAGTTTAGTATAGAAGCACACACACACACAAAAGTTAAACCACACGATGTGATTGATTTCATGCAGGATAAATAAAATAAAATAAAGGATTCATTGTGGATGGAAAGTGCAAAAAAAAGTGAAAACTTGCAAAAAGAATATACCTTCAGCCGATGGGAGAGGATTTTTCTCCTGAGTTGACGCCTTCTTCATCAACTCGGGCTTGAATTTTTCCAGTTCGGATTTCAAATCGGCATCGACCTTGGGAAGGTTTTCAAGGGTTGGGGTATCTGCCATGGTAGAAGTAGTTTCGTCTAGATTTACAAGAAAAAAATGGGGGAGAAATTAGTTAGTTATTGGCCACGGTTAGTTAGTGCCACGTAAGAGGAAGGGTAATGTAATAGACGACAATACATAAAATATTATTGTGACTAATTGTTCTGCTGGCATTTATTTATCACCACCAGCAGAACCACCACCACCAACGCCCACACCACCGCAGAACAGGATTTTATTGTATGTATACAGAATATTTAATGATGCTTGTTCAAATTATACCACAAGTAAAAAAGGTATTATTATTTTACCCTTTATTTAGTTTTGCATAGATGAACGCGTCACTTGACTTGTCTATTTGAGTTCTCGGTCCGGATGAAAATCAATTATGAGGAAAAAGGGTGTTAAATTTAGTGCGCCACAATTTCCTGACCACCATCACTAATAAATTGTGAATGGTTGTTGTGTGATTAGGGAATACTTGGAAGTTTCAGATTCAATTGTGTAACACGATTCAATATTGAATCGGCCAGGAAATAAAAGTGTGACAATACATGGCTGTTTAGTAAATATTTAGCAAGGGAACTACCAGTGGCGGCGGACAGGGGGACAATGTCCCCATCATATATAAACCCGGCCCTCCCCTATCCTACAATATTAATGTCCCCACGGCTTCTTCCGCGGCCATAATTCTCATCTCCGCAATTAATGCAGACCTGCGTACACACCACATTTTGCTTTCCTCATCATCAGAATACAATTATGTGCATGGTATGAAAATTCATATGCCAAGATCATTGCCCTGATAAAATCAAGTGCTTGTAATGCATTCCGTCAAATATTTACATACACCTTGTAATCTGCCACCTTCTATATTTTCATTTTGGCGTATTTTGACTTTAGTAACAACAACTCTCGTGTCTGTCAACAACAACTTGTCACAAGGGAACAATAGGCTGGATTTGGCTCTCTCCGCCTCCTTCTGCGTTGTAAATAGTTAATTTGTCGATTATAATACGCAATTCCGAGCAAGTAAATCGAACTAGAGGCGGCTACTTGATCGCTTTTTTAACGTCTTCTCTTTTTGGGAATGGTGACAAAGTAGGGATGCAAATGACCGATTAAAAGTGAGAGAACGAGTAGGAGAAATATTTGGTAGTGGTCCATCCTGTCGATGGGACAGGATGGACAGAAAAATTATGTTATGCATACTCAAAAAATTGGAGAGGAAAAGAAACTTGAGATTAATTCGTAAAATGGTTGCAACTTTTAATTCTAGTTATTTTATCGTATCCGAGTCAAAGTCAAAGTCAAGCTAATTATTATTATTTAATTATTTAGGATATGAACAATCTGTCCAAACGCGGAGAGAATGAGCCACCCGGAATTTTATCTCATTTCCATAATATGTACATGCATGCAACTAATAAATACATACTTTTGAACATTCCTCCAACCCTCGCATTCCTGAACGCCCATTCAAAAACAAAATATCAAATCAAAAGATATGCAGTCAAATTGCTATTTCATCAGCGTCGTCATCAAATCAAATCTGTACGCAGATTATTTATTGGCATGTGCTTCGTCACACGTTTTCGTCTTCCGGCTCAACTAACCAAATGTTGAACAAATTCCAATTATTTAGCATGCATGTACTACCAATAATCTGATGAGAATGGCATGAAATCACAGTCCAAGGGAGGAAATAAGCTACACAATCTGTGATGCTGATGATGAATGAGATTCTATTCGGGTGGATTTTGCTGGGTGGGTGGATAATAAATGGTCTGATTTTTGGCTCAGGTCGGAAGTGCAACAACTTGGATACACATCTTTCGCCTAACAAAGCGTGAAGGGCAGCGCACTTAAAAAAACTGGCGAGATTTTATCGGACCGAAGAAGAAGAAAAAGAAGATTATTCGCTGTTCTGTAGAAAACTATGATATTATTTTTCATCACTAACTACCCACATACATAAGTTTGCAAACTCGCTCGATATCACCCCCGTCCGTCCGTCCGTCCGTCGGAACAATAACTTTACAAGAATGCAGAATGTGTGATAAGCATTTTGGCAAAGTTGGCATATTTAGAGCCATCCAACCATTCCTCGCCGCTCTCCTGCTGCAAATCTATCTATCTGACCTCATACATACTACATAATAAAAGTTCATATGTACATATCACTGGCCGCATCACTTAACCTGCAGCAGCGGGTTCATGGTTGGTTATTATTGTGCAGATATGCTACATTAGATTCTTCTACTGCTGCCTCGTCTACCTTTTTAGAAAGCATACGCCAAAAATGTCTCACTTCACTTTGATTTTTTTCTTCTTCCATTGTGTAATAAGTTACCAAATAAGACGAGGCAGCAATAATACGATTGAGCTCGCAGGTGGATTATTTCATGTCCTGTTGTCTGTCCAGGCCAGGAAAGGGTGCAAGATGCCACATTTTTAATGGTCTCTCTCTCTCTAACGATGACACAACTTTGTAAACGTTACAATTAATAGGATGCATCTGGCGAGAAGAGGAGAATCATATGTGAAACTATACGTCCATATTTGGACACCCGATGTCTCGTCCTATTTGGGAAGAAGAAGGACCCCATCGCAGAAAGAACGATTGACGTTTGAGCAAGACGCCACATGGCGGCAGAACGACACCGATTATGATGACGATACTTACTACTTGGTCATATATGACAGACAAGGAGAATGTCCTAACAGTTCAAGACATGACATGACGAGATAGATATTATTATGAGGGTGCTCCTTCTTCTCGGTGTGAGAATACTTTCAAATTCCTGTCAGACAGATGAAGCTGGTCCTCCGTCCGTTATTGTAGCGAGAGAACGTTCTATTTAAAGTTGGATAACAACTCTACGAGGGGAGACTGAGGAGAGGAGGGCATCGTAAAATTACAAATACTGACTGCGGTCAGATCCATATCTCCACTAAATACTTGCACATAGAAGAGATCGACATTTCAAGAAAAGTTATACACACACATCCGTTAAAAAAAGGCCATAAAAATGAGCATGATTTCATTTGGTTTAGTTTCCCAACCAAGTAACTACAGAAAAAAGAGGAAAGCGTCGTCGTCAAAAAAAACTGTACCAAATACGCACCATTTACCACTCATGGTTGTCCTTTACCCAACCCACCCAGAAGACGGAGCAGAACGGCATTCTTAAAAAGAAGTGTCAATAAAGTGGCAATAATGATTTTCCCCAAAGTTTTCGACGAGTTTTCAGGGTATGACGAATGGCATGCTGCTTAATTCCCTACATACTTATGATACTCGTCATCATGATAAGACATATAGCGGTTGGTGTGGTAGTATAATTTAGTCAATTTCACCAACTATCACATTCATGAGACGTCGTAAATTTTGAATTCGGCGAGGCTACACACACATTATCGTCTCCTCTCCTCTCCTCCGACTTTATATGACTGTTAAGTGTGTAGAATTACAAATACCAACCAACCACCAAAAAGTAGGATAAAATAAACCGTTACAACGCATGTAACCAAGGGGTGAAAGGAGTGTCATACGTCAATGTGAATATCAAATTGTTCGAAAATTTGTTAAGATTGACACTTCTGACGTGTTTTCGACTTTTGTGTCTTATTTGTGTCAAATTTAACAGTTGATAACCCTTATGTGACCTTTATATGACCTCTGAGGTCAAAATGGAGGTCACCATTGAATTCGGGGTTAAATTTCAGTTGAAATTGAAATAGATATGTCCTATGACCTTTACATGACCTCTGAGGTCAAAATGGAGGTCATCATTGAATTTGACATTGAAAAATAGTTAAAAATGACGTGTCACATGTCAAAACTGACAAGTGACACTTTTTCGTCACTTTTCGTCACCGTGACGATGTCATCGTCACAGGTGACGTCCAAACACAAAATGACATGAATTTTCGAATTCCTCCTTGAAAAATAGTTAAAAATGATGTGTCACATGTCAAAACTGACAAGTGACACTTTTTCGTCACTTTTCGTCACTGGGACGACGTCATCGTCACAGGTGACGATGTCACAGTGTCCATCTTCGAACTCGTACTGTCCATTGACGTTAGGAGTTTACGTTCAAAATTTCAAGTGTCTATGTCTTTTCGTTCAAAAGTTATCGGAGCTACGGACAGACAGACGGACGGACGGACAGACAGACGGACATAACGATCTTATAAAGGGCTTTCACCCCTTAATAAATGAATGATGATGATGAGAACGCTCATTTTGTCCAATAATGGGCCTACAGGATGAGTCATCCCTATGTGTGCACACTCACTGACTGGGTTCACCCCTAACCTCGGGGTTCAACGTTTCATTGTACTTTTATTATCAAGTCAGAGAGAGACTCAAACTGAATCACAGACCAAGTTTTAGCCGACCATATATCTAACCAACCACCGTGAACAGTTCCTTCCTACCCACCACAAACAATGCAGGCAGGCAGGCAAAGAAGATGAAGAACATGAATGATGCATTAAATAAAACCATGATTCATTCCTTCAAACTATTCTGCAGCAAAGTTTACAACAAACTATGCACAAACAGTGGCCGCGGAAGCTTGAGGGGACAGAGGGACAATGTCCCCGTCATCGTCCCTCCCCTGTTTTACAATGTTAATGTCCCCACAGCTTCCGTGGTCACTGATGCACCAGGCTAAAGTGTCCCTTAATTCAAAAATTCATGAATACCCAACATTCCTCCCCTTCATCATCGATAAGTGCACAGTTTGCGCTGCTTATATAATACCACCAATATTTCGAAAGTAATCAATGCCTATCAATCCAAAATAGAGAAGTGAAAGGATTCGCTAAGCACAATGCGATACGTGCATGTCAAAGTCCAAAAAGGGAAAATCTCTACCAACAAACAATCAACGGATCTTTTTCTTACGCCGTTTGGATCTCGTTTAAATTGAGAAATTATATAAAACGCTTTTAAACGTTTCATTAATCAGCCTTTTTAAAAGCGGGGGGATCAATCAATTGATCGATTCATTGATAGATAGTTAGTCCCCCTTTTTATATTATTATCCTCATATAAGATATCGGCGAGGGAAAACCTACGGTAAAATGTAACTGTATTAAAAAAAGCTGTGCATGTTTACACACTTACTAACTTCCTCTCTCAAGTACGCGTATTTATAATAAATAATTCCTCACAACTACAAAACAACAGCAATTCATGCGCTTCCTCTGACTCAAGTCGTTCTTCGTTCGTGGTAACGCCCAAAAGTAAGCCTAGCCTACTACTTATTCTCAAACTAAATTAGTCCACAAACTCAAACTCCCACCACCACAAAAATGAAGACAAGTAAACTAAACTACTTTCAATTTGAGGAAATTAAATAAGTTGAGATAAAAGAACACTTTTTGCTTCATACCTGGATGGATGGAAGAAGTAAAGTGATGTCAATGAAGACAATTGTCGCAACTTTCTCGACACGAGAGATGATGTCAAATGGTGACCGTTTCACGACGAGGAGACAATATAGAATAATGATGCCTCGTTACGACTCAGCACACTTTTATATGTGCACTTTTGACAACAATATAGACGCCACACACCACACCACAGGATGAACTAACTCATGTAAGCAACAAACTTGAGTCTGCCTGCATATATGTATGAACGATATGAAGGACGGAAGACTCACATTACATCCATTTACGCAAATAATAAATGCAATGCAGTTGACATTTTATGTGTGCTGCAGATGGGAGGAAAAAGTTTGGTTAGGATAGGAGATGATCGACCTCGCTAACCAAATAAAATACAAATGTGCATGTAATATACGGGAGACGGGAGACTCTACTAGTAAATCGAAAACTCACAAAATAATACAATGAGACATACATAAAATGTGTAGTATTAGTCATCTTACAAAAGAATGAATCAGCTTGGGTAAGTTGCATAAGTCACGTTTCAAGTGATGCCTACTTTGGTTACTAAATACGAGTTGGGTTAAAGTTCACATTATGATTTTGGTGTGACATTTCCTTCGAGAAATCTTGTTACATAATGTCAAATCATATTCTCGCCTTAGTTATTATCCCAGAGAACAAAACAAGAACCAATGCATGCATAAATTAGGAGAGGGCTCAATCCAGTCCGGAACTAAAAATTATTATCGTCAATCAACACAAATAATTTGTGGATTTACGATAATAATTGGACGCTTCCGTATGTATCTACCCTAAACTAAACTAAACTGTACACTTTGCATAGGTCAATGATCATCATTCCAGAAACGTCTAAAGTGCTAAAACATATCTACCACACCACAAACGGAAATATTTTAAGCAGCAGCAACATTCCAAGAAATCCATCTGTACCTCTCTCACTCTCCAGTATTTCAACACATACGTCGTGTAAAGCTGCATATGTTGAAAAAATAAAAGCAGGAGTGGAGGAGAGGAATGAAATGAAATGACACTCCCTAAAAATCCAATCCAGCCGAGATGATGTACAAGACTTAACAAAATACCATTTGTAAAAGAGGGGAACGAATGCACAATAATAATAAATATATCCATTTCTTTCTTCGTAAAAGTATGTGCATGTATGGATTTAAATAAGTAAGAAACATCCATTTTCATCGTAACAGAAACTTCTTCTTCGTCATTAGTATCACTCTACCCGGATGATGACATGACGGAGGGGTGGATGATGCTGTTCTTCGGCCACATTTTTAGTCTTGTGAAATGAAATGCCTCCTTATTAACCCCACCAGAGACCAGAGACCACATGTCCTCGCAAACACAAAGAGGGTGAGAAACTAAATATGTGAACCTTCCGTCTGTCCAATGCTGAGACAGGTGAGATCATCATCAAAAATGGTGCGCAAATTTATTTATTTAGTATTTATTACAGTCTCGCAAAGATTATGAAACATTGTAAGTACAGTTTTGCATCTCGTCTCGTCTCGGAATGCATTAATAACCAGGAGAAGAGAGATATGAATTAATTAAAAACACACTTGTGTTACTAATATCCTGGATGGATCATCAATCCCATGATGATTACATACTAACGAGAAATTAACGTGTGTGCAAATTCGGATTTGATATCTACTAACGGATGGATGAGTTAAGTATTTATGTATTTCATGTGCGCAAAATAACACGAATCTGACACCTTTTCCTCCTCGTCATTTACTACGCGAACGGTTAATTATTTATTAACTGGGAATGAATCACTTCTACTTTTACTACTCCTTGTTTACACGAATGTTTTTTTTGTTGCCAGCCATTGCTATTTTTATTGATTAACTGCACCCCGTCGTGGTAAATAAGGACTAAATGATGATGGTGACCGGTCGTGGCAGTGGATTGGATATACAATATCTTTTCATACATTTTTTTTTGTTTACTACTGCGTAGCTAACTAACTAACTAACTAACATTACCATTAGTTTGTAAGTGTAGTTAATGTATATGTTTATTGACAAACAAACGAAATGAACTGCGTAATTGAAGTAGAAGGAAGAGAGGTACGACCTCTAATCAAATTATAAACTTTGTTGCTGCATGATTTACAATTAAACTCGTACTTACATATTTTGTATTTTATGCTTCCTCCCTCTACTAAAAAATGTGTATCACAAAATCAAAAGCGTGCCCCTGGTTCTTTTGTTCTGCTGGAAAAAATAGCAGCAGCAGAAGCTGAACAGCATCTACAACCGCCATAATCTGCAAGTCTGTTCAACCACCTTCTTACTTTTTTGTGGAATGGAGAATCAACCCTAGAGAAAAACTCGAGCCGGTTTATTACACCTTCTTGATCGAGGAGTTCCTTCTCCGCAAATGCCAACTGTTAGCTTATCTCAACTTAAGAAATTTCCCAACCGCCGAAAATACTTGACCGGCCCGAAACTATATCTATTTCTGCGTGAAAATATAAATTTTTGCCTGTTGCACAAAATTTTTCCTTGAAAAACAAAAGTGCCCCCCCCCCTGCCCCCAAGATAAGAATTAAAAAGATATGTACTTACCAAAGTCGCGGAACAGTTCTGGTCGAAAAAGAGTCGGTTTTTCCTTGTTGGTGGAGATTTTCAGAAATTTGGAGGAATTTTCCGAGAGAGAAGAGACGAGAAGAGAGGAGATATCGGTCGTGGTGCAGGGAACAAACTGACGGACGGACGGAGGGTGAAGAAGAAAATGCGATGGATGAGATCTTGGTGGTGGTGGTGGGAGTTTCTTTCGAGGCTTTTCTTCTCATCCTGCGTACCATTTTCCATGTTGGATCCCATATAGATCTTCTCTCGTAACGTAACAATGACTTCAAATCCCTCTCCCTGCTTGTAATTTAGTAGAGGATGTAGTAGAGTAGAGTTGCATTGTTGTGCAAATGGTGGAAATATGTACAATGTAAAAATGTTCATTCAGAAGTTTGAGAGCTAAAAGTTACTCGGGCGATTCGGATGGGAGAGAGAGAGAAGTATGTCGAAATTTATTAAAGCAATTAAACTATTGTTCAACCGGTGGAAATTCAATGTACAAAAATTTGTACAAAATTTTCATTGTTCAGAAGTTTGAGAGCTTAAAGTTAGTCGGATGATTCGGGTGGGAGAGAATTATGTCGAAATTTGTTGCTCAAGTGGTGGTGGAAATTTAATGTATGAAATGTTTTATTGAGGAGTTTTGGGAGCTAAAAGTTATGAGTGGAATGAGCCGGATGGGTGAAATTTTAGCCGAATTCGGACCAATTACAGCCATGCAAAATTCCTCATTAGCTAATGATGAGTTAAAAAATATGAAATTTGTTGTTCAACTGGTGGAAATTCAATGTACCAAAATTAAATTGGTACAAAATTTGCATTCAGAAGTTTGAGAGCTAAAAGTTAGCCGGATGGGTGAAATTGTGTCGAAATTTTAACCGAATTCGGACCAATTACATATAATAATCTCAACCATGCAAAATTCCTCTTTAAATTAAATTTACAGATAACCTCATAAAAAGTAGAGGATATGTTATATGCACTTTTTTGTTTATGTTTAAAATTGCTGACAGTGGTTCAGAAGTATTTTTTATCCAAGTGGAGAAAATAAAATACTTTGTTGATTACTTAGTATTCATGTCGTCGAGAAATGTGAGATATTTTATTATTACATTAACCTAACCATTCCACGACAGCGTTGAAATGCAGGTTCACTCACTCACTCTATTGTCAGTATGAATATATTTATGCACACAAACCAAAGCTAAATCTTGTTAGTAGTGCAGTATTAAGCAGAATGCAAATTGCGTGTTTGTTTTATTTTAGATTTATTCACGTATCTACTTCTTTAATATTTTTACTTCCCTGAAACAATTAGTTGTGTACCTTATGAGGTGGCCAGACTACATATTTAGTGATGTGGAGAGGGTTAAATTGCATGGTGGTCGTCTCAAATTCGTGAGATTAATTAATTTTTCAGTACAAGCAAAATTAACTTTTCAGACATTAAGTGCTTTTCATTTGTATTTTTACATAATTTATGTCTTCAATTTATTTAGCGTCTTATTTTTTTAGGAATTGTTAGAAAACAGTTTGTTTTAAATACGTATCAATTTTTCGAATCGGTAAATAGTCTCAATTACAAAAATACAAAAACTACCAATGTCGGAAGAGGTGTCAAAAATCAGGAAATATGATTGATGCAAGTTATGCAAATTCGACATGAAAATGCACTCTTTTGAGCAGAAATTTGTGCATGTGCATAAAACAACCCGTGGAATACATGTTTATGATTATTTTAAGATGGGTATTTTGACTCTGATAATTCTGCTCGTATTCACGGAATGAGTGGATTTTGTATCTCATTTTTTTCTTTTACGACTCTGCCCACACTTCCACCTGCACTTTTAAAACACGACGTTGTATGCAATGCACTTAATTCTGGTTGAAATGAGAAAGGTTTTAATAAGCATTAAGCACCTGCATAGGTACGACTTCCTTGGATCAATTTAAGAGGAAGATGCTCTCTGATAATAAATATAATGTGCAGCAGTGGCCGCGGAAGGGCGGAGGGACAATGTCCCCATGGTTCTTCATCATCTCCCCATCTTATGTAAACCCGTCCCTCCACAGTTAATGTCCCCGGATGTCCCCACGGCTTCCGCGGCCACTGGGAGTCAGGTCGGATTTTCTAGACTTGTTGGCATTCTCGGCATGATAACAAGTGACAGACTTCCATAAACTCGAAAAAAGTAGTAACGCCTGGAAAGTTAATGGACAGAGTCTGAATCAGATTTGAGAAGGAATCACTCATACTAATTAAGCCTTTTTTCAAGATGAAAGTCATCTGAAGAATTTAGAGGGTAAATTCAGATGGCAACCTATAAAATCTAAATATTATATAACTACATACGCAAACTTGGATTAATTAACGACTGTGTAATTAAAACTGCAATTAAACTATTTATACAATCATTCTTGTCTTACGTACGTACAATTTACGACGTATTGCAAAAATGATAACAATTGCACATATTTTGCCATGCTATAAAAATGATTTGTTTGTATTACGTATTAATTACTCATTGAGGTAATTCACATAGTCCTTGTAAACTTTGTAAAAAGTGTAAATTTTGTAGAATATTTTTAGAAACTGTTACAAAATAAAGAGACGCCCTTGATCTGAGTAAGTTTACAAAAAATTTGGGAGCTAATTTCCTATCGAAATATTTCTGGAAGTTTATAAATTTACGAAAATTACGGATTTTGCAAAGCTACCTGATGAATTTCTTAACAACGTTCTACAAAAATCATGTTTAAACTTTCATAAGGAAAAATGCCATGCAAAAATAAAACCTCTCTCTCACAATTCTCGTCTCGAGAGCCCTCTCCTCTCTGCAGATTAGTCTCTGCAGTGCAAAATATATCGCAACACTCTGCAAGATGGAGGATGTTGCGAATTGCAAAAACCATGAGTAGCAAAAGCAAAATAAAAACCACCATCAACAAAACGTACACCCAGTCGTATGTACATGATAACATTACATACATCACTATTTAGGATTAGTTGTTATGCAGTACAGTTGATGCTTGTCATGCATGCATTTGGCTAGCCTGGCACCTTTACTTGTGCAGATTGTGTATCTGCAAAATGCAAAAGTCGAGTTGAGTTTGAGACTGCGATGCGATCTGCGACTGGTTAAAGTTTTAGTCTCATTCTCATCATTGACATTTTCGTGACTCGATAAAGTTTGCAATTGCAATTTGCCTACTGCTGAATCTGCACGCTGTCTTTGACGGTGTGTGTGTTACACTTATTAGTTTTGCATGTATTTGGTATGTCGATATCTGTCTATTTCTTGGTTGGTTACATGCATATGTCAATGACAAATGTGGTGGCTGGCATTTTCAGAGTGCAGTTAGTTACACATTATACATTGATTCAACAAGTGGGTGGGTCTCCAGTGGCCACGGAAGCGTGAGGGGACAATGTCCCCACGGTTGTTCGATGTCCCCATCATCTGCCCATCTTATACAAACCCGGCCCTCCCCCCTATCCTACAATGTTCATGTCCCCACGGCTTCCGCGGCCACTGTGTGCATCTTTATGCCAGAGTTCCCGATAAAATAAAATAAAATGTGCCGTACATAATTTCTTCCCTAGGAATATCTATGAGAAGATTGTAAATTTTGATGAAAATTGCAACGACGACGAGATCTCGGGTAATCGTGAGTGAATGTAATTGTACATACATAAGTAAAAAGTAGACTAAAAGCAAGCAAGAGAAGTAGTGCAGTGTGTTAGTTAGTAAATACTGGCTTATTTCAACCAACCATCGTTAAAAAGAAGTGCAGTAGGAAATCAAAGCACCGATTTTGATATCATAATCTCTCTCAGATTGCATTTATTTTACGGGATTTTTATTTCATTTTTGTTTTTGGGTTAAAATTTAAGTCGGAAAATATTTTTATATCAAATTAATTACTGACTGATTAATTAATTGTTACGTAAAGAGTGACACTGCTTAAATAAATAAATATAAAAAATGGATTTATTTATTTTTTCTTCAATGTGCGGAAGGAGTGGAGGATGGGTATAAATAAAAATATGTGCAAGTAAAATAGTAAACAGAGCATGAGGTTCGCTTATGTATATTGATGATAAGTAGTTAATAAACATGTAAGAAGAAAATCATTAAAAATGCTGCGGGGAGAATATGCATCCTAATTTTGTTGAGTGAGGACGTTATGTTGTTTGTAGTATTAGAGCTTCGGCGTAGAGTTGTAAAATGGTCAGGGTATGAAAATTAAGAAATTTGTTTTACAAAAGTTCGGAATTTTATTTAAAGAAGCAATGCTTGATTTTGTAAATATATTTTTCTTCGATTTTCTCGTATTTATTTCAATTTTTTTCGTCGACCGGAAGCAAGTGAAATAGTTTCAAAATTTTGAAAATGTTCTTATGTTGACCATTTCGATTACTCCCGGTTTTTCAGATCTCTTTTCATTCATGAGGAGCCTTCATTTTTGGCAAACCGGGCTTGCCTTAAGTGCTTGGCGTACAAATAATAAATGGCAACAATTTTGCGAATTTTTGGCATTATATTCCACATTTATTGTAACATTTGCCTTATAAATTTAAAGCTCGGCAAACAGTCATAAATTCCCGTCATCCCAGGTACAACTCTACTTTTGCATGCATATTTTATTTACAGAAGAAGAAGAGCAGTGCATAAGCACTATAAGTACAGTACTTGTCGTCGTTCCGTGTCTGATGTGCATTAATTTAAATGTGTGATTAGTTATACTTATGGAGGTTTTGCCTGGTTCGTTATTAGGTCCATTAGCCTACTGCCTTCCTGTGCCCGAATTGAAATGAATTCGCCGTATTTGTATCCCACGCCATGGCATCATTCCTCCTATCTGCATAAATATCCATACCGTAGTTAGTTAACTCTACTAGTAAATATTCCTTAAATGGTAGTCGTGGGTGATGTGATGTGATGTCGGTCGGTCGGCAAATTCTTATTAAATGACGGTCAAAAATCAAAGTGATGTTGTCCGCGATGTACTTGTTCTCTGTCCTGTTCTGCTTAAAAAATTATGAAATAAGAACAGGAGATATTCGGTACATACTTCTTAAATGACTGTTAAACATCAAAATGATGCTACGATACGACGTTGTCCGGGATGTACTTGTTCTCTGTTCTGTTTTTTTATGGAACAAGAACAAGCGATATTTAGTTCCTCGATCAAATCTTCAATGATGCATCTCATCTCTCTCTCTTTTTATTCAATTAGTTCACCCTCTCTGACTGACTGGGAGGATTGGACATAAATACGTACGTACGAGATGAGATTGGCATTAATACATTTTACATTACAGTTGGTCTCGTCGTCACCAGTGGCCACGGAGGTGGGACAATGTCCCCAAGGTTATTCGATGTCGGCATCATCTGCCCATCTTATATAAACCCGGTCCTACAATGCTAATGTCCCCACGGCTTCCGCGGCCACTGCTCGTCGGAACAGATTTAAGCCGAGATTGTCGTCCAATTCCCATCCATCCAACTGGGGTCATCGTTCAATCTAATTCAATAATATTTTACCCTCGACCAGAAAAAGTTATCCTCTCTGACTGTCTACCAATCTAATAATGAGTGAGGTTTTTTTATGAGGACATGCTCATCCTCTGACGATGATGGTCCTACTTATGCTCGTACAGTTGGACGAACCCCACAATAATAGAGAGGCACACAATAATGAAATGAATGATTCTCATAGGATGGATTTATTTAGCTGGTCGAACGAAACTGGGTTACTGGAGGATAGCGGTTGTCCTATTTTGGCAACAATTTATCATAATTTCACCTCCTTTTGACCCACTAATTCTTCTACCCGCAGTACTTCTCCCACCATGCACACGTTATGCACATTTGTACCTCGATGATGTACATATGTAGCTTAGCTGCTGTTACAATTGCTCGCCATTATTATTATTATTATCGCGTGGTATTTTGCATTTGCCCTAAAATAACAAAAAAGCCAAAGACCAGACCAGACCCACGTATCAAGCGAAATCTGCACATGGATGGATGGATGGATGCGAAATAAAGTTTTTTAAGCTGGTGGTGCTGCTTCTGCTGACTTGCTTCCATCTCCCATAATAAATATTACTATGAGCGTCACCAAACCAGCCAAGCCACGAAATGAATATCTGCATACAGACGTACGAGTAGGAAGGAGTTTACGCATAGAGAATAAGATCACCATCATCACCATCATCCCAATTCAATCCCATTTAACTCTTGTAGTTTAGTGTAGTGTAGTGTAGTGTAGTCGTGCAGACAATTCGCGAGCTGCATTAGTGAAGAATTGCGAGTGAGTGAATATTTATGTATACGGCTTTTTCTGTGGAAGGTTTTGCCATGCAGGAATGAAGAAGATAGCACAATTTCTTCTTGACTTCTTTCTTCTTCTTCCGACGACGACGACGAAACTTCACGACACTCCGCGCGTCCCGATCATCAGCCCAATTAATCGGGTAGTTTAGTTTTGCGGGTGGTTGTATGTGTGGATTGTTCTTAGTCTGGAGTTTGTGGAGAGAGGAGGAAGGACGGACAGAAGTGGGTGTGGGTGGGAGGTGGTGGGGGGAGGAGGACAAGAAGTGGTCGAAGTTGGTAGTGGGTCAAGAAGAAGATTGAGTGGAAATTTTGAGATGTTTTGTACTGAACTAAATTAGTGTGTGGAAAAGTGTCGTGTTTTGTTTCTTCGAATGTAAATAAATAAGTGTTGTTTATTATTGTGATAAGTGACGAATCTAGTTGTGAAGATAAGGCCAAAGTTGGAAAAATTTGGACCGGATTTATATTACACACACAGGGGCCGGTCTTCGGATAGTTGATACAGGTATGAAGAGAACCTTGACGCTGTTAAGGTATCAGCAAATTTGTAAAAATATATATGGGTTAGAAATATAGGAGGAAAATTGGGGGTATATGTTTTTAAGAAATTTCAAATATTTCATGAGGAAAATAACAAGGTTTTGATGAGCGTCGCATCTCGTGCAAAATTTTACAAAACTGTACATATGAGGTCCATTGCATTTGCAGAAATATCTATCCTTAAAAATTACCGAGTGTCGCATTTCGTGCAAAATTTTGCCAAACTATATTTGCAAAAATATCTGTCCTTAAAAATTGTTCCTTAATATAAGAAGTTAAACACGTATAAAAAATACCAAAGTGTATCATGATCCATTTCATTTGCATAAATATCTCTCATTAAGAATTACTCCTTATTAAACATGTATATATCAAAAATCAAATTAATTAAACCCACCGCAACTAACTCCCAAATTAGGAAAAAAACCCATTGAACCACTGATCCAATTGTTTCATTGAGATGGACCACATTTACATCATGACACACACACAGCAAAGCAACGCCGATTGTCAGTCAGCCTGTCCTGCATATGTAACACTCACCAAGTGCAAGGTTACCTGAGTAGAAGGAGATCCTTCTTCTCATTGTTGTCAGACAGGTCGGTCGGTCGGTCGTCGTCGTCGTCAGTTTTCAAAGTCATTTCAAATCATCCTCATCGAAGGTTGCCTATGCAAAAGTTTGCATTGCATGGCCTCTCCGACCGATCCGCTCCATTTACATGTATCGATGATGAGGAGCCGTCGTTTTTTTAAAATTTGAGACACAATGCAAAGGGCAGACGTACATATAAAATGAGATAAAATACTAATAAACTTCTTCTCTTCTCCTCCTTCTATCCTAGTCACCTACTTTTGCAAACAACATCTTCTCCTTCTGCCCAACTTGATCTTCTCTCATCTGGTTTGCTTTTGACGATCTCTCATCTCATCTCATGCATCCACAAGTTTTTTGCAAAATGCAAGCAATCCACTACTCGGTGTGGGTATGACCACGACCAGAGTGGCACACACATACACAGGGTAAGAAAAACAAGCAGGTAAATGCTCTTTGACTTGGTTCACATAGATAGATTCGTAAAAGGAACTTGTGCTCTGCTTAGTGTAAAGTGTGCTATTCGTACATACAATCTGTAGCAAAAGTGGTATCATTACTTAGGAATAAGGCGTGTGTGGCACACCGCACGAAGACCACCGCAAAAGTGTGAGTGTTGTAAATTTATCCATTCAGAAAAGACGGAGAGGTGGAAATGAATGGAAAGCATTTCTAGGGGTTTTTTACCACGTAATTTTCAGATTATTTAGTTGTCCATGTAGAAGCGATGATGATGACCCACATCGACCCCGCATCAGTCGTGACGAGGACGACGCTTCATTCGCGACTAATCAATAACGTAACGGTAGAATCATACGCATCCTTTTTTTCGGATCTGTTAGTAGGAGAGAGCAAATACAAATAAACTAAATTTGCCGTGTCAGTCAGTCAGTCAGTGAGAGATGTCACACAACAAATCCGTACCGTCGGGGAACATTTACATATATAGATGCTGCTATATTTTATCTCTTTAACCTAACCTCAACTAACGAACCACACCTGAAACATAACACTTATTATAATAATAACATTATCATCATGGCTTCTTCTTCCTTCTTGAGCTAGTTGAATTGGCATCCATCCACGCAGGATGGGGAGGGAGGTAGGGAGGATCATTTGGATGTCAAGGTATTTGGGGCAGGAGTCACATATAGGATGTTGACGATTGCCTACCTACCTACCTGGCGATGTACGTAACGATTATTGTATGGGTTCCTTCTCCTTGACTCTTAGCTTAATACCAATTTAAGGCTGCGAAATAAGAGATAGCCAGATGGATGGTGAGACACACATTTTCAAGTGCGAATGTAAGGATCTGCATGAGCTGGGATACTAGGCTGGGTATCACATCGCGTTACTTACTTACTCACTTATTAGCATCGGATTCGTGTGCTAAAACGAGTTGTGAAGAATAGGCCAATGTGCTAGTAGTCAAAAGTTGTTAAACTGAACTGAGGCTCACCATCACTCAAGTTTAGTTTGTACGTAGCGTTAAGAACAATATGAAGAAATGAAGAAGATGGTGGTGGTAGTGGCAGTATGTATATGGTATCGGTGGCCTAGTAAATAAATAAGTTGCCGTATTACTCAGGGGATTGCTTGCGAGTCAAGAGTATCATGGTCGTCGTCGCATTGTTGCTGGCTTGGCTTGGCTCGGTTAAAAAATAATCTGCAAAACTAAACTAGGAGCAAATAGAGGAGGAGGAGGAGGTGGTCGTGGTGGTGGTGGTGGTGGTGGCCGCAAAAGTCTCAATCAATTGTGACTGACTTTGTTTCCATCCGCCACGCGAGAGTGGTACATAATAAGTCGGCATAATGTACGTACATACAACAACGGGTAATAAGCATTAATGTAATTGTGTATTGTTTGGTTCTAGAGAAGTGTCCTAAATTAGGAGGAGGGACCATGACGTGAAACGAATCAATGGAACCCAGAAGATTGGCGGTGGAGCGGGTTCCGTGATTTTTTTTGGAGGGGAGAGAGTGACTTACCGGTGTTGGATTGATAAGTGTGACAAGGTTTGTGTCCGTGTTCGTGACTGTGTGGGTGGGAGGGAGGGGGACGATTGACTGACCGTGGTGGTCAGAATGTCGGGTGAAACGCAGGTCGAAGTGCAACTCCATCACGCCATCGCGTCCCATCCCGCGATGAGTGACCCCATGACGAAGTTATCCTTAGGAGGGAATGGTCTCCACTCCAGTGGCGGGTCTACTGGGGACGATTCCAGCGGGGAGGAACCCACCCATCGGCATCATCATCACCATCATCATGTCGTCCTTCCGAAAAAGATTCGACTCAAGGAGCCCAAGAATATTTCGATCAAGTCGACCTCGTCCCTGATTTCGATGATTTGCCAGGCGGGCGGTGGGGGTGGGTCCAGCAGTGGAAGCAGCAGTCGGGACGAAAATTTAATGGATGATCAAAGCCCGGATGGGGACGATGACTGCAACTCGCTCAAAGACGGTGGTGGTGGGAGCGTCGGTGGTGGTGGTGAAAGAGGTGGCATGACACATTCCCTCACTTCTGGAGAGGTACGTATGTATGGAGTCAGATTTACAAATTTTACAGTAATCATCAGTGAAATTGTAAGGTGAAGGATAAGTCGCATATGCATAGATAATTTTTGCAAATAATTTGGCAATTTGGGCGCATGCAAATTTCTATATACATTTTCGCAGTCTCTCAATTTTCTGCAACCCTATCCAGATCATGATCGGTTTTACATATATCGGTTCGAAAAACAATATACAAATGATTTAAAATTGATTTTATGTCGCCATCCACACAATCACACCGGCGTACAAACAATGAGAAGGAAGTTGCATATGAGACGAGGGTGAAGAAACTAATATTTGCCGTGTTGGTAGTTTATTTAGCACAGCTCTAGCAAAACAAGGCAGCATTTCTATACGTGGTGGACTCAATCCATTATTCGTAACAAGTCTGTATTATGCCTACCTATTACACATGCAGATTTGCAAATGAGCAGTGCAAAATTTAATTCGCAATATATATCTCGAACTGATTTGCACATTCAAATCTGTCCTGATTAGGTAGGTAGCCGGGTAGTGGCCGCGGAAGCTGTGGGGACATTGGCATTGGGGAGGGACGGGGTTTCTATAAGATGGGGAGATGATGCGGACATCGAATAAACAACCGTGGGGACATTGTCCCTCTGTCCCCACCCAAGCTTCCGCAGCCACTTATGGAAACTGTAGATTTACGAAATTATGAAAACCAGTGGCCTTAGAAGGCGTGGGGACATCTGGGGACATTGACATTGTAGGAAAAGGAAGGGACGGGTTTACCACGAATAACCGTGAGGACATTGCCCCTTTGTCCCCTCACCCTTCCGCGGCCACTGACCGGAGTGTAGTCGAACCTACGAAATCATTTACCACTTCTTCTCCCACCGCACTTTTAACTATTTAATGTTCGAAAAAAGCACCCTAATAAAACTCTCGTCTCACATTTTCATCCATTTCATTTCATTGAATTTGTTCTTTCTTTCTTTTTACGATGGGCTCAGAACTCAGACGACGCGGATGCCGATGGAGAGGACCACGTAGGATTTCATTCCTCCAAGTCTGAGAAAAATTGCAGGTTGCCGATCGAATGTGACGTGTGTAACATGAGATTTTCTAACGGGGCCAATATGCGGAGACACAGGATGCGTCATTCGGGTTTGAAACTTTATCTGTTTATTAAACTTTACACCACCAACCAGGTCCAGTTCTCAGAAGGCTTGTTTCTCTTGCGGAGAGGAGAATTTGCAAATAATAATAATAATTTTATTATTATTGTTATTATTGTGAGAATAATAAAAGGAGGGTAGTTTTTTGCACGTACGTAAATAAGACGAGTGACATGTATTGTGTGGCTGACTTTTAATTAGTTCATGTCTTTCTTCTTCCTCCCCCGTATTTACATGTTTGCGTCCCATTCTTCTTCTTTTCGTGACCAAGTACAAGACCACCACCGACCTGAATTTATTGCCATCTTGCCCTTGTCCCTGGTCATTCGGGAGAGATTTTATTTAATGACATAAGGAAATCATGAAGGGCGGTGGTGGTGGTAATCGGACCCCAAAAATAAAAAGTGACCCCGCACTCACCTCGGCGGTAGTTAATGTTAATATTAATCGCTCCTTGTTAAATTCGTCTCTAGGTATTAAACCGTTCGAGTGCAAGATATGTCAGAAGCGGTAATTAATTGTTTCTTTTTTGTGGAGAAAATAAATAGTTTTTTGAAATTTATGTGTTTTTGAATTTTTGCCAGGTTTTTTAGGAAGGATCACTTGGCCGAGCATATGGCCACGCACTCCAAGCTGTTGCCATTCCGGTGTCCCATATGCAATAAAGTGAGTGGTGCAAAGTGAGTGGTAACAAGGTCAAGTTGGTAACATTGGATTTGTGTGTGTGTAGGGATTCCAGCGTCAAATTGCGATGCGAGCTCATTTTCAAAATGAACACGTTGGAGGTTCTCAAGACGTGGTGAAAGCGTGTCCATTGTGTGCTTATAAAGCAGGTAGGATTTATTTATTCTTCTCAAAGTCTCATTTTTCCCAGACTTACAATGTGAAGGTTTCTCAGCGTATGCTCTCCGATTTTGAGGCTCAAACTAGTCTCAATCGATCACAAATTTAGTTAATATGAAATTTGGGACAGACATGATCTTCCAATGGGAACATTTGGCTGAGATGTTTGCATCCGAAGAGGAGAAGTCGCGCAGTAAAGTCGATAAATTTTACACTTTCCAAATTTACTGGGTGTTTTCTCCTCTTGGGATGCAAATATCTCGGCCAAAAGTGCCCATTCGGAGATCGTGTCTTTCCAAAATTTAATACTAATTAAATTTCCCATCGAATGAGACTGGTTTGAGTCTCAAAATCGGATCGCATACGCTGGGAGACCTCCATTCCTAGTTAATTATTTGCCTGCTCACTCACTAACAGGGTCCATGAAATCCTTGCGTGTTCATTTCTACTCACGACACGGGATTGACCTCGATAACCCGATGCCACACTCGCCCTCGATGAATAACAATGGGCGTTCGACCGCGTCCCCGTCGGGGGGAAATCCGCCGGGCGAGTACAGCGAGCTCGCCCACGCTTTGGGATTTGAGGACCGTGGCGAAAAGAGTAACGACTCGACCATGATTCCCTCGCACTTTTTGGTCCCGCAAATCGAAATTTCTTCCAATTCGCCGTATCCGGCACACTTTCCGTTCAATGCGGGATCGAGCTATATTTTCTCTCGAGAGGAGAAACACAATACTAATGGTGATACGATTTTTAGGAAATATTTGGGTGGGCAAAATGTATGCTTTGTAAAAATATGAGGTATTTTGATCTCTGTTGTTCGCAGGGTTTGGATTTTTGGGGGTGTTACACGCACAAAAATATGAAAATCTGCGTATGGAAAAGCCAGCAGTCATACGAAATGTCAGGTTTTATGAAGAAATTTACTTTTTATCGGTGTCAAAATGCATTGTTTTCATGATTTTTTAAAAATTCATGAAGTATTTTGATAGAGATAAAAAGTACATTTCTTCAGAAAACTTGTATTTTCGTGCAACTGTTGCCTTCTCCACATAGATTTTCACCATTTTGTGGGTGTGACACCCCTGGAAATCAAATATTTTGAACAACTGAGCTCAAAAATACTGTTTTGACAAAGTATTTTGCCCATCTATTTCAGAAATATATACATTTCTGGAATAAAAGTGCAATTTTTTCTTCTTCCAAAATTCAGGCAACCGAAGTTCCACTCCGATTTTACAAAACCAGATTTCGCCACATTCTGACTCCAACGTCCCAACGAGCTCTGACCTGGTAAAAATTGTGGTAAAGAAGGAAACCACGACGGACGATAGTTGCGCGGACCAATCGGCCGGTTCTCATTCCAGAGATTATTCCGACAGCAATAATGACGTGCAGGACATGCCGGAAGATTTGACGCTGTCCTCAAGCAACGGAAATTCCTACAGGTCAGACTATTCTTATGATTAGCAGTTAGTTATCCCTGTAAAAAAGTGGGGGACGGGGTTGCCTTCTCTCTTCTGACACAATTGTGTTACCAGATCCCCGGAAGGTTCGCCGAAATGCAGCTCTTCATCCAAACTGTCGCCGTTGAAGTGTCTCCTCCGCGAGGACTGGAGACCACAGGAGACCGCACAAAATGGAACCGGTGGCAGTGGTGGCGTTCCTACGGCTCCGAGAGATCGAAGCGATAGCAGCTCGGGACATTCCAGCAACTCGAATTTCCAAAATCAGGTATATAATTTTACGATGCGGAAATTTTATGGAGTTTACTTTACAATCCCGTTTTAAGAAAAAGATTTTTGTACTTCAAGAAAACTTGCTATTAGAAATCGTAACAGTTTTTCTTTACAAAATTCTTGCAATATGATAAGGAATCGATAACCAACTGTCCAAAGCAGCCCTCCAAAACCGGTTCTCATCAGTTTTGGGCACCGAATTTTGGACATTAAAAAATCCACAAGTGTCCAAAATTGAAAATGAGGCAAAATGATACAAGTTTTTCATTATTGAATATCTCCATAATCTGTTGACGTATATGTAATCTCCCATTCATTTTAAGTATTTTAATCTGTACTACAGCATGATTTAGAGAATTGCTTACTTCTCATGTATGGAAGAAAACATGTTAAAACAAAAGTTTCTTGAAATTTAGTGGTATTATACACACACCAAAATGCTCAAAATTAATGCGAGATTACGTATCTATACATACATAGATTTGCAAAAGGAGTCATTATTAAATAACTTGCAACATTTAGCTGCATTTTCAAATATTGGGCGCTTTCGAACATTTTGGACATCCAAAATTATTTTGCCCAGTTTTGCCCCGTTTTAAACGGTATCAAGTCCAAAAACTAGTTTTGAAGTCCAAAACGAACCACTAATCTCTTCGTTCCCATTCCAGTCCTGCGATGGAGAAGTGATCACCTCCTCGAACGGTCAAACGCCCCCGGAAACGGCGGCGTCGCACTCGCTGTACGGTCGTCGCGGAATCCCGTTCCCCGCCCTGCACCAATGCGTTTACTGCGGCATCATCTTTCCCGACAAGACGCTCTACTTCCTGCACAAGGGCTGCCACTCGGAAATGAACCCTTGGCGTTGCAACATCTGCGGAGAGCTCTGCAACGACGTGTACGACTTTAATTCCCATCTGCTGAGCAAATCTCATCAGTAAATTATTCCACTATTTATTTATTACTTATTTATTGTTGTTATTTATCACGTGTAAATTATTCCGCGTGTGTTTGTCACGTTATTTAAAATCATTTTACAGCAATCTCATTATTATTTGAAAAAAGAGAACTAAGGAATCCATTAATTTCTTATCTGCCCGATAAGCGTGGAGCGTATTGGTATCGAGAGAGAGATATTTGCCATACCGTAATTTATTATTAAATATGTATGTACTGCCATGACTTGAAATTGCTATTTTTTTCGAGTCCTCTCAGTCTCTGTCCATTAAAATTAACCAAAAAAGTAGTTAATTAATTGTTATGATTAATTATGTATGTCGGTGAGGTGGGTGGGTGAGGGGTGGTCGTCCCGCTGTGAGAGAATTCCGTTCTTCCAAAAACTTATAAATACAAAGATGTGAAACATTGTTGAGAAAATATTTATTTATAAAAATCCAATCCACCCGGTCAAAATCGTGGAATAGTTTTTCATAAAAATTTATAAAAATTGAAATTAGTATATATTTTAATTTGACTAATAAATAGTGAGAAAAATATTGATACCGAAATTAAATCGTCGTGCTACTTACAAAGTTTTGAAATAAATTGAATTCTGAATAAATTTGATATCAAGTATTAATGACCTATTATTCATAATATAGTGTAATTATTATACTATAAATTAAATCGCGATTCACACACGCACAATTTTCTGGAGACATTTTAAAATACCAATTCTGCCTTTTAGACAGATGCACAATGGATTTTTTTTAGTAAGTATCATGATAAAGTTTGGGTTGAAGAGATAGTTAACAATACAATACTTTTGTATATAAGTATTAATATAAAATAGCTGTATCTGACCAGTTTTACAATTAATATAAAAAACACGGTATAAAAGTGCCCATGACTTCGAAATCGACGCAGCGATTGACAAATTTTAGATTAATTAACAACATCCTTTTGTATAAAAAACGTATAAAAATGCCGATTGGATTACACATGACTTTTAAAATCGACGCAGCGATTCTATTAGAAAAAAAATTACTGAACAACAATTAGTGACACTACTTTTCCTTCACGGATAATTTTACCGATGATTCCATCGCGTAGTTGATGAAACTTTTGTTTTTCATGGGGTATACCTGGAAGGGAGGAAGGAGAGACGTTTGTTAAGTAAAATGATGGACATATCAAATTATTAATATTGAGTCAATTCACGCCAGGCTTTGTAGCGTAATCAATTACGATCTTTTGACGAAACTTGGAACATCTCGAAGGTAATTTTTGCTTGCGAAATTACAAAACCTTGCGAAGATAAAAGGCATGTTTTTGGTTCGTAACCTGATATTCGTAAGTTTATGTGGTTACGGGGTTACGAAGGCTGACATGAATTGCCTCATAGTTTCTAATTAATTCTTTAACTTACAATTTAAAAATTATTGATACACGTCAATTTTCACCACTCGTCGTCGGAGTCGCTGGTATCGACCACCCATGCCCATCCCATTTGAAAAAACTTAAATCTCGATACGGACATCTCTTCTGACATTTAAACTCCAAGACATTTCTCAGAGTTTCGTCACCAACCTGAAAACGAAATCAACACAAATACTTAAATAGTATTCCATCCTATTAAAAATACGCAATACTAAGCCATTAATGTGACACTAACTTACATAAAGATCATTAATTATGACCTGATCCATCTCTTTCATCGAAACGAGCAGCTCCTTAAATGCATCCATCTCATGGTGCTTAAAATCGCGTCCGATTTCATTTTTCCTGTACGTGTCGATCACCAAGCTATTCAGTTCTGAAGTTTAAGTGCATGCGGAATAAAATAAATTAACATATTGGTTAAAATATGTAGATGATACTTTTTCGAAAAGTCGGTTAAATAGGTATTTATCGAAAATTTGTACATTTTCTGCTTTTAATAATATAATTTGAAAAGCTGACACTCACTTTTGTACAAATCACGGCCGATTAACAGAGCTTCAATGGTATCTCTCATTCGTTCTGGATAAGTTGGCAGCCACAAATGAAAGTGATTCAACGTGTCCAAACCCGCACACGCCTTAAGAACCACGCCCAACTCCATCCCACCCATCTCCTTCTTGTGGAACGTATCTAGCGCCAATGTCGTCAAGTTAGGAAACGCAGTCTTCAACCCCTCCAAAAGCTTGGGATCGTACAACTCGTTAATATTCAAATCCGTGACGTTTGTCAAAATCCGCTTCGTTTCTAGCAGCTTTTTCAAAATTGCATCCATACTTGTCGACTTTTTGCATATCTTTCCAATCTTGAACGATTCCAGGGCTGGCATTCCTACGATATCTTGCCAGAGATCGGCATGCTGAATAATGTCGATCAGGTCGTTTTTGTACGTACGCAATTTCGACATCTTTCTCGGCAAACGGAATCCGGATGAGGTCGAGTTATCCAGATCGTAGTTGTCTTCCATGCTGAATCTTGAATTGGCGTAGATATAGGAAAAAGACAGGTGGACGAGTTGATCACCGACTTGATTTAGTAGACGTGCGAGGTCTAATGGTTTCAAGTCTCTCAGAGAGATGTCTGGGGGCCGCATGTGGTCCAACTTGAGGGTTAAAGAATCTAGGAATTTTGAATTTTTCAAATCTGGATAGCTTCCCCACGGAAGGGTGACCTTTCTCAAATTTGGTGAGGCGTTGACGACCAGCTGAATAAAACTGGTGAGAGCAGGGGACGACTGTTCAGAATTCAGCTCGAACACGGTCAAATTTGGTTTTTGTGGGAGCGGCGCTACCAGAATTTCTCCAGTGGGAATATCTTCCGCGTTGTTGAAGATGCAATTGATTCGAAATTGTTTCAAATTCGGACAGGAGTGTTTGAAAACGTGGAAAATCGATGGTAAATAGTCCCCAGTTTCGATTAGAGTCTCCAGTATTTGGACTTGATCACTAAATATGTGACACAGATGCATCAGCTTAGCGGCGAAACGGTAAGTGGCCCCGGCACAAGAAATCCGTTTGGAAAGTCGTTCATCTAATGTGAGACAGAGTTGGAAAAATGGAACGGGGTCTTTTTCATAGTCGTCATCCTTGTTGGTAAGGTTCAGCACGAGCCTCGTGTTCGGGAGGGAGAGGACAATTTCGTTCCAAAAATGACAAACCAGTCGACAATTTTTCAACGTGGCGGAGCTCTGTTCGAATATTTTCTCCAAAATCTGAAAGTTGGAAAAGTTGATTTTTGAACGCGATATTTTCAACGGTTTTAAGATCGTTTTGCTTACAATTGGATTATTCAGTGCGACTAGTTCCACACTTCTTTCTTCTGGAGACTCCATAATCTTGAAAAAAAGTTGTCGAGTTGTCGACTTGGAACGCTTTCCTAATTTGAAATTACCATTTATTTTTTAGAAGAATTTTTCACATTTTGCAAATCATTAGAAATTTTGTATATTAATTGGAATAGGAAATGTTCTCTAACGACTTACAAAAGTTTAAGTTGATGAACAATGGTTTGAGGAATGAACTCACATTAATTAAAGTTAATTAACTTAATTTAATTGTTATAAATACAGTGGAAGTGTTGAACTTTTTTACATTTATAGCACGTGTACAATTTGAATCACAGTGTGTCTTTCCGCACGGGTGGATGAACACCATGAAAAACCTCGCTGGGGTCTCAAAAAGTGAGGCCATGTGGAATAGTTTTTCACTAAAATTTATAAAATTGATATTGGTATTTATCTAAATTTGACTTATAAATAGTAAAAATAAAAAAATATATCAGAAATTATATTGTCCTGACTGTTAAATACTACTTAACTTACAAAGTTATTACCATGCAGGTTTTGAAATAAATTTAAATTCTGAGTAAATTTGATATAAAGTATTAATTCTTTATTTATTCTTTAACCCACTTATCAATCCCATATTATATAATTATTTATGCAAGTACATGAGACTGCACGCGTGTTTATTCATTTATTTTCTTCCAGATTTTTTTGACGACGATTTTCTTGATACAAAGATTGTCATTCAGGGAGAAGGGATTCGGTCAGAGTCAATTAATTGTTAGATCTAAATGTTAAAATCATCAGGAGTAGTTAATAATTTAATGTATTGCTCTCTGCAAAATATTTATTTTAAATGATAACAACAAATTTGTAAAGTTTAGCAAGGAACGCAATTAGAACTTTGTCTCGTTTTAATGAAACAAAACTATACAAATAATAAATTTATGTTGGTATCTATCTATGGTAAACTCGGTCTATATAGCTCATATGGTTTACTAAATTTCACTATTCAGACAACTATTATAATAAATACGTAAGCAAAAATTAAGCGTTTTTATGAAAACAATGATGTTGGGAAATTGAGACAAGTTTCTTATCCACAAAGGAAAATGATAATGTACAAAAATATTGGATACGTATGTATGAATTATGAGTTACACAAATATAATTTGTAAATCGAAATTGAAATTAAATAACTGTGATGTTCCTTAGCTCAGAACAGAAGATTATGGAATATTATAATGAATATTCCTGGGTTGGTGGGTTGGTGGAAGTAAGGTAACAATAATAAAAACAAGTAACAAGACTAACTATACATACATAAATAATAGTGTAGAAACTATAACACGTAGCGCCTACATAAATACAACTATCATCCTAATAGGTAAACATAGGTATTAGTAATTTGTATGTATGTATACAGAGGAACACAACAAAGTAGAATGTAACGAAATAAATAACTATAACTATAATACAACTAAATGAGCTACGGAAAGTTTCCGTCGGAAACATAATTGAATCGCACAAATTTACAGAATGTTTGGGATCATGTTGACGTGGTTCTGACTAATTCAGATGGGGCGTGGTGTGTGAAGCCCTTCCACATCGGGCCCCACGGTGGGACAGTGGTCAGAATTTTGTGGCCCCCAGTCATGCAAACCATTGGTCAGGGAGGGTCGATGAGTGAGACGATGGGCGATGCTGAATCCGCCACTACCTTCGAGTTGCGTTAGGACAATAATTACTTGCCTACATAATGAGAAGGAAAGATGAAGATTTAACGCGTATGTAACTGGATTATGTATAAGATGTGTTATGACTGAGCTTACCTGTGGAGTGGGGGCACGGCGTCCACAGTTTTCAGTTGATTTCTAGTTGATACGACATTGTAACTTTCTTGGCAATCACATTTAACTTGAATCCATTTATCATCATGTCGATTTTCGACAACTACGACTAAACCGGCCCAACCCTTGGTTAAATAGTAAGCAGTCATTCCTTCGCGACCTGAAAGGAGCAAGGTTCAAAACGGCCTGATTAATATTACGCAGTACTAAATTCATGAAATGTGTGACAATGATGAAGTTGCTTCCATTCATATTTTCGCTTTGAAAACGAGCAAATAAATTTCCCAGAAAACAAAGGTTTTCATGGAGGAAAATTGATTATGGATCCCGTTTTTCGAACCTTCAGTGGCATGAGTATGCTTACCTTCGTGACGTTGACCACGCTCCATTGTTAGACGAATGATTGCGTCGGCCAACATGTACGGAGGAGGGGCGATTTGGTCGGATAACACCTTTTTGGAAGAATGAAGAGACATCACATACCGAGGATAAGGCAAATCCACTCCTGCACAGAATAATAATTAATAGTTGTCGATAAGAAGAATTTGTATTATCTCATGAATTTTTCTCACCACTGTGCCAATGATTAAACGCGAGAGGAACGGCGAGGTAAAATCCTGGCTCAATCATCTTGTGGCATCCCACAAACCCCTGAGAGAATTTTGATACATTTATTACATATTATTTATAATTATTAACAACCCGAATGGACATGACGCTTACCCTAACTTGTCGTTTCGAATGTTCAACCAAACGTCCAAGAACTAATTTTTGAGAATCGCTCTGACTCGTCTCCAACCCTCGAAACAAAACGACACATAAATCCAATTGCGATCGCTGCGATTTTTCCGAATTCCTGGAAAATCAAAAATAAAAATGGTAAGTAATTATATTTTTAATCAATTACGAAACATGAATGAATCAGTAAAAACATGTATTTTACCGGTGTCCTTCTTGAAATAATGAAATCTCTATTTCGGTGGCCTCCATGACCGTAATTAAAATGCAGGATAAATGCTGAAGATCCGACGAAGGTGGAAGAATCCCTTGCAATCTGCGCTCGTGCCATCCGTTTCTAACTTTACAAACGTCGATACAATCAAAATATTTTAGCATGTCGTCAAAAGCTATCCAAAATACGCCATCATCTGCACCGTCCGGCATCTGTAAAAAAGAAGTTGACAAACTTAATATATTTCCAGATTAACAATAATTATGCATGTATTTGCAATTTTGGAATTGGGTCTGCTTACAAGTTTCTTTCTCAGTTCGGATGACCACAAGGGTGACGAGTCACTCCAATTTCCCTTCCAACTATAGCGGCCCCAAGGGTTTCGGAGTCTCAGTAATCTGTAACACGTAGCATTATTAGCCACGTATTAAAGGTATCCTTAACGGTGTTTACCTTAAGCCATGTGATCCATCAACATTTAGAACGGAATATGCATGCCTGGGGCGAAGACCTTTGTCCCGATATTCATCCTGAAGCAATTCATTAGCATTTAATTTTACTTTTTGTTCAAGAAATTTTATTAATTTGTAAATTTTCAGTCCAAGAAATCATTACCTCATCAACTTTCATGTTCCCACCGCCGCACGATGCTCCCATTAGGAATCGAGCAGCATGACAAGAAAGCAGTTGGGCCCATACTAAATCTCTATCAAGCTCTTCATCCGCTCCACTCTGAAAATATATTTCACCATCATCGTTTACTTTCAATTTTACGAAATTTCATCACGTTAATTAACAAATCGCTGTTTTCTTGGCACCTGGAGTGGTATACTTTCACACGGACACCCAGTCAACGTTGCAAGTCCTTCAATTGCCCTTCCAGACACCAAAGCTTCATAACACCCATGAATTTTTGCAACAGCTTTCTCTATGAGGGGGACCCAAAGCTGCCTCCGTTTAGCCTAACAATACATTAGTTCGTATTTAAAATGGAGCCACAAACTAATATTATGTAGTAACCAAACTGGACATACCTGGGAATAAACTAAACGCTTCCGTCGATCACAAGGCAGCAGGTCATCAACTATCACAGTTGTCCAAGATCCATCTTTGCACAAGCGAATTAAATACGCTCCCACTGGAGACATTTCTCGCGTCACCAGGATCCGTTCTACGAGCTCCTTCCTTTCCGCAATGACGGCAAGGGCGCTCAACAACCAACAATTGCCAAGAACACCTACCAATAAAACGTAACAAATTAATTTCACATACATAATCTTATTCATTGTTAACTTTGTATTTCCCAAACCTTGAGATATATCGGAGGGTAGCGGAGTGCGGAAAACGACCCAAACCGTATTTTCACAACCCTGTTCAGTCACGATATCCTTGGGTCGCAGCCACTGCGTGACTAAATCACCATTCGCTGAAGATACTTTGGGATTGTAGTACAACGACTTGGGAGCCGGAGGGAACGAGTCGTCGACAAATGCATCGCCACTCTTTTGACAAAAGGTAACAATCTCGTGATACTTTTGCTTAGTTCCCTTCTTCGTTATGGAAATCGTGGGCGGCATGGATGACGATCCAGAGGACGAGTTTGCTTTCCGAGTTCCTTGGCACATCTCGCAGGTTGTGGCTTTCATCGGATTCTTAAAGGTGCATTGGGTGCAGGACCATTTCTTTTTTATGTAGCCGTTGGCGCACTAAAAAATACGTAAAATTGCAAATTACAATTAATTACGAGTATGTCACTTGTTAAAAAATAATGAATCACGTACCTTGAATTCCTTATTCTTATCCCATCTACACGCCTGACAACGCGTCGAGTACAGCGGGTTTTGCAACGTGCAGACTGGACACGACCAATATTCTGCGACCGCAACGGATCGTGGTCGTTCAAGTTTCCTCCTCGACTTGAGCTTGCTGCTGCTGGGGTCCCTCTCCTCCTTAGCGTCTGAACGATGTGGCAGCGATGAAGAATCGCCATTGTCATTGTTACTCGTATCACGAACACATCCGCAAGAATCACATGAATCTGAGGATGGACTATTTGTCGCGTGGCATTTCGAACATGGCCACAGCCGAGATGATGACGATGGCGATGATGATAACGACGACGCATCCTCGTCATTTAGATTGTTCTCCTTCAAACTATTTGACGGCAGGGAGGAGCGGCGGATGGGCAGTTTAAGAGCAGACGACGACTCGGGCGACGACACGAGAAGTTCCTCTTCATCAATAAATTTGAGATCGTCCAAGTCTTCTTCGATCAGATATTGATCTCTGGAAGGAGATGATGACAAATATTTGTTGCATAGTGCTTCGATACTTGTTTTCTTTCTTGAAGAGCGAGTAGCATCGTTCGAACTATCCGTACTGTTACGTGTCCGTTCAAAGTTGCTGTCAGAGTCATCATCATCCTCAACCAGGAATAGTTTCGAGCTTGCTGAAGGAGGAGCAACTGGTACGTGACGTTTAGTTTGGAGAGATTCCTTCAAAATACTGCTGCTGCCACTACTGGATCCATAAGACTTGGCCCGAGTGACATTTTTCTTTACGACGTTGTAGTTTTCAGTCTTGTGAGCAGATAGAGATTTGTGACGTGGGAGGAGTTCCGCTGCTACGAGTGGGGTAGAGATCAATTGATGAGCTTGAGATTTGTAAGAAGAAGGGCTTATTATTTCATCCGATGAGCAAGGGGTCGTAGCGGACGAAGAGCTAGAGTCACAACCACCGTCGACAACAACCTTTGACTTTGGACGATATGGTGAAATCCTCCCACCAGTCAACGTGGGAGCAGACTTAGTCCGAGAGACGGCCAAGTCATCGTGGTCTTTAATTACAACTGAGCTTCTCGTAGTTGGACTGTTCTCAAAGCGTACAGAGTTATTCTCAAATGATAGGCTGCAAGATTCGCTCGCCACGTAAATGTCATCCGCACAAGGGGAAGCGACGCATTTATTGGGGAGTCGCGTTTTTACGGTAACAATATCATTATCATTATTGGCTTTTGGAATGTTGTTGTTGAGTTTGCAAGCATTATTATGAGCATAAGGACACTTGAGGTTCCTTACTGCAGCCTCGCGGATCATGTTCTCCGGCTGCAGACTTTTAGAACGTAAGATCGACGACTTGCCTTTTTCTGAGCAGGGTACGCCATCGTCTCCCTCTGCTTTTTCATAGAGACGATTATTCTTTTTCTTTTGCTGCAGTGGTAGTGCTGCTGGTGAAGCGTTATCCAATTTTTTGATAATGTTTAACCCGCCATCGTTTTGTTGTGGTGGTGGTTTGATTAATAATTGATTGATTGGCTGATCACTGGGAATATTGGAATCAGTGGCTGAGCGAGTCAAAGAATTTCTATTTTGTTGTTGTTGACGTAGTTTGCTGGAGGTCGAGGCATCTCGACGGGGCAGTGTGTTAAGACTAGAAGAGTTAACCTTTTTCCTTCTGAAAGATTCGTCCACATCGTCACACATTGTGGATTGTGTTGATAAATGATTATTCTTCGGAGTATCCTTATCTTTAGTAGTACTAGAAGAAGTACTAAGTTGAATAAAAGCGTGTGTTGAGATTCTGTTTGACATTTCCAAGCAGTTTTTTTGTGAAGCATGAGTATCATAAGAATCAGTAGGGCCTCCTGCGAAACAGTGGTCATTTGAGCTGCGACGACACAGTTTCGTAGGTGAGCTTGGAGGGTTATCTTCGTCGGATCGGTCCAACTTGTACTTTTCTCCGACTATCATTGGCCTTTCATCTTCAAACTTTGTTCCTCCTGCCTTCACGGCATCATCGGGTGACGGGGCGGCTTCAGTGGAGACGTTTTCATGTGTGGTGCTACACATTGAGAATAAAATAAGGTTAAATTATTAGTAATATTATATGTAAATCTACTTTGTCGTGATATGCATTGGCGCATTTCACGTAAACCTTTGTAAGTCCACATAAACATACAAAACTTACGAACTTTTGACGAACTTATGAACATCAAGGCAATTTTTCCTTACAAACTTACAAAAATATGAAGATAACAGGCATGTTTATGGTTAGTAAACTGAACATCGTAACCTTACGAGATTACGAACTTACGAAGGCTGACGTGAAATACCTCATTGTTTTTTAACAATTTCCACCTTACCATTCAATACATTTCGGTTCTTCCAAGCGACACTCGAACGAAACTGGAATTTGTCCATTCGTATCTCGTAAATTCAGGTCATGTCGTAATTTCGAGTCTAATCCGATAACGCTCTCTTCCTCCTCCTCCTTCCTTTTGTTATTTTGTTGAGCCTGACCAGCCGTCGAAACTCCGCCGCCGTCACAAGTTTGCAGATTATTAGTGAGTGGACGCTTAACTCCGCAAAAGTTGCACACCGATACTTCCGTGGGGTTGATTCTAAATACAAATTATTCAATATATTAAAAGACAAAAATAACCCTAAAATGTATCCACCCACCTATTACATCCGGGACAATACCACTGAAGAACTGACGCTATTGACCCCATTAATAAGGACAATGCAGCTTCGCAGAACAAGAAGAATTATTAGAGAGCTCCATCATTATTATTGGAATTCTATTTGACACTAATGACGCCATAATAACTTTAACTACTCGAATTATTACAAACCCTCCTCCTTCATTCCTCCAATTTATGTTACGGAGAGCTGTCAACAAAAACAAAGAAGAAATCAAATCTCAACCCAAAACATAAAAATAAGATATAAAATAAAAACATCCTTTACCAAAATCGCGACAGGACTTTCGTCGTCCTACCCAAGAAAACCTTTCCTCTTCCTTTGTCACATTCTTTTTTATGTCGAAAATTAAATCCTTATCAATCCCGACGTGACCTTAATCTTCTCTCTCAAGTAAATTCCTTTGTCTGGTTTGGTTGAGCTTGTTGGCCGGCCTGAATTTTTTTCCGTCCTCCCTTCTGAGCAGATTACTTTGAGTGGGAGGAGTCCTTCTTCCTAATGCCCCCCACCACCACCACCATTGTTTTCTTCTTGTCGCCTTCTTTTCTTTGTTGACAATGATGAGGGTGCTGGAGAGAGAGTGAGAGAGAGAGAAAGATCAGCTGCTGCTTGCTGCTGCAGATCTTCTTCTCCTTTTAAGAAGGTAGTGGTGGAATGGTGGTATGTATTTTATGGTATCCAGGATGACAGTTGGTGGGTGGAAGTGGTGGTGGTGGTATGGTGGACTTTCTCCAGCTTTTTCCAGTATATAGACCACCACTACCAAGAACTCGAGACCGAAATCCTGCTATTCTTCTTTCTGCTCCGACTCGATCCTCTCTGAAACTGAAACAAATGCTGCTTTGCCATTTGCTGCTGCTGCTGCTGTTGTGGAGAAAGTGTCCAAGTTGCTGGTGGCTTCCTTTTTTTATACTTATTTCGCTTTCACCGACTTCCTGGGTGGCATACATAACAGAAGGAGAGAGAGAGAAAGTTGGTGTGTGGAGGATGAGACGAAGGAGGAGGGGACGATGAGACGTTATCTGACCTAGATATATAAGTAGCTAAGACCTTGTTCTTACCTTAATTAAAAGGGATAACATAACGATGATGATGTGGTGGTTATCGGTTGCATGCATCTTTCTTTCAAAGTGTGAGACATGAATACGAAACTGGCTTGGTTTCTAACTGGATGGTGAAATGTGAAGAGAAATTTTAGCACGGAATTTCTTCTTCTTACTGATTTAAATTCTGCACGGTTATCAAAAACGATTATGATGATAAGAACTAGATATATAGATAATTTTATTCACAAATCAAGTACTTATATATATACATTCCTATATAAACATACAAAATCAGAATACTTGTAATTCTTTCACAATCTCAACTTACCTCCTCGGGGCACGATATATATCAGTCAGCAGTTAAATGATTACTTAACTAAAGATTAGTCAAACTTTAATTTAAATACATACGCAAATTCTAAATCGAGTTGTGCACTAAATTATGATAAGTAATTTAAGTCGCCATGATAAAGTCGCCGCCATGGTCGATCAATTCGACGGGAAAGTCATCCCCGTCCAAACTCTGGTAGGATTTCCATTCCTCCATAAATTTCCACAAGCTCGGCGACACGCACTGGTGACACATGATGCTCGCCGAGCCGAAGCGGTCGGGAACGCATTCGCAGCGTTGGCAGGACGAGGGGTGCGACGTCTGGGCGACGCGACGTGACCACACGTCCAACACCTTTTTCGTGGCTTGCTCAACGTTGAACCGCGTCCCGTTGGATTCCATGGCGAGTGGGGTGCAGAGGTCTTTGGGGACGTTGATTTGTCTCTTGAGGACGGGGTCGGCGTCAAGCAAGCCGTGTTTGGCGTGCTTCGTGGTGTAAACTCCGTTCATGTCCATCCCATAGATTTGGTTCGTCTCGTCCTTCCGGGGGGATGATCCCTGTGGAATAGTTTGGTTTTTGGGGGGTAATTAATGAGGGAACTCACGTCAACGTTTGTAACTACGTAATGTTTGTAATCTTACGAACTTTTAGGCATATTTCTGAGTAAAATTGACTTATGAACTTTTACGAAACTTATTAAGTAACTTCAAAGCATGTTTTTTGATACATAGACAAAGTTCGTGAATAATTTCGAATTTTTGATATTTGCATGTTCAGTTGAAATCAGGGATGGTTACGTTTTTTAGAAAAGAATGTTTACGAAAATGTTTACAAAGTCAATTCACGTCAAGAGAGTGTGTAAACTTACAAACCTAATTAACGCAGTTACGTAGTTATAAACTTGACCTGAAATCCCTCGATATTTTTTATGAACTTGTATCGATTTTTTTGAAATAGCTACCTTGAGTGTAAACTGCTTTGGAACGAGCATATGAAGTTTGATATCATTTTCCACGAGCAACGTCAACACATCCGCGTAACGCACCGAGTCGCCACAATCTTCATCGCCACACGTCACAGAGATGAAATTCTTTGAAACTCCGGCCCTAAAACCGAGCGATGCTGCGTAGTGGATGGCGTCATAAAGGTTCGAAGAAGGTCCAGTCGCGTTGGTGGTGGTGGTCGTAGTGTCATTTGGGATTTTGAAAAGAGTGTTGTGCGTCCAAACGGTGGCCGACGTGGTTTTGACGTGGGGCTGGCTGCGTGCCCCACTCCCTCCGAAACCCACGATGGCGTATCTATTGTTTCTCAGCCCTTCTGCCTGGAGGGCCAAGTCGAGTCGTTTTATGGCTTCGGAGAGAACGGAGGAGGGCGAAATGCAGGCAGCTTCTTGGAGAAGGATGACATTATCGGAGGATTGTGGTGGTGGGACGTCTCCGTTGGTTTGGAGGGTCGCATTTTCACCGGTGGTCAATGCATCACCGTTCTCCAGGCGGCATCGGACTAAATACATAAATTCAGAAAATTGTGGTACAAAGATAACGAGAAGATTTATGATTTAAATCATGGGGAATGTTTAACTGATCATAATTTAGTACTACTTCCGACCATGATAAGTGTGTTTTACAGAAATACATACTTCTTCTACTCATAATAAAGTATTTTTTTGTTTATAAGTACTCGATTTTTCAAGAAGTGATGCTACACGTTAAGATCGCTTTAAAGTTTAAAATTTAAAAAACTTTACATATTTTATTTATTCTTATTAGCCAACCACAAATGTCTTGGAAGCTTTTGCTGGTCAACTTTCTTTCAAAATAAGCTGCTTTCTTTGTTATGGTCAACTTGGATTTCGTTATGATAAGTATTCGGGAAAAAGGTATTAATTATGGTCGCAACAAGTATTAAATTATCCTCAGTTAAATACCACCCTTTAAACAATTACCACACGTCGGCGGCATCCACACATCCACATTATTCTTCTGACACTCCGTGACATACGCGTTCATCGCTGGACACGCGGACTCCACTCTGTTCGCACTGTTCACATTTTTCGACACGTCATACTCACACATTTCCATGTAAATCGCCGCATCCACCGTGTTAAAGCACGGTCTCAGCGGGGAGCTCCGATTCCTCAGTAAATTGTGACAAATATCGTCCACATCGTGCACGTCTATCTGACCCTCCTCCTTGGCAAAGTTCTTCATCCGACAAAACCCACTGTTTCGTCCGACCCTCCAAGCGTACGCGAAGGCAGACATGTCACTGATCTCCTGTCCGTCCGGCCCCACGAGGTCGTTGCTCGGCTCGTTATCATACGTGCCCAGGATCCCCCCTAACTTTCCGAAATGCCAGCCAGACACGGACACCGTGCACACGGTGAAGGACAAGCTGCACGTCATGGTGAATCCTCTCGTGTCGTAGAGCTCCAACCCGGTCTGGTGTCTCCGGAGGAAGAAGGTTGACCCGATATTCAGCGGAAGTTCGACCTTCCTCCCGTTCACGGTGACCTTGAAGTCGGCAACTTCGATCTCGACAGAACTCTGGTTGACCACCAGCGCGTACGACTTCTTCCGAATGACCCCGTTCCTATTGTCGTAATTCACAATGAGGGAGAACGGGTCGGTGGATTGGGACAAGTCGGACACGAGGAGGTAACTGCACTCCCCGACGAACCGGAAGTACCTCTTGTCAAAGGTGAAGTAGTGGTAGTCGCCCGCCATGAGGGCGTAGGCGCTGAAAGGGGGCAGAATCGTGCGGAGGTTCAGGTCAAAGACGGGCTTCAGACTTTCCACCGTGTCTAAAACTTGGTAGTAGAAGTTGGTCAGTTGGCTGACGTCTTGCACGTCTTCGGAGGTCGTTCGCCATCTCGGCGTGGTGGTGAAGTCGGTCCATTGGATGGCGCTGAGGGACTGGTTGAGCTCGATGGAGCCCTGGGAAAAGTCGTAGTTCCAGGAGGAGGTGGGTAAGTAGCGGTGAATGATGCGGTCAAAGTTGTGTAGGGAGGCTCGAACGATGGACTTTAGACGGGATTCGATTTCCAAGACTTGCCAGAATTTGGACACGACGGAACGGAAGTTGTAGAGGCTGGAGCGGATGAAGGGAAGGGGGGGAGTTTGGAGGAGATCGGTGAAGTATTCGATTTCTAGGCCGTTCCGGATGGCGGATAGGAGTGGTTCAATGTAGTAGGATAAGCGATCCCATATTCTGCGGAGGAAGTAGGTGAGTTTATATTTGAATAAATTGAGCAAATGTTATGGTTTAACGATGGCGCAAGGGAGCAGAAGGAGTAAAGTATGCATAAAACTAGCCATTTATTTAGGCATTTCACGTCGTAACTCTGTAACCTCGTAAACTTACAAAAGTTATGAACTTTTGACGAAACGTAGGAACATCTCTAAAAGATAATTTTTGTATTCGAAGTTACAAAACCTTATGAAGATGAAAGGCATGTTTTTGGTCCGTACGCTAAGATTACGGAGTTACGAAGGTTGACGTGAAATGCCTCATTATTACATAAGAAATTTACGCAATTAAGATAGCTACAAAAATGACCTAAGTTTTTACCTAATGTTCATCATGTCCTCAATCTTCTTGGCGAATTCTTGGAACGGAATTTCTTCAAACCATGTCGCGTAATCTTTGTAAATCTCCACGAATTTCCGGAACAATCCAACAGCCATCAACTTTTCCTCAATCTCATCGATTTTCCCTTCTAACAGATCCAACAAGGATTTTGACGCGTCCCAAATTTTGGTGAATGTTGACGATACCAAATTCACATTTTCTTGCCAGACTGACTCCACGAAATCGGACGTTTCTTGCCAATACGTCATGACCAAGGTTTCCAGACGACCACCACAATTTTCATAGAGTTCTAACGTTTGCGGAATCAGGGATGAGATCGACTCGGTCAGCTTGTTCCAAACGTTAACGAGAACGTTCCTTTAAAAAAGTAATTTAAAATTAGATATTCAACTTTCCAAAAAATTATGTAAACTACTCACCAAACATTTTCTCTAAAATTTTCCGAAATTTGAAAATGTTGACAAATCGTTTTCACATAAAAGACATCCTTTTCATAAAACTCTGCAATTTTCTGAACCACGTCGACCCCTTCTTGATACATTTTCCTCGCTTCATTCCCCACAAAGGATTTAAACTGTACGAAATACTCCCTCACTTCCGGTGAAAGTTGTTTCTCCCACCGCGCCTCAAGCTCTCCTTGAACCCCTTGCAAAATCCGGAAGGAATCGATATCGTTGAAAATCGAGGAGCTAATTTCCGTCGGAATCCGCAACTCGAGCAGGTTCGAAAACAGGTCTGGGAGCCAGGTCACCTTCGCCGTGAGAACGTTCGTTGGCGTCAACTCGGCCGTCGTTTTAAAGAAATAATCAAATTTTTCCGACTCCACGCGGGCAACATGCCCACCAATCTTCTTCTTGTGAGAGTACCCCCCAAACACGTTCAGCTTATCGGCCCCCTTGTGTTTCACGTTGATTTCGAGGAAGGGCAGACTCGTCAAAATCATGGCGTCCACGTCGTACGAGAGGAATCGACAATTCACCGTGGTCAAGTCCTGGTATCGATGATTCTTTAGGAGAACAACGTCCGTCTTGTGGTCCAAACTTGAGGAGAACAACACCATTTCAAAGGCATCCTCACTGCTGACCAGATTTACCGTGAGGTTCCTCACGACTCGGGAAACGTCCATGTAGGACAGCTCCATCGTGGAGTGACTGTTGTCTTCGGACGTCTTAACGCGGAAGGAAATCATCATGTTGGACAAATTGTGACGAATTATGGACCTCGAGTTAGCCCAGCTCGTGTTATTTCGAAAGATTGAAATCGTCACGGCATTTTCCGGCGAGTCGGATCCGTTCAGTTGCACCTCGACGAGTTGGAAGTGCCCGTTTCGGTAAATCCGCTCCGTCGAGATGACCACGGGGGTGGGTGAGAGTGGGTGCGTGAGTTCGAAAAAGTCAGTAATTTCTGCCATCCTCCAGGCAGCCTTGACATCTTGGGACCATTTGACCCCCAACGACTTGCTGGGATCGCGAAGAGCGTCCCATTTTAGGAGAGCGGAAGCAACAAATTCGTCGGGATGGTCGTTCGAGAGGACGTCGAGGGAAAGGGATCTCCACGGGAGGTCGAGTTGGAGGAAGGTCCCGTAATTTTTGTACTTCAGGAGGGACGAGCCCTTCGTCACGATCAAGTGATACCCCGACTGCCCCACACTTTCAAAGAACGGACTCTCCCATTTGACCAGGACGGTTTGATTGAGCGACAAACTCGTCAAGGAGTGGGACACCTTGACCTCAACGTTTCCAATCTCTTTGAGAGCCAGGGACAAACCGGCGTCTTGTCCGAATAGGCCACGATCCCAGGTGACCCGTCCTCCCACCGTGTTTCCGACAGGATTGTCGAGATCCCAGCAGAACTCTCCGGTCAAAAAGAGACTCGATTTCGTGACCCGTTTCACACTTAGGATCAGAGAAATTGGTGCGATGGGATTGAACAACTCGAACACCGCGACTCCGGCGTCATTCGACACGAATTGTAGACCGAGGACGCGTTCCTCGTTGAATTCCAGGTGCAGGGTAGCATTCGAATTTGAAAGGAGTTGTCCCACCGAGAAATCTCGTCCGTCCGAGATCAAGGGTAAAATTGGAACGAGGGTAAAACTAAGGTGGATCGGTCCCCACGGCGTCGCTAATTCCAACTCGGCCCCCGCCGCGTCCAACTTTGTCGAAAACGTGGACCGTGTCACGAGCAGGGGTTGGTCCAGGATGTAAACTTCACTGGAGAACAGGACATTGTCCTCGCCTCGGTGTAAGTCCACTTTTGTGAAAAGTGTGTACGCATTGTCCTCCTCGCCCCCCAGGGTTCCGTTCACAAATAGGGCGGCACTATTTTCGTTGAGGAGGCTCACATCAATCTTAAGTGAGCCTGGAACAGTTCCAATTTTTGTGTTGAACAGGCCCGAAAATCGGCCCGATTCCGTGTCCGTTTCCAGAGCAAAGTGCACCGCGGGGATGTCCATGAAGGAGTCGAGGACCGCGTTGAGTTCGCCGTCCATCGTTAAGAATCCGCCGTATTGGTAGCGATAGTCCGCCGTGAGGGTGATGTCATCCATCCAGTCGGGATTTTGCAGCACCATGTGCAAACTTCGACCCTGGCCGATTTTCTGGAAGGTGTCGAAAGCCAAGGACAGCGCCACGTTTTCGTACATTTCAAAGGGTGAGGATAACTTTGAGGCGATTGTGGGGCTTCCGTTGTCATTGTTGTAGTCGAAGGAGAACGTGACGGATTTGTTGTTCAGGGTGCCGTGGGTGTTGAGGGAGATAAGGCTGCGTCCTCGGACTCGCCCTTCCGCCGAGAAGTCGAGCCTGGGCAGGGTGGGGATTTGTAGGGAGAGGGAAACTCGGCCGAGGTCATTCATGTTAAGGCTGAATGAGGAGAGGGGAGATATTTCGGTGGTGAATTGGTAAGTTTGATGGGGGGATGAGAGGGTGCCGTCTTCGAAGAAGAGATGGATTTTTCCGGGAGTGGAGGAACTTGGTTTTGTGTAAATTCCTGGGAACAAAAAAATGGGAACGATCAAAATTTATTATGAATGATCATAAGTAAAAAATCCGAAATTTCAAAAGTACAACACAAAATTGTTCCAAAAGTTGACCTACCTGCCAGCGAATACTTCCCAAATGGCAACCCCACACTAATTCCGGGCCTTAAATCATCCCAATTCCTTTCCTGTATGGCTTTAAATCCAGAAATCTTCACCATCGCTTTCGGCAGGGGAACCATCGGGGTATAAATTTCCCCATAAATTTCATCATCCGACAACTTGAGAGCAATCGTCAGTCTATCAAAGGACTGATGTGGCGTTAACAACTGCAACATGACCACCATATCCCGCCAACTCTGGTACTTCAGGGCCCCCTCACACCTCCAGTGATACTCCCGAATGTGAACATCCCCCAAAATGTCGATCTCATCCGAAGAAAAGAGCGACTTCAGATGGACATCAAAACGTGACGATGGAATCAATGGGGACCCAATTTTGACCCTTCCCTCTAAATTCGTCACGTCCAAAAACATTTCCACTTCGTTCGTCACATTGTCAAAGTTTGCACGGACAAAGCCTTCAAATTTTGAGCCGTCCTTCCTCCAGGAAACTTGCACGTTTATGGGATCCACTTGTGGCGAGAGGAGACCAACCTTCACGTCGAAACCGGTTGAGGCGTCCGCACTGAGAGAAAGTGACCCCGTGTGGATCCCGGTTCTCGTCCGGCACTGAATCTTGGACTGGAAACCGTTCTCCTGAGGGGCAAGGTCGCCTCGGATGATGACCTTTTTCCCAGAAATGAGAGATGCTGACTCCAAAGTGAGGATTACTTCGTGCCCGTGCTCCGTATTTTTGGAGTAGTCCAGCCTTCCAAATAGTGACCCGAAGGACCCCGTCATTTTCCCGTTGGCGGTAATACTAGCTCCGTTATTTGTGACGACATCCCCGATAAAATCCAGGCTTATCGTATCCTGCAAACTGGACAGTTCGAGTTCGTACCGATTTCCTGGTTTCTTCTTGGCGTAAAGACGGTACCGATAATCGAGATAGTGCGAGGATGAGAATGCATTCGCTTGACACGTGATCCCATCATTTTGAAGGTGCGAGGTCACCGCTGCGATGAAATTCCTCTCTCGACACGCCATGTTTAGGGAGGCGTTGAAAACTCGGGTTGTCAGATTGAGGTGGCCAGCAAGGTCGAAATTATAATGATGATTGTTACTTGTACCGTCATCCCACGAGGGGAGGGAAAGTTTTACGGAGGAGGAAACATCGGGCAGGTTAACGTTCCAATTTAGTGAGACGCTATTGGCGTCGAAGAGGATGGAGGTTGACACGTTTTTGAGGGATGGCGATACAGATAAGGAGACGCCATACGTGAAAATGGGGAATTTCTTGATGTTATTTCGAACCAGGAAGTTGACACTGATGGATTGGTTGTTATCTTGAGAGGGGAGTTGATATCCGGTCGATAAGGAGGCCATTTCTCCGTTGAAGTTAAGGTTCCCATCGAGCTGGATGTGCTGCAGGGAATAAAGTGATTTGATGAGGGTGACCTTTGTCCCGATTGGTTTCATCCCTTTGACCGGAAGTGTGACGGAGAGGGATAAGCTACTTTCTTTCTGTTTCTTATCTTGGACGAGTCGATGGACTAATTCGCCCGTCAAGCTGAACTGATGTCCGTTCACGTTTAGGCGGAAGTCGCCCCCAGATTTGGGATGGGGGTCGGTTCCGGTTTGGATAAGCATGGTGGTGGCGAGTCGTTGATGAAGGGCGGGGATTTCGATGGACATGTTGAACTGGACAGAGTCGTTGTTCCGGGTCGTGTGGAGGAGGCCGGTGGATCGTTGCGTGTCGTAAATAAGGAATCCTTCGAGCGTTGTGTGGTCCGAGGTGGAGTCGAACATGCCGTGAACGGCGAGTTCGGAGGTGTATGGGGAAGAGAAAAATATCTGGAAATAAATGGGGAGAAATTTTTATAGAATGTTTTAATGTGTGAGCTTTGTAATTGTGAAGTTTAAGAGTTTTTATTGCATATTAAAGTTTATGGCTGAAAATGATTTTGGAAAATTTGCACAGTTTAATTAAAGGTGAGTGTATGCTTCACTCTTTGGTAACTTGCGCCAATGTTATAATTTAAGTATGGCGCAAGTTATCACTGAATAAAGTATACACACCCCTCAAGACAGGCGTCAAAACTCTCAATGAGGAAATTTAGTCGTGATGTTTGTAGCAAATTTTGGGTTGCAAACATCCGAGTAAATTTCGTTAATAAATCGTATTAAAAATTCCCTGCTAAAATATTTTTTTAAATTTGCCTACATCAAACTTATTGGGGTCGACATCAATCAAGAATTTCATCCTATTCTCCACATCCCACTGGAGATTAGCCGAAACCACATAATTATCCTGGTCCCTTTTCGTAACGTGAATCTTAACCAATTTCCCATCCTTCGTCGTAACGTTTAACAAATGTTCATCCCCCACGAATTTATGCGCACATTCCAAACTGAATTGTTCCCTCGAGTCGAGCATCAGGACCACATTGATCCTCCCATTTTCCAACCACGTGCTATTCTCCATCGTCAAAATTTTCCCCTGAACTTGAACCTGACGATCGTCCCACGCCCCAGAAATGACCAGATTTCCAGCTTCCAGGGCAAACTTAAGTGCGGCCAGATTCTTGTCATTCTTCGTTACGGAAATGGACCCAATTCCGTCCCACGACTGGGAAACGTTACAATTTCCTAAGATCTTAAACGTGTCCTTGTTCAAGGTCAACCTGACTTCAAAATCTTTCGGGGTGGAGTGTAAATTGAAAAATCCTTCCAACTCGACCTCCTTCGACGGGGTCGACAAACTGACTCGGATCGCGTCCTGCGTCATGGAGAAGTTTCCGTTCACACGAAATTCCTTGACGTGCAGAGAAACGCTGCTGGTTATCCGTTGGAGGAGGTTTCCTCGCCAAAATGCAGCGACCCGGAGGGGCACGATGTTCCCAGAGGTCAGTTCCAACTCGACAAAAAAGTCGGATGAGGGTCTAAGTGCCCCGGAAAAGTCCCAATTGCCCAGTTTTTCCGAGGTGAGGACAACATTGAGGTGCGACTTGCCATCCTTCCCGTCATGTCGATAGCTTCCTTTTACCACGCCGTCCGCCTCGAGGCGCAAAGAGGACAAGTTACTGTTCAGGTTGAACATGAACTCGACTTCTTGCCTGGATTTCGGAGTGACGATTCTCGACTGGAGGATGACGACAGAATCGTCACCTCGGGCGAACGAGACTAGGACGAATTTCACTTCGGACGAGGTATTGTACGCCGCTTCGAGTTGGAAGGGTTGCACGACTTGGGGAGCGTTTAGGGCGACAAAGATTCTACTCTGCGGCAGCGTGAGGACAATGTTTGTGGTCAAAGTGAGAAACTGGGCTCCATTCTGGATCGACGTGATGGAAGCAGTGATTCCTTGCCCAGTCGTGATGGAGACGTTTCCGGAAGTGGAGAACGTTTGGAATAACTGCGTCGTAGACTCTGCCACAATTTCGCCACCATATTGAAACGATTCTGCCTCTTTTCTCGTAAATTTTCCACTAACGGAGAACGAATGTGACTCCTCTAGCGCCCAGTTCCCATTCAGTTGAACTTTATACCCTCCCTGTGGCACCGGAGTGACGATGAACTCTCCCAACCCACCAAGTTCACTCTCCGTGTCGTCATCGTTTCGCAACCAGGTCTCAAACTTGACCCGTTTCCAGTCCCTGTCCCGTCGCCACGCGGACCGGATGGAGCGCGACCCTAGCACCTGATTTGTCAGGGTTGCCCAGACGTTGCCATCGTCCAAGGTGCCATCCACCTTCCACGCGATGCGGGACGTCACCTCGGGAAACGTTTGGCTCGAGAGGTGCAACATGCCGGAAGAAAAGCCGTGAATATTCGCATCAACCTGTGTCTCTTGTCCGGCCCGGGCAGTGAGTTCGATCCAAATTACGCCCGACCCCCACTTGACATTTGCATGGGTCGAGACGTTGTTATCGTCCCCGTCGAAAACGAGGGAGTCGAACGCCACGGCAAGTTCGCCCTTGGTCAGGGACACCTTCATGTCGATGAGTCGTTCCGAGTTGGCGTCGATTTCTACGACAAGTGATTTCAAGTCGGGTCTCCACGTGTGGCTGAGTTTCACCCCGACGTCTTGATAACCTCGGAGGGGCGTGTTCACTTGCAGGTTCCAGGTCCCATTCAGTCCTAAATTGTGGAGCCCGCCCCCCTCAAGTTTTCCGAGCCAGCGGGAATCCTCATTCTCAAAGAGGAAGGAAGACCCCACCTGGTCTGGGGTCAGTTTATAGTCCGCGTACAAAAAGATATGACGAAGTCCTTGGAAAGGCGAAATTATGGACAAGTTCAACCTCTGTGCCGACCAGCCTGACCCGACGAGGATGCTCGTGACATCCAAAACCTGTCCGGACCCTTCCCACAAACCGTGGAGGTTTACCTTGTCCCCGTTTTTGAACGAAAGCTGCACCCTTTCCAGAAACGAGAGGGTCGTTTTCAGTCCGAAGATTGTATTGTTCTCGGACAAGTCGAGGGTCGCGTGAACCTCGTGTTTCGCCTGGTTAAATTCTACCACCGCGACGAAGGAGTTATTTCCGCTGGGGTCGATCGACAAGGTGGCTTGGACTTTGGACGAGTAATTCTGAAAGGAGGAGAGGTCAACTTGCAGGTCGATGGCGTGCGGGCGTTCCTGATTGTAGAGGAAGTGACCCTTAAGTTTGACCAGGTGTGCGTTCCTACTGTACTCGACGGTTGAGGTGTGCTCACCTCCGACCCGGTCGTACTGGGTGAGGAGGCGCATTTCCTGGTATTCTTGGAATGGGGAGGTCACCCGGACGAGGAGGGTGAGCCCCGCGTCGGACGAAAGGTTGGATAAAGCCCCGACGATTTGAGTCTTGACGACCACCCGGATTTCCTGCTGGTCGGATTTCTTTGCGATGAAGTCGACATCGGTGTAGTCCTCGTTCGAGGTGAGGGTTATGTTGACCTCCTCCCAGGATTTGATGGGCGTTGTGATAAGCAAGGTGACGTTTTTAGCGTCCTGGAGAAAATTGTAGCCGACCGAGTTCCCTGAGTCGTTAACGTTCCAGGAGACGCTGCCACTGTGTCGGAGGGGTGACACGTACTCGTACTTCGCTTCGAGGAGGACTTTCTCCCAGTGAGTGACCGGTGTCGTGGCGGAGAGGGAGAGACTCGTCTCGGTCCAGTGACCGTTAACCCCCCATCGACCAGAGGGTCCTTCAAGGTCAAAGTTCATCCTGTTTAAATAATCCAGAGATAATTTCCCTTTATAAGATTGGACACATTTCACGTCAAAGTCAGCCTCCAATTTGTTCGGCCCCGTTTTCAGAGAAGTTTTAAACTCGTGGTGTCTCTCGTTTATCTCGCAGGTGAGTAAAATTACGCGCACGACACGTTTATTTTCATATTTTCCAGTAAATTTCAGATTTCGATAGCGTTCCAGCGGAGTTTTGAACTGGACTTGGACCCCGGAGTGGGACCATTTCGCCAAAGCGGAGAAGTTCCCTTCCACCGTGGTCAGGGAGTCGGAAATCTTGAGGTAGTCTTCGAATATCATGTTTCTTATGGATTTGAATCCGACAATGCTGATTTCCGAGAAGACGGTCGTCTCGTTACTTCGCTTGTTGGATTTCATATCGAAAACACAGTCCAGTTTGTCGGCTTCTTTGTGAACGCCGAATTTGGCGGATTTTATCCCATTGAGGACATCAATGTCCCAATAAAGGCGGACGTTAGACCAGTTTTGGAATGGCGTGGTGAGAGAAAAGTCGACTTTTTTGGGGTCCAAACCCACCGAGATTGTCCCCCGATGCGGATTTCCGTTCTGAACGGTGACCTCAATTGCGACGAGATGTTCACCGTAGGAAAAGGTGGACATCTTCGTGTCATAGTTGACCTCTACTTGACACACTTTCTTCCCCTCGTGGGAAGTGGTGAGGGATAGTTTCCTAAAATTTTGTAAATGGATTTCCACCCCGGCCATGAAGTCGCCTTCGGAGGTGATTCGGATCAGCTTTTCGGTCCCCCAAATGCCATACGTTTCGATGTGGTGGGTCACGTAACCGTTGGTGTATTTTAGAGTGACTGTGGCATCGGTATCTTTTCCGGTTTGGTATCTCGTGTCCAACTCGTGTTTGTCGATGGAGGGGAAGAATTCACTTTTGGATGTAAGTTTGAAAAATCCTTGGGAAATTGTGGCCTAAAAATAAATAAGAGGGTTTATTTTTTAATTGGGCATAAAAATAATTAATATAGGACTCGTTGACTCATCGCCAAAATCGGAAAAGTTGTCACATTTTTAATTATTTCTGGGAATCTATTTAAAAATTCTGGACGACAAATTTGTTGAGCAGGGAGTTGCCAATTTTTTAAAATATACACTTCAGATTTTGACACTTTTTGGCGGAGGAGATTTCAAGTTTAAGAAACCTTCAGAAAAATTGGAACGCGTCGAAACTAGCTGAAAAAACTCACGGCCATTCTATCAATTAACTCACTGAGTACAAATTTTAGTATTTTAAAATTTCCCAGAGCCGAAAAACGATTAAAAATATGTTGATTTTGACAATTTTGATAATAAGTCATCGAGTCCTTACTTCGTTAAATCAAATTGTATCAATTTATGTACCTGTCCCTTCGCATTTAAAAAGAAGACATAATTCTTATCCGATCTTAAATACGTTTCCAAAACTCTGGCTTCCTTATCCAACCCAAATTTCGCTTCCACTCCCCTAAAATATTTCGATGGTGCCAAACTTCCCACAAATTGAGTCCCTTCTTTTCCCTTCGAGGACGCCTTGACACTCAGATCGATCACCTTCTCCGTGAAATTCCTCACAATAACCGACTTAATCGTGACACTGTTCTCAGCCCGGGCATAAAATATGTTTCCCTGCAGTGGCGTAAATGCTGTCGAAGAAACCTCAAACTTGAAATCATTCCCGTTGTGCAGCCCCCCAGCCACGGTGAGACTCTCGCCCCCCCAGGTGACCGAACTGTACAAGTTTTCCATATTGGTGAGCACCGTTTGGGACGAGAAGTTCCGCGAAGTGGGGAGAATTTCCTCCCAGAAAGTTGACTTCATCGGGGAGACGAGGAAATGGTTAACGTTGACGATATTTCGCATGTCCAACATGTTATGGGACGATTCGAAAGTGAGGGACGGAATTAGAGCCAGGTTTGATTTAAGGGTGGAGGACACGCTCCAAAATTTCGTGAAGCCGATCCACACCAAGTCCGCGTCGAGGTGGAGGAGCGGTTGGGAATTTTCGGTTAAAAGGAGGCTGACCTTGTTAACCTGGGTGTCGTCCCGTTGGAGGGAAAAGGTCGCTCTGGTCTCGTCACGACCGGATAAGTATGACGTCCAGGCTGTGATTTGACGCGTGTTCTTATCATCATTATCGAGACCCTGCTCGTTCTTCAGGGCGACGCCCAACTCGCTCTTGTACGAGGCGAGGTTGGTGGAGAGCTGTAAAACTTGGATGCCATTGTCCAGTTCGCATCGGATGTGGGCGGAGTAATTTTGACCAGAGGTGGCCAAGCTGGCGGCAATCTTTGTGTTGTCGAATCCACCAAGATGACCGGAAATGGACCATCCGATTTCACTTGGGGGTTGTTTTGTCCATGTGACGAGGGCGGAATGGGAGAAGGAAGGTGATGATGGAGTAGCATGGAGGTGGATTTGTGTCGGGATGAGGGTCAGGTCTGCCTCGTTGGTCATGAAGAAGGTGTACGAGGAGGAGGGGGATTCGCCCTGGTCGGCAAGGGTGACTCGTGCAGAGGACGATTTCCATGTGGGGAACGGTGTAAGGAAGGAGATCTGGTAGGAGGGGGGATTCATGTCCTTGAGCAGATCCAGGTGCAACGAGGACTTCGTCCGACCCCAGTCGAGGTGCAGTTTTGAAGAGTGTTTTCCATTATAAGGGTCTGTCGTGGTGTCCCAAAGGATAGAAATCTACGTAATTCAATAGTTAATTAAGTATTAAATGATCAGTTAATTAATTAATTAAGAACTAACCTCCGGCATATACTTGAACCCATTGATTTTAACGTTCAACCCGGTCCCGTTTCCTACGCTGGGATACTTTCTCTCCACAATTAAACTACTCTGGTCAACCCCGCGTGAAAATGAGGCCGTTAAATTGTCCCGATTCAAACTTCTGCTCAACGCGAGGTTCAAGTCGCATCTCGAGTATCCGGAAACGTCCAGAATTCCTGTAACCTCCACATTTTGCGGGGTCATTGCTCCCCCGAGTTGAACTAGGAGGGATTTCTCGCCCAAACTTCCGGACAACTTGCCCAACCACTGGTCACTTTTGATGGTATGGATCCAAAACAGGGTCAGATTTTGGACGTCTTGGAACGGCGTGGACAATTGAAGGGAGACGAATCCATTGGAACGTGTCAGGGTGGAGAGCTCGGTGGAAATGGTGATTTTTTTGTCGAGACCCCAGACAACTTGGGCGTTCAGGGTCCTGGTGTCATCCTCACCGCGACTTCCAAGGGCCCCACTGATGGCAAACTTGTCCCCGAAATAGTTCAAGTCAAGAGACCCACTTTTTCGGGATAAGGTTCCACTCAGGTCCAATTTCTTGAGGGGAGCGTTCCCCTTGTCAGGGATGAGGAGGAGGGATGCAGTAATTTTGTCCAGGAGGGAGCCCGACATCTGAAAATGGGGATAAGTTATTGAGGCAATTCACGTAGGTTTTGATAACTTTGTAAAATCGGTGCGTTTTGTAAAATAATTTTATAAATTTTTACAAAATAAGGAGACGTGCTTGATCTGAGCACGTTTACAAAAATTGATAAGCTAATTTTCCTTCGGAATATGAGTAAAAGTTTGTAAGCCCACGGAATTTACGGATTTTACAAAGTTACCAAGGACTGCGTGAATTGCCTTATTAATTATACCTGAACAAATTATGTATATGCAAACTCTCATATTAAGGAAAAAAGCCACGCAAAAATAAATATTACATATTAATTATTCATTGCGCAATTCACGCAGTCCTTGCTAACTTTATAAAATCCGTAAGTTTGTAAAATAATTTTGCAAACTTTTACAAAAGAAAAAGAAAATACCCCGTTGAGCAGTTTACAAAAATTCGTAAACTAATTTTCCTTCGAAATTAGTTGTAAATTTTTTGTAAAAGTTTGTAACAATATTACCAAGGCCTGCGTTAATTGCCTCATCATAATTAACTTGTTAATTAATTATCTCACCTTCCCCTCGATAAAAATGTGCTGATTGAGGAACAAGTCCACCGTGAGGAACTGCTGTCCTGTCCCCGATTTTTTACTCCCCTGCCCAAAAGCCACCTCACTGCTGTACTTCTTCTCATTAAAGGTGACTTTGGCCTCAATCTTGTGCATATTCCGGACATGGCTGTAATCCACACTCGTACTGAGGCGAGAACTGTACGGTTTTTTACCCTCGATAAGCACCTGACAACCGACATGGCTCTGCTTATCTGTCACTGTGAAACCAACATTTCCCGAAATTGGCACCGAGAAAAACCCCCTCGCTCTAAACTCAATGGAATGATCAAGTTTCAAATTGTTCGAGTTGTTCAGGTACGAAATTGTGGCCTTCATTTCTCGAAAATTGTTCAAACTGATGACAATTTCACTGTCAAATTCCCCCCTCCGTTTTTCCAGGAGGGAAAAGGTCGCAAAATATTCCGCGCCCGGCCAAGTAATTCCTGCCGTCAGGTTATTACTCAGAAACGGTTTTGACACCGTGTCATACTGAAAATTGACCTTGACCTCGGTCACGGGAGAGATCCTCCCCGTGAACCGCGTCGTTATGGAGTGGTCCACCATCCGATGGGTGAATTCGAGCGTGTAGTCGAGATCATCTCTTGGATTCGAGAGCGCCACGAGAAACCGAAGTTCGGTCAAGTCCCGGGTATTTTGCAAGCTGTAGATCGTATGTCCGTCCCAGGTGGATTTTCCAATCGCTAATTTCACAATATTTTCGCAGAACCCGACACTGTTCAAGATCTCCCAGGAAAAGTCGAGGTTTTGATCGGGATAGGAGGACGTGACGAGGGACGCGGCCGCGCTGAGTTTGGAAAGCGCCCCCTTCTGCGTCTTCTGCACCTTGGCGCTGATGTCGATAACATTTATGTCGCCGTGTTTCCAGGAATATTCTAAAGTGGATCGACTGCTCCAGTGATTCTGACGGGATTTCAGGTTGGAGTGCAAACTTCCGGTGAAGTGGTAGGATTCCACGCCCACGGTAAGGTCACTGCTCCCGTCCTCTTTACGGATGTAATTCCCCTGAAGTCGGATGGGGTTTTGGGTCACGTGTTTTAAACTGATGTCCACACTGCCTTCGTCGCCTTCGTCCGTGGGGAGTTGTATGCTCCCCTTCAGTTCGGCGACGGGTTTTTGATAAATTTCTAGGAAGAAATTCGGCGTGATTTTTCCCCCAACGAAGGCCAAGCTTCCATTAAGCTGGACAAGTTTATCCTTCCCGTCGATCACCGTGACGTGGAGGGATTTCAAGTTTGGCGTGAATGTACCCGCAGCGTCGCCCAATTTTGTGGGGGTTTTTACACTCACGTGATAAACCCCGGTGGTGGATTCCTTGGTAAATTCGAGCTCCGTTTTTCTGTCAATCTTTGACCCCGGGGTGTCGTACAAGAGGGAAAATTCAGTCTTGAAAGGGTGTCGATTTAAACTGTAGTCGATTGTGTAGCTGTCAAAGTCATCGGTTTTCTCGAGGTACAACCGCACCACGGCGGAGTGCGGGGTGACGGTGAATTGGTTCGGGAGGGATAACTCTCCACATAGCTTGAGACCGAGGAAGTTGGAGTCTTTCTCATTTCCGAGGCAACTTTGCTCTTCAATAGAAGGCGATGATTTGGCCGCCATCTTTTCTGCGCCGGACGCTTGGAGGAAGACCAGTTTTGACGAAGCTTCCAAAATCTCTTGTCTCTTTTGCGGAATATTAAAGACACCTTTGACCCCTGAATACCCATTGATTTCCAACTTGGTCTCGAACCCGGTCGAAGATCGGAGCACGTTTCGGATCGAGAGACCCGATCGGATAAACTTATTGCCCGGTCCGAGTCGTACTGTTAGCGACGCGTCCAAATTGATGGCCACGTTCGGTCTGAGCAATCCGTACAATTCGATTTCTTTCCGCTCCATGAACTTGCCCACGTTGAATTTCCCCTCGGCCTTGAGCCCCGCCGTGCTTCCGGCGAGGAAGGAGAGGGTGAGAGGAATCCCGGAAATTGTGGGGACCGAGTAGTCAACATCGAGCAGTGTGGTGGACCTCGTGAAGTCCAATTTCTTCCCGGTGCTCAAGTTTTCTAAGATGTTTTTCAAATTGAACCACTTTTTCCCCTCGTCGTCAACCACGTTTGGAATGGAGGACTCGGTATTGATGTCGAATTCCTTGTAGAAAATTTCATGTCCGAAGATCCGAGTGTAGATGGATCCCCGAGGGGAAGGGTCGAGATTGGCGGCGGCGTCGTCCCGGATGGAGTCGAGGCGAGCTAATTTGCTGGTAGTTTCACGCTTTTGACGGGTGCTTTTTAAAAAGGTGGACATACTTTCGTCCGGAAAATACCCGCCGGGACCGAAGATGGGTTCGAGAAGGGTTTCAGGGGAGTTGAATCGTCCCCCGAATTCGAAGAGGTTAACGGTTTCGCCGAATAGTTGGACGGATAAGTTGGCCATGCCGGATTTTGGAAGGAAGGAGTCTTCCGTGAAGATGATGTTGGAATCCAGACCGAGACCGAGTTTGTATTCGTCGGAGAAAAGGGAGTTTTCGTAGTTTCTGGAGAATTTTCGGGCGTCTGTTTGGAACTTGTTTTGTAGGATTTCGTTGGATACTAGGTTTCGTATGATTTCTTTGTCGGGTCGGTTTGTTTCTTGGTAGTTTGTGAGGTGCGTCCATACAAAAGATCCCACTGGGAATAAGGATATAGGTACCGAATTAGCATACAAACTGGCATTAAAATCATAGCCTCGATGTGGTTTTCTTTTAACCACTGCCCAAAACAGACGCCTAAAACCGATTTTAACCAATTTTGGATGTCCAAAAGTGACCAAAAATATAGAAAATAGGGCAAGATGCTAAGTTCTTCATTATTCAATCTTTCCATAATCCATTGACGTATATATAATCTCGTAATAATTTTGCGCATTTTAGTGCGTAATGTTTAGAAAATTTAGTAATTTGTTTAGAAGAAAACATGTTGAAACAAAAGTTTTTCCCAATTTCGTGATATTAATTACAGACAAAAATGCTCAAAATTGATAAGGGATTACATATCTGTGCATAGATTCATACGTCACTTTCCAACGTTGGAATCTTTTGGATATGTTGGACACTTTTGGACTGGACAGTATCCAAAATGAGACACTGATTAAAATTATTTTAATACTTTCAAATACTCACCTTGATTTACAACTTCATTTTTCAAAACTCTTTCCACAGTTTCCAAAATTTTACGATTTGCACATTTCATAACGATGAGATAAGCTTGAATCCGAACTTCGGTATTTTCCTTGTAATCTGCATAAATTCGGAGGAAAGGATCTACCGAGAATGCTGAGCAGGTAACCCTTCTGTGCGCATCCATCGCGGAGAGACGAATTTCTATCGAATTCTTCTCCGAGGTGAAACATCTCTGCAAAATTTGATTCTTTGAGTCGGGAAAAACTCCCAGATTTCCGAGTGCTTTGAGGGCAAGAACGCCTTCTCGTAGTTTGGGGTCGTCGTCCGGAAAATGGCAAGAACTCCGTTCCAGTGGGGACGCCATGAGACGAGCCGCTTCCAGAATCATTTTATCCGTGGCGCAATCCGGTATCGTTCTGCAGTACGAATTCATCAGGCCGGACACGCTGAGCAGTACGTCCACGGTCGGGTTAGAAGCTTGTAGTAGGGGCTACAACAAATTAGTGATATTCATTATTTTAAAATTTTTGGTGTAAAATTTCCGAGTTAGGAAACACTGGAGGATTTCTATTTTTTTCATCAAACACTCTGAGAAATTCTGTAGCCAAAAATCCTCCATCAATATTCCAAAACTCTTTCATAAAAAAGTCACGGACAAAAAAAATGTGACATTTTTCCATCCAAATGTCCATTTAACACTAATTTACTCACCATCACAGCGGTTATCATATCTGCCGTCGGATATTTAATGAAGGTCACACTGCTCAACCAAGACTGGGCTAAATCACTGCTCAATCCACCCGCGAGGTAAAGCTCTCCCATAACTTTGAGCGACGGTGCGGTCCCCACGGATTGCAATGCGTTGAACAAAATCCTCCCCAGTGGATTTTCCCCCTCACCCCCACCCACGACCACTTTCGTCAGAAGAGAACGCAACGCAACCTCGTCCAACGTGCGGAGGGCAGTAATCAATTCACGGAAAAGTAAGGGCGCTTCCGTCTCCACGTTGGGAATCGTTTTGGATTCCAGATCCTTCAAAAGGTTGAAAACCTGGGTCAAATCGCGACTCGTTTCGAACGATGTGGTATCCGATTCGAAAACGAGGCCAGTTTTTCTCATTCCGATAACCTCAGAATCGGTTGTCGGTTGTCCTGCTCGAGTCGTGATAAGTCGGATGGTTTGTGTGATAACGTTTCTGGCTCCGCCGTCGTTGTGGTCGAAGGGTTTGAAAATCTGTTCCTCGTGACACTCGACACGTTCGATTTTTCCTTGGAGGATGGTCTGCGTGCATTCGACGGTGCCGGAGAGGACGTTCGGCTGCGGGGTGGAGGACGAGTACGGGATGGATTGGATGGACGAGAGGTGATGTCGGCGCTGCGTGCAGGAGGATAAGTCCTTGATCTTTGTGACGCTGTGGGATCCACCCCAGGCAGGAGTGGTGGATTGGGTGTATTGGGTGGGGCATTTTCCGTGAATGTCGGTCTGGAAAATTAATAATTTATTTTATTTAGATTATAATTTTTTGGAGAAGGTGGATACATTAGTTGAATCAGGGTTTTTAAAACACTGTTTTTAGTGGACAGGTGGAAATCATTGATAATTAAATATACAAAGGTAAAGATTTACTTCTAGAAAACTATCCAATTATGAATTTCTGAAGAAATCTTAAACTAAAAATGCATCAAGAAGCATCGTTTCTTTGACTAAATCGCGATTACGATACAATTTTACTCGGATAGCATTCCAAACCAACCGTGAGGTCAATAAATTCAAATTTGTTAAAAAGCACGTGTGACAATGTATACGACAAGAAAACTTTGAGGAAATTCGCGCAGGCCTTGGTAACATTGTAAATTCTGCAAACTTACAAATTTTTACGAATATTTCTGAGGAAAGTCAGCTCACATTTTTGTAAACTTTTAAATCAGGTCAAGAGCGTTTCTTATTTTTTTAAATTTGTAAAATTATGGTACAAAGCATACGAGTTTTATAAAGTTATCAATGACTGCGTGAATTGCCTCGACATTTCGTAGTTATTACCTCTGAAATGATACCGTCATAATCCCAGTCGTCCATTGTGTTGTGAAACATGGAGAGAATCCCTCTCTTGAGATTGACCACCCAGCCTGGTTCGTCCGGATGGGGGCATAACTGGTCGATTTGTCCATCTTGGAAGGAGAATTTCAACAAATGTTTTTCCAAGGCGTGTTTCACCCCGTTTTCCGACGTGCCAAGGGCCTGACTTCGATCCGAGAGTTGGACCCCTTTCAACTACATGCACACATTTTTATTAGATCACGTGCTCTTTGAGATAGTTCATTGTTTGTAAACCGACCTGAATGCTAAAGTCGCAGGGGGACAGGACATTAATCTCGGCCGTGGAGGTGACTCGAAGCCTCGACTTTTCCGTAGTTTCCTCCAGAACTAAGGTTTCGATATCCGAGGTAAATTCATAAACGTACGTCGTGCCAGAATCGTACTGGAATTTTGTGGGGTCTAAGAAAATCATGAACAAAATAGTGAGAAGATTGGTGAAAAATTATTGGACAAGTAATAATGGAGGTCGACCAGCGGATGTTCTCCGATTTTGAGCAAACTAGTCTCAATCGGGACGAATTTAGTTTGTATGAAATTTGCGAAGGATGGGCACGTTTGGCAAACATACTTGCATCCGAAGAGGAGAAAACGCACAGTAAATTTGGAACGTGTAAAATTTGTCAACTTTAGGGCGCGTTATCTCCTCTTTAGATCTCCTCTATCTCGGCCAAACGTGCCCATTTGGAGATCGTGTCTTTCGCAAATTTCATACTACTTAAATTTGTGATAGTTTAAGACTAATTTGGTCGAAATCTGTGAGTATACACTGGACAATCTCCATTATGTTCCGTACCGTTTTTGGCAGTGCACGCCAAAGCACAGGAGGATGTTTGCAGAGGAAAAGTTTTACTGAATCCGGTAGGTCCTGCAAAAATCATGAGGGAAATTAATGATTTATGGCGTCCCCTGCTTGTTCTACCCATTTAAATTTATGCCTCATAAGGTCAATGTTGTGGTAATTGTTCAGGTAAGTATTTTCATGCCCTGGGCACGCATAACTCTAGATCTCATACGTTTATTTTAGTATCAAAACACAACTGTGAGCGAATAAAAACAAATAAGTATGACTTGACAATGCGGAGACACCCACTGCTCGTGTCTTGTAATGGAAAAGATGCTGGTATAAATTACGATCAATTTGACGATGTCATTTGACATTAGTTCGACCGACAAACTTTTATCCGTCGTGGTCTCTCTGTTGATTTATCTTATCGAGTTTATTAACTTTGCTGGACTAGGGGTAAACTTGACGAGAAGAGTTTTACACGTTTAACTTAGGTATGTAATTTGTGAACAAATTCATTCAACAAAGGTATGGAAATGGATGGGAAAACATTTGAGGTGGACATTACGTGGTTTAATCATTACGAACATAAATATATACCGTTTGGGCCTCAAAATGTAATTAAATAATTATACATCTCATAATATTATGAGATGTATAATTTCAAATCTTAAAATAATAATGCAAAGAAAATTTCAGTGGAAAATTTCAATAAAAAATAATATTTAACTAGACTCAGATAAATTGTACACAATTTCAGATATTTTTTCTATATTTACGAACAACACAAAATTGTATTTTAGTGCATTCTTTTCATAAAAAGTTGTGCTTTCAATTGTCAAGTATTTGAATGGTCTGATTATTTCTGGAAGAAGGTTTTTACCCGGAAAATCGTGGAAATGTTGGCATTATTTGCATATTTTAACAGTATTTATTCATGGACATAGCGAAATATTTTAAAAAATTAATGAAAAGCATACAATTTCAGTTCTACAAAATTGAAACTCGCAAATAAATCGTTAAAGCCCAACACGAATAAAAATATCCATATGCGTATGAAAAATAAAACTAGCGTTAACACCTTACAAAAATGTCCACGATTTTCATTTCCCCATTTTTTCACTATTTTTCACCAAACCTTGCACATTCCAAGCCAAAAAATCCATACATATGCTCACCCACCATAAATTCTGAAATGGTCACACCATTAATTAATTAACAGCTTAACCCGTTAGGGACCAACTACACATATTTGTGTAGTTTTTTGCTTTCCCTTGGGGACCAAGTACACAAATATGTGTACTTTTTTGCTTTCCGTTAAGGACCAAGTACACACATTTGTGTACTATTTTGTAGTTACGTTGGGGACCAAGTACACATATTTGTGTAGTTTTTTCTTTCCGTAGAGGACCAAGTACACATATTTGTGTAGTTTTTTCTTTCCGTAGAGGACCAAGTACACATATTTGTGTAGTTTTTTCTTTCCGTAGAGGACCAAGTACACATATTTGTGTAGTTTTTTCTTTCCGTAGAGGACCAAGTACACATATTTGTGTAGTTTTTTCTTTCCGTAGAGGACCAAGTACACATATTTGTGTACTATTTCCCCGTTACGTTGGGGACCAACTACACACATTTGTGTACTGCGGAAAAATTTTCAAGACCAAATACACACATGCATACAAGTCAAAATTTTATTTTACAAAATTTTAACACGAACCATTTATTTATGCACATTACCAAAAACTATATATCTGCAAAAACTACAACTGTAGTTCGCTGCAATGCATTGTAAGAGTAATTTTAAATTGTTCACGCTCAGAAATAAGCGTATTTTGGAGTTTTCCAGAATAGACATGTTTTCGCCCGTGGCGGAATTTAAAATAAACTTAATTTTTAAAGAAGCAAAAAACGATAATTTTTTGAAAATTAAAAGTTTTTTTTAAATTGATTTTTTATCCCGAGTCAGGGCTTATGTACCCGTCATGTCCGTCTGTCTGTCTGTCTGGTTTGCGATAACTGCCGTAAAACTAATCCTATCGACTTGAAATTTTGCACACATATAGTATGGGTCAAATGAGGAGTTGAGTTCGAAGATGGGTGAAATAGGTCAAGTGGTTGACCGGTGGGGGTCATCGGAGTGGGTGGGGTATTACGCACCAAAATTTCAAAATTGTGTTAGAAAGCTGAAATTTGGCATAGAGGTTGCTAATGGTTTATAATGAAGGAATACAAAGTAAAATTTCAAAAATTTTCGTCTGGAGGGACCCGAGGGGGTGACCCATACCGATTTTTAAAATTCATCAAATCGAGCTGAAGTTTGGTAGAAAAGTTGGTAATAGAAGAATATTAATTAAAATAGGAACAATTTTCCCATAGAGAGACCCTATTGGGTAACCCATACTTTTTTTTGTAATCTTCGGATCTGTAAGCTGAAATTTGTTACACAGGATGGTAATTGTTACTAATAGAAGAATATGAATTTAATTTGGAAAAATCAAATTTAATTTTTTAATTTATTGATATGCATTTGCGATAAAATTTCATGCAAAAAGTCGGATTGAGTGATAAGCACAACTTGGCCTGACTCGGGCTATATCAAGTCTGCACTGTAGGTTTTATATTTTCAGGGTAGTAATTCTGAGCAAAAATTGTGTTTAATTTTTGAAATCGGATTAAAATTCGAAAGGTTACAGCGTTTTAAAAATCCTGACTTTGGCGGATTTTTTAAATTCCACCACGGGCGAAAACATGTCCATTTTAGAAAACGAAAAAATACGGGTCCGCTTATTTCTGAGCATGAACTAACTAACTCCGGTCAAGATCAGTGAAAACCACTTGGACCTTGCTAAACTATAAAAATGTATGAATCAATAACTTAATATTATTGTAATGAACTGCAGATAATTTTTACTAATATGCATAAATAAATGCTTAATGTTAAATAAAATCATCAAAAGTTGCCGAAATAAATTCGGTCCTTTATGGTTTGCACACCCACTGTGAAATCGGTGACGTAACTACGCTTACTTTAAAATCATTTTGGTGACGTAGCTACACTATTGGTAAAATTAAATTGGTCATGTAGCAACAACTAACTGATAAAATTCTGGTCCCCAAAGGAAAGCAAATTTCAATTATTTCGGTCACAAAGGGGTTAATACCTGACTGCACCCCCACCACGAGGAATATTTCCAAGAGGGCAACCACTTTAAAAAGAACTTCTCCACTCGCCATGATTGCGAGCGCTTATCAACTTTTCACAATTTTTTCTTCAAGACAACTAACTCACTCACTCACATTTATTTCGTCGCAAGTGCATGGATAAAAGTAACTGCTTCGATTAGACAGAACTAATCAACTGGTGGATTTTGGGGTAAAAGATGCCACTTATCATCCTCACGCTTCGTAATGTGACAAAGACACCCAAAATAAATACTACTCGTCAAATGCTACAGATACTCGGCAATTGGGGACGTATGTACCAAGTCTTATGTATTATCCGTCTTTTTATAACCACACCAATTGACAACCCCATCCTTCGAGATGAGATGTGTGCTATGTATTTTCTGAACTGGACTTTGTACTGATTTATGAAAGATAAACTTGTCAACAACCACGACGAAGAAGGAGAAATGTGGACGAAATTGGTTTTTATAAATACTCGTTTATTTATCTTCTTGTTTATAAAAATTACTTGTGTTCAGATTTGGTCAACATTTCCTGCTCGGCACGAGGAGGTGTTGCGTACGTACCATTGTGACCCCTTCGTCATCTTGAAGGGTTTAAAAATGGTTCAAAGTGGTTAAATGCTTTGTGACAAAATGCGATATATACAATTCAATAGGATGTTTAAACTCTGAGGCAATTCACGCCAGCCTTGGTAACATTGTAAAATCAGTAAATTCTTTAAACTTACAAACTTTTACAAAAATTTCGAAGGAAAATTAGCTTACAAAGTTTTGTAAACTTGCTCAGATCAAGCTAGTGTTTTTATTTTGGAAAAGTTTGTAGAATACTTTACGTAAGGCACTGATTTTACAAAGTTACCAATGAAAGTCAAAGCTCCCTGCAAACTTACAAAGCTTATGCACGTTTATTGATCAAAACTACGAACAAAAATCAGGCAAACTTTAAATTTTCACATATCGGAGGCATTTCTATCATAATTATACAAAAACTTACAAATATCCGAGTGAATACTTGTCCCCATGTTATTTTTAGCACTGAAATAGGTATTTACCACGTGTTACATATTTGAAATGACTTTATTTATGAAAACTTAAAATTACACATCTTACAAACATCGGAGTGAATGCTTTTAATTTTTGTCAATGAAATACTTGTCAACAAAAATGATAAGTATTTGCCTGTATGTATGTACCTTGAAACGAGTTTTTGCTATGAAAAACTGAAAATTATTTTAGAAATTTAAAGTTAGAATGCAATTTAAAGTAAAGAACTGGAATATTAGGTAAATAATTGTTAACCTACTTTTTGCTACATATAGGACATCATTTCATGTACCTTAACTATTTCATTTTTATGAATACTAGATTTTTATTAAGATCCTCATCGCTCACATATTTACGTACACATAAGGATAATCTTATATAATCCAATCCACCCACATCCTGTCCAACCATTTGATCAGATCACATACTTATGAAATCATGCAGAAAATTTCAGTTGGGAATATGCAACTCAGGATTATAAAACCATTTATTTAGCACTATTTAATAAATTTTACTGTTTCTTGCACAATTTCAGCCATTTTACAGAGTCGAATCAATAACGAGATACAAAAAATATGCATGCATACTGCCAAATTGTATGCGAATCATAGGGAAAACATACACCATTTATTACGCTAACACGTGCCGGCAGGGATGGAAATCATGTCACTGTTTTATTTAATTATGAAAACCCAAAGTCAACTTGTCTTGAGAAAAGTTGAGGCAAGTTGAGATGAGACGATTATTGCAAGTAGTTGTCCATGACCAGTCCAGTCCAGGAGCATGTTGATGATGATGAGAATGAATCATGATTTCATTTCATGCAAAATTTTAGCTGACTTTTGCATGCATTTGACTTATGCAAGTTAAACTTTACGATGCATGCTGATTAATTCTACGGAATATTCCGGGACCGAGTGGAGTCGAATATTTACCCCGAAAATAAAAGCGGGTAGGATTTTATGATTCATTTCATCATTTCAGTTCATTCATCTTATCGGAAAAAGCAGCTGGATTAATTATCTCGTGCTTCCCTCGTGGTCTGATCTGGTCTTCCTCCAGCTGAAATTTGCACTATACAACCATTTCCTGGAGGGGGGAAGGATATAGCAAACCGGAAATGGAATACAAATAATTATCCAAAACAGACCGGAAAAGATAGAAAAAAGTGTGTAAATTTGTGTGTCTGTGCATGGTTTTTTATGGGAGATGATGAAATATTTACAATGTACGGATAAGTCGAGGATTACTGTGATGACGTGGCGAAAAAAAGTGTGCACCTGATAACTTGACCACTCCTCCGGTCACTTCCTTCCTCCAAGGGTATGAATTTGTCTTAAAAATTGTAATATTTCCATGAATTATTAAAGTATTCGATATGGTATCGCTAAATATCTCTGGGTGAAAGGGTCGTTTATCTCTGGAAGAGGCATTGACATTGATTTAATTGAGATTACACTTAAATTATTAACTTGGTGGTGGTGTCAAATGAACGTTAAATATTAGGATGGACTCTTGGTTGGTTGGACAAAAAATAAGAATTTGCTGTCATCGACCAAGTCTGCCTTGCTCAACCAGATTTGAGAAATATAGTCACAGTCGCTATTCATTTAATGAATAACACCCGAACGACAAGTGAGGCAAAAAGTAATTGACAACTTTATGACGTTAATCTTTGAAGAATTCTTAATTTGCTGGATGCGGGTGGTGTATCCATTCTTGTCAAGTTGGGCGTAATATTAATATTTGCAGGACGACAGATTCTTGTCACATTACATAATTATGAATGAAATCTGAGCCTGATATTGCTGCATATTCAACTCTCTATTTTTCCAAGAAGTATTTATTAAAACATTAGTGCAGTTAGGTTAATTAAGTTTGATTAATGAATGTGATTACAGTGGCAAATTGATAATAAAAATGGCAAATAGCGAAGGAAAAGTCGTGAAAAAATGAGTATCAAAGGTCTCAATTAAGTAAGTATATTAAGTAATTGGTGGTAGATATTATAATACTGGAAAATTCATAGGCTGAAGGATTTTTAGTGACAAGATTCTTATGGTCATTTTAATCTCGTGTGTGGTAAATGTATGTATTTTTGGAGGAAAGCGTTAATTTTCCTGCGTTAAGATCGCCATTAAATCCTACTCTCCATTTATGTATTATTATTATTTGATCCAAGTGATAATCTTGAGGAAGGAAAGGATAAGAGGAGAACAAGCGTCTTCTGTGTATTTCTTGTTAAAAAATCCAACCATGTTTTTCTATTTGTTTTACTGTAAAACTTTTATAAGTTGTAAATTACAACGTCGTCATCGTCGGCGACTATACGTATAAAGTGAAGATGAGATTGTTCCTGGTCCATGATTTTTTATATTTTTATTGTCAATAGTATAAGCCTCTCAGTTATCTTGGACTGTTCTCTGTTAGGCTGGCCATGATTTTTTTATCTGGAATTTACACTGTCTAATAATAAACAGTTGAAGGAATTGAGTCGATAAAATACAATATTGACGACAAAATTAATCCATGAGACACGTTCCTTTTTAGTGATAAACTGGACACAATTGATAAACCTGTTCTCAAGAAATTGATGACATACGTGGAATTTACGGAGAGAATTTCTGTATCCCTTTTTTTAACCAGCCATTCCAATGCGACGACGGGATTTTGATTTCATAATACATATTTCGTGTGAAGTTTAATTTCATGGCCGGAAAACAAGTTTGTAAAATATATGTCGTAATGCAATAATAATCGACCATAATTTTTCTCCTACGTCCGTTACTTACTTACATAGTTTTATTAATGAGGAGAAGAAAATAAGCGGCTAGAAAATTCTGGAATGATGGAAATCCTGATAATCGCCTCGTGTCGGTGGTGGTGTTGGGTCGCATAAGTTTCTGAAGGTTTCCTTGTCTGTGTGCTAATAAACTAAATTTCATGATGGGAGAGAATCTAGAAGTAAAAGTTGTCAGGAAAATCAAGGTAAAGATTGCAAGGATGTTGCACCACCGCTAGTTACATGTGTATCTCCAGTGATAGCAATTATGCAGACATACACACGTAACATCGGGGGTTCGATTAGCGAAGAATTTAGCGTTATGGGAAGAAACACGAACTTGGCCCTGATTTGATTTCAAGTCATGTCACAATCAGTGGCAGCGGAATAAGCTGTGGGGACATCTGGGAGCATTAACATTGTATGATGGGGGAGGGAGGAGATGGGGAGATGATACGGACATCGAATAACCGTGGGGACATTATCCCTTCCGCGACCACTGGTCACAATGACGTCCTTGGTTGTTGTTGTTTGTAGATAGCTGGTTATACATGTTTTACCTCGACAACATTTCTACATTTGTTCTTGGTGTGATGACGCCAAATGAAGTCAACGGATGTACAAAGGAAAATTCCCACATGGTCGCGTCCTCTCCTCCCGTTGCGTTGTGCAACTGAGAGAACAGATCCTGCGTCTAACAAGACAAAAAAAGTTCTACTTCTTCTTCTCCTTTGGTTTTGATGCTATCTTCTGATTTCGCAAGAACTGGTCCACCATTCTTGCAAGGAAAGCCGTCATATTATCGTGTGGTGTGGTAACCTCGTGTACATAATAATGGGATTGCAATGAAGTAGAAGAAGAATATGCGTGGAGGAATCACCGACCTGATGATCTCTCCTCTGCAGAGGTCTCACTTATTATTATGCAATCGCACAATGGGATACAGCACATTGCTGGATGGATGGAGAGAGAGATCATCCGAGCCAGATTACGACTCCTTGTTAGTCAGTTATAAATCTATTACTACACATTTTGCCAAGAAGCAGTAAACCGTCCGTCGTGGCATATAACGTCTCGCATTAAATTGTTGTACCGCCTAAGGCAATGTTGTCACCCGTCCGTCGGCCGTCTTCTTAATGATACCAAAGCAGTCTTCTTCTCACGCATCCATCCATCCATCATATCGTTTCGTTTCGTCAGTAGTGTTGTTGTGGAGGTACTTACTTGGTTAGGATTGTGGGTGGAAATACCCAATCCAGTCCAGGGGAAATCTTGTTTATCCTCCATTAACGACAACCTGTAAAGTTATCAGGAGTTAGTGCAATATTGGATCAATCAATCTCTTAGAACGCTAGTTAACCCAGTGTGTGACGACTTTTCCAGCCTTCTTTCCGGGTAATTTATTGACTCGATGGTTCATTTCTGGCCTCATTCTTGCAGAACTTCTCGCCCCGTGTGGATCTTCATCAGTCTCTAAAGTGTGGTGCAGTGGTGGTGTCATATCTTATCAAGAAATCAAGTGATTCTCAATAAATACATAGATAACAATGAATAACGGAACGGACAAATCGTGGCCGCCACATGTGGGCATTGTCGCCCTCGAGATCTACTTCCCCTCGCAGTACGTCGACCAAACTGAGCTCGAGGAATTCGATGGGGTTTCCGGGGGCAAGTATACGATCGGGTTGGGCCAGTCGAAAATGGGGTTTTGCTCGGATCGCGAAGACATCAACTCGTTGTGCTTGACGGTGGTGAAGAATCTCATGGAGAAGCATAATATTGGTGAGGAAGAATTATTCAAATTAATTAGTTGGGCCAATTTTTAATTGAATTTTGTGCAGGGTACGAGAAAATTGGGAGAATTGAGGTGGGCACGGAGACCATTTTGGATAAGTCCAAGAGCGTCAAGTCCGTCCTCATGCAGCTCTTCGAGGCCAGCGGGAACACGGACATTGAGGGAGTCGATACCACGAATGCGTGCTATGGGGGGACCGCCGCTCTCTTCAATTCGTTGTCGTGGGTCGAGTCAAGTGCTTGGGATGGTGAGTAGTCTCTTATCTATTTGTTCTTATCATGGGTAAAATAAAGCCATAATTTACTTATGTAGGTCGTTACGCCCTCGTCGTTGCGGGAGATATTGCCGTTTATGCGTCGGGCGCTGCTCGTCCGACCGGTGGGGCTGGTGCCGTGGCGATGTTGGTTGGTCCCAATGCGCCCCTTGTGATTGAGAGAGGTAAATTTGCATAACTCTGGGCGAAAGCGTATTTAACAAATTAGCAGAACTAATTTTTGTGTATGCCTACAGGTCTTCGAGCTTCTCACTCTGCGCACGTCTACGACTTCTACAAGCCCGACTTGGAGTCTGAGTTTCCACGTGTGGATGGGAAATTGTCCATCCAATGCTACCTCTCCTCGCTGGACAAGTGTTACAAGCGATTTTCAGAGAAGGCGAAGGCGAAAAATTCCGAAACGATTTCTCTCGAGTCCTTCGATGGGATCTTGTTCCACTCTCCGTACTGCAAATTGGTTCAAAAGTCGTTGGCCAGGTTGCTTCTGAATGACGCAATTTCTCTCCCGGAGGCCGACGTGAAGAGCAAATATTCTGACTTGGAGTCTATTCGAAGCGTCAAGTTGGAGGACACCTATTTTGATCGGGACGTTGAAACGAAGGTGGTTTCCAGCTCAAAGAAAATATTTGAAGGGAAGACGAAACCATCGCTGCATTTGGCGAATCAGGTCGGAAACATGTACACGCCGTCGGTTTATGGTGGTTTGGTTTCTTACTTGGCGAGGTAAGCTATCCTGGTGACATTACAGTTTGAAATATGTACATATCACATCACATACTTTTTTTGTCCGCAGTAAAACGGAAGCTCAGCTCGTGGACAATCGAGTGTGCGTGTTCTCTTACGGATCTGGTCTTCAAGCTTCCATGTATTCAATTCGAATCTGCAAGGCGAACGGACAACTGACCAAACTTCTCGGTGGAATTTCCGACGTCAACTCTCGCCTCGACTCTAGAAAGAAAATTCAACCTGCTCTCTTTGAAAAAACCATGACGCTACGACAAGAAGTTCATCATAAAGGTATGTAGATTACGATAATGACAAGTCAACGTCATACTTATTGCTAACTCGCTGTTTCCAGCTCCCTACGTACCCGTCGAACCGGTGGCTGACTTCTTTCCAGGAACGTACTATCTGGAAAGTGTGGATGACATGCATCGCCGAAAGTACACGCGAAAAATGAAGTAAAAAAAGGTCACGGATTCCTCTCCTGTGATTCAAACCCGCACAAGAACAAAGCTGATTTTCTTTCTAACAAGAAGAAAAAAGGTTTCGTTTATAGTTCGGTATACCGGTGCTAATGTATTAATATATAGAATAAGCTAGAAAAATTATATAATTATACGCGACACAAATTCTATCATGCCCATTTCCACTGTAATAGTTTTAAGTTAGTAAAAACGAAAAGTATGTAATTAAATTGTTATGTAGCAAATTTTAACCTTTTCACGTTACAAGTTGTTTTTTGCTATTAAAGAAAGAACCAAAGAAATGGAATGGAAGTGACAAATATCTGGTAGTAAAATAATACGGTGAGTTAGTGGATCTGACAAAATTCGATTTGTTTAAAAATTATTGAGACAAGAAATATATCAATTTCTACAAAATTCTATTGTGATTTTGAGCAAATAAATTGATTGGCGAATAAAATTAGAACATTACAAAATTGGAGGTGTAGTAGTCATAAAACTAAATTGCATACATATTTTAAAAGAAAATTCATTTATTTATGACTTTTTTTATTATATAACATTCATCCATCACCTATGTTAATAGTGTAGAAGACAAAAAAGGGAAATTTTACGTACAAAACTCCAAGTAATAAACAACAACGACACTTTGTCATTCAGTAATAGTAAGAAGAAAGTGATAAGTACGAAAGTGGAATAACTTAGTGACGTCGACGAGAGCGGTTGGCATTGAGTGGTTTTTTCATAAAGGCCCAATCAACGTGAATCGTATTGCCGAGCATGTCACCCCCATCAAGTCCGTTCTTTGCTGCACTGGCATCCTTGAAATGTTCGAATTCTATCAAAGCGTAGCCCTAAAATTACATAAAATACGCATAAAATCCATGTACATACTAAAAACCATTAAATCTGTGAATACAACATAATTTATTGCATAAGATACCTTCAAGAATCCAGATCTTCTATCCAAATTGAGATGCAAGCTTTTGATTTCTCCATACTCTGCAAATCTGCCGTGAACATCGTCCTCGTGCGCTTCCTCATGAATTCCAGTCACCATTAAGATCCACCCCTCGATAGCTGAAATAATTGCATCACAATCACAATTAGTTAAAATCCGTCCCAACATAGTTATTATTTTTTTTAATATTTTACATCTCTGCGCCGACATGTCGACATATTCATCAACGGCCCTTCCAGCAAAGTCAATCCTTTCGTAAACCTCGTCAACACCTTCCGGTCGGGGATTCTCCATCGCGAAACCTCGCCCCTTCTTCTTTGGAGCGCGCTGCTTCAGAGTCTCGACTCCACCTAGAAATAGCAACCAACCACCATTAATTAGTTAATTAATTAATAACAAATACCACCAAATTTCCCAATTCACCACATTACCTTCATCCTCTCCGCCTGCCTCATCAATCGCCATGTCCTCCTGCTGCACGTCCAAATCCAAAATATCTGCCATTTTTGGGAAACAATCAACCCCAATTTCCAAACGTAGTTAACTTTTTTTAATTTCACAACGTAATTAATTAATTCTCGAGTCGGTAAAAGAGCATCAGCAGCGGTGTGTGAATTGCAAGCGGCCAACCGAACGTGCGAGCCAAGCCGACCAAAATCCTTGGGGCATTGTAAGACTTGACTCTCATGGTTGCGTTTCCATCTCGATCTACCTCACAAAATAATCTCAGTTTCATGAATTTTTGCGTATTTAACTATAATTTTTTCAGGAATTTAAATTGATAACCCAAATTTGTTTATCTGGCCCCAAAATAATCAAACATTTCCATTAGACTTGACATGATGCCGGAAAGTGAGATTACTCATATTATGTAAACGATGATGGTGGTCTGGTATCTGGTATGGACTCTTCCCTTCCAAGATTCCATTATATTTTATACATCTCCGTCTATACGCAAACAAAGCAACATCCCGTCAAACGATGCCGGCTGTGGTGTAGTGTTGATATTTTTATGAGCACTTAAAACCTTACTCACAGCCAATCGTGTCCAATACGACGTAAAAGTCTCGAGTCCTTCCTGTAAGACACCTTTTTTGGGTAGATTTTGGAATTTTGGGCCCATTTCGTTATACGTAAAAATGCATTCCGCTTAAACTCTTGGACTGGTTTAAAGAAAAGAATAAAAGTTTTTTAAAAATGGCTGGAACGGTTTTGGAAAATTTGAGCAACCGGAAATTGTTCGTCTTAACGTCAACTTTGCTTATTTGTCAAGTCGTGTGTTTCCTGATTGGAGGTTTGATCGGTGAGTATTTTGATGGGTTTTAATGAATCTGTGATGTAAAAGCAAATGTTAATATTTGTTTAATCAGAGTTGCGAGAGCAGAGTCGGGGTTTTAGTTAAATGAATCAATCTCTCATTCTCATTTTGTCATTTCGATTATGAGCAGTTGGATCGGAGAGTGGAATTTTAGTAGTTTTCACTCGGAAATTTAAAAAATTAATGTATACAATGTTGAATTTTTGAAATTAACGTGTAATTTTCAAAATAGATGTGCAATAAATGCATATTTAATGGGAGGAAATGTTCAATTTTACTTTTTTAGCTCCTGCCCCCTCCCGTGCGACATGGATGTTGGGCACTAAATGTTTGGACAAGGAGGCGAACCGGAGCAAATGGACGTACCCCCGGGGGGCTGGGAGATGTCCGCAAATTTCGGAATTGGAACATGACCTCCACGCGAACCAGATCGTCTTCTCGTTTCAAATACCTTTCGTCAAGGAGAACGTTGTTCTGGATTTTTCACGCTGGCAACAAAACTTGATTGGAATTCTGCAACTGGAAATTCATTACTCGAAAGAAACTCCTGTCCGTGAGTAACATTTTAGTTTTTAGAATTTATGTCGTATAAAATTTGATACTTAAAAACGTAAAATTTTAGGTTTTGTGGAAATGAATTTGATAAAATTTGATTATACTTAAAAAATGTAGAGGATGGAGCCATGCTCATGCTGGACACGAGGCTGGCCTACAGGAACAAGTGGGATAAGGACTCGGACTGGAAATTGTACGCGGAATCGATGGAGGAAAGGACGCTTGAGTGCGACATCGAGGAGGAGAAGGAAGGTCACACTTATCACTGCGGTCTCATCCCGTTGTTCGAGTTGGGCTCGCTACACCACGATTTTTACCTGCTCAACATCCGAATCCCGGACGCAGATGGGCATGAGTACAATCGGGTACGTACATATTCCATATTTCGTACATATATTTCGACAATGCCTGAAAAATTATGATGGGAATATTCATTATTAGTTCACATATTCGTATGTCAAGACAATTTTGAAGCAAAATTTGTGAAAGTTTGCAAATGAATTTTTAAGCCAATTTTTTACGGACTTGCGAACTTTGTTTTTTTGCTAATGATGATAACTGGTAACGAATACGCTCAATGTACAATATTACTTACTGTGCCATTAATTGCAGGGAATCGGAATGCTGAAAGACTTAAATTTGGTAACGATCCACCAAAATGGGGGGTTCACGAAGGTGTGGTTATCCCTGAAAACGGTCTTCACGCCCATCGTCCTAGCCGTAGTGATTTGGTACTGGCGACGAGTTCAGGCGCAAGCCCGACCGGCCGCATTGTTGGAGAAGATGATCCTATTTCTCGGATGTGCGATCGAGTTTCTGAACTGTATGTGGAAAAACCTAAAACGAATTATGCGAAAGTATTGCATATAAATGAATTCTGTTTCCTTTTTCATGATTACAGTTCCCATCGAATGGCTCACACTGTTTATCGACATGCCGTACATGCTGCTGCTCAGCGACATTCGCCAAGGGATCTTCTACGCAGCGTTGCTCTCCTTCTGGCTCGTCTTCACGGGCGAGCACCTCATGGCAAGTGAAAAATGCGATGGAGGTCTCCCAGCTTATCCTCATAGGCTTTGAGCAAACTAGTGTCAATTGATCACAAATTTAATTAATATGAAGTTTGCGAAAGACATGATCTCCCAACGGGCACGTTTGGCCAAGATATTTGCATCCGAAGAGGAGAAAGTGCTCCTTAAAGTCGACAATCACTTTCCAAATTCACTGTGCGTTTTCTCCTCTTCGGATGCAAATATCTCGGCCAAACGTGCCCATTGGGAGATCATGTCTTTCGCAAACTTCATACTAATTAAATTTGTGATCAATTTCCACTAATTTACTCAAAATCGGATCGCATACGCAGGGATACGTTCATTATGAGTTTAAAAGATAATTTAAATAATTGTTCACTTAAAAAACTATTTCCCCAGGAGTCGACCGGTCATCGTAACACGCTCCAAACTTATTGGAAGCACTTGAGTGCGGTAGCCTTCGGGTGTCTGTCCCTCTTCCTCTTCGACCTATGCGAGCGTGGGGCGCACGTCGCGAACCCGTTCTATTCCTTGTGGGCGACCCCGTTCGGGACACGTCTCGCCCTCGCGTTGATCATTGCTGCGGGGATTTCCGCCTCCCTTTACTTCGTCTTCCTCTCCTGGATGGTGTGGCGTGTGTTTCGAAACATTAGCAGCAAGCGGACAGCACTTCCAGCCATGTCGGAAGCTCGCCGACTTCATTATCAGGGTACAGTAAAATTTGCATAATGTACAATGTGCCCGTTTTAATGCCAGTGTCCATTTTAACCACATTTATTAGTTACATTTGTATATCTGGACATGTTCACTTTACATTTTTATCACTTCAAAACTTGACCCCAGTGTCCAACGCTATGAACATGACAACAATTTTTCCGAATTTCCAAAAACTAGCCACTAATTTTTCCAAAAATCTTTTTTCCCATAATTTTCATCTTTTTCTATGCATGTATTGCTAATGAATGACAGATAGCATTCAAAATATCAGCAAAAATAATAAGTTTCCTCGTTCCTTACAAAAATTTCCTTGTAATCCAAATTAAAAATGCCTAGTAGATGGAAATATATCATACTAATTAATCCAATTTTCATCTCCAGGCATCATCTACCGCTTCAAATTCCTCATGGTTGCCACCCTCACCTGCGCCGCCATGACGGTCATCGGTTTCATCCTGGGACAAGTTACCGAGGACAAGTGGAAATGGGACGGCGACGTCGAGATCGAATACACTTCCGCCTTTTACACCGGAGTTTACGGAATGTGGAATATTTACACGATGGCGTTACTCTCCCTGTATGCACCCTCGCACAAGCGGTGGCCCCCAGAAAGGGGTGAGTACTTCAATATTTTTGCAAACATGATACAAATTCCCAAATATTTTGAGTCAAAATTTTTGACCAGTAATTAATTTTATCTATTTTTACAATGTTTTTTTTATTATCAATATTATGTAACCATTCATAAGGCTGTTGGCTACGATGTAATAAATCAATTATTGTTACGAATTCCCATCTAAAATTCCGACCCCCTCTTTTTTCCAGACCCATACGCCTCCACAAACAGTGGCGCTGAAGAGATCGAGTTCAGTCGTTTGGATGCCGACACCTCAGAAATTTCGGCGTTGGCTTCTTTCGCAAAAAAAGTTGCGGCCGACTAAAAAAATCTATTTTTTGCATGTCATAACGAAAAGTATTATTATCAATATTATGATTTTGTCTTAAGCTCGCTTTCAGTGTGTAAAACAAGTACTTAATCTTTTTTATCTGAGCATTTTTAACCCACATTTTTATATCGGCGTCATGTCATGTTTTTTAATTTGAATAATTCCGCAAATACGTAGATATCTATGTATTTTTAACTTAATCCCTCTCTCTACGTCACGTAATACACAATGACTCGAGAAGAGACGCGCTGACTAATGGATAATTCCAGTTTCGTGCTGTTTTGCGATGTATAAATTTAAATATACAATTGTGACGTCAAACCTATTATCATCTGCTTATCGCTCTGCTCTGTCTCCTTTAACCTATTCAATCATCAGAAAATTCAGGCGTTGTAAAATTATAATGCAAACATTTATTTACCTAATGGAGCAAAACATTAGGAGGCAATGACGTAAAAAAACTGAGGTGGTTTGGTTGTTTTGTGAATGTCTGATAAAATTTACACAATGATGATGATGATGATAATGCCAATTGTATATCAGATTATTATACGCTTTTTTAAAGTGGTTTGTATTTTATAAATAAATTCTTATCAAATGTATATGTCCAAACAAACAATTTGTTGTTTTTTGCCACTCATTTTTTCATATGACGTGCGTCGTAAATATGCACAAGCACAATTAAATCAATAATTTACCATTCCCATCAAATTTCTCAAATCATGGTTATTTTTATTTCGATAATTAAGTAGTTAAATATTTATATTAAATGGCATTCAACTACGAATTTCTATCGGAAAAAATTGGACTACACGGTAAAAATACTGACAAATTATCAAATGACAACTTAAACAAAAAAGTTGTGTTGCATTCATTTTTCGTAAATAAATAAATAAAACCAATCCGTTTCTAATTTAGTTTTCATTTCATTTTCAATGTCATCCATACATTTAAATAAATACTAAAATTCGTCAGTCTAAACTATTCTATAACCACAACCATAAATAAAAGTAACAACAATGATGATGATGATGATAAATTAATAGTTGTGTGTGTACACGGTAGTAAAGTCTATAACTTAAATATGGCCAATAACAATTATTCATTTTTTCTACACGGTACTTACACAAGCAACACTTATCAATAAAATGTTTATAGTTATCATTTTGGTACAAGGTATGTACGATCATTTCCGGCGTGATAAATAAATTTCAAGGCGTTGGTTTAGTGGGTGGGTGGGTAGCAAAAAAAAGTAGTAAAACTTTAATTCGTCATAAATTTCGTTTACTTTTACTAATCGATAACCATCCACCTTGAAATAGTTTTGTCTATTAAGTCAATTAAGTCACTAAATGTCGCTAAAAAAACCCGAATAAGTAAAAACCATGTAAATAAAAAACGAGACGTAAATACTTAATAATCTCATTAACCTACAAAATTCGTATTGCGTTCCTCCGGTAAAAAATTTACCAAAGAACATTAAAATTTTTTGGTAACAATGTTCTCTAACGTTTTTGTCGTCGTCGGGCGGAATAATTTGGTGGAAGGATGTGTTATTTATTGTTATTGTGTTCATTTTAATTTTAAATATTTTTTAAAGTAATGTCAATGCCGACGAAGGATGGGCGGAATATTTAGTGTAACCCTTTGTCACGAATATTTATTTACGACTTGAACTTCTTCCGGAATGAAATTAAATATAAAGCACCATTTAAATTAATCGTTGCGAATTTGCTGAATTGAATTTGGTCATGAATCTTAAAGGTCAAATTTCTTAATGGTTCCCTCTCTTCTCCATTTTTTTACTACCTGCGAGGTCACTGACCTTTCGTCGGGCTGGACGAGGATGTGTTTTGCAGGAGAAATCATTGGCCGCGGAAGTGGGGGGACATTATTAAAAAAAATAGTTTTACGGAATTGGAGGAACATTGACAAGACATGATTTTGCCGAATTTCTCCGGGGACAATGTCCCCCTGTTCCCCCGCCTCCTTCCGCGGCCAATGGACTGCGAATAATAATAATCGTAATTGGATTCGCTCATCAGATTTGGGATGATATAATCTATCTCAACTTGGATCAGGTGTGCAAAAGTGAGTACGAATAAAGCAGGCTAATTTCAAAAACGACAATAAAATTCTCTGCTCTTGCCGAGAATAGATTTCCTCTCTCTCTTAATTAACAAGACTGCTTTCTCATGGATGACCAAATTTATGAGAGAGTTGTAATAAAACACTTAAAAAAACTGTGGTCTGGTCGGGTAAATGGCTGGCAGGATATAATTTTCATGGTCTAAACCTTGATTTTTTCCCCCATGTTTATCTATTTTTAATTGGGAATTTTAGACAGATTTAGGCCAAGTATTGTTTGAGGGAAAAAGTTATAATTTTCTGAGGTAGATTTTGTTTTGCATTGAATTTGGATTTTTTACGACGACGACGACGATCCCCGCTGTTAAAAAAGTGTGACCAGGAAGCGTATCAATTATTATTATTTATTTTTATTCCTCCATCCGTCCGTCCATGCACCGTTCAGTTCAGTCGCGTTATTTCAAGAATGACCAGACCAACACGAATTGCAGTGAAATGAAATGCATTGCATTCAGGAATGGAAAGAATGCCAAAAAAGTTGTTGTTGTTGGGTTAAAGAAATATTTAATAATAATGAATTCCTTTTTTTACTCGTGCTTTTTTTGAGGACGGAAAAGTTAAAAAAAAAAGTTTTTCTTTGTAGGGGATTTTCCCACACGCCACACCACACCACGCGGCATTCATACCCATTGACATATTATTATGTAGAAATAAATAAATAATAGTAAAATTGACACATAACAAACAAACAACACATGTAGATAACTTTACAATTCCGGTTGAAAAAAAAACCTGTAAAGATCCAAATCCAATGATACATAAATCCAAGATTACGCGTTCGCAGTGTATCATATTTTTTGAAAAGATTGCAATTTTTTGCAATACTACTTTGTGAATGATTTGTAACCAAAATTTTGCGAATTTTGTCGTGAATACCCCCATTTATTTATTCGGGAGGATTTAATTAGTCCGACATTCCTGCTATTGACGAGATAATAATGAATAATCCATGCGTGCATGTGCGTGGGTTGGATTTAGAATTAGATTTAGGATTGGAATTTGGATCAAATAAGGTCTTTTTGTTCTCATTTAACGACATCCACGTCCACGTTACGTCCACGTCCACGTCCTCATTATGTCGGATTCGTGTTAATTCTCCTACTTCTTACTTACGTAATAAATACATTCCTCTTACAAGATCAAAGTGAGATGATGAGTTAACTAACTAAATAGTACCTACCAGTTCCAATAATACCAAAAGATAACCCGAAAAAAGAGAGAGATGAAATTTAAATATTTACAAGTATGTAAACCCAGCACCTAAATAAATAAATAAATAAATAACTATTTCCCTCTCCGAGATAGTTGCCCCTTGGATGAATTTTTTTTTCTTTCCTAAAAACAACCGACCCACCGGTTCCCTATTGTTTCACGGTTAAGGATCCCGCAGATAAAAAAAATCTACAGTAAAAAAAATACACATGCAAATGGAGTAACGAAACTCGACAACCTGCATGAAAGTTAAGCAACCCCGGAAGGTTCCTACATACTTTTGTAAAGCTTTTCCTTCTGCAAGGTCACTGCACACAATAAATAAATACATTTGTATCCCACTCGTTTCGAAATCGACCGATGTGCGAACCCCCAAATTAAAAATAAAAAAAGTCAACTTAACCACACGGAAAAAACGGGTGTAAGGTAAAGTAAAACTTTTTTTTACACCTGCTCAAAGAAGAAGATCCTCGTTTGTTCGCTTCACAGACAATTGGTGTTAAATTCATTAGTAGCTTTTTTTACCTGTACGTAAGTCACCTCTTCATGACGAGGAGGAAGAAGACGATGAGACGAGTGGGTTTGTGAATGGAAGTTGCAAAAAAAAACTTGTGCAGGTTCTTGTCAACTAGACGTGATGATGTTTAGTGATCATTTGCATATATTTTTTTTACGTATGTATGTATCTCTCTCTATTTTTAGGGAAAAATTCATCCAAAAAGCACTCTCTAAAAAAATCTCTTTTGTCCGTCAGGAAAATAATGTATGAGTGTCATCCTAAAAGTAAATATAAAGAGTAGAAAAAACGGTAATAAATAAATAAATAACCCAAAATATCGTCTAGTCCGTAGTGTTTAGTAAAGTTGTACATGAAATGTTGTCTATTTTCTAAATATTTATTGTCTCATGTGTCGTCTCGTTCTATTGCAACTTGCTCCTCTGCTGAATTTTGTCTCAATTTTCCCCTAATTTTAGACTCACTCACCTCTTTACGACAGTCTTGGGAGGTACTTCCGCCCCGTGGTGAAGTCCCCTTGATGATGCAGATGCAGGGAGGGAGGGCTCGTCGTGGCGTAGAAGTAGTGCGGACTAGGGGGCGAGACGGGGGGGAGGGGGGACGACTCGGGAAAAGGGACTTTCTTATTCAAGGCCTGCTTCCTCCTCCAGAGGAACAACCACGCAAAGATAATCCCGACTTGGAGCACGACCAGGAACGCGCAACAGATCAGGAACCCCATGAAATTTAGGCACTGCCCAGACACCGAACGGGACGAAGTGACCTCCCAATCGTCATCGGCCACAGTGTCGTCATACTCGTCGAGAGTGTTATTTTCTTGGAATTTGAATCTATCAGCGATCCGGATACTGTTGATGACCAAGACATTCTCAACCTGCTGGGTGTCATTTGAACCTCCCACACTGCGACGCCTCCTCCGTCCGTACGATTGCGCCTGGAACGACCCCCCAGTCGAGGGATCTGCAGCCAGAGAACAGTCGACCGGCTGACACGTGGGGAGACAAGGGGTCACCAGCGCTTGGAATTGGACCACTTCACTCGTCGGGAATTTAAACGCTTCGAAAAAGGCTTGCAAGATTTTCCCGTGGTTGTGCACGTGCGTCACGGGGCCCATGATGGAGGGGTCGGTGGGACACCCGCGGGAGTCGATAAGCACAATTTCCGCACCGTCAGAACCATCCATGGCGATCAGTTCGCGGACAAAGATTTCGTAGGGAGAGGACACCTCGGCGATCTCGAAGCGGAGGGAGAGCGGGTCTCCAACCTAGATTTTTAGGGCGAAATGTGAAAAAGACGAGACCAAGACCACAGCCATGCACACCACGCCACGAGACTTTGTTTACAATTATGTGTGTGAATGTACCAGTAGTGGTACGGATTTGCTAACCTGTGCCGTAGAAATGTCGGCCCCGACCTGCAAGTAAAAAGAGAGGTCAATGACACCTGCATAAATTTTACATTTTCCTGCATCCACTCCCACCCATTACTCGTACTCATTTCAAAACAAACCCTTTCTGAACAGCACTCTCGCTCTTATTCTTAAAATGGCACTCCCACCCACTGGTTACACCCACAGGGGTGATTTCCTTGCAGAAATGAAGAACAATATTCTTCTAGCCATCTTTGAAGAGGCAAGTGATACCCGCACACCCCACAAAAAAACGAGTAATTCGGTTATCCAGGAGTACAAATCAACGGTAAGTTGAGACGGAGTTTTCATTGATTTTGACTTACATATTCAATTAATTATTTATTAGGTGGAATACTATGATAAAATGGAAGGTCCACTATTTGAGCCAATTTCCATCCAAAATGCCATCCTCAAACAAGAACTTTCTGCGGATGTGAAGACGTTTTTGAGTGAGGAGTGGAAAAAATTGAATGAGAAGGGTCAACATCAATGCCCATTTGTAAAGGATGAAATAAGATGCAGCCAAACTTTCTCCAATCCAAGTCAGATGCTGAAACATTACCAAAATCTTCATACTAGTACTACACAATTCCAATGTAAGGTGTGCAATGCTAATTTCTACGAGCGAGCCGCTGCCAATGATCATGTCATGGTTAAGCATATGTGTAAGTCTTAAATATATAAATCATCAACAATAAATAATAAAATGATGCTAATTTTTTTCCAGTTTTAAAACCCTACCAATGTAAAGAGTGTGACGAGTCATTTAGTGTAAAAAGAAGTTTACTTCACCATCAAGCAACGGTCCACCTTGTCCCACCCAAAGGCTCCATCATCTACACCGAGAATAAAAGTAACAAGAAACTGGCGTGGTTTGTGTTTTCTAGAGAAAAGAGTGAAGGTCAGTCCAATAAGTTAAAATGTATAAATGTTTTATACATTAGATTAATATGCAGGTGGTGCTCTCAAGACTCAAATATATATGATAATTTGGTTTGACAAAGTGACTCGAAAAGTCATGGGCATCTCGTTCGAGTACACATCTCTTAAAGATGTCAAAATAGCAGCAGAAAAGCTCAGAAAAAAGAACATCCGTGCTGCTGAAATACTTGCCGAAGGGATAACAGCTAACTCCTATGGTTGCAGTTATGTGGACGAAATAAACAATGGATGGGATTTCGACCCAAATGATGCAGTCCCAATGGAAATGTATGGTGACGATGGTCACTAAACTTGTGACCAACGCTGTTGGTCACGACAAAACCAGACGCTCATTAGTATTTTTAGCAGATTGTGAAGGGCACTTTTTTGGAGCAATCAAAAAGATGTTGCCTAAAATGCCAGAAGATAATCAAACTTTCTTCAGCAATCGGGAATGGGAATTTGAGAAGAAGTATGGGTTGGAAGCCAAATCTGAAGATGAAGCCATGCCCCCTCCAGAGAAAGTCCAGAGAGTCGTTTAATTAGTATCATTATTAAATTGTTACATTTTTTGTGAGCAGCTTTTCTTAACTTAAAACTAATTCTTAAATATTCTATTCTTTATAAATTTTCTTTCATCCGGAACATACCAAATATGTAAAATGTAGTCTTTGTGATCTCTTGTTATAGTAATATAATACGTGAAAATAAATTAAATTGTATTAACTTACACGGTCTGTAATTCTCATGCTGACATTTGGACTTGGCACGACGGCCGACTCACTCGCCATGGATTGAATTTGTCCCGTAACTTGCAACTCGATTCCATGAGCGACACTCCTGTTCTCCAAGTGGAACGAGCAGCGGAGTGCGAACCCCATGTCGGCACTTGTCATGATTTGGTCATGCTGCAAAAAATGAGGAGATTGTTGTGTAAATACGGGGATTACATAATTTGCAAAATTTTGCGCAAAATTGAGTCATTACGTACATGTTGGAGGACTAAATCGGTCGCGAATCGGCCGGGTTCTTCCTGTTTAATCCCGCACCCGGGATCGGAGTAGTCCATCACCATTTCGAAGGTCATGGCCTGTTTGACATCCAGAACGCAGGAGTTGGGTCGATGTCTCGCGTACACTTTTCCGTTGAAGATTTTGTTCGTGGAGAGGCGGGCGATCAGGTGGTTGGCTTGACAGTCGAGGGTGACGTTGTAGCAGGAGCCGCGTTCGTACGAGACGCTCCCGTTCATGACGAGGTAGGGCTCTTCGACCTGGGACACGGTGACGGTGGAGTGGTGGCTGAGACGGCAGACGCCTTCGAAGTCGAAGGTGTGGCAGCGGAAGGGGGCATCGCTGTATAAGGGATGGAATGGATGAGATGATGAGTGAGGAAAATGAGATAAAAGTTGTGTACGTAAAGTAGCAAATTGAGTCAATGAGACGTAATTTTCAAGTAATGCTGCTTAATACTTCTTTTTCCATGTAGTTTAAATTTCATGTACTTAAAATTTAAGTCAGTTAATTAATCGCAAAACATGTCGAAGAGGAATAACTCTAGGAACAGGGAAACTAAATTTGAGAATTTTTTCGTGGTAGACAAGTCTGAGAAAGAAAACACGGTCATATATTGTTCAACACTCGGTCAAAGTTGAAGTACAGGCTCCTTCGCCGACAACGACTAATTTTGAAGCATGGGGACAACATAAAAAAATTTGTTCTACCAAATTTCGAAAAAAATATATTTCCAGAACGAGTTTATGGAACTTCTTTTACATGTGTAATGATGAGATTCTTTTTTCTCTCGAGTCTCAGATTATCGCCTTGTTATCAAATTAACTTTTAGAGTTTGTCATGCATGTAAATGGAAATTCTAAATTTGCATCCCTGTTATTCTTCGTAATTTCAGTTATAAATGTAAATTTGTTGATTTTCAATGATCAAGGTGTTCATCCTAATATTCATTAAACTTGGCAAAACCATAATGCCTCATTCGAGAAGATATGTATGTTTTACTCAAATTTTTAAAAACTCATACCATTTTCATATCGATAAGTTTTCTCAAAACCAGAAATTCCATTACTCACCTACAAAGTTGGCGACACTCCTCGACCGAGGCGACCCCTTCGTGCAAAGAATCCACCGTTTTGAGCAGCTTGTTCTCAATCCTTTTAAACTCGCACATTTTACTCGGCTCGTCGACACATTGGCTCTCCATGTACTCCACATTGGCCAGAGGGGCGAAACGGCCCGCGTTGTCTAAGCTGTACCGGTCCAAGTCACTCATGACGCATTCCGACTTCACCACATCCCACCAAGCCGACCTGTCAAAAGGTGGAGGAAAAAATGAAATAAAATTCCCGTGTCAAAATCTGGTTCGATAATAAAGAAAAAATTAATTTAATGTGTCATCTCGTCATCATGCATCGTCAGGAGGAAGTGAGGAGAAGTATGTGGTGAGGTGTCCACCCATTACTTGATGACTGACATGCCTCCCTCCGTATGAATGACGGAATGAATGCAGATCGCGGAAAAGATCTCCTCCTCCGTCTGATCCATCAAACCGTTTTGCAGATAAGCTCAAGAAGAAAAGTGGATCTCGACCAGGCAGACCAGACCCAGTGGCCGCGGAACAGGACAGAGGGACAATGTCCTAAACGGTTGTTCGATGTCGGCATCATCTCCCCATCTTATGTAAACCCGTCCCTCCCCTCCATCCTACAATGCTAATGTCCCCACAGGTTCCGCGGTCACTGAGTGCATGCAATTTTAAAGGGATGACCATTGACCGCGGGGACAAAGGGACATTGTCCCCACAGTTATTCAATGTCCGCATCATCTCCCCATCTTATACAAACCCGTCGCTCCCCCTATCCTATAATGTTAACGTCCCCCCATGTCCCCCCCCCCACCTTCCGCCGCCACTGACTGACCAGACCAACGTCAACCCACCAAACTGTCTCTCTCCCTCTCACACATTTAACCGTGTCGGATCCATTTATAATTATTATTTATAAAGAACAACACCTTCTTCTCGATCTTATTCTGCCATGCCGCGATAAGAGATTCATCTCATCCATTCAGACACATGCACGATAATTTTTTCCCCTTTGAGACACGATGAATATTAATAATTGCGGGCATCAGGTCTGTCACTCCAACCTGTCGGGGATGCATTTAGATGTGGAAATCTCGCCTAAAATCTCTCTCAGAGATCCCGATTCAATGGGAGATGACGACGGACGTACCTAAGTCAATGCATAGCACACATATTTCGTGTGACCGTGGTGGTGGTGGTGCTCAATCCAATTGAGAGTGCCGTTACACGAATTGATGAGAGTTTTCAAAGTGCGGATGGACATGGCATCATCATCATCAGAAAAGTTTGGATGGATGGATGGACAGGACATGCAGAGAGACCTCACCTAAATAGGTTGCCTAAAGGCGATTACTTTGTACTTATTGCATTACACGGTGGATTGGATGAGATGAGAGAGATGGCTAAAAAACCCACGTATTTGATTTACACGTTGTACATAAAATACCATGCCGGATAAACAAGTCATACACATCTTCTTATGCCTGCTGCCCTTTATATCCTGCAGTTTTTGAACTGCATTGGATGACCGATCCAAAATAAACTTGACCATTGCAATATAATGAAGATACATACACAACTAACCTAAAAAAAGAAGGATGAGATGGACAACTATCTACTTCACACGCTGGTGGTGCATCCCATCATCAATGAAATGAGTCAAGTGAAGTGAGTGAATCAATGAACAGACAATCCAAAAAATGAGACGAGATTTATTTGCGAAGGATGACAAAGTTTGCAAATTACGGTCGTCCCAATAATATGACTTTTAGCGAGGTGCGTGCAATTTTAAATTAGCAATAGATGGACATTGTATGGTCTATTTTTTCCCCTTCTCCCCCCGGCCGGCACCCAACCTGGCTCGCTCACTCACCCAACCCAATTTAATTCTGGGAATAAGAGGCTAAAATGTAACCCAGGCCGGGTTACGTTACATTGCATTGAATTTGCTGGCTGGCTGACTTGTTGCGAGAAGGTGATGTTTAAAAAACCTGCTTTTTCTAATTTGTTGACTGACTTTGGTTAAGTTACTATTCAAAATTTTGTGGGATAGCATTTATGTACGTGAGTAAATCTCGTATGTGTGCAGTTTTGTTGGTTATAGGGCATGAGGTGAGTCTTCTCCGATACGTACACCGTCATCTTCCTCATCTTCGTCTTCTTCTTCACCTTGACTGAATTATAATATATGCAGAAACATTTTGCGGTACTTTCTTTCTTTGGGTGGACTCGACAATCAACAATTGCAGCCCAACCTTAAGAACATAGATTCGCTACCTAAAACGTATCCACAGCCAACCAGCTCCACATTCCTTGACCAACCAACAAAGTTTAAATTTGCATTTGCATTTCTCCCCTCTTTACAATCTTTTTTCTTCTCTTTTCTTTATGTACATTGTGGTCTGGTAAGTAAGCTTCTAATAATTGTGAACCGGCGTCGTCGTCGTCATCGTCGTCATCCATTGATTATCTGAACGACCGAGTTGGCAGAGATGCAGGCAGGAGATGACCTCGCTTTTGACACATGCATTGACAACAACAATAAGTTGATGCCGATGACTCGCAACAATTATCACCTCGGTTCTCGAATTAGTTATCGATTACACATCTCGATGCATAGGCGGGCGGGACGAGCTGATGAAGGTGATAATATGCAATGATTGTGCAATTTTATTAAACTTTTATTGTGTAGGGTCATTCAGCGGTGTGAAGATGATGAGATGACGAAGGTGATAAATCGTGTGGAGGTGAGGAGGATGATGATAAATGACACTTGGTGAGGGGGATGATGATGATTTGGACTATATTTCCTTCCGAGAAATGGAATCGAATGAGATGCCATAGACACATCCACCTCGGCGCATTTAGGTATGAAAGGAGTACTACTTAATGTAAGGCTCATGGCAAAAATCAGCACATTTTTAATCATTTTTCGGGTCTGGGAATGTATTTTAAAATTCTGAAAGTCAAATTTGTAGAGCAGGGAGTTGCCAATTTTTTGAAAATATGCACTCCAGATTTTGACACTTTTTGAAGGAGGAGATCTCAAGTTTAGGAAGCCTTCAGAAATATTGGAACTCGTCGAAACTGGCTTAAAAAACTCGATGCCATTCCATCAATCAACTCTCTGAGGACAAATTTGAATTTCCAGAATTTTAAAATAAATTCCCAGAGGGGAGAAATTATTAAAAATGTGGAAATTTTGACGATAAGTCATCCAGTCCTACGTAAACACGAATATTGCCAATTTTCGAATCCGACGTACACATTTTTCGCATAAAACTATTACGCAACTTTCCACAAATCTATAACCTTAAACTTCAATCATATCTACTCACCGGCATGGGAACGTCCTTTCCTGAATACCTGCAAAAATTCCATGATACCTCTAAATAAGTATTTTCCCCTTAAAAAACCATCCAAATAATAACTCACAAGCATCCATGCAAGCCATCCTTGACGGAAGTTGCATCTGTTTCTTGACCCCATTCCGGATATAGTAGCCCCTCACCAGCTCAAACCCCCACGCTCGGGTGCAACTCCGCGCCGACGGGATGCACTGCTTTTGAGCGTACATGGTAAAAACTGGAAACTGCGACTTGATCAAGGTGTCTGCAACCAAAAAACAATAAATCTCAACTTTTGCACAATGTATACGTACGTAATGATAAATATGGTTCTTCCACTTCTTCCGCAGAGTCATTAACCGAACCCGTAATTCCTCTAATTGTTACGTGCCTCCTCTGACGACTATCGAAGTCCGAAAGGTTTATTGTTTACGAAAACAAATGAGGCATTGTTCCTGGCATGGGGTGAGTGAGACTCGGAGTGACTGATGGGCGAGACGATGGACATACGGGATGATGAAATGGGGAATTTGAGACAGTCTCATCTCATCTCAATAAATATGTATGAATTTCATTTCATTTCATCTCATCTCATCCAAAAAAAAGAAGATAAGATAAGTTATGCTCTTTTTCTTTTCCTTCCTCACTTAAAAATTAATAATAATAATAATAAATACGAGTTTAATCTTGACGAGTACAATGCCACCCATTCATTCAAATTCGTTGGTGGGTTCGTTGCGTAATGAAATAATTTTTATTATTATTCGTGATGTATCGTTCGGTGGGTGAAATGAAATGCGGAATGAAATTATTCTGCTGCTGCTGGGAATAAGACGACAAAAAATAAGTCATCAACTATTTGATTGAAATGATTCTCAAAATCCAGTTCGGGCAGTTAATAAGTACGAAGAAGAGGTGGTTAGTTAGTTAGTTAGTTATTCGGCATGCATAATAATCTGAGTGTCATTGTACATTTATTGCGGGCAGGCTGGATGTGATGTAACTGTAAGTACAGGTATTTCTATTTATTATTGATTTTTAAAAAGTTGAGGAGGGACAAGTTTCGCAAGGTCTTTTTCTTCTTATGCACTCTTGACCTGAAAAATGGTTTTCTGCTAGTTCCGACTAAAAGACAGTGGCCGCGGACAATGTCCCCACGGTCGGCATCATCTAATATAAACCCGGGCCTAAGTACAATGTTAATTATGTCCCCACCCCTTCCGCGGTCACTGTTGAGCCGACCCGACAAAAAATAATAATAATAATTTTAATTTACTGATGTGATATGATGATATCCGAACACCAATTTTTTCCCATCTTCTAAATATACCCCCATAAATACCAATATTTATCAAGACCGATAAGAAAAAAACTGTACGTATGTACGTACGTCCTTCTTTTTCAAGTGATGATTACACACTTTACTCCCAAAAAAACCGTAATCTTCTTTTCTCAGCCAATATTTATTCGACCGAACCAAGTGAAATAAATCATTTCAATAAGTAATTCAAATCTCGTCCAAAAATGGACATGAGAGATTACTTTCGTCAAGAATAAGGAAGTCGGCTTAGTCGGCAATTTATTTATCTTGGTTGATTTCATTTCATCATAATAATTAACTAACACTGAAAAGAGGAGTAAATCATTCATCGCACCCCGTATTTAATTGTTTGGAAAGAAATTTTTAAAAAAAAATTGGGGAGTGTAGCACATATCATTATTTTTTTGAACATGTCCTCCGGGTGTGGATACCCTGATTTGCTTACCTATAAATAGATAAACTAGTAATTTATTTGTGACGAGGATTGATGAAAGGTAAAATTAGCCTCGTCGTCGTCTCTACTTCTTATCAGGGCAGTTACTTAACTTAACTAAACCAACGAAATTTCAATGGTTGGTGGTTTGAAAACGAGGATGGTTTTTATTTTATTTTATTTTATTTTATTCCATTTTATTTATTTATGTAAAACCATTCCAAATGTTGGTTGGTGTCTAGTTTATGTAGTTCTCTTTTTTTTTGGCACAGAAAATAGTGCCTGAGACCACGGTGTGATGTGATTCTGATTCATTGTGAATTGTTGATTGTGGGAATTAATTATTGTAGACTCAGCGGTATTTCGTTCCTTGTGAAGAAGAAAACCATTCATGGTAGGAGAAGAAGTGAGTTAAGTAAGTGAGTTAGTGAGTGAGTGAGTGAGTAAGCTTGCATAGAAAATGGTAATCATCATCCTGCCCTCGTCTAAATGTGACCAATGTTGGGAGACGACTTTTAAAAAGAAATTTTCACAACAATAGTTTTACCCCATTAGAGAGAAGAGAAGAGGAGAAGAAGCGTTCCCATTGAGGAAGCAATGGCAGAAGAAGAAGAAGCTTTTCGTGGGAGTAAGGACAGGCGCCGTGAAAAAATTGGGGGGATGAGGGGGATAAAAAATTTCGGAAATTTATCCTAACCTCTCCGACTCGTATTTGCATGTCTTAAAGGTTTTTAAGGACGCACAGTTTATGAATAAGCAGGGACAATTATATTTAGGGCATTCATTACAGTAAAATAATTTTTTAAAAAATTGCCAATGTCCAATTTTGCAAATTGATGTTCAAGCCAAATTTTTTGCGAACTTGCGAACTTTTTTTTGCTAACGATGCGAACTCGTAATGAATACCCCCATTGTTGTAAGGCAGGAAGGGGACGAGTTCAATTAAAACATACATCTTTCTGTATGTACAGTATTGTCCCCGATGTCCCCCCACCTTTTTTCGCAGCCCCTGCTGCTTTATGCTGCTCACTCACTACATTTAAAAAGATGCCATGCATACATACATACAAGGAAACTCCTGCCATTCGTAAAGTGCCGTGAAGAAAAAAAGAATAAAGAGTAAATACAATTTACTCAGATTTGCCCAAAGAATAGCACAACTTTTACCCAAACTGTTTTCCCAACATGGTTTTCTTATGCATGCACACGTTCCACATAGACATCTCCTGATTTCAGAGAGATTCGCAAAAGTCTCAGCTTGCACGTTACGTTCAACGTTATGTTTGCTTGCAAATGTGTAATGTGATCAAAGAAATCTCTCAGAAGAAGAAGTGTAAGTGGTAAAAAAACACAGAGCTCTTCTTCTCTCTGACAAGTTCAACATTGACAGAGGAAAACCCGGATGCGCAAATAATACCTTCCTCCTCGCCTAATTCATAATAATGCAATAATGTCTGTGTGTTATGTGTATGTGTAACCATTACGTCTCATTTTATCATCTCCCGTGTGGTCTGCACAATAAAGAGACGCACACCAAACAATGTAACCAACTAGCCCGGCTTCAGATCAACGACGCTCCTCTCGGCGTTGTTGTTGGTCCTCATAGATAAATTATGACGTGGGGAAGAAAAATCTTGTATAAATAATTACCCGTAGGATGTATTGCAGTGGTCAGTGGCCGTGGAAGGGTGGGGACAGAGGGACAATACGGTTGTTCGATGTCGGCATCATCTGCCCATCTTATGTAAGTAAACCCGTCCCTCCCCCATCTATCCTAATGTCCCCAGATGTCCCCACAGCTTCCGCGTGCACTAAGGATGCATATGTAAAGGGAGGCTTCACAGTGACCGCGGAAGAGACAGAGGGACAATGTCCCCACACTTATTCGATATCGGCATCATCTGCCCATCTTATATAAACCCATCCCTCCCCCCTTATCCTACCAGGTTAATGTCCCCCACACACCTTCCGCGGCCACTGGTGTTGGTGGTGGTGGGATCGATTACGACGATTTACGAAATTCTGTGGACATGATGTGTGTGAGATTCTAGTTGGTTGGTTGTGTCTCACTCTTCCCATGGAAGTGACCTCGCCGACCTACTTGTCTCAGTCGTGGTGGTTTTTGGTGGTTCCTCGGTGTGTGTGCCGTATCGTAAATGAATTCCGATGGTCACTCTGTTTTAGCGGAGGAGATGAGATGAGTTGGTTGGTTGAGCTATTTTCCTCATTTGAATATCTATCTATCTACTCGGTGTGGTATGGTATAGTTTTGGTGGGTTGATTTTTAAGTGGGTAAAAAAATAGGAGAATGTTTTTTTTTCTTTCCTACAATAATTTAGATTTGGTTTGGTTGTTCTTGACCATATTTGGGTTATCTTAATTTGTCTAATGCTTTAATTTAGGGGATACCACTACGGCTACGGCGTGCATAATTTGTGTCGCAAAGTATGCAAAGTGTCATTTCTACCTGTCTGGCGTTTTATTCGTGGAGTGGAGGTAACTAACTGTTTCGAGGGTAATGGTCGCGACATAATTTGGTTAAGTATGATTTAACCCGTGTCGGGGTCGAGCGTGGGTAGAAGGGTAGAATAGAAAAATTAAGAAAAAAATGGCAAAAGGTTAAAAAGTTACGAGATAAAGAGATGATGGACAGATATTTAGTGTTTTTGTCAGTAGAAGAGTTGTAATTGTGTCTGTTAAGAAGAAATTTATGGCCTATTTGAACGGCTAATGTCCAGGCCATTTATGCCAAAAAATACCCAAAATGCACATCCCTGTTATGCAGAACTCTACTCGTTTTGTCATTAGAGTTGTACTTATTCCCGTTCAGAAGGCATTTATGCAAATAGGTTTTATGGTAAATTTAAATGACCATTTATAAAACAATGTCCAGGCCATTTATGCCCAAAATGCCCACAATCTCCATCCTCCCCATGTATGTACAAGTTTACACGTCACACGAACCAACAATAATTAAGTATTAGACATGATTATTAATATGTACCGTCTCCAAAATTAGAATACCGACCCGTTACACTTTTTTTTGCCCACTCCTAAAAAAACCGTCTCGTCTCATAACTCAATCTCAGTTTAGGAATGGACCGGAAAATTAACAAAAGATGAGATTTCTTCTTCCTCATCCCTATGCATTTCGTCAAGAATTGGATTTTTATACATTAATAAAAACTATGGGCTTCCTTTCCTTCCTATGCAAACAATCCTCGGGTCGAGCACCTTTTCCTCCTCGTCGTCGTCATCCAAATGACGCCGAGACATGGTCATAAGTATTTATTTAATAACGAGTATAATAATTTTCATCCAGCGTGAACAACCCATCCCGACAGCGGCACGACAATGGGTCATTTTACTATACGAAGTCCTGTTTTCTTTCATTTCATGTTTGCAAACAATGAAATGAAGAAATGTGCACTTTTTTTAGGCCTCCACTCCACCACCTCAAATTTCGAATTAAGACGAGTGGATACTTAAACAATGAGAAATTCACAGGAAGGAAAAGTCGCTGGTGGTGTTTTTTGGATGGATGGATGGAAAAAATCACAATGCAATGCTTTCTTTCACGCACGCACTGCTTCTTCTTCTTCTTCTTCATTACTCGTGAGGCTATCTTCATTTTCATCTCCAAAAATTGAGATTACTTTTCTGCCCAGACTTAATAAAATAATGAGGAAAAGAGTCGTTAAAATGAAATCATGACCAGAAAGCAGCGAAAGAAAGCGGGAGTGAAGAACAGTGGCCGCGGAAGCTGTGGGGACATTAACTAGGGGAGGGACGGGTTTGTATAAGATGGGGAGATGATGAACAACCGTGGGGACATTATTGTCCCCTCTGTCCCTTCCGCGGCCAAGTCAAATAAAAATGATACATTTCTTTTTTGTGCAAATCTGCCCTGAAATTTATGTAGTTTCGAGATGAAAAGTTACAAAGTGCGGGTCATCATCTTCACATAATCGTCATCATCAACGGAGCAAAACCAAACATACCTCGTTTAACGAGAGGGAGCACAATTCATGTCATGTTGACACATTCCCTCTCACATGCAAAATAGCGATTATTAGCAACAATGACATCTTTTGTTTGAAATTTACCCATAAGAAGAAGAAGAAGAAGGAAGGAAGGAAGTCGAAAAAAAACCGCATGCATGCAAAAAATTGGGATAAGTATGAATGGAAAATCAAGAGTCTGTATGCATGCATATTTTAAATGATAAGTGACTGAAGGACAGCCGACGACGTTTTTTCCTTTCTTAAATAATACCGACATATTGGTAAAAAATATAAATTCTGCTTATGCATATTTACTAAATAAATGATAAGCAATAATAATATCAAGAGTGCTTATGTATGCATTTATTGTCCGGCTGTCGGCAAAATTCCCACCGAGTGACGCCTCCACAATAAAACTGATGTCATGTAAAACTTTAAAATGCAAAGTATAAAGTGACCATTTTTTTCCGTGGTTTGGTTAGTTTGACCCCGGAATTTCTCACTTCCGACAAATTCAACTTGGCATTTTTTTTTTTGTAAAAAAAACATCAACTAAAATTCGTGAGTCAATAATTTGACTCAGGAATTGTTTACATTTATTTAAACTATAAACTAGCGGATCGTTACTAACAGGTAAAAAAATTGACCTCAAGGTTTAATAGAAAAAATTGCTCATTTTTGGCCAGTTTTAAGCAGAGAAACGTACACAGCCATTTTATTCCTCCACGTCCACGTCCACGATTCAATGAATAAACAATAAAATCCCGTTCAATTCTATGAATAAAGTAAAAGATTCGATTACGAGAGAAGAAAATACTCTTCGTTCTTCGTGTCTCTTTTAATCCTTGGCGAAAAATATGCAAACTTGTTCCTTGCTCACTTTATTCTGCACATCGAGAAGACCTACTTCCCATTCATACGGAGAGTGCCTCTTGCTTATTCTCGGAGGAGGATGATGCTTTGAATACAACGTGAAGAAGAATGAAAAAGTGATGGGCAAAGTTCAATAGGTATTCATTACCTTGGGTGCATCATCGTCATCGTGGCGATGCATGGCCTCAATAGGACGTGACGATAAGCATCATCGGGAAAGAAATGGCTCACACAGACCACCGATTATCTGTTTCCCATTTCCCAGGGATGCATTATATTCCCCCCATTTCGAAGTTCGTTCGTGGCCTAACGAGACACATGTGAGTGAGGACTCATTATTACGTGTGTCTGAATAAAATGGGTAAGTATTTTTTTTCTTTCTTGATAAGTAGGACACACATAAATAACTCGGTGATTTTTGCGTTTTCTGACAGAAATGGGTGGGTGAAATCTCCAGATTTGTCAAAATCTCCAGATTTGTCAAAATCTCAAAAAAAAGTGACAACAATTACTTTTCATGGCGTGGCGTGGCGTGGCGTCGCATATTTCATGCTCGTGTCGTATCATGTATCATGTTTCGTTTAATCTCCGTGTGTGTGTATAAAACAGTATCAATTTCATCTTATCGGCACAGAGTGCGCGTTGTTGTGTTGTGATAAGTGTGATGATGACGATGATGCTTCTGGCCCAGAATTAGAATTGACAATGGTTTTAGTTAGTTGCATGGATGGATTTGATTTGATTTGATACGTGCCCAAAAAAAGTTTTGTTGACGTCTCTTTGTTGATTTGGTGGCTATGATTGGTTTTTATTTATCTACGACGACACGATGATGCAGGTGGTGGTGGTACAAGTGAGTGATTCATCTCTCTCAAGAGAGGAGACCTCATTAAACCAGCAACATTCATTATTATGTATGCTTGTTAGTTAGTTAGTTAGTTAGCAACCTATTTCTGGATGGTGTGGTTGACAACAACGAAGGTGACGATAAACAAGTTTATGATGTTGCACCGGTAAATGGAAAATGTGTTTTTGAACTCTGACTGATGTAACGAGGTACGGATATAAATACATAATTCGCTCAAGTGCATATACATATTTACACAAGTAAATAATGTACGTACATCCATTAACAATCGGGAAATCTATTGTTTTTACATAACTACGTGGGATGTGATGCACTCTTTTCTTTCTTTCTTCTCATTAGGTAAAAATTCGCAATAAATTCGCAATAAGGTTTTCTCTCCCCAGATTTTTTTTCGGTGGTTGGTACTTCGTGGTGGAAATGAATAATGTTTTTCTCATGAGAATAATATAAAATAAATATGTACACAGAACAGCAGAATATTTTGCTATCTTCTTCACGACAAAAAAAGAAGAGGACCGACCGGAGACACAAACAGGAAAAGGAAAGGAAGAAGGCGTCCAACTTTTTTTTTGTGATTGTCATTCGAAGAAGAATATTTTGCTACTGGTTCGTAATATTTCATGCAATTTCCCATAATAATATGCACTCTGCGAAGAAGAAGATGCCGTAATATAAGTGTCCAACAACTTACCCGTCCTGTCTTTAACTTGGCTCTTAAACAAGACACAAAGTCCCGTCTCAAAATTGACAGCGAGACAAGATTGATTCGATTTGCAGGCCTCGATGCATTCGGCAAGCTGCAAAGTGCCGGCTCTCGTTTCAAGAATGTCCTGTGGAGAGGAGTACATCCAGCCGGTGACCAACTCAAACGTGGCGTCCTCCACGGGACAATTCGTCACGTCGTACTGGGCCACCACCCCCAGGACCACGTGGACCAACACAAACACTGCCCTGCTCCACATTATGTCCAGTTCACTAGTAATTTATTTTATTTCCTAAAGGGGGAGGAGGAGGGGGACACTTGAGACGATTTTTAATATGTCACTCGTCACACCACGATATTTATTAAGATATTTATCGTCCACTCCACACTTTTTGTTGAGACTCGGGAATTTGAGAATTGGAAACTTCCCGTCTTCTTGTCTTCTTGGGCCGAGATATGTCGGACGACTAAAAGGTCTCTCTGACAAACCAGGCAGTAAACTAACTAAGTAGTAAACTAACTATGCGGACATCATCATCCTCGAGATGTTTTCAGGGATCGGGAGGTTTTTTAAATGCCACTCAGTCCACGGCACATATATTCGCAACGTTACGTGATGTAATGGTCAGAGAGATGCAAATGACAGTAAAGTGAAGGTACACATACATAAGTAAAGTAGTAAGGTGTCGGTTGTGGGGTTGCAATAATGCCGTAATCCATCCTAACCTAACCTACGACGACGAAGAAGAAGAGGAAACAGGTACCCGTCGTCGTATGTATGTACATTTGCCAAGTATTCTGTATGTAGTACTACCCACTACTAACTACTGCATACCCACCAGGCCACATTCCCCGAGAAGAAGAAGAAGACAAGACACAAGTAAAACCAGTACTACACATTTGAACTTGGATATTTTACTCATCAGTGGAAAGAAATTGACTCCTTATAATTTCGCTAACTTATTTGAACCCATTTCACACACTTTTCCATCAGACGCGTGGCCGCGGAAGGTGTTCTAGGGACATTAACATTGTAGGGCCGGGTTTATATAAGATGGGGAGATGATGCCGACATCGTGGGGACACTGTCCTTCCGCGGTCACTGTATCAGACGGACGGTGTACCTACCTACACATAAATTGGGAAGATACGAATCCTCAGAAGTTTGCATGAAATTCGAATCAACGGATCTCACTCATTCATCTTTCACATCCTTCCAACAACATCCTTGACTGAAAAGATGAGTTATGGCTCGACCAGTGGTTTGATCTAGTTCTTCTGCAATCACGCAATTATTTAATTGCACTTAATCAATCAAGTTTTCTCATCTGGGGTTGAATTGGATTGCGATGTGGACGCATTTTGGCCCTGTATAACACAACCCTTGGAGGGGGAAGACGAGAAAAAAAGAATCAAATCGCATTCCATTTATCTTGGATAAACAATAGGACTAAATGTGCACACATTTATTTGGGTGTACGAACGAACGTACCCCTTGCGGCGATAATATAATAAATATTGCATTCAAGAAATGAAACAATCGCGGCTTGTTGAACTAAAACAATTTGACGGATGGATGGATGGATGCTTAGTTTGCTCAAGTAGGAAATTATTAGCGGATACTTGTTAAAAGGTGGGAGCGAATATTAATTGGGATTTTATTTAGCAGACGATTCATTCACTATTCGGCATCTCCATTTCATAAATTATTAGAGTGGTACGTTACGTAACGTAATTTAGAAGGGAGGTGGACCAGCGGATGCGATGAGATTTTTGGCAAATTAGTGGCAATAGATAGCAAATTTAATTGGTATGAAATTTGCGAAAGACGCGATCTCCGAATGGGCACGTTTGGCTGAGATATTTGCATCCGAAGAGGAGAAAACGCACCTTAAAGTCGACAAATTTTACACTTTCCAAATTTACTGCGCATTTTCTCCTCTTCGGATGCAGACATCTCTGCCAAACGTGCCCATTGGGAGATCGCGTCTTTCGCAAATTTCATCATAACCAAATTCGCCATCGATTCACACTAATTTCCCCAAAATTTCATCGCATCCGTTGGGAGACCTCCATTCCAACTCGAATAACGGGTACCGACGCACAGACAGACATTTGCACATCCACCCATTCACGGAATGACTGTGCAAAATTAATTACCATAATGCTCGATGTATGTATGTACCACTGGAGAAAACAAATATTTACGTACGCCCCAAAATTTTACACGGGAGACACGGAAGACACGCTAATAATAACTAGACGTGCCAATTCAATTTCGCAAAAATTTTACCACGCTACGCTACTAAATAAATCATGACAGCAAAAAAAAACGTCAATCTCCTCTCATAAAAAAATCGCTGTTGTATAATAATAATAAATACTTCATTGATTGCTTTATTGCTGAAGCAGGAAATGTAAGTATGTAAAGACTGGTTTAGTTCACACACTTTACAGTCACGGTGACAATTATGACCTAATGAACGGATCACGTCGCACATAGTTAATTGCAGCATTTTATCACTTTATTAAATAACAGTTCCATACAGACAACTCGAGAAGAAGAAGAAGCAGCTTAATCAATTCCGAGATGATGATGATGATGACGATGATGACAAGGTGTTTAATTCCTTATATCGATTCATCCCCGACGACGAATCCACTCAATTTATTGTGCGCGATGAGATGAATAATGGGCATGAATTGGGAGTGATTTCGAGAGAGATGCGATCACTGCTATGAAGGGACCAGTGGCCGCGGAAGGTGTTCTGGGGACATTGACATTAGGGAAGGACCGGGTTTATACAAGATTGGGAGGACATCAAACAACCGTGGGGACATTGTCCCTCTCTTATCTTCCGCGGGCACTGATGACGAGGAAGAAATCAGCTCTTGACGAGAAGTAACCTTATCCAAGTGCAGATTATCTAACGCGATGTGCAGGCATACGTTTGTCTCATTTTTTCTTTATAACTTACATACTTATTATTTACCCGGTAGGACAGGATTGCTTACTCAGAGGGTGAGTAAGTAAGTTAGCAGCTTTTTTACCGCTATGCCTGCCTGCATTTTAAACCTCTCCAAGCAACTTTAATTAATACAAGGTTTTTAATGGATGGATGGATGGATGGATAGGTACATGCCCGACCGGACTGGGCAAGAAGACCCTGCAGTGATGAATTATTTAATGTGGTCGGTTGGCATTTTATGTGCGATTGCTTCTGCGAGTAAGTGAGAAGTGAAGTGAGATGAGGGGATGTTTTTGTGACCACTTCTTCTTCGTGGCGTGGCGTTGTTATTACTGCTTGTTGTGTGTCGTGTTGTGAGTGAAGCGACAATTAATGGCCTTTGGCTTCCCTGACATTGTTGCATGTCTTATCAATAAATATCTCCATTGCAGGCAGAGAGAGATTCCAACTGTTAACAGAGTTGAGAGGATGAGAGTCGAGGGGGACCTCTGGGATCATGTCGAGTTCGTTAAGACGATGGGCAGAGGAAGGATATGTATTGAAGTAGGAAAAAGGGGGGAAATATGTATTTATTATGAAGGGGGAAAATTATGAAATATTTACGAAATGTGTAAGATATAAAAATGAGAATTTTCGAAAAAAAAATATTTTTGAAATTAGTGCTATGATATTACACAGGACAGATATGCAGATATGAAAAAGGGTTGAAATATGTATTTTAGAATTTAGGGAAAAAAGCCAAAATGTTTATGAAATGTGTGTGAAAAATAAGAATTGTTAAAAAATTTGTAGTATTGATTCTCTGGATATTTTGTGATCCGACATCTTTTAGGAAAAAAAAATCGTCTCACGTCGTTGAAATATTTACAAAATATGCATTTATTTTAGAAAAACATAAAAAATTACGTATTTTTGAAATAATAGCGGAAATATTAATATTTCTGAAAACCTAGAAATATATTCCATGTATGTATTTTGAAATTTTTGTGCCCTACGCAATTTACGGGAACACACCCACAAAGTTTGACCATATCGGTCGTCCTCATATGATAAAGCTGACCCTAAATACATATCCGCCCTCCCCTGATGACTAACTGATCATCAATTTATCCCCTGTATTTGTACCTGTGTCACAAATGGTTGTAAAAATGTCACACAATTTTAAAAAATTGTGCCGGATTTTTTCCATTTTTGTGATAAGAATAATTGAAACCTGAAATAAATTTGAATCCCTAACTATTTCCGGCATATGGATGAAAATATGTATGGTAAATATGTAAACGTGAACAAATAGCGATTAATCTCTGGTTACATTACATTACATTCCCAACATTTTTTCCAAACTGGTTGGATGGTAATCCGAAGCTCAACATTTGTTTATTTAAAAGCCAGTCGCCGATAAATATGTTTACTTACTGACTTTTAACGTGACTTTGGTCAGTTTTTCTGTGGCAATGCAAGTGGTGGGATTCAGCAATTTGGCTGGCTGTAGATACACTGATGAGAGAGAGTCCTGTTATGCATGCATATCAATTAAATATCAAATCAGCATCAGCATCATCGGTGCCCTGTTTGGTGGTGCGAGTTAAGTGGAGTCACTGATTAAATGGCCATATTTTCTAAAATATTATTCAAATTAGGTATGGAATTGCGTACACCGCAGTGGCCGCGGAAGGGTGAGGGGACAGAGGGACAATGTCCCAAGGGTTATTCGGTGTCCCCAGATATCCCCACACTGTTCCAAAATGTCCCCACACTGTTCATTGTCCCAGTTTGCCCCCACGCTGTTCGTTGTGCCAAGATGTCCCCACGATTGTTCATTGTCCTTAAATGTCCCCACGATTGTTCATTGTCCCAAGATGTCCCCACGGTTGTTAAAGGTCCACATCATCCCCCCATCTTATATAACCCCCCTCCCTCCCCCATCCCTCAATATTAACCTCCCCACATGTCCCCACCCCTTCCGCGGCCACTCTTGCACCTGATCCTTTTTTTACAAGAAATGAAATTTACTGCGGTTTTAGATTTGTGTAACGTAACGATTCCTCCCTTTCCATGTGAGATGAAGATGATCTTTTCATTTTATTAATACGGGTCGACCTTTTTATGCAGCAGAACTAATCAACCACCTTCCGAGGGCCGGCCTTATTGCAATTTTACCCATTGAACCACATATTTATGAAATGACACGATTGTTTTTTAGGCAAAAAGTGGTATTTATCAGCCTCCTCCATCTGATTGACCTATAAAAGGAAAAAGGTAAACTAAACCGAAGATAATCATCCGTAATGAGATGAAACAGTTAGAGAAAAGAAAAGGGATGTGGAAATAATAGTGAAAAAAGTAAGCTTATTATTTATTTATTTACCATCCATGTTGAGACTGATGGGGTTTTGGGATTGGAAAAGTAAAGTGATACATGAAAGAAAGAAATAAATAGTTAAGTGGTGGTGGTCGTGGTGGTGGTGAGTATTGCTTGCAAATAGCGGTTTCACCCCGAAATCAAGACCACACCGACCATCCATCAGACCTACTAGCCTACCCTTGACCTTAGACGGACGGAGATACATGCGGACATTTACAAAACCAGATTTCATGAGACAAAATGCCTCATAATCATCGCAGTGATTCGGTTCATTTCAATCTTGAAAAAAGTCACTGCAGGCAAGACGACGGAGGAGTTGATGATATTCAATTCGTCTACTTTTCTGATGAATGTGTGTAATGTGTCCTTTTCTTGAAGGGTTTCGGGTGGAGGAAGTTACCACTTGGGAGAAAGGGGTTTCTTGCAGGGGAATATTTTGACCTGGGAGAAATGCAAGGTGGGAGAAACTATGACACGAAGCCGTAAATAAGTAGTTCGTACGGCGCGTGGTTGGATGATGCGCATTTCTTGCAGTTTCTGGCACCTCGGATTTCTTGCGTTGCTTGTTTTGCAGTGCACGAAATGTCGCAAATCGGCAAGAAACGAACCACTGAATGTAAGAAATAACGGGAAGAAAGTGGTTTTATGCAGGTAAATATTTGTCCCTGGAAGAAATGCACGGCGCAAGAAACGACGCCCCGTCGATATAAATACTTCATACGGCGCGTGGCTAGATAGCGCATATTTCTTGCACTTTCTCCCAGTTTCTTGCACCTCCAATTTCTTGCATTTATTCCTTCTCATTGCAACAAACGAAACACTGGTCACCAGAAGAAATCTATGTCTCTGTCCACCTTACATACATGGTCCATCCTAAAAGTATAATAATTTGTGTGCCCGTCCGTCTTGTCAGTCAGGTAAGTAAGTTGCCCATTCCTTCTTCTTCCTCCTCCTCGTCGTCTCCTAATGACGACGAGGAGGACCTTGTGGACCTCGTTTTCTTTGATGTGCACATATTTGCCAAACCAAGCAAAAGTTCAAAGTCTGGTTCAAACCTATACGAATCAAAGATTGTGTAACCCAACCAAAGCGATAGCAATTCCATAAAAGTAGAGTAAAACGAGTTTACCTGCTGCATTGCATGCTTTGCTTTCATCTCGCTCTTCAAAAAACCTTTGATTCATTGCACATACGATTTTTCTTATGGGTTTGACTCGGATTGAAGCCAATGGCCGCGGAAGGAGGCGTGGGGACATTAACATTGTAGGGAAGGGACGGGTTTATATAAGATTGGGAGATGATACGGACATCGAACAACCCTGGGGACATTGTCCCTCTGTCCTTCCGCGGCCACTGATCGCTACGTATGTAGTTTGGTCGGTTGGTCGGTCGGTCGTCAAATAATCTGCATACACAAGTCTTATTTCCTGTATGTAAATAAATATATGGATCACGGGGATACACTAAAACGTAAAGTAAAGTAACCTATAATTCATGACGTGACTTTTTACTCTCATGTAAATTCGAAACCTGTGAGTGATTCATTTTCATAGTGATTCATGAACTGGGAGATCAAGACCATGCAATAAGTCGCACCCATAATTTCGATTAAATATACAATGCCTAATCATCATCACTCCACACACAACAAGTGGTCAATTAAGGGGAGAAGAAGAAAATCGGGCAGAAAGATACGGTTATGCATGCATTTATGCATAATAGTTACGGAGACGCAGACAGACAAACACGTGATTTTGAGGATTTTGTTCTTCTTATAATAATGTAAAATTTTTTAAATGATTTTTTGAAAGGTCGACACCGACCGACAGTTGCATGCATATAAATTATGATCTTTTATTTATCCCGTAAGAAGAGAGATAAATTGCACCTCTTAAACAAATAGTGGAAGGGCAGAATGTCATTAGCGGCGGTGGTGGTGGTGTTACGTTGATAATCGTTTACGAGACCGTGGTGACTTTGACTTATGAGGGAAAAGATGAAGAGGATGAATTGTTGATTGTGTGTGGGTTCGTAATAATGTTGGGTTTTTTTAGGGTGAAATCGGGATGTGTTTTAGGTGGATTTTACGTAAGTGAGACTTCCGAGTAAAACTTTGTGGAATTTGGGGTAGAAATATGCGTTTGATGGATTTTTAATCAGAAATTTGAGTATTTTTGAAAATTCTTTTTATTCTAAAATTTTGTACGTCAAAACAAACAATTTTGTAGATTCTCACGCAACATTCTGACTTCCGAGTAAAATTTTGTGTAATTTGGTCATGATGCTTTTCATGCATTTTTATTCAGAAATTTAGCATGTTTGAAAATTACTTTTATTAAGAAATCTTATACCTCATTCCTGTCACAAAATAAAAATAATACGTGATTTGTAAATGTTCACTCTTTTAATACATAAAAATTTGTCGCATAAAATCACCCTGATTTACGAACCCTGCCTGCCTAATAAAGCCGAAGAAATGCAAAATTATCCCAAATTTATAACATGCCAGGAATCCCAATATTTTTATGCGGTTAATAAAAGTCAAACTTATATTGGAAGAAACTAGGCCATGAAAAAGCACATCGTTGCGATCCATACATCCATAAAATCAAAACCTTTATTGTTACCACCAAGAGGAGGGCGATGTCAAAGGTCGCCTCCAAAAGCTGACCCTTGTCCTCTCCTCAAAGCAGGTACCGGTTTAATGTGATCGACCAGTAATGAATTTTGTAACGAAAAGAGAAAAAAAAATCCCATATTTCTGATTCTGATTTATTGCAAGTTTGTGTTTACAGTTAAAATGAAAAAAATTGTAATGAGTTGAAATGTGGTTGTTTTCAAATTAACCGAAATCATCATCTTTATCATCTTTATTACTTCAGAGAAGAAAAGATTATTGAACATTCATAAATGTAATTGCGCAATTATCTCCTTGGTTCAAGTTTTGGTAAAACTATGTAAAAATATTTTGCACAAAAAGATTTTTTAAAAAGAAGTGTGTTTGTTTGTTATTGCGACTCGTGTGTGACAGTGGCCGCGGGGGGCGTGTGGGGACATTAACATTGTAGGATAGGGGTGTATATAAGATGGAGGGATGATGTCGACATCGAACAACCGTGAGGACATTGTCCTGTTCCGCGGCCCCTGATCCTTGACACCTTATCTCGCCAATAATAATGATATGGCCGAGCAGCATGCGATACGCGATCAAATTCATGATTCTTCTTCTCTTCTCTCAGATTTCTTCGATATGGACTCGTAAATGTAAACTAAATGTAATAAATCCTTAATTATCCTAAAGTCGGATAGAAGATTTCATCTAATATTCTGAAGTAACACGGCAAAAAACAACGGCTATTATTTCATTATCGATGTACCACTTTGTTCATGTGTGTATTTTTTATTTTATTTATTTACGTGCAGGATATGATGATGGTTGTTTTGTTGTGTTGTAAAATAACAGTTTGTTTAGTTTAGTTCAGGATAAGGTGTAATAAATAAACGGTGTGGTGCAGTTAATTATAATGCAACCTGGTTGGTTTTAATATGCGTGAAAAATGTTCATTTGCACAAAATCGATTCGCCTATTTATTTATTGTGGAACTGGATTTTTTTCTGAAGGTTTTTCTCATTTCCTGAACAAATCTTGTCCCAAATTTTAAATGCTGATGGTATTAAACTTGCAAATGAAGCAAAGCAACATTTTGTTTGACTTTTGGATTCCAAAATTTGAATTTCTCTTCCTCATATTTTGTTACATGACCACGATTCGCCTAACTTTAACTAACGCCATGCTGAATTTAATTTAAAGGTGCATTGATCTTTTAATAGCGTCTCATTAAACTGTTGCTTGGTGGGTATCAAAGACTGTGCGAAACGAACGAAACCCCGACCGACCGACCAGCAATATTCGCCTTAATAAGAATTTTTTTATCGCGTAATAATACGCAAATTTATTTTAAACCCGGTCCACACCGGGTCCACACCCCACTGTGCGTTCCGAATGCGATTTCTTCCCTTCTTTTTTACAGGCCACGCACAGGAAGAAAAATGCGAGTCCAATGCAAAATTCTGTTCCTTCCCCTTCCGGTCAATCGTGCAAATATTGTTTTAGTTGCAGTTTTGCAAATCTCAGTTTTGCACGGACCACCATGCCGAAGTCCTCAGTGTCAATCGTGCAAATAAGTCGTTGTCGAAGACGTCGCCGTTGCAGATTTGCAAATTCACTTTTGCAAAATCAGTTTTGCACGAGTATCGTATCGGACTATGCAAATGATGACGCTGTCCTGTTGTTTATGCAAAAAAGAGCATGCATTTGCATTGCATAACAAAAACGCATTGTCCAGCAAGTGACGATGATGACGGTGATGATGATTTTGCTGGTGGTGTTATGCAAATGGGGTGGTGGTGGCCCTCCTGGCTGGATAAAAGACATTGTAATCTCGCCTAAATTTGTGATTCGGTTGCGTTGGCCAGCAGCACATGGACGGACGGACGGACGAAGAGAGAGAGCTTTTATCCTCATTTTACTACTCGTGTGCTGTGTGACGGTGAATTTGGGCAGTTTTTTTCATTTCAAAGGAGAGCGAATAACGAGAAGCAGCCAGGCAGCAAAACCAACGAGCCAAACCAACAGCCAGCCAGCCAAGAAGAAGAACAACAGAACAGAACAGAGAACAGACTAAATCAAGAACAGAAAGAACACGGACGGATGATCAAAAACCGACGAGCTTATCTTCTTGTGTCTCTCCCTCTTCTACTTCTTCTTGACTGCCTGTGAGAATACTTCTTTTTTAAAAAAAACTTACGGATTATTGAAATTTTGCTGAGTTTTTTTGTGGTGGTGGTGGGGGTGTGAACTGTATTAATTTGGGGGAAATATCATCACCTGAAAAATGGACAATTAACGGATAATAGGACAGTTTTAGAGAGAGAGAGACCGACGGTGTGGGTGGATTGGATTGGATGTGTGTATGGTGTGGTTGTAAAAGTTGGTGACGACGAATTTTTAACTATTACTAACAAGACGGAGAAGAAGGTGAGTAAATAAATATTTTGTTAATTAATTAATTAATTAATTAATTGAGGGAGAAGAAGAAGGGATTGTCATTTCTCTTTATCGGCGGGACATTAGTTAGGACGAGTGGTGTGGTGTGGTGTCTGTCTGCCTGCCGTCACGTATAAATAAATTAACTGACTTTGAAAGTTGTTGTTCAAATATTAATTTTTTTATCGGTGCGATAATGAAACGATGCATTGTTTACGTTTAGTTTTATTTGTTATATAATAATCATCTGGTGATAATGGTCTGGTCATTCATTCGAATGTGGAGCAGAGAACATGGTCATTTAATGGTTCATTATTTTAGGACTATCAGTGCCCCCTGATAACATTCCGGTTCAAGGACTCACATTTAAATGTGAAATGTCGTTGAATGTAACGGTACAAGTAATGTAATTTGTGTGTGTGTGTCCATGTGGCATAATAATTGGGCAGATATGCTTAAATACAAGATCATCAGTTACGATGTGGAGGTGGGCAACAGACTTATTTAGTTGGTGCTTTACTATTACGGTATTCTTGGAAGTGGTCGTAATTACTGGCAGTTAAGTAAACCGGGAGAGAGAGGATTATTAATGTAAATAAATATTTCTCATGCATAAATAAATACATATAGGAGATGGTACATATAAGGTCGAACGGTATAGGTAATTCTGGGTCATTTGGTCACACAGGGCGGGGTTGGTTAGATTTTGTGTTAAAAAAGCTGACAAATTTGACCACAATAGCGTGCAGCCAAACGTGCTATATGGATCCCCACTCCACTCCAGTCAAGGCCACGTCCACGTTATATTTAAGCTCGGAACAGCATCATGCATATGGTTTTTGTTAAAAAGGAAAGTCGTATCGTCGTCGTGGAAGTGGTGAGATACTGGTGAAAGTGGATCATACTTTCGCCGTGTGTGTGTATAGGGATAAAAGGGAGAGAGAGGCCTCTTCTTTCTCCGGTAGCACGAATATGAAATGAAATACCAGGCTAGTCAGTGGGTCGGTTTTTGTGTTTTTGTGTGTGCACACATCAAGGAGCTTTCTCTCTTCTTTCTTTGTTCCTTTTATCCCATCCATCCATCCATCCCTGGTTTGGTTTTCAGCTCTCCAAGGTGGTCTTCCATCCATCCTCCTCCTTCTCTATTCAGAGAGTGAAAGCAATAGCACCAGCAGGCAACCCAGCCAGTCAGCCAGCACGCTATATCTTGTTCTTCTCTGGGTGAAAGCTGACGTGGGAATGGTCGATATACGATTCATACATACTTACATGCGACGAGGCTAAAATTAATCTCTCCGTCAAAAGAGAAGAGAGAGGAAAGTGGTGGTAGAGGAAGTGGCCGCGGAAGCCGTGGGGACATTAACTAGGGGAGGCCCGGGTTTATATAAGATGACATCGAACCCCCCTGGGGACATTGTCCCTCTGTTCCTGGTTCCGCGGCCACTGGTGGTTTGGTTTGGTATCGTAGTAGTGAGTAAAGCCGAGTATGGATGGCACAGCCTTTCTTTCTTCTCATGTCTTCCCATTTTTTGCGTGTGAGGGAGAGGCTGCTGCAGCTGGGGAAAGCAGGCAAGGATGGGATGCGGATAAGTGGGAGCAGGATTTCGCCCTATAAAATAATGCAGCAAGGGCAGCGTGAATGTGCCGAGTTGTTGGAAATGAGTGTGACGTGCGAGGCGAGGGAGTAGAGAGTGAGGAGAAAGTCGTCTGTCGGTCGGTCGGGGAAATCATGTCGGTCTCGTCGTAATGCTACTAGTAAGTTAGAGTTGTAGTAGTAGGAGTAAAAGCACCACCACCACCACCACACGGTCTGCTTGTATTCTTCTCGTGGTTGGTGCCCTTTTTGGAGAAAAGCGACCGAATTGCATGCGCCGATCGATGTTGGAGTACACAAGAGGAGGAAGAAGAAGAAGAAATTGGCACGGCTCGCTAGCCAACCTAAACTCACCCTCGCTTTCTCTCCCCACATTTGCGAAAGGGCTACCTAAATCGATCCAGGATGGAGGCCAACCTGAAGAGTTCTCTCCTCGCAGCACACAATGGTCTAGGTAGTAGGGGAGCTAAGAAGAAGGAGTAGTCAGGCAGCATACATAATCCGAAAAAAACCTCCCTGCACACCGTGGTAGGTGACGGACCAAGTTTTAGCAGAGGAGAAAGTAGGCAGGCAGGCGGAGAAAGCAGGGGAGCCTTATTCTCTCTCTTCCTCTTTTTCTTTCTCTCTCTCCGTGGTGTGTGTGCACCTCTGCGGTTTTGTCTTTGTAAATTTCTTCTTGCATTCGAATCTGCCTGATTTGATAGTGTGGTGTGCTGGCAGGGAGGGAGAAAGTATAGGCCAGGATCTACTATCTCAACTAGACAGGCAGGCAGGCGAGGGAGGGGGAAAGTGGAGTGGAGAGAAAGCATGGAGCCTAGAGGAGAGGTGACCAAGAGGACAGGACACGAAAAGAGAAGCAGATAAGTTATTAGAAAAAAGAGAGGTGACAATAATTGTCCGTCACTTCTTCGTGGTCGTCATCGTCATCTGCTGGTCATACGTCATTTGAAAAATATATCCCCCCCCTCAATCAATCCAGTCCTCGCGGTGCTATGAACTTTATTCAAAAGTAAAATGGGTGCTCACTTCTTAATTGCCATTATACAATAATAATAATAAATAATAAGAGTAAAAGTAACTAAATAAATAAATAAATAAGCTAATTAGCCTAACAATAATTCAGTGCTACCTAAAATAATAAGGATGTCTCGGTCAACTAATAACTCGTACTTGTACCACTCTTGGTGATCAATTCTTCTTCTTCTACTACTACTCTTTTCGCCTGTATAAATGTGAGTCTTACAATTTTATTTTTTTCCACTCATTTTTCCCCCCGTTCTTCTCCGAGGAGGAAAACCCGAAAATATCTTGAAAATCCTAAATTTAGACCTTAGTATGGTGTTGGTTTAGCCGTGGCTCTCGGAGATCATTCTCGACGACGAGTCTCTCCCTATTTAAACTGTTTATTTTTGTGTACTAAACTATACAGACGGCTAGAGAGTTCTCTCTCTATCTCTCCCAGAGTTATTATTATTCCTCTCCGAACTAACTACCTAATCTGCATAATATGTACATGCCGTAGCCAATTCTCTCTGTGCAACGTGCACGAATTGCACTGCAGAACAAAACCAAGTCAGTCCTGCTTCCGTCATTACTTTGGCTGGCTGGCTGGCATCAGTTAATTAAATGGAAATGGATGGATTGGTTGGTTGAGATAGTTATCAGCATGGATAAAGCCAGTTAGTTTAGTGTAGTTAGTTATTATTCTCCTCGTCATCATCATCATCATCATCATCATATCATTTCTCTACTATATCTTTTTTTCCAGCTTATGCAGCAGTCGAGAAGGACGACGACATGAAACCGCATGTGTGTCTCCTCTTTGTGATTCATTGTTTACTCCAGTTAGTTTTAGTTTTATAGTTTAGCTCGGCCGTGGTGGTGGTGTGGGTTTATTGCTGCTGACTCTAGGAATTAAATGACTATATAAATATATGTGGAGTGTATATGGTTCCTTCCTTCTGACGTAGAGGTTTTATTCCTTGTGTCATCTTATCAAGAAACAAAGGAAGAAGAAGAAGAAGCGTGAATAATCACAAAAGTCAGTCTGGTTCAGTTTAGTTCGTGCCACCGGGAGTGAGTGAGAGAAGTTTTTGGTGGTGGTGGTTTCTCTGGTCGGTTTGTTCTTGAAAAGAACACAACTTTTTTTTCTAGTCAGAGGAGAGGAATAATTCATTAAAATTTACTTTTTAAGAGTAGGTTAATAACAATTTGGTTATGTAATGGGTGGTTAAATTTTAATGTGTTCTCTCTTTTTTCTGTGTTCCAGGTCGTCACTACTTCTTTCTTCTTCATGTTGTCCTCCCGGTGGTGTTTGTTGAGATAAGACACACTCCTCTCGGCGGCCGCTACTCTTACTGCCCTCGTCTTCAGCAGAAGGGGTTTAGCCTAGACTGTCAGAGTAGGAGGAGGAGGAAGTTTAAATCCAGTGAAGATGGCGAGTGACGAAGGATTGCCGTCCCAATTTGGGATCGGGCTGGGTGATTTGCGAGATCTTATGGAAATACGGGGGATAGAAGCGCAAGAAAAAGTTGCAGAGGTGGGAGGAACCCAGGAGATATGTCGAAGACTGGCTTCATCGCCTATAAACGGTGAGATTAATAATTCGAAGGGCAATTATTATGAAGGAAACGGTGACGAATGATTTGTTTTTCTGTGATTGGCAGGCTTAACTGGATCAAAGGCAGACCTGGAGCTTCGACGCCAGGTTTATGGTGCCAACGTCATTCCACCAAAACCCCCGAAAACCTTTCTCATGCTGATGTGGGAGGCGATTCAAGACGTGACCCTCATCATCCTTCAAGTAGCTGCCCTAGTCTCCTTAATACTTTGGCTCGTAACGAAATATAGTTCTGGGGATGACCATGACGAGGAAGATGACGAGGAGCATGGCTGGATTGACAGTGTGGCCATTCTTGTGTCGGTCGTGGTCGTAGTGCTGGTTACTGCATTCAACGATTATACCAAAGAGCGTCAATTTAGAGGTTTACAAAGCCGGATTGAGGGCGAACATAATTTTTGTGTCATTCGGGGAGGAGAAGTGAGACAAATTCCGGTCAGCGAAATTGTCGTGGGTGACATTTGTCAGGTTTGTCATCTCTTTTTTTGTGTGTTTTGGCATTGTGTCAGAGAGAGTCAAATTACTCATCTGTTTGTATACATCATTGCAGATAAAGTATGGCGATCTTTTACCCGCGGATGGTATTTTGCTACAAAGTAACGATTTAAAAATTGACGAATCGTCACTCACCGGAGAGTCAGATCATGTCAAGAAAAGTGAGAATACAGACCCAATGGTGTTATCAGGTACGCTTCTTTCCTTCCTCATCATTCAGTAGTTTAATGGCCTACCTAAAACATTATTACATGTGCGTCACTACCATCTACTCTGACTAATTCACATGTGTGTTGTGACGTTGACCAGGTACCCACGTCATGGAGGGCAGTGGCAAGATTGTCGTCACTGCGGTAGGCATTAATTCTCAGTCCGGCATCATTTTCGCCCTCTTGGGCGCTGCAGCTGAGGAAACTGAGAAGGAGAAGCCAAAAAAGAACAAAGGTACCAATCTGTCTTTAACAATACATTAGTTCTAGCACAATTTGTGGTACTTTATTTCTTTGCTATTGGAGTAGAACCCGTCAAACCCGAAACTCCAAGGGTTATGAAGCGAGATGAAGAGGCTGGAATGCGACCTGTGATTTCAAACAGCCATCAAACCGCTGTCAGAGATGGGAGACCACCTCCAATTCCAGAAGAAGCTCCAATTCCAAAGGAAAAAGTGGAGGACAAAGGACATGAAAAATCCGTGCTGCAAGCTAAGCTAACTAAACTCGCCATACAGATTGGATACGCTGGTTAGTAAGAAGGACAAATAGTGAAAAACAAACTGGATGAGATTGAAAATGTTTAAACCTTATTTTACCGTTTTTCTTCGTAGGTACCGCAATCGCCGTGTTGACCGTGGTCATCATGTTTGTTCGGTTCAGCGTTTTGACCTACGTAATCGACGGAAAAGAGTGGCATATTAAAGATGCCCAGAAATTTGTGACATTCATTATTACCGGTATTACTGTGCTCGTCGTTGCCGTTCCGGAAGGTTTGCCATTAGCTGTCACGCTGTCGTTGGCATACTCTGTGAAGGTGAGACGTTGATTCTTTCAAAATAACTAACCAATCCATATATTATTTACAATATTGATGTATGCATATTTTTGTCTGTCTGTGCGCAGAAAATGATGAAAGACAACAATCTTGTCCGACATTTGGACGCTTGTGAAACTATGGGTAATGCCACCGCCATTTGTTCCGACAAAACTGGTACTCTCACTACAAACAGGTTGGATTATTAGACATATATATCGACTTTTTTTGTTAACCAGTTTAGTACAAAATCGGTGAATAATTGATGCCCATTAATTTCATTAGGATGACTGTTGTCCAATCCTATGTTTGTGGAAGTAATCGGAAAACTACTCCAAACTATGGCGATTTACCTCCTCACGTTGCTGACGTACTTGTTCACGCAATTGCTGTCAATTGTGCTTACACTTCTCGAGTTTTGGTAAGATCTTGACAAAAATTTTAAAACACGTTGTTTTCCTGGTAATGTTTTTGTTAAAACAATTTTCACCGAATATGTACAGCCTCCAGATAATCCGGGAGAACTGCCGAAACAAGTCGGTAATAAGACAGAGTGTGCTCTACTTGGCTTTATTAGAGATATGGGGAAGGATTTCGGACAAATTAGAGACAGAATCCCGGAAGAATCGTTTACTCGTGTTTACACATTCAATTCCGTGCGTAAGTCCATGAGCACAGTGATCCCACGACAAGGAGGAGGATACCGGTTGTTCACCAAGGGTGCTTCAGAAATGATATTAAAGAAGTACGTTATTTAAGTAATGTTTAGAATTAATATTTAATATAAAGTTATTAATTTTCCATGTTTTCACTATAATTAGATGCGCGTACGTTTACGGGAAGGATGGAAAAATTGAAAAGTTTCCCAGAGAGTCTCAGGATCGTTTAGTTTCGGACATTATTGAACCCATGGCTTGTGACGGTTTGCGTACCATAGCAGTCGCATACAAAGATTTCGTTCCACACAAAGCCGAAGAGAATGAAGTCCTGTCCGAAGGCGACCCCAACTGGGATGATGAAGACAATATTGTAAAAGATCTGACATGCGTGTGCATCGTTGGAATCGAAGATCCTGTCAGACCTGAAGTGAGTACAGTGTTTTTAAATTCAGCACGTTTGAGATGGACATAAATATTAACTTCACGTTTAAAACTTTCCAGGTACCTGACGCAATCAAGAAATGCCAGCGAGCGGGAATCACAGTGAGAATGGTCACTGGAGATAATGTGAATACGGCTCGATCCATTGCTCAGAAATGTGGCATCGTCAAACCCGGTGACGAATATTTAATTTTGGAAGGAAAGGAATTCAACCAAAGAATTCGAGACAGTAATGGAGAAGTCCAGCAACACTTGATTGACAAGGTTTGGCCAAAGTTGCGAGTTTTGGCCCGATCCTCACCAACGGATAAGTACACCTTGGTTAAGGGCATTATTGACTCGAAGGTACGAATTAGTAATTAGTTTCAACTTGATTTTTTTTTACACAACACAATTTATTATTCGGATTTTGACTTATAATGTTATTTACTATTCCAGGTAAACGAGAACCGTGAAGTCGTCGCCGTAACCGGTGATGGAACGAACGACGGCAAGTTCTCATCTTCTTAATATTCTTAATAACAAAAACAATTAAAATCATATGTAATTAAGTCGTTTAAAACTTTTAATTTTTATTTTCAGGTCCAGGTAAGCAAATTACACTTAAAGTATTTCAGTCTTCTTCCTCCTCCTCGTCATCATCATCATCCTCGTGATCTGATTGGGGGTTGGGCCCAAATTCCGCTTCCGGATCGACGACGTTTTTCCAGTTCATCAACTTTTTTTCTCCGTTCGGTTTCTCTGTCTCCATCCATCTTTCGATGACCTCACTCCTTTTAAGAGTGAGTGGCAACTCGGAGCAGTCCTCCAGTGTCGCCCACTTGGGAGGCCATTCCCCACTCTCTTCATCCACCTCTTCAAACAACTCAATGGACATGTCCAACGCCATCTCGATAGCCTTCTGGCGATATTTTTTCTCCAGGGCTGCCGTCCTCGTGATGATGTAAGTAGTGGTGGCGTTGGGGTTCATCTTATTACGTTTTCTTCCAAAAGCCTAATGAAGTAGTAATTTTAAATTATTGTATGCACACATAATAATTTCTATTTTACCCCAACAGATATTGAATTCTTACCATGAGAAACGCCTCCGTTTGTTCCTGATGGAATGCGTCACGGCAGAGAATGACCTTCACCTCAAAGCACTTGTATTCCCCCGTTTCGAGTCTGTCTTTTATGAGGCTGCGATGGGCGGGTTGGAAATGTTTCCTCCGTATGGAAAACAAACCCTCGCGAGTTGTCGTCTTCCCGACGTAATAAACCACAAGGTCATCCCGGGTGCGTACAAGTTTCGCGACGTAAACTAGATGCATGCGTTTCCTGTTCCTCCTCATCTTGGCGTTGTCGAGATTCTTCTGGCGGAAGTCGTCGTTCTCCCAATACTTTTTCCGCTGGAGGTCTTTATTGTATTGCTGGTGGTGGATCGTCATATCCGCACCCCAAATGCGTCGGAAGTGGGCCCGGAGGGTGATGTTTTGCCACCCTTTCTTCTTGGCGGAGTTGGATTCCTCGAAGTAATAGCCAAGGAGAGGGGTGTAATACAGCTTGGCCTCCTCAAAGGTGGAATTTGCAGCTTCCAAAAGTTTCGCCCGTTGCACCCGATCCTCCTCCTTCCCCCTCAAGAACCCCAGAAGATCCTTCCGCGCCCTGTCGACTTTCGGGGTCTCGGACCACATCTGCAAAACAGAAAATCATGCATTTCTCCCTTCCTTCATTCATTCAATCCATTTTTCATTCAATTATGCCTGCGCAAATGTATGTAAAAATGAATGAATGGGTATTTTTCTTACCGTGTTCTCATCTTCCTCCTCTTCCGTTGGTTGAGGGTTCTCCTCTTGTTCTGTCCTCTTCTTTTTCAAATTCATCTTCCAAGTTTTGCGCAGGTAAGACAAGTAGGAATTGTTTTCAAATCCAGAGGCTTTACTCCTGCTTTTCACTACAAGGTAATATCCCAGGGTTGGGGACCACTGGAGGTCATCCCTGGGATGTGATCCACATTTTTCCACCAATTTCTTCAACTTGTCGTCATCCCTTTTCCTCCCCTTCAAAAACTCGACCAATTTCCCTCGAAGTCGGTTGATGACCGGATCGTCACTGTAGACCTCCATAATTTTGTTGTTTGAGATGATTCCTTGACAAAATTTGGCACTGCACTGGTAATGATAGTGGTGGGGGAGAAGGATTTGTAGAGTAAAAGGGCCTCAATCATGATGAACATCATAATTTTCTTATTCTTCAGTTTGAAGGATGATGATGATGATGATGATGATGATGAAGAAGAAGATGGAAAACAATCCGTTCTTGAGGCCTCACTCATTTTGTTTTTTTTTCTCTTTCAGCATTGAAGAAAGCAGATGTCGGGTTTGCCATGGTAAGACGATTTCATTTATCAAATTGGAGAAACATTTCCTTCCATTCACGGTAGCTTATGGTGTCCATTTTTTCAGGGTATCGCTGGAACGGACGTTGCAAAAGAAGCTTCTGATATTATTCTTACTGATGATAATTTTTCGTCTATTGTCAAAGCTGTTTTGTGGGGCCGAAATGTGTATGACAGCATCGCCAAGTTTCTACAGTTTCAATTGACTGTGAATGTCGTTGCTGTGATTGTGGCCTTTATTGGTGCTTGTGCTGTGAGCAGCAGTCCTCTCAAGGTATTAGACACGACATAAACAAAACTAAGCTAACCATTGCGTACGATTAGTAATATTCCTAATCCTTGTTTGTTTGTTTTAGGCTGTGCAAATGTTGTGGGTAAACTTGATTATGGATACTTTGGCGTCCCTTGCCTTAGCTACTGAAATGCCTACTCCGGATCTTTTATTGAGGTAGAAATGCTCAAAAGTAACGATTTAATACTGAAATGAATACATTTTCATTAACGTTTGCTTGTCTTACTTTTTCAGAAAACCATACGGTCGTACAAAGCCCTTGATCTCGCGCACGATGATGAAGAATATTTTGGGTCAAGCTATTTATCAGCTGGTTGTTATTTTTTCTCTGCTCTTTATTGGTGAGTGGTTCAAATGACTAGTTACATATATGTTTCAAATTGTGGAATGGGAAGTAAAATGCACACTTGTCCTGAATTTGTAGGAGACAAGCTCTTGGATATTGATAACGGCACTACTATCACCGAACCGTCGACACACATGACCATGATATTTAACACTTTTGTAATGATGACTCTCTTCAATGAAATAAATGCGAGGAAAATTCACGGACAAAGAAACGTGTTCAAAGGAATCTTCACAAATCCCATCTTCTACGTGATCTGGATTCTCACAGCCGGTTTACAGGTTTCCAACCATACCAATTATTCAAAATCATAATTATCATTCAGAAATTTCTTGTAATGTTCAAAATATTCTTCTTGTCTAGATTGTAATCGTCCAATGTGGTGGATTAGCCTTTTCAACTTATCCACTACGATTGGAAGAATGGATGTGGTGTTTGGTATTTGGTGTTGGTGCTCTTATCTGGGGTCAAGTTGTCACCACAGTTCCGACGCGAACACTGCCCAAATTATTATCGTAAGTAGTTTTCACCATTAAATACATGCATAATAACGGTTATTAGCCATGATTAACTTGAACCTTGTGTCTTCTGCTGCAGGTGGGGACGTGGGCACCCAGAACAGTACACTGACGTCGTACCTTTGGGAGAAGAAGGATATGATGCGGATGCAGAAAAAAGGCGAAGTGCTGGTCAAATTTTGTGGATTCGGGGGCTGACCAGGTTGCAAACGCAGGTAGGTGTTTTGCCCTAACTTGACGAGTTGCTTGCAATAATAATAATTAATTAATGAAGAAAAAAGAAAGAAATAGGGACACGCGCTTAGTTTTATCTCTACAATTGAAGTAGACGATCAATTCTAAATATGATAGCAAAGTAAACATTCAAATATGGTGGCAGTCAACCCCTCCAACATTCAGGAGCAGAAATGTTTTATCAGTACAAACAAATTCAGGGAACAAAATAACCTGAACTTAACAAAAACCTTTTTAACGTCTTTGCTCAAAGTTCGGAACATTTTGCAATTTAAAACCAAGGAGCGGGTGTTATTTATGACTGCCACATTCCGTTCCGATTATTTTCCAACGTACTCTGGCAGAAAAAAGAGGGAGACGTCGTTAACTTATCAGGAATAGAATAGCAGAGACGACGGCGGAGTACGCATACATATTTTTTGATACTTACCATACTATACTAACCATATCGTAGACGCGTAAGAAAAGGGGCAGCGTACCATAAAAAAAATCTGCAAAAATCCTTCCCGTTATTCTTATTCTCATAACTTGAATGACTTTCCCCTGAAAAAATCGAAACCGAAAAACTATCCCCTGTCTTTCCCTTTCTTTTTGAACCCGTCAACACATATATTACTTACTTATACTTACCTCTCAATTACCTCATGCGGTCGTATGGTATCTATGCAAAACTGATGTCTTCCACCATATATTTATATATATATATTTCTCTCTCTCTCTAACTCTCTACCATCCATACTATTTACGACTACTCCTCCTCCTGTACAACCAACTCTCATTCATTCATGGTGCTCTATGTGTCACCTAATTTCATTACATTTTCCTACATTTATTACATATCGGTTACGAAACTATTTATTATTTTCTTTATTTACTGAGAGGACCAGACTGGAATACTTTTGAACAGTGGCCGTGGAAGGTGTGGGGACATTAACGTTGTTGGGAGGGACGGGATTATATTTATACTGATGGGCAGATGATTGTCCTTTTATCCGACGCTTCCGCGGTCACTGCTTTTGAAGACGTGGTGGTGGTGGTTATCATTTGATAATTATTTTAAATTTCTTCTTATGTATCTCCTGTTTTTCATCCTTGATGGCATATTTCCATCCACCCACCAGCACCACTGCCACGGCTGGTCTGATCTGGTCGGCATATTTCTTTTTTATTGATTTTGTTGTTGATTTTGATCTTAAGAAAGACATCTGTTTTTAAGTTCTCTCCATCTTTCTCTCTCTGTTTTTCTGTACCGGAAATCTTTCTGAACATATTTAAACCATTATTCTTTTTCTTCTTCTTATCCATACCGAACCATACTTACCTCTTTTTGAATGTACAACAAATACCATGTTATTTATTACTCTCTCTCTTATCTATGTTTTCTTGACCTCCTATAAATATTATCTTCTTCTTACATATGCGTGAGTGACTAACGTGTACTTTTCTACCCTGCTTTTATTATTACTTATTATGATCTGTATTTTACATTACTCCTGAAATCACAAAATCTCTCTCTGCCTATATGAAAAAAAGTTAACTGAACACTTGCGGAAGTGGATGATGGCGACAAAAAATATCTATGTTGTTTCCTTTCTTTCATGTTTCTGTCTTTCTCTCTCTGCGCATAATTATTCTATTCTATTCTTCTTGTTACCGTGATATTCTTCTCCTCCTACTAAGCCGCCACTTGTACCTTTTTTAGCTCCTTAAGTGAAACAAATCTTCTCTACCCATCCTACAAAATTGGGCGTATTAATTTCTTCTTAAGGGTGAAAGTCGCAACGTGTTTTATGAAAGCTTAAAAAAAATCTCTATTTCTCTATGCGAAAAAATGTTACTTGTGTGTTTCTCGTCCTCGTTTCGTCTCTTTCTCCTTTCTCATTCTTCTTCTTGTTCACCTTGTTCGTTCTGTTAATATTTATGTGTATGGAAGGAAGAAAAAACAATGAAAACTGCCAATTTTATTGCAAAAAATATACTATAATTGTGGAGCTAAATGAAACCCGAGTTTGGCAGAGTGCTCGAAATTGATCCCTATATTTACACTTGAAGTGATCACAATTATTGACTCTAAATAGCAAAATCCTCGGACGCAAGTGTATAATTTGTCCTCTTTTTCTCTTCTCCATCCAGAACTGATCTGATCTGATTATTATTTCTTATACCGCTTAAATAATGCTTGTGTGTGCAACCTTGGAGTAGTTTTTGTGCACTCTTTTGGATGCCATATTAAAATGCTAAGTATAAAATAATAAGTAATTCTTGATATGCATGCTATTTTAGTTAGTTAGTTAGTATATGAAAAAAATGAACACGCACCCAGACACATAAACACACGCCCCACTCACTAAATAATAATGATATCCATACAATTAATTAACTACACACCTTGCCCCCACCCCCCGTACGTACGTAAAAAACTTGTATCTCTCTCTGGTAAAACTGGCTGAGCAAAAATGATCATCATCTCCTCGCCGACGCGTGACACACCCCCTCCATCCGCTGGAAGAAGGATAGGTTTCTCTTTTTTTGGGGGGAATTTGGTGGTGCTGGGCTAAAACGCTAACTTCTTTCTATCGACTTATCTTTCTCTCGGTGATTGAATGATGACTCCGACGACTACGACGATAACAAAGAACATTGATTGAACAGACAGATGAATGCAAGCAACCCTGTATTATTTATGTATAAGACTCGTATTATTATATCTCTACTTATATATTTACTTACTTATACGACATAATAATTTAATTTTGCACTGGAACGTGGTGTGTAGGTCGCAATGACCTGTGATGAATTGACAATGCGAGGTCTGTGCGGTTGTAGATTATATATTTATATTCAGATCACATCACTATTTATATTATATATCTATCTATCTATCTTTCCCCCAAAACCTTCCCCCCTGCGTGTCTACTTATCCGCCTTGATTCCTACTTATATAACTGCAAGTGAAAGCAACCCATTCCCTTCGTGGTGATGTATGTATCGTAAATAGTAGTGTCTCAGTCCGTATATGTAAATACCTCTGTGTGGAATGTGCTCTCTCTCTCTATGCCCCCTTCCCCCCTCTATTCCCCCCCCCTCTGGGTTGTTCTCTCTTATCTTTTCGGCTCATGGCATTATTTTTGTTGTAGTGTTCAGAACCTTTCTCCTCAAGTATAAGATTTCTGTGGGATTATGTGGCCTTGAATTATTTCATTATTTTGTTTTTCTCTCTGAATATGTAGCATTTTTACACCCCAGCATCATTCCCTAACTACTTTTACTTTCTCTCTCTTTCTCTCTTTCTACCAAACCACCCTGACGACGTCAGTATGAAAATATGTACAATACGATGATACGTTGCTCGCTTATTTTAGCTATGTAGGGTTACTTACGATAAGTTAAGGTGGAGTACCAATTTTTGAGAAGGATATTTAGACTTTTTTTGTGTCAGGGTGTCAAAATTGTGCATGTTTTTCTCTTCTCCTAATGCATTTATTTCCCCGGCCGGCTGGGATTGTGTTGTACGATTTTTTGAAGAAAGAAATGAGAACGGCATGGGCAGCAAGATAAGGATGAGTTTTTTGCTAGATGGAGGAAAGTCGTTTGATTGTTTTGCCCGATAGTTTTTCTTTTTTGTCGTGAGCTGTTCTGTTCTCGAAGGCACAAGATGAATGATGAAATGCTATACCGCTTTTGGGAATATACGTATAAGTATTTGAAAAGGTCAGCTTATTTATTATGTGAGGTGTGTTGTTCTTGTTCTTGAAACTACTTGTCGCTACTACTACTTTGTTAGAGAGAAAAGAAAGGAAAATAATTAAGAGTGTAAAAAAAGTAGTGCAAAGGTTATCAATTTTTCGCGTCCGGGTATGAATTCTCATCTCTCCGAACAAAAAAAAATGACACATAAGTAAAAGCAGCCTTTTCCTGATGCCTCTCTCTCCCAATGTCCTGTTTTTCAGTTGAGAGTGATAAGAGCATTCAAGTCAACGCTGGAGGATATGGAGGAGAAAAGATCTGTCCATAGTTTACACAGTTTGCAAAGTCTGCGAAGCTCACGAAGTCATCCAGGGACGGGAAGACCGCTCTCCGACATCAGCTATATAGATGAAGACCCCCTCAAAACGCCGTCACCGTTGACCGACAGCCAAAAATCGACGGGGAATCAGCTCCTAAGATTTGGGACCATTTCAGGCGACGATAGACGTAATGTACGTTGGACCAATACGGAAACACTCCCATCTTCCCGAGGTGGTAGCACGCTTAGCCCGCATCGCCACATTAGTCGTTCTCTGCTCCCCGAGTTGCCAAAGTTGGTGCAGGAGACGAGCATCTAAAAAACAGAGGAGGAGAATGAGATGACCAAGAAGACGTCACTTTATATTAGAGAATCCAATACTTTCTCTCTATCTCTCTTTACTAACACGGACCACACCCACACCCCCGATATTAATTACGATGATATTATCTCTATCGCCTCACAAATGTGTCTTCCTCTTTTACCAAGACGTATACTACTTATTGTATTTACCACCTTCCTTCCTCTTTTCTCTGCTTCTTCTACTTCTACTTCTTCTTCTCTCTTGTCCCACTTCCACCCTCGCCGTTTCGATGAGAAACGATGTCTGCCAAAAGCCTTATCAGTATTTTTAGAGCCTCCTCCATATCCAAATCATTCTTCCCTTGTTCTTCTTCTTCTTAATCTCAGTATTCTGTCCGCGGTGTCTCTCTCTCTCTTGTCTGTATGTCTCTCCTCAAGCGAATCTCAATATCAGTAATAACTATTATAATTATAAAAAAATAATGAACTATATCAATGAACATCTTTAGGACAGGGTATAAAAAATACAATCAATCACTTCTCATATATAAAGAGGTCAGTAAAGAAAAAAAGTGACCTGTAATTATGTACTACTACTACTACTGCCTGATCTGGTGTGTCTGTTCTTTTTATATAAATGTTCTTGTCGTGTCCTGTATTATTCGAGACGTAAATATGTAACGTAACGTAGTAGCAGCAGCATTGTCCAAGTTGTGGCCGCATGTGTATATTTTCATTCGCAGTGCTGTAATAAATTTACTCCTAGTTTACCACTACCACTCATTTATTCGGTTGTTTTTCTTCTAAGGTGAGGTTCAAAGAAGGGTAAAAACTCGAACTTTCTCCATCTGTTGTAATGGCAGAAGAATGCTTTTCATGAAAAATATTATCAAAAAATGTAGAGAATGGAGTAAACAAATTTCTCATTACTCGATAAGTATTCACAAACTTAATTCGTTTCACGGAGAAAGTCCTTCCACTTACAATTCAACATTTACTTGGTTCGAATCTCATTGTTATTTCTCTCGTAAAATTTGCCGTTCTTCACCTCACCTTAGAATTTTAAGTTGTTCCGTATTCTACTTACATTACATTTGGTATGTCGTATTACGTAACGTAACCCTTTTCCCCATTGATATTGTCTGCCGTGTTCTTGCCCCCTTGTTGTTGTTGCTCTTGATCAATCTCCACCAACCAACCACACCCAATGTTGTCTCAGTCCAGTCTGGTTATCTATTAATTATCACATTGATTGAGGAGAAAGTGCGTGCGTGAATATTATTCATTATATTGCACCACCACTACCACCGCATCATCACTATATTTAATTATTGCACCAATTAATTAATTAACCTACTCATTCACCAACCAACCAACCAAACCGCAAGAGAAAGATTGACGTACAAAATATGTATTTTATCCTCAGCCAACATTGTGTTCAGTCTTCCAGATGATGAGGTTTGGTTTACCGATTTCTAAAAATTTTCTTCTTCTTCTTCTTCTTCCCTGTCAAATCAGAAATATTTAATACTTGGACACAAATTTTCGTCTCCTTCTTCTTGAAAAAATACCTACACTTACTTGTTCTGCTCTGCTCCCACGTTAATCTGCTTTCGTTTTTTCCAGCGGCACAAAATACACAAAGAATGGTTACACTTTTCTGTTTGTTAATATATTTACTAACCTGAGCTGGTCAATACGTAATAATACTCCATCCTCCCCTCCAAATAAGTAGGTTAACAGACAGGACAGGCCTGCATAAATAAAAGTATTATTAATTAATTAGTCACAATTAACTTACAATTAAGAGTAGTTTAGGTACTAAAACGGGAAACAGGTTATCTCTCTCTCTCTCAAAGATAAGCAAGCAAGGATCTGATAAGGATACGCATAATTCTCTCTGTAATTGGAAATGTTGGGCACAAAGAAAGCAAGAAGAGTTGAAAACTTACCTGATATTAAAAATACACATGATAAAATGATAATAAATAGGACACGATCTGAGACTCGTTTGTTTTACTTACTAACTTCCGGTCAGTATATACCGTTTCTGTCGAAGATAAGTAGAAGAAGATAAGCATATTATTAGTGGAGAGAGAATTAACACTACAGTATTTACAGTATACTACTACATATGGACTGGGTGGGTCAGGTTGAAATTAGCCCAAAATATGTATGTATTAAAAAACTATCGATAACATAAATATATACGACAAATTACTTATCTTTATTTGACCAATGTTCATACACATAAACTCATTAGTGAGACGAAAAGAAGGCATGCTTAGAAAAACTCGTCTTATTTTGAACTGAAACTGAATTAGTAACTTGAAAAGACATGAAAAACCGTAGGAGTAGAAAAATACATACATAATTAATTAGGTTGTGACTACGGACGGACATAACCTCTCAGTCATAAAGTAGCTCTCCGCTGAGAAAACAATCATATAAACAGCATATATAAAATACATAACTATGTAAATACATACACCTATAACTTTTTGCCTATAAATAAAAAATAGCACGAATTAAAAGTGGATGATAACTAACTAGCTTCAAAAATTACTAACATGTGCATACGTACACTTATCTAATTGCTGCTTATGTATTTACCGTATGTAGAATGGCTTTGATTGATTATGTAGTTTCAATACATGAATTTGAAACAGCATGCTTAAAAAATTGACTATGCGCATTACTTATCTTCGTCCCCTTCTTCTTCTCTTCTTATCATAAAAAATGAATGCTATTCCCCCCACCCACCACGATTCCTGCGTGTATATTAAAAAAACATGTCGTAAAAACAACAACTGACAAATTATTTTATTAAAATATTTCCTTATTTCCTTATTTCACTTATTTGATTTTAGAGGAAAAGTACACTTTAGTAAAAAAGGATCGATTGTTTGTAATAACTGAGAAAAAAAACAAGTATTACTAAATAATAATAATGATAAGTCATTCACGCTCATTCATGTGTGTTGTGGTATTAATGAATATGGTATGAGTGAATTTTACAAAAAAATCAACTGCAATCTTCTTATTCATTCACTTATTTGTTATTTTCTATTGTGCGCCTATGCAAAAGAGCAAAAACACTTGAATTATTATATAAATGTTTGTTTGTCTATCTATTTTTTGTGTGAAATGTCACGCCATTCAATATTTGACACACACTTTACTCGTTGTCGTTATAATGAAGTACTTACTTATCAATCACTCGTTAAGTAAACTTAGTATCTTATCTGGTCTACTTTTTCTTATATATTTTTCCGTCTTTGTTGTCTATTCTTCCGCACTTTACATTACATACTTGATCGGACTTTGTTAAAAATTGTGAGTAAAAAAAAGAAGGAAAAACTTTAAAATTTCCTTGACACGACTTTCTTCTTACCTGTGTATGTAAGTAAAAACTAAACTATTTAAACAGACCACTAAATAGATATCGATTAGGATATAGTAATTATATATGATAAAAAAAATACACCTTCTTCTCACCTTCTCAACTTCTTCTTCTTCTTCTATTCTAGAACTTTACAAAAACTAATAAATAAATAAAATCTGAACGAATTATAAATATTTCTTGGAGAGAAAGAATCAACGCAGTGGAATAATTTTTTGCAGACTTGTTATTGTCATAATTTCCTCCTTATTTTTCTGGCACTGTCCTAAATATTTGCATATTTTTAAAAAAGGAAACAAAAACGAGTAGAGAAATGAAGAGGCATCCGTAACAAAAAAAAAGATAGGAGAAAAAAAAGTATGTATGACCTTCCTTCCTGTAAATTTCCTGGGAAAAAATGGTGACAAATTTTTTTCCCCTCCTTGACTTTGACTCCTGTCCTTTTTTAACCCCCTTTTGAAGTGGAAATGAAATGAGCCCCCCTTTTATGAAATGAAATGATACTCTTATACTGCCACTCTTACTCTACTACTGCTACTTACTACTACTACTACTGCTACTTGCCTCCGAGGTATGTGTGACACTTTTATCTCACCGAACTCTGCCCTTTGATATGTAAGGTCATAGGCGGTGAATTGCAAGAGAGATTAATCCCGGTTCCCTACAGCAAGGTACGACAATTACTTGGTCTTCTTCAGGGAAAAAGTTACGCTACGGGGGTATGTTGTTGAAAGAAATGAAATTAATTTGTTCAAATTTTTAAAACCCAATGAACTGGGTGGAAATTGAAAAAAAATTATTCAGAAAAAATCAGCGTTTTAGGGTAGCCTGAAGTTTTTAGAGAAAATAAAGTGTTTTTTGCGAAGGTGAGATTCGAGCCCTAAATTCTTTCAAGTGTGGTATTAAACCATCTCAGATTTGATTCTTGATAGAAAAATTTCCAAGATTATGAGCACTTTTGACATAAAAAATGTCGATTTCCCCCCCTTTTAGTATGCAAATGACTTCCTACTCCTTCATTCTTGTTTACCAATCCCATGATTTCGAACTATCGTTATAATATTACATTTAAGGCCTGAATTTGATTCGTTATTTTGTAGGAGAAAGTAGATATCTGTTCATGACAGGTTTTTTGAAGTGCGGAAAACTTTCTCCCCGTTCATACGTGATCAGACAGACGATTACCTTCCAGAAATAGTTCCAGATCGCTAAACTTAATGCGAGGCACGTAATCGTTTCCATTTTGGTTAAACTTTTCCGATCTACATACTTTTCCTATTTCCCGTTTTAGATTTGTTTTTCCTGGTCGGATATTTAACTATCCGAAAGTAAATATTTTTCCCCTTTTTCTCCCTACCATTCAACAACATACCTCCGTAACTAAAGTTTTCTCTCAAGTTAACAAAATGATTTCTGTGATTTAAAAACCGAATGAATAACAAATTTTTTTGTCATTTCAAATTGCAAGAGCTCCACAGATCAAGCTGTAAGCAACTTTTTCGGAGCTTATCCATTACTCTAGTCTTAATGTTAACATGGGCGTCATGCATAAATTATGGGATAAGTACTTAACATAATTCATGCATGGCGTCAAACTTATCCCTAGTTATTAATTATCTAAACAAGACTTTTACTTACGTTACTTTCACCTTGCACTGCATGCCCTCTGTAAATATCTCTCTTTGTCTGTCTCTCTCTCTCTTATCTTTATACACTTATCTGTCTCTGTATTTAAGAAATATAATATGTAAACTATTTATATTTAGTCACCTCTTGTTCTTGTTCTTGTTCTTTTCTATTACTTATCGCTTTACTCGCTTTGTCTTTGATTTTCTCTCTATTTGGCTTCGTGACACTGGTTCTTATCCTCTGTGTGACTTATCTAAATATTATTCTTATCTCACTTTTTGAGTAAGGATCATGTACGTACGTATGTATGTGTCGCACAAAAATTGTCATGATGCCGCTATGAAAAAATTGATATGCTTGCTTATTAAATATATAGCTTCCTTTTTCACCATTATTAATTAATTATATGGCTTATCTACTTACTTACGTACTCACTCCCTATTTATACTTTTGTCGCATGGAATGAAATAAACGGGTGTAATATTTGTAAATCTTTTTGAAAAAAAGAAAAAAATATTTTCATGCCTCGTTTTTCTTTTGTTTTCTTCTGTATTTTTTTAAAATTTTCACTGGTGAACGGAGTAGTTATACTATTTAGAAACACTGTAGATTAGTAAAAAAAAAGTGAAATCTTTGCTTGATCGTAATTATTAGTAAAAAGTAGAGGATCGTAGATAAAGTAAAAATACGGTACGAAAATACCTCCACTTATTAATTACCCATTCTTTCTTTGCAAAAAATACTACCCAAATCCGCTGTATTTACTGAGTAGTGTACCCTTTAGATAACTTAAAACAAAAGTATTTCTATCCTAGATAAGAACTTATCTTATTCCCCTTACTAATTTCCCCTCCGGGTAGACTAGAATTGAAAATCAGCTGTTCTTCTCTCCCTCTCTCTTTGGCGCAGGACATTAGTATTTTGCGGTGGAAGTAATTAATCTTGTCGTCGTGTTTGTCGTCGTTCTCTTTCGTCGTCGTATATTTGTCGTAATTAATTAGTTAGATTCGTTGTCGCAATGTCAGTCACTGTTTATTAGGAGAGAAAAACTTAGAAAAAGCGTTATTTTCATAAATAATAAATAAATAATAACTGAGCTAGTTTATTGTTCTTTAATACTCCGTCTCCGTCCGTATTTTTTTTTGTTTTCGTCGGGTAAATAAATTACGAAAAAAGAAAATCCATTTGTTTCGGATTTTGTTTTTAATTCGCACATTTCAATGTCTCGTTTCGTTTCGCTGTTGTTGATTAATTGGTTGTTCGATGGAAAAATTATTATTCTTATCATTAATAATTATTAATTAATTGTGCGTAGAAATGAATGGACGAGGTCATTGTGCGCAGATTAATTTTTCTTTCTTGAGTTGTATTTAATTTGCTCTAAATGTCGACAATTATTTATAAGCTCTTGGTGTTTTTTTTCTCGGTTTAACTTATTTATTACTCTCGTAATTATTATTATTATTATCATCATAATTATGTTATTATATTGCAAATATGCACTCAAAACATAAGTTCGCATCGCATGCGGCTATTTACCGTGCTTATATAAAACAACGACGGGATGAAGGAAGTCAGTGGACCACCATTTTTATGAAAAAAAAGAAATTTTACGATGCAACCATTTTCAAAAAAATTGACCAAATTTATTAATACAAAAAATTTTATCAGATTTGAAGGAAAAAAATAATAATCATGCCGATTGGAGGTTGGATCAGTTTTTCACAATTTTTTATAAAAAAAAACTCTGGAGGCAGACAGACCCCGTAGGATTTTATCTTCATGGAATAATAATTTAGGGAGTAGAAAATAATTGTTTAGATTTGCATCCTACAGTTTTTGGAGAAAGTTTTAGGAAAAATATTGATGTGTCGTTTTTCTGAAAAAAATCACTTTTCCACGAATTTATCAAATGATGAGCATGTTAGGCGATAAATAAAAAAACTAGCCTTTTGTACGTCACCATCACGGATGACTGAAAAGTAGACCTAAATACAAAGCTTGTCGCATAGTAGAACTGATATGATCACCCCTTTTTAGTCCAAAGCTTATCACAACTCTGATATTACTCTTAGCAGCAAGAACCAGCAACCAGCAGCAGTCTGACTATTTAGTAGTGTGTGGGAGGAGAGATGACCACTCCATCTCCCCCACTCAATTAATTACAATAATTAGTTAATTATTTGATTAAGTTTTTATTTCTCATTTTCCTCACTCCTTCTCAGAACATGATGGAGTTTTTATTTTTTGATAGGGCACAACAATCAAAGAGTGATAATTAAGCAATGAGTCACCCATAATGGGTGACTTTTTTTAGGGGTCATCGTAAAAAGAGAGGCTTATCGAGCTTATCTCTGGTGATGTTTCCTCCGTCGACGTACGTATAATTTAAGCAGAAGGCTTGAAGAGAAAGTATATCGTAGAAAAAGAAATGACAAGATCGTAGTAATCTGGAATAAATCCAAGACTAGATCTGCATGAATCTCCTCCTTTTTGCTTTCCTCACAGTGATGAGACAAAAAAAGTACACGTTTCGTATAGTCTCCCATAAAATATTGATTGATTGATCCAATCCTCCAGCCGATCGATAAAAAGCATGAAAAATATATTGTGATGAAATCCTTTGATTTTCGGGAATCAATTTGATTCCGAGAAGAAATAAATAATAAATTTGGTTCGATAAAAAAATCCTTCTAAAAAAACTCAACCTTCAATGCGTACACATTTTTAAAAAATGTGGAAAAGTTGATAGATGAGAAGAATGAATTCTTGGTCCACAACAACGACTTTTTCCCCCGTGTGTGTGTTTTATATGTGAAATGTGACCCCGACATAGGGATCCAGACGGGGTACTGTTCCTCCTCTCGGACTGGTGATAAGCTTCTTTTATCTAAGATATGATCTTATCACCCACCAGTCACATATATGAGAGGAGGAGACTACTTACCTGGCTGGATCCCTGCGTTACCTCGGGGTCAGAGTTCACCCCTATTTTTTACATGCAAAGCTGCAGCATTTGCGATGGATGATCAACAGAGCTGATTTATATATGATTCCGCATGTTGGCTGCACTGTATAAAAGTGCTAAATGTAATTTTTCAACTTTTTTGAGTCACATATTTACATTTTTGTCATGTTTCTCTTCTCTTCTTCTTGTTCTCATTATATAATTGATATGTACTATGATACGTACTACTGGCTCTTATAATGGGGATATATCGCACGACGTGTGAATTTTTACTTGTCAGGCTGCAAGGCTACAACATGGTTTGGGTGATTCGCAAAACAAAGGCCGGCTGACCGAGGTAAATCAGCTCTGTTGAGTGTATCCATTCATTCATTCATTCATTCCTTCTTCATAATTAGTGTGTGTCATAATTATTTTGTGGGTCATCCCCCTCTCCTAAAATTGCTAACGTCATGTTTCTTTCTCTTTGTGTCCCCTCGCACCTCCAGATCCGTGTAGTTAACGCATTCCGCCAAGGACTGGATACTCGCTATGGGGAGCGGAGTAACCCCTCGATCGCTGCCGTGCTCCAAAAACAGGCGTCCCTCAGCAAACGCCTCTCCCAAACTTCTTCCATCGAGTACGCCGACAATTATCCGTACGAAGTCTCGGCCCCAGAGTTTGAACGACTCAGTTCTCGAAGCCATACGGAGACGGCGGTATAGTCGACGTCGACGACGCCAATGTCGCCGCCGACGCCACGCGTGCCACCACCACCGCAAAACAACGACCATCTTACAACATCACGACCTTCTTCGTGTGTATCATTCTCAGTTCAATACATATTTACCGTTAACTAAGGATACAATTCATTCGTGTGTACTCAAAAGACCGTTTCAGACAGGCCTACTCCACCCAGAAGATATATATCCATGTATAAAAAAATAACTATTACCTTCACAACAACAGCCATTTATTATTATTATTATTCGTAATTAGTAGTTAGTTAGTTAGTAAGTAGAAATCAATCCCCACACGCTCCAGTTCTAGCCGGGCTATAATTATGTAAATATTCTTAGTATTTTCATTCTTCTTCTCATTTAAGGTGCGTATCGAGACCTGCGCAGTGCGTGGGTCGTAAATTATACGCAGATTTATTATTAACCCAACAACTTTATTATATGTCGCCACCCTCCCTTCTTCAAAAATATATTTACATTTATTATTCTACCAACCACGGTTTGTCGACAAAGAAGAAGAAAAAGTTTCACAAAAAGAAGTGGGTACTGCCAAAAAATCTACGGTACGGTTTATATAAATTTTAGTGAGTGAGGGAGGACATGTGTAAAAGTAAAATGTAGTTAGTTAATGTAACCCAAAAATCACCAATTTACTTCTCCGTGCTAAATAATATACTATATACTTGTTACATAAATACGTTACGGCATTTACTTTATCTACAGATAAGTCTTCTCAGTTGATAATCGTCGTCGTCACCACCAGTACTACTACTAAATACCACCACTTACTAACTAACTAAAAAACCCACGTGTTAGATAATAGAGCTTGTGACTTCCATCATACATAAATATTCTAGTCCAAAACTTGTTCTTATCAAAATAAAAGAAAGAAAACAGAGAGTTCGAAAAGCATGCATATGTACCTTACAAAAAACGGAGGAAGAAAGTTTTTTTTCAATAACGATTAATAATTAGTTAATAATGCAAAAAATACTAAAATGATGAATGATTAGAGAAAAGAAAAAACCCACTTTCCAAATGTACTACTCTACTTCTACTCCTAATTAATTAATTACTTATACTTATACTTTTAAAACACAAATATTTGTACCACCACTTTTTGGCTATAATTAATACCTCACTACTAAATACCCACGTATGTACACATAAATAATTAATACATACAACCAGATCTGTTCCTTTATTACTTACTTACTTGCGACGATTATATATCCATTACGTAATAACCTTATCATCACACCGGTATCAGTATCAGTCTAGTTTTTATGCTGTATAACGACAAATATTGAATTCATGTACGTTTCGTATGTATGTATGTAAATGTCTTTGTATTTGCGTGAATGTATATAAAGTTAAAGAATAACTTTGTAAAAAAAAATGTCAATCTTTACCGTAAAAGTACATCCTGTGGTCAGACCAGGCCACCCACCGTACAACTCATCACATCAGCTTTAAATACCCCCCCCCACACACACAAAATGTCATCATAATTAAAATCCCCCCACCTCGCCGCACGTGTCATGTCCCCACGTGGTCATGCATAAAAAAACTGCGACACCTTTTCTCTTCCCATGTCGACGTCCTTTTTAACTCAGAAATGAAATTATTCTCGCCGCTCCGTGTCTAGATTATAAACGAAGAAATGGCTGGCTAACTAAAAAATGGGGCGCTCAATTTTTCTATACATGTCAAAATAGTTAATTTATTACGACTAGATTGTATTATTACTTGAGAGACTCTTGTGACTGAATTCCATATTTTTTCTCACCCTTTTTCATACACCGTCAAAATATTTCTCTCTCACTCACTCACTTTTCATTCCTTCTTTGTAACTAATTTCGTTTCAGTAATGTAAAAATCTGCTTGTTTTCCACAGTGACTTTTCTTCAGGAAAATATAAATCCATGGGATATGGATTTATTTAAAATTGTGTGTACTACTAAAAAAATGTAAGGGTAAATTTTTTTCTGGCAGAGAAAATATCTTCCTGACATTTGACTATTCCCCAAATCCCCACCCCCACCACATCAGGATAATTAGTAATATATACTAACCTTTGGTTGCTAAATCTACCTCTCTTTCCTCTAATATTCACCAAACAAAATCATACTTTTTAACGCAATGACAAGTCAACCAACAAATTCCAAAATTTTCAGAAAAAAAAACAACAATAAGTAATGTTCGATCCTCCACAACAGCAATTACCACCTAAAATTATTGACTTTCCTACCCTCTTTCTTCTTCTCCTCACTAATAAGTAGATAACTCCAAACAAATGATAACCCGTAGCTAGCTAACTAATCAACCAATTAACGAGAACTAAGCCATTACTTAGGTCCTGTAATTTTTCTTTTGAAAAAAAGTACTTACAGAAAAGTAGACGTGGTGATGAGGGATGGATGTCATCCTTCCTGCAAGCCAAATATATATCTAGCCCGATTATTTACATATTTATGTACTTACATACACTGGCTTAAAAGGAGGGGGCTTTTCCCTCCGGGGAGGACGATTCAGTTTTCATTTCACCAAAAAAACTATACCCAAACCTTGTGTGAAGTGCAATTCGTACGTATTATTTTTTATCAATTTGTGACAAGAGAATAAAATGGTGAACGAGAACATGAACGTCCGACCGAAGAAGATGTGGTGATCACTAAAAAACGAACTAACTTATTAACTTAGCCATATTTATAGACGGTTATCTTGTTATAATTATTGTTATTATTATTGATTAGTGTGTGATGATAAATTCTAGTACTTACATAATTGCCATAATAATTAATAATAATAATGAGGAGGAGGAAACTAGTGCTAAAAAAATTAGATAATATGGTGGTCGTCCTGCAAAATGCCATAACACATCACACGATGGAAGAAATCAATTTACGCAGGCAAAAAAAGTGGGGGTGTTCTTTTCTTAATTTTTTGCGAAAAAAATAACAAGCCGTGATTTACAAGGGTTATTATTATCACTTTGATTTTAAAGAACAACTTGATTTTGGGGACATGTCACACAGTCAGATTTTTTGTTTGTGGGGGTGACACGAACGGGAAGGAAGGAACCCTTGCGTGGAGAGGAAAGTATTTAGCAAAATGGGAGAAATACATACATACATAAATACTAAAAAAACTACTCTTGGGTTGGGTCAGATTTTAATAAGTGTTCAATGAATTTAAGGAGTACATATTATGATTATATATTAAAAAAGAAAGTTTGATGATCTTGATGATGATGACGATGTGAAATGAAATAGCCTCCGATAGCTCACCAAAAGTTGGCTTTCTGTTCAATAATAAAAACAACTCTTTGATAATAAACATGGATTGGAGTGGTGGAAGAAATTTATTTATTGGAATGGCAAACTTTTTCAGAAATTTGCAGTTGTGAGGCATGAAATGCATATGGAAATTTTAATTTGACACATAATTATTAAGAAATTGTCTCAGCACATAATAAACAGATGGTTATGAGAGGCAAGTTGAGACCACGATTAATTTGGTAGGTCTGTCTTTTTCTTTGATAAGCATGGTAAAAACGATCTTATCAAACTTAACTAATCTAACTTATTTCGAAAATCATAAACGGATGACTGAGAAAAAACTGAAGTGCTTACATCGTCGCAGTAATTATTAATAGATGCGGAGTGAATTTGGTGCGGTCAAGGGCGAGTTTTTCTGTGGTGATGAGATATCTCAAAATAACGATATGCAAGAAGAACCAGAACGTTTACAACTTTAAGCTTTTGTTAATAATCAATGATTTTAGTTTTATTCCTGAAATTTGATCACAATAAAATGAAAAGTCGACTTAATAATTGATTGATAACTGCAAACAGAATGACTGCGAGTGACTGCGACGTACATAATTAGTTATAAAAATTATAAAAATGATAAGTTCAGCTAAACATGCTCCCCTGGAACTTGGCCATGAGAGCAGCGTGATCGACTACTTCATCATCGGCCACATCGCCCAAACTCGCCCTCAAGTGGCATTGACGCTTCAGATCGTGAGGGCTGGGCTGCTCGGACTCGAAAATCGCCCGAACGTGAACTTGGTGCTGTCTGATCTCGTCCCTCGCTTCAATTAGCTAATTATCAAAATTACGTGGTTAGTATTACCCACAAAATTGTGGGAATTAATTATTTGCATGAAAAAGAATGATAAGTATTGCTTACCAAACGACTTTGCTCGTTCACGTCATCGCATAATACTGGGAAACATTCTTGTTTGGTTGCTCGACCCACTTCGGATCGATTCAGTTTAGAGAAAACTTCCGTTTCCTGCGAATTATTGAGTAAAATTGTTAAATACTGCAGAATATTAAGTCCACATTTGAGTATAAATATGCATTTACATGAAGAATCTCCACTTTGAGCTCAAACTTCTCCTTGCCGACGAGGAAGAACTGTCCCGTCGCAAGCTTTTCTATTTGGAATAAGAAGTCCATGTTAAACTCGGGGTCGAACGAGTCTTTGAGAGAGAGCACTCTGTCCCTCCCGAATTGTGAAGGAACACGATTTTGCATCATTTCATGGAATTTATTGGATTTCGGATTTCTGAGTATGTTGTACTCCGACGTGTCCAAGACCATCGTTGGAGGTGGAGCGAGCAGATAGCTGCAAAAGTACGGAGTTTGACCTCCTCCTCCTTCCTTCTTGTCGTCGTCGTCGTCACCGGCGTCGGCGATGGGAGTGTCGTCGATAAGCAGGATGGAATACAGCCAGTAGTGTGAATCAGCCTCGGCGGCCATGACCAGAAATTGGGTCCAATTTGAAAATTCCAAGCGGTTGGTATTTCACTGTGCGGACAGAATATATAAAACTCGTTATAATAAGAACATGATTGCATTAATTTGAAAATAACAAAATTCATGCCAAACTCACGAGTATTTTCATCCTTGAAATATGTCGGGCCTGTCTTTTGCACAAAAACCGTGGCTTTTCGCTCCTCAAACACGGGGACCTTGTGGACCGTCGTCAAGTGGAGAAGATATTCGCACATTGGAACATCTTCCACTCCACATTCGACATGGCAGTCGAGTCTGATCCTGCACAAGGAATGATACATTTGTAATTACAACCTTAACCTTATCTAATTAATGAGTCTTACCGATAACCGCAAGTCTGCTTGTGAACCTTCAACTCGGAACTTATTTGTCTAACAGGACAGCCATCGTAGGGACAATTCTCAATGACTTCGTTTGATGATTCTTCCATTATTGGAAGTTTTAAAATTGTAGTTATTCCTGAACAATTAATAACTTTTAAAAATCTCAGCCTGAAAACTTATTAACTTTAAGTGACTTGTTTTAAGAAGACCTGTCGTCGTGACGGAGCAGCAAACAAGGCAAGACTAACGAAGGAATGAAGCAGTCGAGTAAAAGGAGACAAGCGCAGCCTTATCTTATCGCAGCATATCGGCGTGGCGTTCATACTGTCCAGCTGTTTCCTTTGTTCAAATTTACGACGAAATTTGTGTATGATTTCCTCAAATAGAATCCAGACCTTATTTGTTGTTCTTATCCAAACCCTGTGTAAAGTCAATTCGTACACATTATTTTTTGAAGTTTAGAATTTATACTTAATTTACTCAAATAGAATTCATACCTTCTTCCGCCAATTAAAAAGTGTGGAGCGCCGACTGATAATAACTTATCAATCTAAAAGTTATCAAATACATTGATCAATAATTTGCATGCATGCCACTTATTATTATGCAAACTAAAGCCTAGTACTCAGGACGAATGTTCACGCGGAATTTCATCGTGCTTAAATTCTGTTAAATTTTTCGCTGGAGAGACCTCAAGGGCAAACGAAAGTCGGCAAGAAAACCAAGTTTGGTGGCGACTGAGACAGCTCGGAAATTGCCACTTCGGGCGGCTCGACGAATTGGAACTGGAGGAGATCCACCAAGTTTGGTGGCGACTGAGACAGCTCGGAAATTGCCACTTCGGGCGGCTCGACGAATTGGAACTGGAGGAGATCCACCAAGTTTGGTGGCGACTGAGACAGCTCGGAAATTGCCACTTCGGGCGGCTCGACGAATTGGAACTGGAGGAGATCCACCAAGTTTGGTGGCGACTGAGACAGCTCGGAAATTGCCACTTCGGGCGGCTCGACGAATTGGAACTGGAGGAGATCCACCAAGTTTGGTGGCGACTGAGACAGCTCGGAAATTGCCACTTCGGGCGGCTCGACGAATTGGAACTGGAGGAGAAGGAGATCCACCAAGTTTCGTGCCATGCAATCTGCCACGACAACGGCCTGCTTTTGAAGTCAGCCAGTCCAACTTTGAAGCCGACGGCATTCTCGGAAATGGGAAGGGCACTGTTTATCCCAAGTATGAACTTGATTCGCAGTACAACTTCATCATTCCCGAGCCGCACAAGTTGAAGAATGCTCCGTGGAAGCAGAGTCCAATTGAGCCGCCGGAAGGGTTGGAACCAACCGTTTTGTAAGCTTTTGCAATTCCAGTTAACATTATTCTTAGTATTATAATTATTACATCATGAATGGCAATAAAAAGTTAACTGATGGTTTTAATTCTGCTCTTATTACTGTTGCTTGCAGATCTGTGGCGGCGTCGGTGAACTTGGGAGCAGATTTGGATCTGAAAGCTGTCGCTGATGCATGTTCGGACTTGCGCTATAATCCCGAGTCATTCGCACCCTTGGTCATGCGTCTCAAAGATCCAATCGCCACGGCAATGATTTTCCCTGGCGGGAATATGATCATCTCCGGTGCTAAATCGGTGGAGGCTTGCAAGATTGCAGTGACAAAGTTCACAGCGATGGTTCGGTCGGTGGGATTCAATGTGAGACCATTTGGAATGTTGATTAAAAACATCTCTGCTGCCTTCAGTGTGGGCTTCAAGATTAGGTTGAGGAGCCTCTCCAAGGATCGAATGCTCACCCCACAAATGACGTGAGAAACCTATTCGAACAAATGATAACATACTCATTAATAAATAACCCATCTACTTGATTAATAAGTACGTTTATCATTTCATTCGCTGACAGGTACGAACCTGATGCGTTCACGGGTGTGGCCATGGTCTTACCATGTCCGAAAGCTAATGTAATGGTATGCCGGACTGGGAGCGGGATAATACAGGGTAATTAATTATCACATTTACCTACATTTATTTTGGAGGGAGAGAGATTTGAGATCTTTTTCAGTTGGCACTACAATTATTTATAGGAGTGACCTCTTTCAAGGATCTCGATAAGGTCTTCAAGATTATTTACCCCCACCTCAAAATGTATGCAATGTAAATAGTAATTAGTCATGCAGTCTTAATTTATATATCATGAACAACCACAATACTTTTAATAATAAAGTCAAATTCTTTCATGATAAACAATGAATTGAATTTGTTTAAACATGATTTTTTTTAATGGAAACTTTTTCAGAAATATGCACATAATTCTAAGCACTTTGAAACATGAAATGCATATGAGGCTGGAAATCCTAATTTTATGCACATTTTATCAATAATTTTTCAAAACTTGGCCCGTTTTCCTAAGTACAAAGTTAAATAATGAACTATTTGTAAGCCACTTTCTCCTGCGACGCCTGCTTTCGCTGAGGACTCCACCAGTAAACCGAGCGACTCGGGCCTTGACCTTCAGACGACTCGCTGTGGGACGGGGACGAGAAAATCGTGGACTTCGTGGGCGGATTTTTAATCACTGCAGCAATCAAAAAATAAAGAAACGATTAGTTAAATGAGTGAAATTTATGGACACAGTTATCATCAGGGAGCGGATGTGTATTTACAAAAACAAAAATATTTACGAAATATGTAACAAGTTTCGCAGAATTTGTATTATTTGTTTTTTTTGTAATCGATTTCTTTGAACAAAAAAATTCGTCTCGTGTCATTGAAGTATTTATAAAATTTATGTATTTTTGAAAAAAATAGCTAAAATATTTACGTATTTTTTAAACAATAGCAGAAATGTTTTAAATTATGTCTAAGAAAACCCAGAAATATTTTGAAATTTTTCCGATCTGTACGAGATCAGTAATACACCAACAAAATTTTACTGTCGGTTGTCATTAATAAAGAAAGTGGAACCTAAATACATAACCGCCCTCTGGTTATCACGATAAGAGTATTTTGATGACTTACAATTTACCCAAATCCCGAACTGCGCCTTGGAGAAGCGGATCTCGTGACGTAGCAGGTAAGCGCGATGACTGACGCTCCAGGCGCTCTGGTTGTAGACGACGCTGCGCGATCCGGCCTGGCGAATCGCCTCGTCGAGGTTCTTCGCCTCCCAATGCAGACAGTGCAACGCGTAGGCGAGACGATTCAACTCGTCGGAAAACTTGCAGGAGGTTATCCGTGACCCTATCAGTGTTTGTCGGTATAGGTCCAACTCCAAATAGAGAACACTGACTTCGCTGGACAAAGTCATCTCGATCTGGAGAAAAAAAACACATTTTTAGTTTAAGGTAAGACATGACAACTAATAATTGTAAGTCAGCACATTTTTCATCATTTCGCCGCTTTGGGAATTTATTTTGAAATTCTTGACGACAAATTTCTAGAGTTGGGAGTTGTAAATTTTTTAGAAAATATACACTCCAGATTTTGACACTTTTTGTAGGAGAAGATCTCAAATGTAAGAAGCCTTCAGAAAAATTGGAACTGGCTTAAACACTAAACGCCATTCTATCAATCAACTCACCGAGGAGAAATTTATCGTCCAGAATTTTAAAATAAATTCCCATAGCCAAGAAATGATTAAAAATGTGTGGATTTTTACGATTTTGGTGATGAATCCTACGTGCATTTACATGAGTATGAAAAAACATAATTTAATTACTTACCTATCCTTTTTAATTTTTTGAGAGGGACAAGTAATTTCACTAATTTCACGTACTTTTGGAAAACGATTTTCAACAAATTCTTCTTTACAATTTTCCCGAGAAGTGTCCGAGAGCGTCCAGAATTAGACTGACTCGTTGAAAAAGGTGAGATGCCCTTTTATCCTTTAGTGTCCTTTTATTATGGAGACAATTTTCATCCATTCGGAGGGACAATGTTGACGGGAAGTTGGATTGGATTCCCGAACGAGAAAAATAAATGACCATGATACAAAATGTATGTAAGCATGTATGTAGATTCTTATGTACATACAAAAGAGATGACAATCTTATCATGGGTTTGAGACGCAGATCATGGAAATGTGAGCCTAACGAACGCAATGAATTGAATTTATCAGGTAACAACAAGACTGATAAGTCGTATTTATCGTGCATCCGCATTTCTCGTCTCGAATGCTGGCTAAGAATTAGCTGCAACAATTCGTTATCGCATGATTTGATTTGTCTGTCCTTTCATCTCTCCAATTTACTCCTTAATTCTAGAAATATTTACATGATAAATGCATAAGAATCAAATTTTTATAGCGTTATGTGCTTATCAAGCTCATCGTTACTTTAGTTTTTCAGACTAAAGGCAGGAATGCAAATGCTTTCAGAAATATATTAGCGAGACGGGAAAATGAGACGCAATTCTCCATATAAGTGGAAATATTGGAGAGAATTCCGTCTCATTTTCCCGCTCGTTCATATACTTCTGAAAATAATAATAAGTCCGACTTGATTTGCATTTAATTAGTCTGAAAAACTTAACGGACGACGAGGTTGGGCATAACTTGGACTTTGCCTTTGCGTTGTTGTTTGTTAAAAAAACATGTAAGCATAAATTCCGAGAAATGAAAATGGGTCGGTGAGCAAGTCCAGCAAATTCACTTCCAAGTCGTCCACAAATTTTAAGCATGGGAAAGAAAGCGATTGGTGGCTGATTAATAAAATAATAAATAAAATTATTATTGCACACACGTCATCGGAATGCGAAATGTAATAATATGCGAAATGGGAGGAGATATGGGCAGATTTTTGCATGGGTGGATTGGATTTGCATACCTTACCTCGTCCATCAACCACTTTTTACTGAAGAGCGATTGATATGCATGCCTAAATGTAAACTAACCTGAGTTTACTATATATTAAACTATAATAAGTCCACTAACAAGATGCATGCATTATGTACAACTGTCCAGAAATGCCTATGAAAATATTTGCATAACCGAGGCGTCCCCAGGAAAGCATTTTAGTCGCAGGAGGAAAGTGAAAAGGATAACACAACGGCAAACCCTAGATTCATTAACGTCTTGCAGAATCAGAGTCCACCAAAAAAAACTATCAAAAAAACTACCGAAATGTTGTAAGTCATTAAAATTCTTAAATATTATGAAATTCCGATTGTGTTTTTAACGCATGATTTTGTTGTCAGCCGCGGTATGAACTTTCATGAATTTCGAAACCACTACGAGGACCTCGTGTCTCATTCATGGTACATTCATTATAAGTAATACATTTTATACAATTGGTGGACATGAATACGAAAAAACGATAATTTTTATTACTTATCACTTATCAGTTACAAAATGTCCTTGGAGTTTGAAAGTCTAAAACCTCGTGGAAGCGAGATGATGCCATGGTCGGCAGGAAACCGGGGAATGAACCGTCCGAAAAACCGGTTCGTCAACGTTCTGCCTTTCGATCATACTCGAGTAATTCTCAGCTCCGTTGAAGGCGTGGATTTCAGTGACTACATCAACGCGAATCATATCTCGGTAATACGAGTCTCATTTTTGCAACAATTTGCATATCCGTGCCAAAATTATTTCCATATCCATATTTGCAATCATTCATGGAAATTTGTGCAGGACTACAACTCCAGTGGAGAGTTCCGTGGTCGAGAGTACATTGCTACTCAAGCGGTACAGATAAATTCAAATTTTCATGAAATGCGTCCCAAATTTTGATTATTCTTCATAATCACACAGCCGTTAAAGAACATGGTCAACGATTTCTGGCGATTATGCTGGGAGTCGAATACCACGTGTGTCGTCATGTTGGCCCGTTACGTAGACCGACCTTCGTCCCCGGATGACTTCAATCCTTTCCAATTCAGTCGCCCAGATCGGGAAGAATGCACGCATTACTGGCCAAGCACCTCGATTTCGGAAATGTATGGTGAAATTGAGGTCGAAGTCATGTCCGAAATTCTGGACGGGTATCGACGCTCGCCTCACAAATGGATCATCTCCGAGTTGAAACTCCGCTACAAAGTTTACAAAGAAAAAATGAAACATCTTTCATCGTGAAAGTTCTTTAGTCCATAATTTGCATATTTTTTTCCAGGAGCAGGAAAGACGCCTTCGTCACTACCAGTTTCTAACTTGGACCCATTTGGAGTCCGTCGACCCACCCGAAGCGCTTGTCCACTTCGTCCGAGAGGTTCGGAAGTATGCTCCCTCTCCGATTCTGGGAAACCCATCCAACGCGCCCCTCATTGTCCACGGGAGCGCAGGCGTCGGTCGCACTGGGACCTTCATTGCGGTCGATATTGCATTGAATCAAATCGAGAAGAAGAAAGCCGTCAATATTGCCAGCATCGTGAGTCAAATGCGGGCGCAAAGGGTGAGATATGCAAATGACAATGATGAATTACTGGAAATATGTAGCATAATTATGACGAAGGTTGGAATGGTTCACACGGAGCCCCAGTACGTCTGCATTTACAAATGTGTCATCGTAACACTTGATGAAATCGAGGCTAACGGCATTGAATTTGGCGACCCTGCGCCGGGCAACCATTTCGAAAGAGTTGTCCCCGATCGAGAAGAGTGGTTTTGCAGCCTCTCCAACATTTAGGTCTCTATGATTTTGACCAAGCAGCAAATCCTAATTTGATATGTTAAATGTAATTGACTAATAAATGAATGGAATTTACTTCACTCATCCTCAGCTTTGATCGATAAATAAAAATGCATGTCTTTCCTTTTCATGAAATCATGGCTCATTTGCATATTTATAGATGCGACGTAAATAAATAGATGGTATTTTTATTCAGACGGAGACGGGAAACGTGAACAAAAACATACACACGTAATGAATGAAATTTGTTAGATACGAGTTGTATTCAGGTATATGAATTGAATGCATGGATCTCTTGTCATGAAAGATGGCTTACCTGCAGGAAATGTTATCTGATTTGTCCCTAGTTTCAATTCTCCAATGTATGCACTGCCAAGTTAGAAAAATGCACAAGAAATATAACACTTAATAGAAATTAATTTAACAAAGTGTATTTATTGATTCACTTCAATCAAAATTCAACAAATTCAGAAAATCATTGTTTTTTGTTAGATGGTAAAGTAGACCCAACTTCTGCTGAGTATAATGAGTAATTATCGGCATCTTTTTTCTTTTCCTCATTCTCATCCTTCTTATCGGTCGCCAGAAATTGGAAATCTTTAGCGAGCATTTGGACTGGTTCAGCATTCACGTTAGGGTTGATGGGAGAAAAGACCATCTTTTGATCAAAAAACTGGTTCAAAATTGGTCGAGTAGGGAATTGGTTGAAGTCGAGTGCCAAGGCGTTGGATGCCAGGACTTCAGCGGCTGAAACCATGGGGGCGGACGTTTCAATGGTCAGATCTTGCGGAACATGAAACCTTGGAACGAGCAAGTCAACAAGGTATGGAACAGCTTCAATTGTCTTGCACACGACATCAGTTTTATCCCTGTCCATGTAAAAATGAAACGTTTCATGAATTGCAAATATTCATTAAAGAATTCGCTCAGTTTAGATTGATCATATTTAATTTGATTATTACGATTTGGACACATTGATCTTAATGTTGGTTCCAGTCGTCATACTTTGCAAGGCAACGGATGCTCTTCTCGACCAGATATTCCCCACGGGTACAACCCCTTTCAGACAACATTTGTAGGCCTAATTAACATAAATTTTATCAAGTTAGCACTAATATAAAGACATGCCACCAATTATTACAATTTGTATGCATTTTAGCACTCACCAGAGCAGGATAATAGCTCACGTACACTGGAAGGGAGCACATTTCATCCGCCCGGAGCGTCAAAACTTGACCGGCATCAATCAGTTGAACCTTATGGTACGGAATTCCACGGTCGGCAACATTAGTAAGATTCGCCTCTAGGACGACACCTCGGAGCCAAGTTCGCGCTCCATTTTCCGTACGCTTCACAGCGACCAGTTCCGTCAAGGCGTAATGGACTGATTGGCGTTGACGCCATGCCATATTGGGTTCCAAAAGTTCGTTCAGTTTGGCTTTAATCTTGTCAAAAGCCTCGACTCCAGTTCCTAAGAACACGAGGAAGAAATTCATGAAATTGACCACAACACCTTCATTGTAGATTTTATGAGATCATCAAATTTATATGCTTACCAAACTCTTCGGTCCCCGTGTCTGGAATATTACTCATCGACCCATCATGCATCATCGGATTCACCGGCGGTGTACTCTTCGAGGTTGCAGGTGGAAATGCAGCTCGGCGAATACATTCCGTCGTCTTTCTAGGAATTACGTAAAACTCCGAGGGCGAAACTATATGCATAACTTTAACATCTATCCACATTCCATGTTGGAAATGGGGCTTGTTATCCAAAGTGTAAGAACTGGTAACTCTTTGTTTTCCCAGATCAGAGACTGCGAAAAGAAAAGGAAGACGATCAGTTAACTTAACAATTATTTATTCCACAAACTAAATATGTGTAGTAGGAAGACAGGTTGTCGTCGTCATCACCACCAACCACGGTACCTCTGCCGCCACGGATATAGACCTGACTACTATCATCTTCGCCCAAATCAGGAACATAGTCAACAAGATACTCATCATCTCCTTGTGGAGGTACTAGAGAATCTATCGTCCCACTGTTACGACCAGTCTCCTCCGGTTGATTAACTTTTTCTTCTTTATCCACGGAATTCATTCTGTACGTAAATAATAGATAACAAACAAGGCAATAATTAATTAATGGTTAAAATCAAAACAACCCCTCGAAATCTAATGTCTTACTTACTCTAGTTATATCCTTAAACTTGTCCTGACAGCGATCCAATCCACCTGCGTAATGAACAAATAATGCAAATTCACCTTATCATCAAAAGTAGGGACGACCCTGTAAAATGACCTAATTTACAGACAACTTACTAACTAAGAGATGAGAGAAATAGCTAATTTCATCAAAATTACGAATCCAACAATAATAATCCAAGAATATTATGAAGCAACAAACGACAAGCCAGAAATGCGGTTCGGAAACGTTTTTTGCTACCCAAGCCAAAGTCGCAATTCCTCTGAATCCGCTAATATACATAATATGCAAAGTAGTCTCGCTGGCTGGCTGGCTGCAATAAATATGAGATTACCTCAGAATCCCCTTTAATTTAATTAATCATCATTTCATTGCACAGTTTTCCAAACACTCATCATGGCCAAGATTAGTCCTTAAAATCATGATCATTAGCATTGTCCAGGACAAAAAATTGTCCTTCGTCATAATATTTTATTCTCTTTTTTTCAAAAAATCATCTCATCTCGACTTGTTTTCGAAGTCGAAATCGAACTCGAAGCGCCCTCTGGTTCTGGGCTCGAGTTTAGATTTTCTGTTGACTTTTGCTCTGCAGATTTCAGTCTGACTCACAGCAGAACCAAAACTTTCTCACGGAATTGGTTGGACGGATCCCAAGAAAAATATCAATATTTTATGTACCAGACTTCGTTTTTTACTCCGTCCACGTAATAAATTTTGTGTACTTTTTAATCACCATCATCTGTTTCGAGCAGCATAATCCGACTAAAACTTGCCGTTGTTGTTGTTTAGTTCGTGTAGTTAGTTAATGTTTTGCTGCTGTCATTAATTAAATAACCAACCAATCAACTAATCTCGCTGTTAAAGTCAACAACTGAACCAGGACGGACGTCACTTTTTTGTTGAGGATATCCTATTTGTACACACTCCTTGGGAAAACATCTTTGTGACCGATTTTATGAGCGATGGGGATAAAATAATTGTTGTATTTTTGTAATAAACTTTATTTTTTGGAAGGAGAGGTGAAGTACTAACGAACTGACGTGAAATGTTGTCGTCCTCTGATAGGGACTGATTGTTGGGTGGGATTCTTGTTAACAAGGGAATTTGACAGTTTAATGAAAATGTAGAGAGGTTGGTGGGAAGTGGTGTGTGGGTGGTGCCTTAATTAATGAATGATTGATTAGTTAAATAGTTTGCTAATTAATTGGAGTGCATAATATACGTAGCCAAAGGGAGGAGGAGGTTCCTGGTCAATAATGCTTTAATTAATAACGAAAAAAAGAAACGAGACGCACAACGAACAACGATAGAGGAACAATCGAAATAGGAAACGAATTTACATTTTTCGATAAGACTGGCAGCAGAACAAAGTAGAGGGGATAAGTTGTGGTGTGTCCATTGGACGGGAAGAAATACTGGATTTTTTTAATTGGACGGTGGACACGCAGGTGAGTGGGTTGATTGTTTTGTTTGGTAATAATTTAATGATAATTTGCTAATTTGTTTATTTTTGTTTTGTTTTTATAGCTCACATTCCACGAAATTATGAACAAGACTGAGGAAACGTGGCAGATTTAATGAAATCGTTTAATTTTAAGGACTGCTATATATTTGCGTGTTGCTGTGTAATATAATCGGTAAGAAGAAAGAAGAGAATCATTATAATTATGTCCAGTTTTTAATAAATTGTTATGTTTTTGGATACTTCAGGACGTCAAGATGAGTGCCATGCAAGAAGTTAAGAAAACTTGGGGGGACAAGTTCGGCGGTGAATTGCCTGCCTCCTCCTTCTGGGTGGAGGACGTTTTAGCAAATTTAGAAACGCACAAGGCTCGCATGGAAATGCTGAAACAGTCATTGAGAGAAGAGGAAGAATATGTGCGATTCTTGGAGAATTTGTTGGAAGAAATAACAGCAAAAACTGCTCACGGGAATGGCGAAGAGGCAACAGGGTCGGAAAAAGGGGCGGCTGGAAATGACTGTACAAGTCCGAAAAGCAATAATATTACTGAAGTGATTCAGGATACGCTTCAAAGAAGATATCAGGACAAGACGGGAGGAGGAGATAATAGCAAAACCAAGCCGTTTCTTCTCAAATCAAGTGACGAAAGAAAACGATCGTTATCCAAAGAAGATGGTACTTCTAGCGACTCGACAAGGACGGGAGGCAAAGCGTCATTGAAGAAAGCTGATGGACAAAGTGGCAAGACTGGGTCGTCGTCATTGTCATCATCATCTTCATCCAGCAATGCTACTTCTTCAGCTGCTGCTAATTCCTCACCAGATCCCAACAACGAAGAACACTTCGTCACGGTAATTGAAGTCAGTGGTGCCGACAAAAAATCTGGTGGGAACAAGGACACCACAGCCGCGGAAGAGTGTAATGGCAGCAGTCGGAGACCTGTGCCTCCGATTCCTCCACCAAAAAATATTAAACGTGGAAGTGTTTCCTCCGATTTGCCAACCCCACCTGCCAATCGATTGCCATTTACTTCGTTCGGCCATGGTGTTGATACGGCGAACAAACCGCACGAAATGATGGAGAGTCAACTCAGGTTCGTGGAGGACAAGGACTGCTTGGAATGGTTAGGCGAACGAAATGTAGTCTTCGATTCGAAGATTAACAAGCAGTCGTCATCTTCACGACGTGGTCAGCAGGTTGGAGGGAAGTCATCGGAAGGAAGTTCTCTGTCCAGCACCAGTAGCAATACCGTTCCACAACCACCTCCGACAAATGGTGCAGAGGAGAACGTGTTCTTGAAACCGGCAGTTAAGAAGAAGTTTGAAGGGAGTAAACTGCCCTTGCCACCGAAAGGTTCAAATATGTTACCTCGTAGAAAAAACGTCCCCTCCAGCTTGGATCTTACCCCATCGCCAAGTTCGGAACGAAAGAATGGAGCCAGATCCAAGATTTCCGACATGATCGGAAAATTGGAGGGAAACAATATGCTGCGTGGAGAAATGGGGTCAGAATTAACGCCAAGACGCTCATTCAGACTTTCTAGTCAGCAAAAACCTGTAAAGCATCGACCCACGATCGAGTCCGAAACCCATTTGGACGACTACATGGATCCTTTAGATGCACAAGGTTTAATTTCAGAAGACATTTACGATCTTCCCCCCAGTTCTCCAGCAAGTACGAAGAGCTTGGAGGTGGTGGCGACTAAACCTCAAAATCAACGCAACGCAGAACAACCACAAAAGCAAAAGCAGCAGCACCCACAGCAGTTAGAACTTGAGCCGATGTACGATACTGTTGCGCCAGATGACGACAACGAACAAAACGACGATGATTACGTCGTCCTTTTGGATGAAGAATGTAAGAGCGGTACTGAAGGTGCACGGCGAGGGGACAACGATTCTGGGGCAAAACAAAGAAAACGGCCGGTTGGGAAAGATGCTGGAGGAGTTGTTAAAGGAGACTCTGCAACGATTCGGTCGCAGACATCCGTCGTTTCTGGACATAGTATAGCCACCACGAGTTCGGGAACGACATCCGAGACCGAGGGCTACATGGAGAGTCCCGTTCCCAATGACTTTCTCAATCGTGAACGCACCCCGTCGACAAATTATGTCAATTTAGACTATTTCTTGTGGTATGAATATTCCGACGATTTGTTTCTAATTTTAACTGTATTGATAGTTGTTAAAATATTTGATTTGAATTTGTAGCAAAACCGGGAAGAACGAAGGGTACGTTTCTGAGTCTGAACCTGACTCGGAGACCGAGTCGATCCTTCATAGAGCAATGGCATATGAAAATGCTAGCGAGATGAATCTTAAAACAAACGGAAATAGTCTAGGTAACTGACCCATCATAGACTTGAAGGCTATTGAATTTTGTAAATTATATGTAATTTATTTACCTAATTGCACTATATTTTTGTCCTACAGGATGTGACGAAGCGTCGTCAAACGGAATGGAAGATGCATTGACCAAAGCAAACGCAGAAGCTCCAACTATGCGAGTCGCTGATCAAGTCAAATTGCGATCATTTCAATCTAGAATTTCAACAATAGCAGCCAGTGAGACGCAATACGTGGAAGTGCTTAATTTACTTCTCCAATACATGAAAGCCATGAAGGGAACATTTTCAACTTCTAAACCCGTCCTTTCCACTGATGACTTTAACATCATCTTCTACAAGATTCCTGAACTTCATTCGATGCACCAAAAATTCTTGGTTTCTCTACAAGACGAATCTTCCGTGTCAAAGTGGGAAGTGGGGAAACACTTTGAAAAACTGGTAATTTAGTTATCAATATGATTTATTGTGTAATAATAATGTTGCTATCATATTTTAATTTGTTTAAAATTCAACTATTTCTACAGGCCAAGGAGGTTGATATATACGGTTCTTTTCTTCAAAATTACTCCCGGGCAGTGGACACGGTGAAAAAGTGTAGTCAAAGTAATGCTGCATTTGCCGAAACAACCCGAGACATTAGGTCTCGCACATGTAATATCAATGCCGGCGTAACACTTGAGACACTCCTGCACAGCCCGGTCTCCAGAGTACAGAAAAACCTGGAAATTGTGACGGTATGTAAAATTGAAATATAAAATTGTGCAAGACAGACATAATTTTGTTCTGAAATTATGCAGGATCTGCTTAAACTTCTGCCTGAATCCCATCCTGACGTGTTGAGCCTGGAAAATGCTCAAAAACTGTTTCAGTCTTTCCTCACGGAATTTAAGATGATCCAGCCTGAACAATTGTCGGAAAAGAGTGCTCGCACTCTTGTGAAAAATTCGTTCATGGTAGAACTCCACGAGGGAACGAGGAAGCTAAGACATCTATTTTTATTTAATGATGTCTTGGTTTGCGCCAAGTATAAGGTATGTTATTCACGTACTTAGAAATTGATACAAATAAGAATATAACGAAATGTATAATTCGTGTTCAGGCTACTGGGAAACAGGAAAAGTTTACATACGAACTAAAGTGGCACATGCCCATCACGGACTGCATGGTTGTTGAAAATTCCGAGCAAAGGGATACCGCTTCAATTAATTTGGTCGCACTAAGATCAAGGGCGTCCAACGTTCGAGATCAAATTAAACGGCAATGCAGTCGTGATGATAAGGTATTGTAATCTGTAATTGATCCTAATTAATAACTAAGGAGTATTGTTCATCCGAATTTATTAATGATTAATTTAAGAAGCAAAAGGCTGAAAAGAACCGAAAAAAGTTGGCCGGGTTGGAAAGTCAATTGGTTTTAGCGTCCCCAAACCTCATCTTCAAAGTGAAAGCGGCGATAGGAAAATCCACGGGGACATTTTTTCTTTCTTCGGAATACGATAGATCCCAATGGATTGAGACCATCGAAACTCTAAAGGTATTTTAATTACTGATGTTTAAATTATTTTACGGCATTGACATTTTGAAAATAATTGATATTCTGTGATATTTCTACAGAGACAGTCGACTATCCTTCCAGCAACAGCTCCTTTAAGCTCGAATGAGCTGCAGCAATGGATTACACGCCATCGAAAAGATCTAAAAACCAATATGTATATGGGTTCGTACTTGCTACGCTCTGGACGAGATGAAAACATGCTCGTTGGAGATTTCTACATTCTCATTGGACAGTTGTCTGGAATTAAGCGGCCCGCAGGTAAGTGGTCGGTTAGGGTTGAGTGAGCATGGTTTTTATATATAAAATTATACCGTTATTTTGCAGATCTGTTCATCTGTTTGGAAGTAGACTCTTATGGTCATTACTTTCGAAAGGCAAAAACCAAAATGATCTGTGGCAGCAGTCAGCCAAGTTGGAACGAAGATTTTGTCATAGAGCTTGAGGGAGCTTTAAACTTAAGAGTTCTTCTCTATGAGGAGCACCCAACTCAGGGACAATTAACCCGTGGTGCTACGACCGTGGAGGTACACACATTACACTTTGATTTCTGAATTATACATGATCATTTCATTGTGCACTAATAAATTTCTTTTTTTAATTCAGTTGAACCGGTCCTGGATTCAGGGGTCTTTGACTAAAGCAATTGAGAAGACCATCAGCATGCAAGATTACACGCTCTCCGTCTCTACCCGGTTCACACCTTCAGAGATGACCATCAGACGTGTCCCGACGTCAAAAGCTGGAGCACTGTTTGGTGCAAAAATAACTCAAGTTTGCAAGTAAGTCGTTGATTCTTTCTTTTAGTTTCCGCTGTGACTAATTTAAATGACATTGATTTTCTTGATTAAATAATAGACGGGAGAAGCGTCAAGTTCCATTTATAATAACAAGTTGTGTAAAAGAAGTCGAAAGGCGTGGTATAAATGAGCAGGGCATATATCGAGTCAGTGGTTCTGTATCGGATGGGGTACGCTTAAAAAAGGCGTTTGAATCAAGTAAGTCTACATGTCTGTTAACTAAGCGTCCATTTGTAGTGAGTTGATACCTGATATGTTTTTATTTTTAATAGACTGCTATGAAGCGGAACAACTATTGAAGGAAGTTGACGTAAATTCAGTCGCATCTCTTCTTAAAACCTATTTGAGGGAACTACCAGAAGCCTTGTTTACCGATGATCTTTATCCAAAATTCTTTGACGCATTCAGTTTGGGTGATGACGAGATTAAGTCATCCGAACTAATGCAAATCTTTGATCAACTACCACCCTTAAACCAACACATTATTATGTACTTACTGGATCATATGACTAGGTATAATTCCACAATTACAGTTTCAGTCAATATATTTTATATGTAATGATTCACACCTATTTTATTGCTTTCCTCCTAATCCGTAGAATCAATCAGCATGAAAAACATAATAAGATGTCCATTAACAACCTTGCAACCGTTTTCGGTCCTACATTGCTTCGACCCGGAGGGAAATCTTCGGGAAACGCATCCATGGACCAGTTAGCAGCCGGGACTGCAAATTGTATTGCCCAAACAGGCATACTATACTTTTTCCTCTGGAAGCGAGCAAGTAATCAAGAACAAAGTCACCAAATGCCACCAAGCTACTTGGCAATGTAGCTGGTATTTACAATGAAAGACTCCCTTCTCACAGTAAAGTTATCACTTAACTTATCGGGTAGTACATCTCCAACCATATGGTCTTAATGCGTGTCCGTAAACTTTAAATATTTTGATCTAACTAGCCTAAGGTGCAATATGTACTAAATTTAATGTGTTCCTTGTTAGATACCATACTGCCAAGTATAATCTTTTTGTTAGTAGGAGAGTAACTTCTCAAATATTGCTTGTTAGCAGCTACGTCCAATGTTAAGTGTAAATTCTCCGCATTACCACCCACCACAAATTGTAAAGTATTTCCCATTGATCGTCACTTTCTCAGCATGCTGCTATATATCTTGCTACTAGTTCTCGTTAAGTTTGCTGACGAAAGTTTTTATTTACCTTATGCAACGAACTTTTAATGTAAACCTTTCAGTATCTGATGATTTCTTTTTTTATCTAACAAGTTTCGAAAATTTGTAACTCTTTTTAAAATAATGACTGATGATTGCCAACAAGAGGGGTGTGTTATTTGTATTCTCTCCTCCGCATGGGCGTGTCCAACAACCAACCAATTAACCAATAGTTATTTTAATACTTAACCAAGAACATAGCTCAGTTATGGTAAGGATGTAATGTTCACTGCTACTGATTGCAGCTGGAACCACGTTGTTTGATCGATGATCATCCAACTATTTTTAAACAAGATTTCTGGACCATGTTTTATATTTGCAAACTATTTTATATTTTATACGACAGTGACCGACTTTTAGCTACATATGTAACCATCCGCCCCGTTAACCATTGTCCTGCATGTTAATTGTTGTTTGTGTCCGTTAAAGCTATTTAGTTAGTTAGTTAGTTAGTGGTACTTATGAGGGATTGTTAGAAAATACGTAAAATTGATTGTTGCTATATATTAAATACTTCCTAGTCATTTCCTTCGAGTTGAATGTACAAATGTATAAATATTCCGTCGCATAGAAAGAAATCGAGTCAACTAGTTATAATTTATTATTCCAATAACAAAGGTTTTGTTTTTAGTACAGAATAAGTTTGTTGTTTCTTACATGTTTTATATTTAGAATATGTGAAAAGTTGTCCGCTGTAAACGCCGCATTTTAAAAATAAATAAATGGTAAACAAGATATTGTGAGGAATGTATGTAGATGTTGATTGATTATATTGGTCGTCATCCATCGAATTGCACTGTGTTAAGTTCGTTTCTGTTTCTTGGTAGGCTGCGATTTAGTAGTTTTTGCCTTGCTCCTTGACATGACGGCCCGATAAGTGCGCAGGGAACATATAAAGAGGCCAATGTTGACTAGGTACGTCGAAATACAGACGACACAAGCATCTTGAAGAACTATGAACAAAGCGTAGCCCAAATAAATGGACATGACTATGCCCGATATGCCCAGCACGAGTCCGCCCAGCGCTACGAGAGGATGTGGAATGATGCCTGGGTAGGAAGAAGGAAGAACAAATTTAGAAAACCAATTTGAAAAATTGTGTAACCATAGGACTCAATGGCTCATCGCCAAAATCGTTAAAATTAGCACATTTTTAATCATTTCTCGGCTCTGGGAATTTATTTTAAAATTCTGGATGACAAATTTGTACCAGGTCGTTCACAAGTTTTAGAAATATAGAAACAAAAATCCAAATTTTGAGTGTTTGAAGTTTAATAGCCTTAAGAAAAATTGTAACTCATTGAAACTGGCTTAAAAAACTCACCACCATTCTATTAACCATCTTACTGAATACAAATTTGTCGTTCACAAGTCTAAAATTAATTCCCAGAGCAGAGAAATGATAAAATTGTCTTCATCTTGATGATTTAGGTAACGAGTCATAGATAGTCCTATGTTAACTCATAACTAATATAATTATCACATACTCGTCACGAAAAATAAAGGATACATTATCAATCCGAATAAACCATTGGGCTGATTAAGGAACGAATCAGGTCCGAGTATTTTGCTGACGAGACCAAATCCCGTCCCGTATCTGCAATTCAAACACTATTAATCACGTCTATATTCAAAATTACTACAAATTATGTCCAAATTACTCTGAAGTGAAGACTAGCGAACAACTAATTCTCGCCGCGATGTCACACATGGCCGTGTACGAGGGGTCGTTCGCTTTCGAAATTTCGACATACAGCGCATACGCCGAAAGGGCGAAGCCCACCAGGGACAAGGCTCCGGTCGCACGGGCGTAACTTGACCCCATTATTTCTACCTTCTTGACCTATAATTAACAATAATTAACTAAAACTAGTCACAAATAAATAAATAAGAATGTAGCCCCCATACTTTTTCACTCACCATTGAAGAAGATCTATTCTATACTAACCCCACCCGTGCTGGAAGGAGTATTACCTCGCCATAATTGCTTGTCCAGTCCGATCCGGTACAGATGTCGTAATTTGTGAGAAAAAGAAATAATAGAACGAACAACAAGACGTGACTTTCCGTGTAAAGTAAACATTAATTCCGAGCAACCAGACCAGACCGTGGTTCCCACGAGTCCGTTTTATTTCAGCCCAGGGCAAAGTTGGACTCCGGCGAGGAAATTGAGAAATTGAGACGATCTGTGGCTTCGTCTCAATTTGCCTCGGGTGTAAATAATGTGAGACTATTTTTGTCATGTTGATGCAGAAATGTGAGGATTACTGTCTCAAAACCGTGGTGATTTTGGTGAGGATGATGATGATAAACGGAACGAGTGGCACGAGTCAATCCTGGTGCGGATGGTTTGTGGAAGTGGAAATGAAATGGAATGAAATATAAGTAAAAGTACTAGGGACAAGGTAATCGATCGGCTTATCAGGATTTCTTAAAAATCTATTATGAAAATTATGAAATTATAAAAACTTAAAATATTTCTAATATACGTGATGAAAAATATAAATAATGAGGCAATTCACTTTTTGACAAGTCTTTGGTAACCTAGTAAAATAAATTCGTAAATTCTGTGAACATGCAATACAAACTTTTACAAAATTTTGGAAATATTTTGAAGGAAAATTAAAATTAGGTTACAAATTTATGTAAACTTACTCAGATCAAGGGCAGCGTTTCTGTATTTTGTAAAAGTTTGTAAAATTATGGTATACAAAATGCACGGATTTTACAACTTACCAAGGATTGCGTGAATTTGATTTAATTAAAGTTGGTTAATTTTATGATAATACTTGTTCTTTATTGTCCCCACTCGTTTGCTCTGTTCATTATAAAGATTTAAAATATATTATTATGTGTATTGATCTACTATTGACAATCACAACAAGAACATCTTCTTTTCCCGTCATTCGCATCGTATCGCTGAAGCCTTGGCATTTTTGGCTATAAATGAAATTCATTTTTGGAAATAGTGAAAAATATATAATTTGACCTTAATTATATTTACTTAATTAATTATGTGTACATACATCGCTTCTCGGAGAACTCTCTTCTTCGCCGTCCTCTTGGAAAAGCCGTCGCCCTCGGATAGTTGACTGAGCCGTCTTCGGCTTAGACTTTGGCGTGACTTCGGAGGCTGGACGACTATCCTGAATGAAATGGAACAATTATCAAACAAATTAATTTTCAGTATGTAATTAAAATTAATGACAGAAATTTGTTTGTTGTGGAGAGGTTTTGTGATTGCATTGCAATTGCAAAACCCAGAGCAGGTCGTCTCCTGTACACTTACCATGTTGTTATTTAGTTCTTTTGATGGGTGAGGATTGAAGGTTATCTTTCTAAATCAAAGTGTGTTGATAATTAATTCGAATTAATTAACATAATCAGGAAGGTGCCAGAGTCTGAAGAATAATAGGCGGGCAGTAGGATGGTTGGCAGACGGCACGGCATCACCATGTCAAGAAGAGGCCAAGTGCGAAGGAAGAGTGAGAAAATCACAGACAAATCTGATACAGATTTTTAACATGTAAATCCAATCAGATTTTCAGCACGTAAAGATAAGAACTTATGGAATTTTGAAATTCTAAAATTAGTTGAGAAAATTACAGATAAAATCTGATACAGATTTTAAACATGATAATTCAATCAGATTTTCTGATAAGAACTTATGGAATTTTAAAATTCAAAAATCGATTGAGAAAATCGGAAAAAAAATCTGATACAGATTTGAAACATGTCAATTCATATCAGATTATCTGCACGTAAAAGAACTTATGGGATTTCAAAAATTCAAAAATCAGTATATCTAGAAATAGATTTCATCTTATCTTATCCACAAGTTTTTGTTCCTTAAACTTTGAAATACTTTTACAATATTTCTGCCTTCTGTACTTTACTTTCTGTCCCGTCGGGAACAATGTCTTTGTTCATATCGCATAATTGTTGTCGTACTCTCTCTCTCTGATTTCATTACACACATTTTCTGCCCAAACTTGTTGACTGGTCGTATTGTTTGTGGCCCTTTGTGGGGAACGAGCTGACGATAAGAAAGCCTGCCTGCCTCAAGTATTTTTATTCTTTATTGTGTCACCACTCCACCATTATTATTATTTTCCGTGGTTTGGTTTACTGTGTAGGAGTAAAAGTCATGTAAGTGTGGACAACTCCGTGAATGGTCATGTTGTCCAAAATATAAGTGGCAAAAATGTGAAAAATGGTAAATGAGCCTGAGGTCATCATCACATCTTTTGTCACTATTTTTACTTTCCCAAAAATCTCTCCTTCCTGAATGAACATAAATACTTGCCCGAAAAAAATGAACGAGACTGATTGTCCCCAACTGGTTTTAGTTCTTGTCAAGCAGGGGGTTTCGTTAGTGCCTCTGGATGTTTTCCTCCATCGGGAGGACTTGAAAAAGGGCAACTACTTACCAAAAAAAAAGAAAAAGAATTCAATTCCGCCACTATTTTATTATAGGTACGTACCCTTCTCTGGCTGTAAGTTAAGTGGGGACGCACGACCAGGATCATGATGATATGATGATGAACAATAATATATATCCGACTTTTACACTAAATTACCCCCTCGAACTTTGCCACACGGTGATCGGAGAGCCCTCAGCCACCACAAATCCTCACCATTTTTCTATCATGTGGGATTTCATGGGATAAAAACAATCAATTTTCATGCTGCCTTGATCCATCGAAGGGCTGGGTAAGGGTGCAGTCAGTCAGTAAGTCATTCACTCGTTGCGGCTTTTCAACAACCCGACCGAGCGAGGACCCCTTTTGTCCCCATGTTGTAAATCATCGAAGCCATTTCTCTCTGAGATGATGAAAGAATGGTCCCCTCTCATTTTCAAACAAGGGCCCCTTGCAGAGCCCGTAATCTCATTAGCATCTCGCCCAATCCGGCCCTCCGACCAGGACCAGACCAGTTTTATGGATGGATCTATGTTATGGATGGATTTGGGCTGGAGGAAGGGAACGACTATCTAGTTGTAGTCAATAGACAGACAGATATGCGATATTTTTAGCGACTAAAACGGACGGAAGGCTCAATTTGCAACGGGATATGTGTAATTATGGGATTATTTATTTATTTGTCATTTTCATAAATGATGGAAATGTGATGAAATAATTTGTGTATAGAGAGAATCGAAATTATGGACGTATTGACTTTTTTGGGATAATTATAAGACGGAGAAGTAATTAGGGAGTCACTGGGAACTTGTAAAATCTGGGCGTTTTGTAAGATAATTTTACAAGCTTATGTATGCCCTTGATTTGAGTAAGTTTACAAAAATTTGGGAGCTATGTAATTTTCCTTCTAAATATGAGTAAAATTTTGTAAAAGTTTGTAAGTTTAAGGATTTTATGGAGTTTACAATGTTACCAAGACCTCTGTGAATTGCTTTAATCAATAAAGCCAATCTAAAATATGGGTTTTAGGGATAACTATTCGACAAAGAAAATTTTATAACATTTCAAAAATTTGTGCGAAATGTAGGTTAAAAAAATTTGGCATAGTTTGGAAAACATTTGTATATGCGAATAGAAAATTGTATCAACGTTGACTAGTTCGACTTCATCGTGGTTTTTGCAGTATTTAAACTTGCGAGATTTACAGAATACAAATTACATAAAGACATCACCAATACTACTGTTTTCATGAAAATTTTCACGAAAAGCATGTAGATATTTAAACATCCTCAAAACTTTCCATTTTATTTCCCCAGCCCCAAAAAACAAACTTCAAAAATCACTTTAACTCTTGAGTAAATACATTTAACTTGCCTTCTTATTTTTAAAAGGGTGCAAAAATGCAGTGAAGTGAGGCTTACATATGACGAAGGGAATTTAAGGGAGGACAAGTCAACCACCATTATTAATAAACCACTAAAGAGAGACAGAGTTTAGCAGAGTGGATGGATGAATCCGAATTTACTGGTACTTTTGGCTCATTCAAAAAGTTGAAGTGGTTCCATTCCTCCGTTGTCGTCAACACTTGAATTGGAATTTCTTTCACTTTTCTACTCACGGACAACAAAAGGCTGCTTGACTTTTGTATGGATGGATATTGGATAAATTGGATAAGTTCCCATTCATCCGGCAACCACCACCACGGCCACGACTTCCTTTTTTATACATGTCCCTTCCTCCCTTCCTTTCTTGGAGGCATCATTATTGGGAAAATGGTCAAAAAGAACAACACGCAGAGGTGCAGATTAATTCATTCATTGCGAGTAAAAAGGTGTATGCATTATGGGTTTGAGGAGGAGGAATCTCGTCTCATCGCTCAAACTTGGTGACATTTTGAATTCGACGAGTTTAACGACAAATTTTTCAATATTTTGAAAAATTCCCATTATTAGAGATAAGTGGGTTCTGAATAAGAAGATGAATCGGTGAAGGAGAGTCACACCCACAGAATGTGTAATGCACGGAATGGCATGTGTGGTCAGGAGTAGCGTTATTAATATCTTCGATTATTGTGACCAGAAACCAGTTGATTGTGTTCAAGTGGTTTTTGGTCACAATTGATGAAATGAATTGAAGAAAGATGAGACGCTATTAATAAAATATTTAACAATGATAATGTTGTTGGGAAGAATACATGTATTGTAATTTGTATGCATGCTGAGCTGAACACACATTTTACATACGTACTGGTGGCTCGTTTTACATATGCGTGAGTTGTGTCGGGTATTTCGAATTTTTTATTATATTTGTGTACTTAAGAAAATTTAGGATAAAATAAATAAATACCAGAATTTGTAAAGAAGTCGAGTTTTGTATTGGATTTTTACATCATGTGTAATAAGTAAATATTTTGTATTAAGTTGCATATTTATTGTTTAAATGTTCACAAAAATCTATTTGATACTTGAAAAATAACTGCATCAAGTTTATGCAACTCGACCCATGCAAAATTGTAGATAGTTTGTTTATTCGTATTCTGTCGACTCGAAACATGCAGATTCTTTCTGAAGCAAAATGTATGAATTTTCAATAGATTTCCATACGAAAAATGAATGAGAGCTTTACATGCATAATTCTTGATTTATCACATTCAAAATTTAATGGTACTTTTGAAAATGAAGTAAAAAAAATCGCTAAAAATAGTGTTCATCCCACTAAATAAATTTAACTTGTTTCATCTTCTCCACTAATTATTATTGCCTGGTTTTTCCACACGTGTCGATAGTTTAACCTTCTTCCTGCATATTAATGAATAGCCGGAATATTAGAGTGGGATCAATTACACACATATGTATGTTTATCATATCATATCACGACTTATGTAGGATTGGACATTTATTTGTGGTTCGGCTTACGCTTATTGAAAGGGAACCCATAAAAGTTGACACTACACATATCCGACTCTGCCACTTGAAGTCCTCATCTCATCACGGATATGATTTCAAGTGGCCCAAACAGTGGCCGCGGAACAGGACAGAGGGACAATGTCCCCACTGACGTCGGCATCATCTCCCCATCTTATACAAACCCGTCCTTCCCCCCTATCCTGCAATGCTAATGTCCCCACAGCTTCCGCGGCCACTGGTCCTCAGGATAACGTGTTGGGTCCTCTCTCTCCTGACAGTGGCCGCGGAAGCGTGAGGACAGAGGGACAACGTCCTCACGGTTATTCGATGTCCGCATCATCTCCCCATCTTATAGATACAAACCCTGCTCCCCCTATCCTACAATACAAATGTCCCCACAGCCTCCGCGGCCACTGAGCCCCAAAAAGTCACCCTGTCTGGTCGTCCAAGTGATTTACTTTAACCCACATCCCGTGCCTAGTACCCACAGATAATTGTGCGCCCTTTTCACGTCCCCTTTCCAGCCCTCGTCGTGGTTCCTCATCCTTCCTTCTCCATGCCCTTCTGCTGACATGGAGTGAAACCTGAAACGAAGTCAAGGGCCTCCTCTCAAGCCCTTTGTCATCACGAGGAGTAAACATACAAGGGTCTCGTTAACACAAGTCCACTAATACTCGGACCAAGTCCTACTCACTCATTCAGTCCGACTTTTGCCTCAGCCCTTGGAGCTAATCCTCTTATCGGATTACCTCCATTCACTTAATCCCCCACACAAACCAGCTCCGTCTCAAGTTACATACGTACATAAACTGTCGCAATAATCGTAAAGTAATCACCATTATTTACGAATGGTGAAGTGTCAACGGATAATAATAATAATAATAATTGAGACAAGGCTTGTTATTAGTACTTTTTTGGAAAAATGACGCTACTTTCGAGTAAATTGTTTCGCCCGTGGGACTTGCCCCAGCAGGAGGATGGTGTTGTTGAGGGGAAGGATGAGAAAAGTACTTCGTCACCTGAGACGAGAAATGTGTTCGTGGATGAAAGTGAGGTGAAGAAGAAGCGAAGAAAGTGCAGTGATGATGATAACCGAAGTGGTGGTGGTGATAAGAATGTGTGTTCACCACGATCTGTGATACTGAGTGAGGAGGAGGCCATGCTGGGGGGACGAGGATCTTGTCGGGGTGGGAGTGACTGTGACCCTTGGTTGTTGGATTGCTCTTCGTCGTCTGGGGGAGGTGGTGGAGGACGTCTCCTGTGTCCGGAATCCTGCTCGTCGCAATCGCCCCCAACCACCCCCGGACTTTTCCTGCATCCTTCAGCAATCAGTGATTTGGCGAATTTGTCGCGCCACGAACTCACCGCGATGGGACTGCTCCCCAGGGACGCGGCGTCCCACAAGGTCAAGAGGCAAAGGCCGAAACGCTTCCATTGTCCGCATTGCCAGGTCGCGTTCTCAAATAATGGGCAGCTGAGAGGTCATATACGAATTCATACGGGTGAGTGGAGTGAATTTAGCATATTTTGGGGGGGGGTCTTTATGAAATTCGCATATTTTGGCAGCCAGGGTCTTTATGAAATTCGCATATTTTGGCAGCCAGGGTCTTTATGAAATTCGCATATTTTGGCAGCCAGGGTCTTTATGAAATTCGCATATTTTGGCAGCCAGGGTTTTTATGAAATTCGCATATTTTGGCAGTGTTTTTATGAAATTCTTATTTTAGGCGAACGTCCCTTCTCCTGCGAGCATGACGGGTGTGGGAAAAGTTTTACGAGAAATGAAGAACTCACGCGACACAGGAGGATTCATTCCGGTAAGAATAATAATTAGTGACAGTTAACGACTCTGGTTTAATCATGATAAGAATAATAATTAGTTATCGAAAACTGTGAAAATTTTCGACTATGATTTAATTATGGCGGATCGTCGTCGTCATCGTCATCACGATCCTAAAACTGAAAAGAATGGAGTGTACTTAATATTTTTTTGTGGTGGTTTACAGGCCTGCGACCCTTTCCGTGCAGCTACTGTGGGAAGAAGTTTGGGAGGAAGGACCACTTGAAGAAGCACACGAGGACGCACCAGCGCCCCATGTTCTCGGGCGGGATGATTGGCTATGGGAACCCTTTCCATCCATTCAACCCTCCTCTGGGTGCGGCCGACTTTCCGGCATCGCAGGGCTCCTATGGCCTCCCCTCCTTCGTGCTCAATATCCCTCCACCCTTCCACTTCTCGTGAGGAGCAGCCCTCCCTCCATGATCCAGCACCCTTCGTACCGTATAAAGTAGATCTGTACACACCTCATGTAAAGTATTTTGTACATAGGAGAAGATCCTTAATCAGTTCGGTTTTTGTAATGAATAAAGAGAAGTTTTTGAAGAAGACTCATTTTTTCAGAGAGTTGCAGATTTATTTGGGATTTGGTACTTAATTGACTGCATATTCTTCTGGACACACTCTGCGCATATGTACACATATGCACTTATGTATGTACACACATTTTTATAAATGGTTAAGTAGATTGCATCTTTGCATTTAAAAAAGTTAAGATAAATTAAATGACAAGTTTTTAAATCAGAAGACTCCTTTTTTTAGAGGGTTTTGCATTGCATATTTATGTTAAATTTGATATTTATTTATTGCATTTTTAATTGACTCCATATTCTTATGAAGACACTGTGCATGCAAGTTTTTTTAATCAGACTCCTTTTTTCGGAAGGTTTTGCATCCACATTTATTTGAAATTATTTGATATTTATTGGATTTTTAGTTGACTGCATATTCTTACTGCATTCGTTAAATTACATCTTTTTGCATAGAAAAAGTCTTTGTGGAAGATTTTACCAGCGAGGTTTCATATTAAGAGATTGAATGCAATTTTGGCACGTATATGTATGTGAAATCAGTGTACTCCTTTTATCGGAGGGGTTTGCATTGCACATTTATCAGAAACTTGGTGTAGTATTTATGCATTTATTGCATTTTTAATCGCCTTCTCATTCTTATGTATGTACACACTACATTTTTATAGATGGTTGGATTGCATCTTTTGCATTGAAAAAAATTTATAGGTGCACAATTTTACCAGCGAGGTTTCATATTAGATATGCGTTTCATATACTGGTAATTTTGGCACGTATGAGAAATCATCGTACAAATATACACACGTGACGTTATTGTAATCAATATCACACCAAATCTATGCATGTTTGTCATTTGGTGAAGGACCGGATTCTAACGATGTCTCATGGCCAACTAGTTATGAATAATATTAGCCGAGATCATTTCCAGCCAACCTAATACATACAATCAATCGAACTCTATGCATATGACAACGAACAAGGTTTTACATACTAGCATTGTTTGTTTGAGTTCATCCTATTTCGAAAAACATGCATGTCATCCCGTTTGCCTTTTTTTCATACAACCGTCCTCCTGCTTATCCAATCCAATCCACTGGTGACAGATGAGCCGAATACATAAATACATACCCAAATCCAACATGAAAAACGAACCACTCGAAAAGCAGCCTAACAAATGAAGAGAGCTTCAGAAAAAAAAGAATCAACGACAAATTTATCCCGTTTGTTGGGAAAGTGCGATTTTCACGGTTAAATCGCGCCTTCATCAACATTTACAACCCTACACCCTCTCCAAATGAATGACATGACATTACACGACCACGGCCAAACATATACACATTTTCATTTACATGACCACGCCAACATCGGTCGGTACAAGTTCAAAGCACACATTTTTGCCTAGAACACCACAAAACAAGACTACTTTAAGGTGTAACTTATTATCACAATTGTTATCCAATCTGCTGCTCCCGATGAAATATGAAACCAAACCAATGTCAAAAAGTTACTTTTTCTCAAGTGGTCTGGTCTCTGGTCGCACATTATTAAATGAAAACGATTCACCCGAGGAGACAATGCCCAACCAGCGTCGGTTTGACTTTGAGGTCCTCGCGCAATAAAAGATATCGACTTCTCTCTCGCACCACTTGATCTCTTTGGAATTGGAAGATGGAAATTTGGAGCACTCCTTGAAAAGCGCCCCTTTTTGCGGCAAGTCCCAAGTTCTCCTCCCACTCTTGACTTCACCACAAAAGTGACAAGGTAACAAGGAAGGTGACATGTCGGTCGGTCGGATTAGCACCCACGAACCCATCTCGAGAACAAGATTTTTATTCAATGAGCCCCATTGTGTGTGTGCTTCACTTAACTTGTGTATGTGTCTCATTGTTATCATCTCTCAGCCGACAACGAAACAGACGGACCGACACACATTTTGGTCTTGTACTCATAAGTAATGTAATAATATAATCTTTTCAGTAGCCCCTCTCGACACGAGGACAATGGAGGTACACGAAATTTGAGAAGACTTAAAGTTTAGTTGTTGAATAAATGGGTTTCATTTATTGAAAGGAGAAAAGTCAAAAGTTGGGTCCAGAGAAGGAATTGATCCATTCTCATTTGTCAGTCACACTTCACACCTTGGAGACGACGGTGACTTAATCAATTACGGACTTATCATTGAAAAACCTACAGTACTTAACGTTGCTAAATGGGTAAATGAGATTATGGATTGATTGATCGGAGGATACGATATACATACTTTGACATTCGATTTTGGCTAAACGTATTTGTGTTATGGACATATTTCGGGCAAAATATGGATTTTAGTCGTTGGTGGCCTGGCCTGGTGTTGGTGTACACCCAACATTTTCAATTTTGATTCGGATGTCGAACTTTAATTGTGAAATTATGTATGTATGGATTCGATCCGGACTGATTTCGTTGGTGGTCTGGTGTGGTCTTCTATTCAGTGAGGGCAGAAATTGGATGTATGTACATTTGTAAGTACAACGATGGTCTCATAGTAAAGAAGACTTTACTATTTAACGTTTAAACGGTAGGTTTTCTCCATTCACAAAAAAAACGGATGAGTGTATGGAATTGTAGAATCTGAGAATGTGTGACCTTCCTCAATGAAAAACGGGTGTATGTATGTATGTAATTTGAATTGAATAAGGTACCTTGATCAAGATAAGGGCTACTTGTACATATATCTGCATTGATACTTTTTTTAGCGTGGTCAAGATTTCTAGAGAAAAAAGAGTAGATTAAAAAAAATACATACTCTGCACACACTTCTTTTTTTCTTGACGCAACTTTTTTTTGAAAAGGGCAAAGAAAACTGGGAAATGATATCCCGATTTGTGGTGGTCTGGTCTTCTGCCCCCTGAATACAATCCCACACCTCGAAAAGAAGAAGAAGAAGAAGAAGATGTGTAGAATAAATCTGGTAATCCGATCGAGAGACAGAATTGGTCGTCGTGGAGTGTTGTTTGTTCGCACAATGGAGTTGAAGACATGACAGAAATATGAGGTCTTTTGATATATTTTTGGTATCAGTTTTCCCATTTGAATGAATGCCTGCCTGAATAGGGAAGAAGACACAATGTGTATAATCCATCCGTCGGATTGACTCCATTGAAGCAGTCTGTTCAGTTTGTACTAATGTGCGTTATTAGTCGCAGTAGGTGTCCTCCTGTTTGGTGTGACTTCTTCCCATTGTTGGCAGTCAGATATGCAGTGTGTATATTTATGTACGAAGGGGACGACGACGACAGTTATGTAGGACAGATAACCAATTTTCGTTGGGTGGTCTGGTCTGGTCTGGTTTGGATGAACAGTAGCGAAAAAGTTTAAGAGGCAACAATTAAAGGTTCGGTAAATGGATTGGATTGGATGGAAAGATGTGTGTGTGTTTGGTTGGTCTTGTGGTTTTGTGCATAAATAATAATAAACTTGACACGTATTATGGAGTGAAGTTTATAAGAGGCATAAATCTACACGGATGTATTGGATTGGATGGAATTTAATGCGATATCTTGAGAAGAAATGAAATAAAATGAGATACATACATAAATAAGTCATCCCTTTAGGTTTTCAGGATAATAGATAAGAGTCGATTTATACATATATGCACATAATTTGGCCAGATTTCAGTTTTGTTATAGCTTTAATATATTAATGCAGTGGTGGAAATGGAACCAATGCAAAGAGGTGTGCATACTAATAATGATAATAATGTGTCAGCAGTTTTAAGTGTCAACCTCGACCCCTGATATGATCTATGACTTGCTTGCTTTTGTTTGTAGAAATCACAGATTTTGACGCTTAGACGAGTGTACGAAAGGTGAAGGAGGGTTTTGCTACATGGCCCAATTTATGTCCGACATACCCACTCAAATTTGTTGTATTTATGTAAACCATTGCCAAAAAATGCAATTTTGATCTGATTTTGCATTTTATTGATCGTATCTTGTCATATTATCAAATACGATTTTCAAGTTTAAAGGTAGATTACGTAAATTATAAAGTGTAACTTACAGTTAATAATGCATCATGAAATTAAAATCAATTGTAGCTAGTCTTTTCATTTGGCATAGTAAAGGTCAGCAATTAAAAATTACAAGTTGTAAATATGTATGAAATATGGATTAAATAAAGTAAAATATGTTGAATATGTACATTAAATGTGCGGCTTAATTAAATGACTTACATACATTATATTTTGAAATAATGTGAATAAAACTATATGTACATGAAATATTTTTCAGTATTCCTAGATTTTTTTAAAAATATGTTTGTACATAGCTCACAACTAATTATTTTGAAGTCATCTTCTACTAGACGAAGTCAAGATCCTTTTAATGCGGCCCTTTCCAAAATACCTTTCCTACCTTTTTTTCCACGAGCAAGTTAACATTATACATTACATTTTGAGAGAGAATCTGAGAAAGGCGATTTGGCAAGACTTTGCTACAGTAGACGTTTCAATTTGGCCGGAAATCATGCCTTACTTATCTTTGGATCTTAAAACATAAATTGGTTAAAAATAAAGGCCTTAAAATTCATATTTTAACATTTTCTTCATTAAAAATACATATTTCCATGATTAGAATGAATGCAGACATATCTGCCTTAGGCGCCGTCCATAAATTACGTAACGCAAGAGGGGGGAGGGGGGGTCTAAGGCTCCAATGATATCGTGCCTATGTTACACATGTTAAAGGGGGGGAGGGGGGGTCTAGAAAATCGCGATTTTTGCGTTACGTAATTTATGGACGGCCCCTTATACTTATTAAGCAAATCGTGCAGTCCTTTTTAACTTTGTAAAATCCGTAAATTTTGTAAAATAAAATAAGACAAATAAAAAGATGCCCTTAATTTGAGTAAGTTTACAAAAAATTGGAAGCTAATTTTGCTTCGAGAAATATGAGTGAAATTTTATAAAAGTTTATAAGTTTACGGATTTTACGGATTATACAAAGTTACGAAGGACTGCATGAATTGTCTCATCCATTGTTTTCACTTTCCTCAATCGACTAAAAGTGGAAAACATGACCCTTTCAAGATATGAGTAAAAGTTTGTAAAAACTTTGTAAGTTTACGGATTTTACAAAGGTACCAAGACCTGCGTGAATTGACTCATTATGTAGTTTCTCACTTTCCTCAATCGACTAAAAGTGAAAAATATGCGACTTTCAGAGTATCGCAGTGAGGTTTATTTTTCTTTCGAACTATTCGAAAATTTCGTAAAAGTTTACAACTTTACATATCTTACAGATTTTACAAAATTACGAACGATTGCGTGAATTGCACATCTACTGTGTCTGACTATTCTCATGTCTAAAAGTAGAAAACATTCAATAAGATATGAGTAAAATTTTGTAAGTTTACGAATCCTACGGATTCTACAAAGTTACCAAAACCTACGTGAATTGTTTCCTTATTCAATTTCACACTTTCCTCAATTCCCTAAAAATTAAAAACCTGAGACTTTCAAGAGTTTTCCAAAATCTGCCTGATTTCCATTCCAGCCCTCAATTTATTTCCGCTTCGTGCTCGCCATCTTCACGCGAAAGAGGTGAACCACCCAAAAAAGCAGCGGCAGTTGATCAATCGTTTGAGTAGAACGGAGAAACTGGGATTTTGCATTCACTTCTTCACATAATAAATTTCAACACAAAAACTTTATCGTCGTCACTTCCATACAAAAAACCCAGTGATTTTTAAATTTTAGTACAGTTAACTAACCTTTTTCGAACTATCGATATTGCTACACACAAAACTACCACACAGGAGACGGGGGTGCGAGAGGAAGAGAATTTTTGGTAGGAAAACAACGCCAATTTTTCCACCAGAAGAAGAGGAAAAATAAATTTGTTTTCATTGTTTTTTTTAGGAAAAGGGGGACGCGATTTTGTGGATGATGAACACAAATTCGCAACCGACTTCGTCATCTTCGGATACCAACCCGGGGTCCGCGTCAACCCCGACGACCACGACATCCACCCCCATCACTGTGTACACTCGGTGCGGCCCCTCCGCCCCAAGAATTCGGTACAAACGCCCCCATGCCCTTATCTGCAACGGGAAAACGGAAACCTGGGGGAAAGCCATGTCCGAGTATAATTGTCCTATTTGTATCGGTGTGCTGAAAGAAGCAGCCATCACGCGGTGTGGGCACACCTTCTGTTTGGAATGTATAAAACGGTCCCTCGACGTGAAACCGATCTGTCCCCAGTGCGGAACGGCGGAACAGGCAGAAAACATTGTCCCCAACTATGTCGCGGATCAACTCGTAATCAAGTACTTGTCTACACAAAAGAATGCTAAGACTGATATATTAGAAATGGCCAAGTTAAATGATAGCAGCCCGTCGGAAATACTGCAAAATATGAACGTCAACAAGTTGAATTTGAACAATATTGAGAATTTGATAATGATCTTGCAACGGAAGAGGGATGTTCTCTCGGCCGAGTCGCGAGTTCATGAACGTACCTTGCTGCTGGAATTTTTGGGGGAGTTGCTCAAAGTGAAGAAGGCGGAGAAGGACAGGTTGGAAAAGGAGGTGCATTTGATTGAGCAAGACTTAACACAGGTTACTTCGCGTCCTTACAATGCCGTGAAAGGGGGAGGAGGGAATGTTCTTCACAACGATTCGGAATCTGGGGATGAAGGGATTGCGATGAGTTGTTCGAGTTCGGATATTGAAGGATTTAATACGCAAGTCTTGTCGTGTGAAGAATTGAAAGAAAAATCCATGTCGGCCCGGAGGAAGAGGATGCATTCACATTTTGATGAGTTGATTAATATTTACATGGATTCGAGAAAAGTGGATCTTCACGATGTCCGAAGTAACGACGCCACTGTTCCTAATGACTCGGGAGAGTCGTTCGATTACGAAGATTTGGACCGGTTTGGGTCAACATTGTCCAGTATTTCACGCTACAGTGCGTTGAAGCCTTTAGCCACGTTGTCTTACAGTGCAGATTTACTAACCAATAATAACATCGTGTCCAGCATTGAGTTTGATAAAGACAGTGAATTCTTCGCCATTGCTGGGGTCACGAAAAAGATTAAGTTGTTCGAGTACGCGACCGTGATTGGGAGTGCGGTTGATATTCATTGTCCGAATGCAGAGTTGCTCTGCAACGCCAAGATTAGCTGTGTCGCCTGGAGCGGATATTATAAAAATCGGTTAGGAAGTTCGGACTATGATGGTTGTGTTACTATTTGGGATGCTTCGACTACGCAGAAAATTCAGTAAGGGGATATATAATTACAGTCATTAATTAATTGGTTAATTAAATCCAAACATTTCATAGTTTTGCTAATAAAATAACACTTGTGGTTTTAATTTCTTTCTTTAGAACTTTGGCCGAGCACGAGAAGCGAGTCTGGAGCGTGGACTGGAGCAACGGTGACCCTCGCCTTTTCGCATCTGGATCCGACGACTCCAAAGTCAAACTCTGGACGACCATTACGAATCAATCAGTTGCCACTATTGAAGCAAAAGCTAACGTGTGCTGTGTTAAGTTTTGTCCACAAAACAGTTTCATCGTCGCCTTTGGATGTGCGGATCATTGCATTCACTACTACGATTTCCGCCATGCTCGCCAACCCCTCGCAACCCTGACTGGACATAAGAAGGCTGTCAGCTATGTGAAGTTTGCATCAAAGGATGAGCTCGTTTCTGCCTCGACGGATAGCAATTTGAAGCTGTGGAACTTGCAGTCTGCCTCGACTGAGTGTGTACGGTCTTTCACTGGACATATCAATGAGAAGAATTTCGTGGGTCTGGGCACCGACGGAAATTATATCGCGTGTGGATCGGAAAACAATTCTTTATATATTTACTACCGCGACATTTCCCGTCCCTTGTTGCATTTTAAGTTTGATAATCATCGAAACATGCTGGATAAGCCGAAGGTGGACGATGCTGGAGAGTTTGTGTCGGCCGTGGTGTGGAAAAAGGGGTCTCCAGTCATCGTCGCGGCGAATAGCCAGGGTTCAATCAAAATTTTGGAGTTGACGTAAAAATTCTGTTATACGCCACGTCTATATGTTTGTCAAGTTATTTAAAAAATGATCATAGTCAAAATTCTGTGTGTAATTTTAGTTAAGCAGTATATACATATTCTTTTCGTCAAATTTTGTCAGTTGACGCTGAAATTGTTCAAATATTTAAGTATGCCAAACTGTCAACTGTGTCCAAATTCTTGTGTGAAAAATATTCCTGAGTCGAATGTCTTAAATTGAAATGTTAAATCTTGTTTATAAAAAATGAACAAATGATGTTATAATTTGTTTAATTAATTAATTAATTAACTATTATGAAAACTTATCATGTTGATAACACCCTATCAATTAATCAATGATTACAATTGATTTATAATGATTTCCATTCAACTATCCATTCTATTAGTACCTTCCTTACCGGAAATGGTTGTTCTGACGGTGTAACTAATAATGAAGGTCTCTCAACGTATGCTCTTAGATTTTGAGGAAACTAGTGTCAATCGATGACAAATTTAATTAGTATGAAATTTGTAACAGACGCAATCTCCCAATGAACAAATTTTGTAGAGATAATTTTAGGAAACTTAAGATAACAAATTTTACACTCCAAATTTATTGTGCCTCTTTTCTCCTCTTGGGATGCAAATATCTCTGCCAAACGTGCCCATTGGGAGATCGTGTCTTTCGCAAATTTCATACTAACCAAATTTGTCATCGATTGAGACTAATTTGCCCAAAATCTGAGAGCATACGTTGGGAGATCTCCATTGTAAGATTAATGAGTACGAGAGACGAGGGAGTAGTAACTTGTTTACTAAGATATTACTAGTGTCTAATAATTATTACTATATTATGTCCCATTACGAATGTATCATCCTTGCTCCGATGTAAGCCTTCCTTCATATTATGAATATTTCTTTTTTTATGAAATGCCTTAATTTCCGAGTCGGAGTTGTTTTGACACCAAAAGTGAGAAATGATAAGTGTAACTTATGCAAAACACAATAATGAACATCACAAGACAATAATATTTATATATTAGAAATCAAACCATGTTTTATTGGCGTATCTATTTGTAATTATTACGATGTCTCATCTATATTTACTTGAGAATTTCATGATCAAAGGTGAACATTGCGTACGCCTTGTCCATCCCAGAACCCATAATTTGTCCCAAAATGTTGACATAGTTGGACATGTGCTTAATTCGTAGAACGGTGATGGCGTTGAGGCGTTCGGCGAGGAAATCGGCGAACTGAAGAGGAAAAATTTGATTAGTTGGTGTAATTTTGAATTTGAATTATTATGATAACTTGTGTACCTCTGCATCTCTGGGAAGGTTTTGCATCTCTTTGGGCACGTGGTTGGAATTGTAGGCCAAGTGGAGCGTTTGCAGAGCCATTTCCTTTTCTAAGTCTAACGCCCAGGCTAAAGATTCCACCTCGTTTTGCCGGTTTTCGAAATTTTTAGGGAGCTGGAAGGATTTGCATGCATGCATATTTAACTTTTATTGATATGTTTAACGTAGGACTGGATAACTCATGGCAAAAATCAGACATTTTTAATTGGCTCTGGGAGTTTATTCTAAGATTCTGGACGATTTCAAGATTAAAAAGCCTTCAGAAAAACTGGAACTAATCGAAAATCGAAACTGGCTTAAAAAACTCAACGCCATTCCATTAAGCAACTTACTGACTAGAAATTTAAAATTTCCCAAAAATCATTAAAAATGTGCTTATTTTGGTGATGGGTGACATTAACTAATTATGCAATTTTTTGGGGGCTACCTCCAACTTGAAGTTATCATCCAATCGACCCCCACGCTTGAGCATGTGGGTCATAATGTCAATGGCGGAGTTCCACTCTTCATCGGCAAGTTTGGAGAAAAACGCGTGGAACCCGGGCCTGTTGACGTTCCATTCGTTGAAGTAGTTGGCCTACGAAGATGACATTAAGATTACGTGATAACTTATCAGTTTTTACGGAAATTATGAAATATTTAAACGTTTTTATGTTTATCCTTACGGTGAGCAGGTATTGCATCGAGTGCTTAATATGCAGAGCGATCAGACGATTCGTATCATTTCCGAGACGGGGGAACGCTCCCCACTCAGCAGTACAGGATGCGGCGTCGTAAGCTTTTTTTAAAAAAATGGTTGCAATTTCATAAAAACTCCGGAATTTGATCAAACTCACCAGAAAACTCTTCCGTCCCACAGCTCGCATGGATCGTGTCGTAACACGGCGTCGCAGCCAGAGTGGATGGTGCCCACCACACGAGACAAAGACCGACCAAGGCGTAAAACTTCATTTTTTTAGTGTTTATTTCTGAAAATTAGAAAATTATGACAGGTTTTTTAGAGAGGAACACATGCAAGTAAGCTGAGACTATTTCCTTAAAAGTTTACCCTAACGTATGTATTAATGGCAAGCAATGTGATCTGTCCAATTCCTCCCGTTGTTTAATATCTGCTGGTTATAGATTGTGTACTTGACGAGTAAAAAAGCTGACTCTTCTTGTCATCCAGCGTGTGTGAGGAGAGACGAAAGTAAATTTATTGTCGAGTCAATTCAATCCAATTCTCAAGTGGAATTATTGGTGGATGGATGGACAAACTGAGTGTGATGATAAGAAGACTCTGCTTACGAAGTCCATAAAAACAAACTGTGTCTGCAGAGTAAAATGAAATAAAGGATGCCTCATCACCCATCCGAACAAATAGCAGCTTTATGCTTCATGGTGTTTATCATCTCTCGTGTCATGTCAAGTCAGCAAATTGATTTCACCACGAAGAACAAACACCACTCGGATCAATCGTGCCTATTGTCATGTAACCTTTTTGGATTGGGATAACATAACAACTTCTCCACAAAAATATCGTCCATATCCATTTTTTAGAGGGTATTAATTTTAGTTGGACTTGTGTACGTATTTGGCGAGGAAGAGGAGAGAAGAGTTGGGTGAATATACATAATTTTTTCAATTGGACACTTTCCTGATTACAGGCTGGATCATTTGTCCGTATAATCAGTCAGATTCAAAGGTCAATTTATGTGCAATCAAGAGTGGTCTTGTGGACGTTTATATATTGTCCTCGCTTTATGAATTGGTGACACGTACGTAGGTAGCTTAGGTAAGTATGAACATAAGTGGTTAGATGTGGAGATCGATTGTGTTCAAGTAGCAGATTCGTTTCGTCGTGACACTTATTCATTACAGTTGCAGTTATCTTGCATAGACGGCAGAACAGGAGAGAACAGATAAGCAGTTACCAGTCACCTGAACAATAAGTGGCAGGAGTTGTTTTGTAAGTCTGCATTGCACATAAACTACATGGACGCGTGATTAATACCGTTTTTAACTGAAGTCATTGCAGTATCGTGACGAGTCATATCAGGATTGAGAAGAACTTTTTTTCATAAGACTTAAGATTATTTAGAAGAGGAAATAACCAAGATGAAATTTTTAGTTGCGTTTGTCGTCCTCATTTCCTGCGTGGAATGGTCGGTTCAGTCCAATTATTGTAAGTTCATAAAAAAATATGAATACATAATTTTGTACGAATTGATCTCAATTTGTGCCAATTTCACTAGGCGAGGTCGGAGTGGGACTCTCCTCGGAAAAATCGACCTGGCAAGACATGGAGGACAATTGTTATAAAAGTGTCGTGGATCAGATTCATCGTGAATTGAATGCTTCGATGACTTATCTTTCGATGGTAATTAAGTAAATAGAGATGTGGAACTTATGGATGAAATAAATTCTAATGTGTGCTTTAAGGGGGCTCATTTCACGACGGACCGTCACTACCGTCCCGGTGTGGCGACGTTCTTCTTGGAGGGTGCTAACGAGGAACGGTCTCATGCCAAGGCCCTCATGGACTACATTCTCATGCGAGGTCTCTCCGTCAAGAGCAGTGCGATCCCTCCACTCGTGAGTGAGCTACATTACTTTAGCTAAAAAATACATTTAAATATGCAAAGTATTGTCATCCTTGTCGAAACAGATTCCCAAATTGAGATGGGACTCCATCGAGCAAGCCCTCTCCGTCGCGATGGACATTGAGAGAAGCGTCCGACAAAACTTTGTTGATATTATTCGCGTCTGCGAAGGAAGTGACAATGTTCGACCAACGGCTAATAATGATTATCATGTAAGTTTAATATTTTACATACGTTCAGTCACCGCGGAAGCTTGATGGGACAGAGGGACAATGTCCCCACGGTTGCTCGATGTCCGTATCATCTGTCCATCTTATATAAACCCGTCCCTCCCCCTTTTCCTACAATGTTAACGTCCCCACATGTCCCCACAGCTTCTTCATACGTTTGACAGACTCTTTAACAATAAATTGTCCCCAGGCTTCCGACCTCTTGACCGGAGTATTCTTGGAGGAGCAGCACCAGAGCATAAGAAAGATTGCGGGCCACCTTGCCACTCTGGTCAAGATGAAGACCACGTACGGAGAATTTGCGGAAATCATGTTCGACAAGACGCTCCTTCAGTAAACTATATTACTCATTTACATATAATAACTTATCAAATTCAGTAATATACCAGTTTGTCATCTATTGAATGAAATTAAAAATATATGTGTAAGACACGATTTCAGAGATTCCATAATTTTGTGTTTTATTTTTCATCCCACAAAGAAATGCAGATATGATTCAGTTTTTATATAGCTTAAGCTGTCGTAATTAACGACAGGCATGTCGTTTAAACAAATTCATTATAAAAAGTTGTTACAGTTTTACTTAACAAGTGAAGTCATGATGTAGTTTTATAAAGTGACCTTTATATAATGACCAGACCAGAGTAACATTAAAGTGTTTTCTTTTTCACATTACATTTCTCTTGACGGATTATTATAATACAAATTCGAATTATTATTGTTTTTCCTATGTTTTTGTTTTACAATATTATCAAATATACTAAAAAAATTCCTATTTGTTTTGACAATCAATGTGCATATTAGCATGTGTAGCATGAAAGAAGGCGAATTATATTGTTCTATTTGTTTTCAGATAAGAAATAATAGTATCATTAAAGTTTGGATTTGCTGCCGTTTCCCACACATGAGCTAGGAATGAACATAAACGGCTTCCCGCAAGGGTACAGACCTCGTTGTCGTTTCCAGTTGGCCACATCCCCGATTTCTTCCTAAATAACCGAGACAAGTAGAAATGAGTTTGTTGATTGGATTTAACAATTAGTGGGTAAATTATGTCGTAAAAGTTACGTACTTTTGCAACGGTAGGAGGTGGGATTTCGCCATCGACCTCATTGGTTTTTCGGCCTGCTCCACCTTCAGCCATAGACACAACGTGGACAGAAAGTCGTCTCTTCTTGTCGGCGTCCAGGGCCATTGTTTCCTGTTTTTATTATATAAGTATTTAAGTAATGGCAGGTTTATTATTAATCGATTAAAGAAATGATTAATGTTATAGTACCTCGAAAAAGTTTTTGATGTCGGATAGCGTGACAGTCTCTAATTCGCTAAGCTCTAGCTGTTGCTTTTCAAAGTTATACTGTTGTGCTGTGATCTCGGACCAAATGAGGTTGGCTCGGTCGATCAACTTTTTAGGTTTTTCTGCTTTACGGACAGATAATGCTGTTCGATGTTGAACGAATTCATCTTGTGTCATTGTTGTCAACATTTCCTGCGAGGAAGGAAATTTAGAAAAAATTCAGTTATAACTTGGACAGGAATTAAAAAGGATGATCCATATTTTTGATCTGCATACGTGGAAATGTTTAAGGAAGTTGTTGATTCGGGACTCCACATATTCTGGATGACGGTCACTCTGAATCAAAATCTGGATTCCTTGCGTTCCATGTGCACGACGGACGCCAGTGAAGACGATGTAGCCCAACTGTTCTTTAGTTCGGAGGTGGTTGAAGCATGGTTCATTCGCGATGTGCTCTAATAGTTCAACGACCACATTTTCATGTGTGCCTTGGAGTCCGGTTTGGAATAGGACTGGTAGAAATAAGAAATAAAAATAAGTTATTACTCAGATTTAAGGTAAGATAAAAAAATTCATGATAATCCAAACCTGCTGCACATGAACTCAAGTGCGTCTTGTGTTCTGATTTGAAAATGTACTCCGAACCTGGAAAGAAATGATGAGTAAGTAATCGGCTAGCTTAAAATTACGCCGAAATAAAGTATTTACCAGGTGGAAGCTCAATCTCTCGAAGTCGAGATGTTTGTGACGCAATAAGTGAATGAGTTCCTTTCTTTTCGAACAAATCTACGCAATAATTCACAGTGTTTAAGGCTTCCTACGAATAGAAAATGTCATCAAATTAATGTAGTACCCACATAAATACAACCGTTCAAAATTGAGTTATTAATAAATGAAAACTTACTTCCGAGGTACAATTTCCATGAATCAGCCACTCAATTTTCACTTTGGAAATAAAATCCTTTGCAAAGCTTTTCAGTTTTTCAGCCGTGACATCTAATGTAAGAACGAAAGTGAGATTGGGATGAAATTTTATGAAATGAAATGACAAATTTTAAGGGGGAAAATTACCTTCCATGGCGCTTAGCAATTCTTGATTGGACCATCGCTTTTCACGCAAAAGATACGTGAAATAGTACGAAGCGTGAGAATAGGGTTGCTCATCTTCCCAGTTTTTAAGGGATCTTATGTAAAAGTCTTTCAATACTTCAAATCGTTTTGGATCAACTTCTAAATCAACAAGTTTCTCAACAACTTTGTTGAGAAGCAGTCCAAGCTTGTGATCATAACCATTAACAACGATCTATAAAAAATATATGCTTTGTAAGTGCACTAGAAATGCTAAAAACCAAATGAAATAACAATTGCATAATTATTTGCATACCTCCAGTCCATACACTGAATCCGCAATAACGTAATGAAGACCAGCAACACTCGCAGCGTAAGAATACTCTGTTAGTAAGTCCTTAATCAAAGTAACCAGCATGTGATTCAGATTTGTAGTCAATGGCTCGATTAAGGGAAGTGGACTAAAAATTCAAGTAACAGACATTTCAAACAATCTCCTACGAAATCTTAAGTTAGCATCGTGAAATATAAACCTGAAGATCTCTGCTCGAACGACCGCTTTTGGCATCATAAACTCGTTATCTTGCAAGAACCACACTCGAGATAGCGGAGTGTCCTGAATTATCTTAGGAATGATCCCCTTCTGTTTTTGTATAAAAAGAGTTTTAAGAATAAGTAGTTCATAAAATTTCTTATTTAATTGCTATTAAACGTACTGTTATCGGTTCGCCGAAATGTTCCTCCCTCTTCTTCAGATCAAATACAGACGGAATAAATTCGTTTTTGGATGGCATCTTCAACCTGTCGTTACGTCCACAGTTTTTCCATTTCTGCAATGAATACGAGTATTGTTAACATGAAGTGTGGTCAAACATAACTAAACAACTGTTAGTTTACCTGGATTTTCTGTGGTTCAATCTTATCGTAGTTGTATTTGACCCCATACCATTCTTCAACTAATTTAGTGTTGGACTCGAATTCTTTCGATACTACTGTTACCCTACATAAATTATGTAAATTGTCATTGCATTGTTATTTTATAACTTCAATCTAATGAATAAAGTCAATTCATTAATCAGACTAACCGAACATTCTCCGGCGTCATCCCGTCCAATATTTCCTTAATCAAACTTGGCTTGTATTCAGTCAATATGTATCCAGCACTTAAAACATCTTCCAAAGGATAGCTCTGCAACAGAATTTATATATAAATTGTACAATTGCACACAATGTATAATTTTTGTTGAGTTTTGTTTAAATGAATTTTGGCTCCTACGTGCATAACACTGCTCAAGTTGGAAACCAGAGATTGTGGACGTTCCTTATCCTTGAATCGAAACAACATTGCATTGACGTTTTTCATTTCCTCCCAAACCCAGGGTTGAGGTCCAAGTTCGTGTAACATTTGCAAATACTGCCGAAAATAATAAATCCGTTTATCAATCCATTCGAATAAAACATATTTCATGAGTTGCTGTATGTTTAGTGTATGAAAATCTGACCCACCTGGAAAATGAATTCTACAATGTTATCAGTATTCTGAAGTCCTTCATCAGTCAAATCTACGGCGACTTTAAAAATTCCAAATCCTCTCGCAGGCACATGAGAACCAGCTTCCAAATGGTTAACCCAATTCTTTTCCTTCAACAAGGACAACAAACTTCCTTGCCCTTCATGTCCGATAAGATGGGACAGGTATCCTTCCGCCTGGTTAAATGAAGAGAAACCATTAAAATATTTACTTCACCACATTCTTTAAAAACACATTGATATCACTCACCGACGCTTTATAATGTGGGGTAGTATCCGGAGTGGGAAACATAACATGAAGATGTCGAATATCCTTAACGGGAACCATTTGCAGAACTGTCTGCAGTTGTTCTGGCCCGTATGGATTCTCCGTCCAGAAGGGAGCTTCAACATCCCTGTTATCCACTTCGAGAAAACGGTCTTCAACTAAACGTTGCAATTCATCCAAAGTTTCAGATCCGAGGACAACCAAACTCATCAGATTTGCAGAGTAGTACGCTTTGTGATAATCCATCAGGGCGGAACGAACATCAACATTTTTCTCCCTTGGTCTTGTCCACAAAGTTTCTCGGTTTCCTTAAAAATATATGAAATTTAATCAACCAGTTTCATAATGTTCATTGCGAGACAAATCGGCTTCCTCAATGTTGTAAAATACCTGTTGCAAAGTAGGAATAGGGATGATTCAGATTCGCCGTCCCCACATCCAACTGATGCGACCTCCAAGGATCACTTGGGATATTTTTCTCATGTTCCGAATGCACAGCATTGACTTCCCGTTCCGTCGCAGATTCCGTGAAGAGGGGAGAAATGAAAAATTGTGAGAATCTAAAAGAAACAAACACCATTTTTCAAAATCTAAACTATCTAATTTTAAATTTTCAAAATCCACACCTATCCAACGCTCCCGGTAGAGAATGTGGTGACACGTCAAAGTAGTAATTAGTATGATCCCTCGCCGTATATGCATTCGAAGCACCTCCATTCTCCGCCAGAAATTTGGCGTAATCATTCTCCTCCGGATATTTTTCCGTCCCGAGGAATAACATATGTTCACAGAAATGAGCAAGGCCAGGCAAATGGGCAGGGTCATTCATACTTCCTGCAAAAACAAAACAATTATTTAATTCCAGTTAGTCACCCTCCTCCATCTGATAACCCACCAGCAGCAACCGACAAGCTGGCGGCCGCCTTGTCCGTGAGCGAGTCACTGATGAGAAGAACCTTAATCTTATTGTTCAAAGTGAGCCCTCGATACTCCCTCTTGTCCAGGGGGGACTTGATGATGGGAGGGGACACCACACTAGGACCCTTGGACAACGACATGCTGACTTTCTGCTTCACACCCACGCTGCTGTACCGTTGTATCCTACGAAGAAAAAGGAAGGAAGGAATGTTATTATTCAAATTAGAGCGTGGTTTAATAATGAAACACGTCACACGTAACATGGCGGAGTGTAAGTTGTTGTTGGTATCAGAGAAACGACAATGCGCACTAACTAACAATATCACATTACTAACAATTAACCTTTGAACCTTACCCGAAAAATACGTCGGAATGTTTCGCACGACTGACTACAAAGAGGCAAAGTCTTTTTATGGGCAACATTCAGAGAGACAGGGACACGAGTGGGGGTGGTCTGGATGGACGTGGGAGGAGGAAGAAGAGGATGTGATGGGAGGAATGGCTTATCTTTATCTTATCGAAAATCCAATGAGTATGGAGTTTTATAGTGAAAAAAATTGGAAATAAAAATCACAATTTCATCATGTTTACGATGATGAAATTTACTCAGGATTTGGAGGAAATATTGAAATGAAAAATATAACACTTTTTGAAATTTTAATTATTCACATTTTCCAATTGTGGATTATTTTTTGTGGCAAAAAACGACGTTTTTTCACTTTTTCGTGGAAACAGTCCACCTGACTGCGGCTGCTGTGTAGATGAGACGACACTTTCTTCAAGAGGGATGCGATACGCCACTAACCACTAACCAAATCTCATTTAGATTGCCATTGACCATTTCTTAGTACAGATTGCAATTAAAATTAGCAAAATGCCAGGTTTTATTGTGATGATTTTAATTGTATGTATGATATTAATTAATTCATATCTAGTACGCAGTAGTTTGTAAGATATGTTTTCATATCAATGTACTTATGACATAATGCATGTCATGCAAATCCGGGATGATCTTTTGGCTAATTTTATTCTCAAATTTGGTAAATTTTTAGGTAAAGTTTGATTTTTGAAGTGTTTATTATGCTCAAGTTTTCAGGACAGTGGTCGAGACTTCGTGAGGAGAATAAATTTAGAGAAGTTTGAAAACCAAAGATATACTTTTTTATTTTTTTTTATTTCCTGTAAAAAGCATAACTATATTTTTATTTTTGCAAATTAATGCACAATTGATATTTCTGGTTTGGTCCATTTTTGTAATGTTTTTGGTGCAGGAATCAAAGAAAAGGAGACAAAGGATGCGTCCAAATTCTGCCTTTTTGTTAAAAAGGGCGAATTTTGATCCTCCGAAGTTAAATGCTAGCGGAAACACGTAAATAAAGGTATTAAGCCAATAGATTCGCTGAAACCGTCAATTTAAATTCAAATAGTAAAATAAGTGTTTATTTGCAACATGCAACAATAATATGAAAGCACACCGTAAGAAACTTTACGATCAAGTTTCCAACAAAAGAAAAACAAGGTTAAATTTATCTGTATAATAGTAATCATATAAATAGTCTAGTTGTAAACATTACATTATTGCGTTTTTTTGTGAAAGTCATACTGGTTAAAATAGAAGCGTAAAGTAGACGCGTTTTAATTTCTAAAAGATAGATACGCACATAAAAAGATAGTTATTCTCGTGTTTGAGCTTCTGCACGGTTAATTCCGTGTAAAGTCCTCCTCATTAAAGTCTGGATCTTCTAAAGGATCTAATTCTGGGATGGGTTCCCGATGCAAAGAAATGTGGAAATCAAGACTCGCATCTCCAGCCTTTGTTAATGTCAATATTTCTTCCTCTTTCTTGATCAAAGCCGTCGTGGTGGTGGTATTCTGTCGCCCTCGCTTATTATTATTTGCACTGCTATTACTCGTCGTATCATTTTCTTCCTCTCCTCCTTCATACTTGACCAGTTTCCTTCTCAATTCTTTGTTCTCCTCCCTGGACTCGTTCAGCTCTGTCAAAAGCTGAGAAGGAAACAAAAGGGGGATGAGTTGATTATGCTCTTTCAATACCGTACTAAATGTAACCTTCGTCCAAAGATATCAAAAATCAAATATATACATAGTAAATTTAATATATACATACTTTGTCCACTAATGCGCGTAGATTGGAATTGACCATTTGTAGCTCTTCAATAACCTCGGCGTCATTTCTGGGTCGGATCGTAAATTCGAGAGCACGAGCGGCCTCTTCGGCACTCTCTGTCCTTTGAAGGTCTCGATAACCCACAACGGTAGGAGTTTTGCTGTTCGATAAGATTTGTAGGAGGGAATCCACTTCGTCAATTTGTCTGAATATATCGCTCGGATGTTGGTTCAAAGGATCCATGGGATTGGTCGGCCTACTATTTTCCGTCAAGGGGCGAAATATTCTTTTCCGTTCAGCATTCTTGTCCGCCATGATTTTCTCACGTTTGCAATTCTTACTCTCGTACAGTTCCCTGGTACATAATTAATTAGTTATTATGTATCTTACTCAACTTTCCAAATTAAATATTTAGCAGTCACCTCAAAACTTGGGCTAGTTGTGCCTGCCTCTCGTGAAATTGGGCTTGTTCTTCCACACTTCTTTTACAGCCGGACTCCTTCTCCAACGTGGCTTCGAGGTCGTGCAATATCTTGGCCGCTTTCAAATGGCACTCGACCGCTTCTCCTAATTGTCCCTTCCGCACAAACTTTACTGCTCGACGTCCCGCTTCGTGAGCCTGAAAAAAGTACAGAAGAAGATAAGGTCACATTATTCCCGATATGTGCCACACCTTCATATCTTTATGTATTATCATTAGCAAATGTGACGTGTTGATTCCGAACACGGCACGCAACTTTAGATTACGTATTCTTCTTCTTCGCTGCGTATTGTAAGTCCTGCCGTGATGATCGGTTATCATGTTTCTCTTTACATAACCAACCACCACAGCTTATATAACGAAACCTGATAAAGGGACGAAAAGTGCGGACAATGGGTCTGTCAATCTCTGGATGAATAGCCCGAGATCGGTGATCAAGTTGGGTAACTTATCATAAAGGAAGTTGTCTTCCCTGCCCGGATCGGATCAAGTTACGCATTTAGAAATGCGTAGTAATGGATCTTAAGTGCGTACCCAATGCCCCCGGATTAAAAATCGACTAATTTTTCTGAAAGTGTCAGTCACACAATGTCACGAGGTGATATGGGTGGGTGGGTGGATGGGTTATCAATTATTACCTTACCTTGTTTAGATGCGTTCTTTCCATGTGGTGAAGAGAACAAGGCGGAATGTCCTCTGTTACACCGGCGGCACGAGGACAACGGGGAGGAAAAAAAAGGTGGGTGTGGTGGGTGGGTGGAAAGCAGACTAGATTTTGATTTGACTAATATTTCTCAAAGAACAAAGGAAATGTGAAGAAAGTGATAGATGAAGAAGAACAAGAAGTCAGCAGTTGTTTTGGGTGACGGAGTTTGTTGTTTTGCTATTTGGCTCTGGCATTTCGTCAAGTGGAGTGGGTTGAGATTTCGAGTTAAAAATGGGAGAAAGTTGGTTAACTTTCTCTCCAACTATTTTTTACCTTAAGTAGGGCAAAATAGTTATTATTTTGAGCTCCGTTCATCCCAGGGTGTGGATTTCTGGGGGTGTTACACCCACAAAAAGAGGAGAGGTCATACGAAATTACAGGTTTTGCGAAGAAATTAACTTTCTAATAACGATGAAATTAACTGAAGAAGTATCTTAACAGTGCTGTTAAAATACTTCATTTTTTACAAAATCGTGCAAAAAAAGTATTTTGACAGCGATAAAAAGTTAATTTCTTCACAAAACCTCTAGTTTTGTATGACCTCCACGCAGATTCTCCTCTTTTTGTGGGTGTAACACCCTCAGAAATCCACACCCTGTGAATAACGGAGATTAAAATACTATACATTTTGATAAAGTAGTTTGCCCATCCATGTCAAAGTAGTTACACTAGCTTAATAATAATATGAAATGAGATATTTTGCATGTACGAGATACATAAGATCCTACCATAAATAGAGTAAAAAACTTTTCCACTAAACCTTCGTGTTCTGATATTCCAATTATTCGATCGTATATACATACTTATCATCATTTTATTACTATACCATCACTTCTTCCCAACCTTGCATAACTTATTATTAGCTTGTAAGTAAAAGTTTCACTGCGTGGATGGTCTAATTTCATGCATCGATTTCATGTCTGATAAAGTTCAAAACAAGTCTCCCTCACAAGTCTTTCATAAAATCAGGTTGAGGAGGAACAAAGGTGTAAAATACGTAAGTTTGGACCTTTCCTGGTAAATTTTGGTCTATTTTGAGGAGAGAAAGTTGGGCAAATCTGGCTCACCATTTCGCACGGATTGGATTTACATATACCGTAATCTTTGTTAGTTTGTGGAGAAAAGCAAACTATTTTGCAAAGTATCGGGTGATCATTTACACCATATTTCCAGGAAATTTATCTCGGTGTTTATCATTAACGGCGGAAGCGGGGGGACAGGGGGACACTGTCCCCAGAAATTCAGCAAATATCGTTAATAAGTCCCTCCTTCACCAATTCCGCAATGTAATGTCCCCCCAACTTCCGCCGCCACTGGTGTATATAAATTGTGACCACCTTTGACACAAATTCCAGTAAACGTAGATTTCCTTAAGTTTAAGTTCCCATGTTTTCCTCGCACAATGAACACAATAATATTTATGTATACAATTGTACCCAAGATTTCCAGGAAATTTACCTTGATGTATATAAATAGTGATCATTTCTCTCGAAATTTGTCTCACATTGTGAAAATAACAAATATTTACGACCCGAGCTAAATCGTACATTGGTAAAAAATTTCGATCGATATGATGTTATCCACGTACACTTATTTTTGGCGAAGAGCTTATATAGCAAAGATTTTCATTCCATGAAAACACGTTTTTCCCTACTGGAACAAAATCCTTGTTTTGACGTCGATCTCGACATGAGGAAATTAGTTTTGAACGAATTTAACTATTTTCATCAACATCAAGAATAACTCGACTTTAGATAATTGGTAATATGTTGGGATACATTAGCGAAAAAATTACATGGGCAAATTAAATGGACACATTTTATTTTATTTTATTTATAATGATGTTATCCCTCGAATGAATAAGCATTGAATTATAAACTATGGAAAGATCCAGACAGTCCTCCTTTCGTAACAACAAGATTAAAATTTGCATAAGTTTTTCTAACTTGGTAAATAGAAATCGGGGATCTGAAACGGAAACTAATTTTGTCCAGTTTAACTTGACGACGTTACTGATTTGAAATGGATAAATTACTCAAAAACAACAAGTCATGGAAGAATCTAATTAAGCCGAATTTTTAGATTGGAACTTATTTTTAGTGAGGTGGATTAATTGTCTCATTGTTGATCACTGATCAGGTAATGTATGTACATAGCACAAGCCAGGTGAGCGTTTAGTTGTTAGAATGTCAACAGTTTAAAGCTTATAAAACGCGTGGAAAAATTCAGCTAATTATACTAATAAACTTGAGATGTACATAATAAAACCATGTAAATTTTCCTATCGTCATCTTACAGTCAGTTGCAGTGAATAGATTTTTCTGTCTTTTGAAACTAATAATTTCCCGTGTAATTTTACAAATTTGCAGTAAATGGGACATTTACAGGTAGTGATTAGTTTCATAAACTTGATTTATGGAAGTTTACCATTCATCATTCTGACCAAATTTTGCTCTTGTGATGCCTGGAAAATTTCGTTCATCCAGTTTTACGACGTTTCATACATTACACATTTCGACTTAACGTTACAGTTGAGTAAGTTGTATCCCAACCCCAACCTGACATGATTTCCTTACTGTAACCCGAATGCAGAAAAAGAGACGACGGAGAGATATGAGACACGTCTCCCAACTTTACGTCTCCCAACTTCACATTTGTCGCTTGTCTCACCAAGTCTGGAAGCTGAAAGAAGCAGCAGTTTTTTTTTCATGGAAAATAAATTGTATCGCAAAAAACAATTGCCCCCTTGAATGCACCAAGCATTCAACTTAATTTATTGATGGTCGATTAACTCAAGAGTGAAAATTATGACCGGACTGGTCGACCACGTATGTATTTAATCCAGAGTGACATATTATTTACCCATTTTTGTCGACATATGACAAAGCAACTTTATCATCATGCGTCACTGAATCACAGGTCATAAACATGTTATTCGTCCAATTGTCAATTGTTGACTGGACGGGATTATTCTTATTATTATGTTCTAGAAATTCCGTCATCCATTCATGAGAGATCTTGCAGGTGTTCGTGTTCGTATCGTGAACGTAGCCAGTGGAAAAAACGCAGTGGAAAATTCTAGTTTTGTGAGAATTACGCATTTTCGTGAAAGTCGAAATTAGTAAAAAACAAAAATCTGCGTGTTTGGAGAAAGCAGAGAAAGTCGTGAGTACGCCGACATATTTAGCGAGTTAGTGTATAAGACTGGATGTAAAATAAAATACTTGTCGTTCGTTCGTGGGTGGGTGGTTGGACAGAGATTGTTATTTGTACATGAGATTAGACGAGACGAGAATGAGACCTTTGTGCTGCTGTGCTGCTTGTTCATCATAAGTATTTAGACACACACAAACAGAGACACACACACACATCGAGAGGATGAGGCTTGAAACGAGCAAATATAGATTTTCACCTGGATACCATCATGAGACGAGAAGAAGGAGATTCAGTGAGTTTCCATGAATCTGCTTTCTCCCGTAATATGTACAAATGGAGAAAGAAAGCAGTCGTGATCTCTATCGTAAGCCTCGATTATGCTACGATCTGACTTGCCTTTTGCTTCACCTTTACTTACGTACGTCTACTTACTTACTTTCTCTGGATCGTTTTACTTTACGGGATAAAAATCCAAATTAAGCGGATCGCTTGGATACCTGGGTTAATTTCGGGGACTGAAATGACTGTATTTTTTGTACGTTTAGTTTTTGTACGTATGTACACTCGTTCATAACAGTTCATTATATTTACTTGATTATATTTAGCCCATTTAAAGTTTGACATGGTTTGTTTCCATTTTCTTCTTCCGTCCTACTGGCGGATAATTAGTGACTGGTAAATAATTAGGTAGTGTTGTGCTGCGTAGTATATTCGTTTATGATGAATAACTTTGATAGATATGTTGGACGATAAGACAGAAACAGAAATACTGCAAACTATACATACAGGTCTAGAAGTATCGATAGTAGTACTAAAAACCTATGAAATAGTACGATACGAATCGTAAACAGTACACAATTAATGAAGTGAAAATGACTTGATAAAAAGGGCCAAAAAACTTAACGAAATCTCACTAAATAGCAAATTAGGGTGTAAATTACGTCCTCAATTAGCATGGAGTAGAGAGAAAAGTTGGAAACTACGTGCGTATACGTAACAACTCAGATTATTTTCACCCATTTTTGCTTTCACCCGAGTCTCTCATACATATTAGTGAAAGAGCGAGATTATTATTCTGCCGACAAAATGCGACGACAAGGGCGACACGTCTGTTCCAGAAAAGCGATAAATAAATTATTATGCAGATTCCTCTATAAATTTCCGACTTTTAAAACCCATTCTTCCATCGAAACGATGAAGACAAGTGGAAAATGAGGTGTTTATGCTAATCGGGCACTTATACTGCCTCCGGATCGGGTTATGTATGTGTTACCCGCTGGGTCGGATTGTGTTAATTTCCTGAATTGGGTACTGATTTTCATAAATACAAATACTCAGAATCTCTGTGAAAAGGGATGATTTTTGAGGAATTTTATACTCCAATAAATTCGTGTTTTGTATGCATCAAAGAAGAATTAGGCTCGCTGGGTTGAATGGAATCTAATTTTCGTTTTCTATTGTCTGCATCTGTCCTATGTCCTACGCGACGCGTTGTACGGATGAAGTTCTAATTAATTACGACCCTCCTTTATACACGTGTGATTCTATTTATGTACAAATTACCTACTACACTCCTCAATATTTCACCTGTCATGTCAAACCGACTGCCGAGTGAGTGACTCTCAGCCAGCAGCCTTTGTTTTTGTTTGTGTGTGTGTGCGAATTTCGTAGAGAATCATTTACTTACAGCAGCCCTCATACTCATTAAAAGTGTAGTTACTACCGAGTAAAGTTGTGTAATGTGTAGGACATGAAAATATGTAGGTGGATTTTTTGGGCATTTTTATTAAACTTAAATTCTCTGGACATGTGACATGTTGACCTTATAAATTTAATTACGGGGCAAATAGCTGGGGTGGGCAAAGTACTTTGTCAAAATAAAGCATTTAGTTATGCATTAAGGGAATTCACGCAGGCCTTGGTAACATTGTAAATTCTGTAAACTTTTACAAAATTTTACTCATATTTCGAAGGAAAATCAGCTCCAAATTTTTGTAAAGTTGCTCATAAATATCAAGGGCGTCTTTTTATTTGGTAAGTTTGGAAAATTATTTTATAAACGGAGTGAATTGCCTCAGTATTTGTGAAGAATTAACTTTTTAGGGTGTACAATAAAATACATTGTTTTCACGATAAAAAAATAAATGTATATATTTTCTTAAAACTGCTGGATTCTCGTCTTTTTGTAGATGTTTTTACACCTGGAAATCCAAACACTTTAAAGAAATTCTCAAATTCAGGAATATTTTGCCCATCCTTGCCAATTAGGCCTTAAATTCCCTCGACATGGACCCAACCACAACTCTACTCAGTCACTACTACGATATCCTTTTACTCATATTTTCAAGTATTTAAACCTCGAATAAGTAAACTCCACCGTTTTTCAAGCCGTTCACAAACACAACCCGGACTCCTCCTGACAACTAACTAAATATGTACGTATGACACAATGGCAAGTGTTGCATACAGGAAGATGAAGATTAAGTGCGAGGTAGTGAAATGCCAAATTTTTTTCTACACCGAGAGAGATGACATTTTCCTTCACATCACAACTTATTACAAGAATAAAACTAAGGATAATTCGAATTGTGATTAGAATGGATGGTCGTGGTGCGCAGTGGCCGCGGACAGAGGGACAATGTTCCACGGTTGTTCGATGTCCCATAATCTCCCCGTTTTATACCCCTCCCTTCCTTTCGTACTATAGATTTTTAAATATTTATCTTAGGTACGATGTTGATTTCATAATTACACCTGATTCTCCAATTAAAATTTTCAACCAGTTTCCAACTTTTGAGTTTTTTACGAAAAACACGAAAAATCCACTTTTTAACGTTAGTATAGGAAAAATTCCAAAATTTTACAAGAAAAATCTAAAAAAAAATCAACTTTTTATCATCGATTTTTCCACAAAATACCAACTTTTTTAGGAAATTTTGATGTCAGCATAATTTATGAAGTACACAAATTTGTGCATTTCATATCGTCACATATTTCACCATATATTTCATTTCATTCCGTTAAAATACTACACAAATGTGTATACTTCATCGTTAAGGGGTTAATGTCCCCACAGCTTCCGCGGCCACTGATGGCAGGAAGAGGGAGTCAGAGAAGAAGAAGAAGTCCGTGTACGTGTGGATATTTGGGCGTGTGGGCGTCCCCGGTGGTGAAACAGTACTCGTCGTCGCATCGTATTTTGACCTTTACGTTACTTACTTTACTTTAGTTTAGTTTAAATCTCTCTCGAAATGGCAATCTTCTCACTCAGCAGAAGACAAGTCGACTCCTCAACAGGTAGGAAGAAGCCCGGCCAATGCAACCATACTTTTTCCGCAATAACATGTCTTAACTTTTTTAGCTCATCTTTTTTGCACGATGAAATTTATTTCTTTCCCTTCGATTCCTCCCACTCGCATTTTGCAAGGAAGGAAAGGAGAGAGAGAGAGAAAGTAATACGCGGTCGGTGCTGAGGCCTCGGGTGAGCAAAACCAAAAATTTTATGATTCCTAAATATTTACCTTGGGGAAGATATTTATTTCATTTAAAGTTCAAGGTTTTGTATAGTCTGTCATTTGATGTAGGTAGGAAGGAAAGGAAAGATATGTAAGGAATTATTTTGTAATTAAGTAATACTAATCGTTTGTTAGGGACAGTAGTAAAATAAAATAAAATGGGATCGAGATTTTGGAAAAATTTTGTGAGTGAGATTTTCTGTTGTCATTTTATGTAAAATGAGAACAAAACGTAACTCTATTTAGGAGAAAACTAATTAATAAGTTGGATTAATAAAAAAAAATTATGTGAGTGAAATTTTGGAAAAATTTTGTACTGAGATTTTCTCCGTAAACAAAAATACGTAACTATCTATTTAAAAGAAAATTATGTAATTAATAAGTTCGATTTTGGGATAGATTTCAGCTTTACGTTAGTCAATTCTTCATAATAGAATAAAATATTTTACAAAAGATAAGCTCAAAATATATACGTTGCACGTGGAAAATGGTAACACTTTTAAAAAAATAAGCTAGGAAAAGAATCACTTTAAGCCTATTTACCATTTTTCTGTGTAACATAATGCACCATAAATGGGAACGGAATAACAAAATAGATATAAAAAAGTAGTAAGAGAATAACTTTAACACCTCGAGTGTTACAAATGTACAGATTTTTTGGAGTGTTTTGCATTCTTTGTTGCCTTATTTGTTTAAATAGTTTTTGGTCGGTGGTGGTGGTGGAGTGGTGATGTCTTTTATTTTGGAAAAGGATAAAGAAATGTGGTGAAATCCAGGAGAATAAATTTTTTATCTGGACGTATTTATTGTTCACCGTTGGATGCAGTTTTGTGCAAAAAAATACAATGCAGATGATGCAGTTTTTCAATTCACACTCTGGACTGGAATTTTCTGTTGACGTTCGATATATCATTTTTTGAGGAGATGATGATAATGATGACGCACATTTTTAACCACTTATCAACCCCGGATTGATTGATTACTGCATACCGGACGGTGGACAAAGGGAAAAAGTGTCACCCAAAAGTGAACGGAATTTACCGTGTGCAGAGAGGCAAAACCTTGTACGTATTTATTAAAGTGAATGTAATTAGGTAATCGATTAAACGGGACGATGAAAATTTATATGCTCCGAGATTACTTATCATCGCCAGTGGCCGCGGAAAGACAGAGGGACAATGTCCCCACGGTTATTCGATGTCCGCATCATCTGTCCCCATCTTATAACCGTCCCTCCCAATGTTAATGTCCCCAGATGTCCCCACGGCTTCCGCGGCCACTGATCATCATATCACCTCATCTTGCGTGCTCTCCTCATACATATTCCTGTCGTTGAGATTGATCAAGTTTGAACCTGGCTTGGTTTTGGTATAAAAGTCAAACGCGAAATGTCACGGGTGTCAAGTGCCCCCAGGAAATTTTAGCAGCAACAGCACAGCTAAACTTTAATTTTGCAGAAATATATAAATAACTTACGTAGTTGCTGCCGTGTTTGATTGAGAAAATCATTATGGAATCTCTTTACTTTGTCCTCGTTGTGGTTTGCATTTCCCTTTTGAGCGGTGGTGGTGGTGGTGGTGGTGTGGCAGGTTCGTTTGTTTCTTTAAGCGTAAACGTGTGGGTGGGTTGTACTTATTTTGTGTCCCATATTTTCAGGACAATCCACCGACCCCCCTCCATCAACGACCGAAGTTGTCCCCGATCCGACGACGGACTTACCCCCAGACACGACCGATCCAGGCTCCACATCCGAACCCGGGTATGACTGCAGTACCGACGGGATTTTCGCGGACCTCGAATTCTGCGAGTATTACCATTCCTGCCAAAACGGGGTTCACGCTTGGATAAAATGTCAGAGCAATTTCCTCTTTGATCTCCGCTATATGGGATGCAACTACCCGGAATATACAGACTGTGGAAATCGAACCCGGCCAGACGGTTATCCGGGCACTGTGACCCCGCCGGATCCAGCCACCACGCCGGGGACGGGGTATCAATGTCCCCCGGAGGATGGAAACTATCCAGATCCGGGAGATTGTACGGCGTTTTATCAGTGTTATCAGGGGATCGCTTATCGACAAAGGTGCCCCTTTCCCCTCCGGTTTGATATCGCGCAGCAAGTCTGTAACCATCCAGGTTTCGTAGACTGTGGCGACAGGCCGGTGCCCGATCCGAGGAGGAAGTAGAAGTAGAAATCTCTGCATAATTTAGTATTTAGAATATTTATGTAAGAAATGTATACATGTGCGAAATAAATATTTGCATATCATCGACCTTATCATAAATATGTAGTTGACAGATTGCAAATCCTCTTTGAAATCAATTTCTCTCAAAAAAGAGAGAGAAAAAAAGACGAAATCCATCAATATTCATGACACAAAGTAGTGACAGCATCACATTCGAGAAAAGAATATTTACCGAGATGCAAAAGAAATCACCATTATAAATAAATAAGGATTTGAGACCAATTGTTGTTTATTGAGAAGAAGGAGGCAAACCAAACCACAACAAGTCTTCTTTTTTTCTCTTTCGACTTGTTAAGTGGGCTATTCTGTATTTTTGAAGATGAGTCATATTTTACGGTATATATTTTAATTAGGTTTTATCCAAAAAGGGCAGACGAGATCGAGAATAGGTGGGATTCTCATGTGTGCATGGCATCATCATCGTCAAGTATAGCATTTCTGTATGGATGGATGGATGTATGTATGCTGTGCATGGATGGATTTAGTGTGCTGTGTTCGTGATGTGCCGTTTGTTGGAGTATTGTTGTTGCCACTAACTAGCAACAATAACAACAAAATCTCATTCTTATGTATGGATAGGTTGGATGAGAAAAAAAAATCAGTTTCCTCTTCTTCCTAGATGATCAGGGTTTCGTTTCTTGCGGGTGGGGTACATTTGTGGTAGTGGAAAGGAATAAATGGGAGAAATGAGAAGTGCAAGAAATGCGAGGTGCAAGAAATGCGAGGTGCAAAAAACTGCAAGAAATATGCGCCATTTAGCCACGCTCCGTATGAATTATTTCTAACGGCTTATTACTTTCTCCCACTTTGCATTTCTCCCAGGTCAAAATATTCACCTGCAAGAAACCACAAATTTCTCCCAAGTGATTAACTCTTGCACCCGAAACACTGGACAAGATTGACCACTCAACACGCTCATACCCACATTTTTGAAAGAATAACAATAATAATAATAATATTCAAACCGCTTTTAAACACTGCTGGACTCTCTCCCTTTTCCTTAATTCTTTTCCTTTTAACTTGAATCCAATCCCATCCAAATTTGGAACTGGAGGATTAATTATTATTCTTCTTCTGGTTTGGTTTGCGCATCCTTATTCCTTATCATAAAAAGATTCAATATTAAAGCCATGTTTTTTTCTGCACTGGAAGAAATGACTCCTCTTCTGAGGTGACATGGATGGATGGGTGAGGTCCACTCCACCCGCATTCCTTCCGTCAAAAGGTATTCGAGATGAATTGCATACACATTATTGCATACACATTACGATCGAGTCCAACTCGAACTGGATGTGATTCGATTTTTGGGATTGTGCTCGATGGGATGGCACCTTTTTGGACGTGGTGTTTCCAATCGTCTCACGTTTCTGGGTAATAAACAGCAGTTGAGAGAGGTGCACATGGATGGGGAGACGAATTTCGCCTGTCAGTGGCCGCGGAAGCCGTTCTGGGGACATTAACAGGGGAGGGAGGGCCGGTTTTATATAAGACGCCGACATCGAACAACCCTGGGAACATTGTCCCTCTGTCCACACCTTTCCGCGGCCACTGTTCAGCTTCCTTTGGGGCTACGAAGAAACACGACCAATCGCCGTTCGTCCATTCCATTTGTTTGTCCACTGATTTGCTTTGCTAAGAGATGAGAAGAAGAAGAAGAAAAACTGCACCGTCTGCAAATGCCAAGTCCACCCATTGCGTCCTTTTTTGGTCAAGGCTACTTTTACTTCCTACGCATCCATCGGCTTCGTGTGGGCGTGAGTCTTTTATTCTTAATATTCATAATAATAATGCCCAAAATAATGTGTGAGATGAATGGCCAACTTCTCGTTGGGATGACGACGACGACCAGGATGACGAGCATCACTCACCATGCAGGATTTCGAAATTTCTTCTCCTGGACTTTTCGCGAGGAGGCTGATTATTGGCAGAATTCGGGGGTTATTGATTCGAGGAAGTGCGGAATGTGGTACACAAATTCGGAATGAGACAAATAACAACTTTACACGAACACACGTACCTTTTGGGAGACAAAGTCATTAGATGTGAGTTTCGCTGCTCAGGTGCGGGGGCGTCAGTATCACGCTACTTTTCAGTGCATGCCGAATGGCTTGAGACAGAAAGACGAGAGATTTCTTGGAATATTGGTGGATGGGACTCGTTACACACATCCGACTAAATAAATAGATCCACTCTCGGACAGACTGATTGTAGACGGGAGATGGATAATAATAAAATAATTATCATCGTCATCATCTTTCTTGCCCTCCTCCTCCTCCTCCTCATCCAGAGGATCCAGGGTTTCGGGTAACCACTTGCAGGAAAGTGTTCTTTTTTTGCAGGGGAATATTTTGACCTGTTCAAAAATTTAGGTTTCATTCAAAAGTCAGTCATCCCGATTTCTGATTTTTCATTCGCATTCAGGCATTTTGGTTCAAATTCGTTTCATTTCACTTAACTTCATCAGACTTCATTTTTTATTTCGCCTCATGTATTAAGCATAGGGTGAAAAATGAAATGAGTGAAAAATTTTTGTATTCATAATCATTCAACTGAAATTACGGAATCTTTCACTCGCTTTCATTCAAATGACAGGAAATTCATTTTCATTCACTGCCATTCACTATCATAATCTGTTGAATGAATGAAGGCGAACAGGTATGAAGAAAAGACGCCTCGCCGCAAATAGTTCATATAGCACATTTCTTGCCGTTTCTTGCATCTCCCATTTCTTGCATTCCAGTGCAAGAAATGTATACACAAACCCACTGAAACCGAGCCACTGCCACTTACCGTTTCTTCCTTCCTTCTTCTTCTTCCAGCACTCTGCGTACGTAAAAGTTGATAAGTTTCTTCCCGTGGAGAAGAAGAATTCAAATCGTGCAGCACCACCAACACAGACGCGCGTGGGTGTCGGATTGGGTTAAACAGAAGAAGATCAGGCACACTTTTTTCATTTGTATCCAATGCATCCACTTTTTTCGCAAATAAATTGGCATGTATGTATCCATGTGCATACATCACTTCTTCTTCTTCTTCTTCTTGTATAATGCGATCTCTCTCTCCTCACACAAAAATTACATCACACACAAATACTTACACATGACATGACTTCTCCGTGTGTGTAGGGCAAATAGGGCAACAAAAATTTAATTACCGTTTACAAAACGGTAAGAAACAATATAAATAAATACGTAAATATCCATGTGATGAAAGCACCTACACATTTATGAACTATGTTCTTAAACAGTGGCCGCGGACAGAACAGGACAGAGGGACAATGTCCCCACAGTTGTTCGATGTCGGCATCATCTCCCCATCTTATTTAAACCCGGCCCTTGTTAATGTCCCACACCTTCCGCGGCCCCTGGCAGGCAGAGACTTGCTTATTGTATTGTGCAACTAGTAAATACTTGACCTTATTGTGAATGATCAAAGAGAGAGACAGACAACGAGTCAACTCAACCCGAGGGAAAGGTTAAGACTTCCATTTCGTCTACTTATATGAAGAAAAAGGCCGACTTTTTGACGAGATTTGACTAATGGGCAGAAAGAGAGAGAGATATTATTATGATGGAGTAAAGTAAAGTGGAATCAAAAAGTGGAGTGCGGGGTGGGTGAAAGCAGGAGCAGCCAGTGGCCGCGGAAGATGTTCTGGGGACATTGCCATTAGGAGAGGCCCAGGTTTATACGTATAAGATGGGGAGATGATGCCGACATCGAACAACCATGGGGACATTGTCCCCCTGTCTTCCTTCCGCGGCCCCTGGCAGCCCGAGCAACAGGCTGTGTGACATGATGTAAGATAGATATGTAACTAGTGCAGATATTATGGCTGGCGTGGCGTGGCGTGGCGGTGGTGGTGGTGGGGAAAGCAGCGAAGAAAGTCACCCAACCGACTCTTGTGTAATTCAAGCCTTTTGTTGAACAAGTATTTATAACAAGTGATTTAGTTTGGGTTTCTTCCTCCACGAATTACAAGTTAAGTATGTATTTTGAGGGAACGAGTTAGGTAGTTACTACGAATGATGAAAGGATTAAAAGCAGGGAAATATAATATATAATTGGTATAAGTGGAACTGTATGGGTCGATAATTCTTGAGAAATTTAGTCACTATGTATGTATGTACATGGTTGATTTTGTATTGTACATATGAATAAGAAGGAAACATCTCGGTTGACTAATTTTCCCCGAATTTGTGAGACTGATTAGTTAGCAGGGCTTCGCTAGTTTGCTACATGTGTATATTTCTTGCAGTGCAAAATAAGCCATGCAAGGAATGCAAGGTGGGGAAAACTGCAAGAAATGTGAGGTGCAAAAAACTGCAAAAATTGTAAGAAATTAGCGCCATTTAGTCCCTCTCCGTACGAACTATTACAGCGGCGGGACCTAGTTTCTCCCACCTTGCATTTCCCCCCGGTCAAAATATCCCCCTGCAAGAAACCACTTTCTTCTCCCCTTATTTCTTGCTTATTCCACCTGAAACACTGTTACTTATTCGTCCTCCAATAGGTACAAACTTACGCCGAACTTGACACAATACATATAATCTCCTTCTAAGGTTGCCTCCTTACCTCATTCATTTTCCCTCCCGTTTACTATTAAATCGAGGGCAATGAAACGAACCAAGCGCGGGTTTCTTGCCTCATTTTCTACCCACGCTCACATGTCCACAATTTAGCATGTCCATTAGCTTCACAAAAGCGGTATCCAACGTCACCCTTCAATTCGAGCCGAGTGGATTGGATCCAATCCCAAACATTTAAATCTCTCGATGATATCAAGATCACATTACCTGTCAGAGAGATCGAAAGACCATCAAATCCGGCTGGTTGTTGGTTGGGCGAATAAAATTCGAACGGCACGCACCACACACCAACCACCGCACCACGACCATAACTCTTACACCAGACCGTTTTAGATGGAAGAAGGCGAGTAAAAAGAGACACAAGCAGCTAAATAGCAAATAATCAATGGCATCATCACCACACCACCATACCACGTACACACACAGAATACTTACTTTTTACACATCATGCACGTCTTATTGCCTCGTCGTCTTCTTACTTATTTAGTCAAACTACATGGATGGACGTATGTATGTACAATATTATTGGCGTGGGCTCAAGTTGTGGAGATGCTGCGATTAACACGGCAACTTTTGGTAGTGCATCTCAACGCCAAATAACAAAACCTCACTCATTCAGAGGGATTCCTCCTCACTCGATCTTCGCCAGCGCCGGAGAAGAAGATCAAGAAGAAAACGACTAGCTTGTTTTTTTGGGAGGATTTAACCAAGAGGTCGGACCGAGTAGGGCGACGTGGAAAGAAAGCCCGCGCTAATATAGGACGCGTGTTCCTCCCCCACAGAAAAAAAATCGCCCCCACTAGAAACCCATAAGCGTGCTTATCATCAGGACAAGTGCTGCGAAAAGTGAGTAGGATGCCGAAGGTCAAGGAGGTGACCAGGTCGCAACTAGTGTCACGTACCAGTTTGGTCAAGTGTGGTGGTGACTACGAGTGGAATAAATTTGGGTAATAAAATAAAAGAGAAAGCAGAAATCTTGAAATGATTTTCCTTAATGGTTTAACCAATCGTGGAGAAAACGGACCGACCAACTTTTCCGTTTTATTTACCTCGTCCTTTCTCAATTCATGGCGTGGCGTGGCGTGGTTTGGTGACCATTAGAATTTAGACTTTGAGTGAATCCCATCATTACAAAGAGTGAGGTGAAAGTGATGCCTGCCGGAAAGTGAAATCAGAGCTGGGTTGAAAAAGCTACGCAGTTCTTATCGTGTCGTGTTATCCGTGTGAGAAAGAAGTGAGTGCCGTTAAATGTAGTTGATACGTGGCTTGTCGTCTTGATCCTCCAGCAGCATTGGAATCAATCCCACCTCTTTCTCTCTCTGGAGGCATGATGGGGACTCCCAGGATGTGCGAGGACGATGGGATGATAATAATTGAGATGGTGCTCATTCGCATGCACATGCAGGGCTCATTTCCAGTTGCCGTCGTGGAAAAAGCGAGGGTATTACAGGGGAGAGAAAGTACAATTCGTCGCCCATTCATCATCCGCCACACATAGCGAGGAGACGACTACTTGTTGAGCTCTCTGCTGCCTCTCTGCCCACGCCAAATCCAATCCACACAAGCTTCTCATCGTCATCATCATCATCTTCATCGGCTAGCTGTGATAACTGACTGACTAACTTTCACCGTGACGGAGGGACGACGGTGTCTCACTTTTCTCTCCCTCGCGTTTTGGTGCTATAAATATAGAAGATAAGATATTTTTGGAGGAGGAGGAATTGATAAGTAAAACTGTTCCCCAGTTAAGGATAAGTTAGTTAGTTAAGGAGAAGAGAAACAAACATAGTGAAGAGGAAAAGTGATGGAAAATTCTGCTGCTCTTGAATTAATTGTGATAAATAAATATGAAAGTAACAAAGTTTTATTATAAATATTCCTCCTGCTTAAGATAAGAATTGAAGTAAAAGTAAAGTAAAGCGCAAAATTTTATTCCATTTTGGATTATAAAGAATGGTGAAATGTTCCAGACTGAACTAAAGTCATGTAAGTAAATTTTTGCAGTTTCTTTTTTTGCACATGTATTTATTAAATGGGTGAAATAGTGAAGATTTGTATCTCAGTTTGTCCCCTGCAATTTTGTGCACACTTTTTTTTGCACATATAATAGTGACGATTTCTGGATTAGTTTGTCCCCCGTTTTTTGCCGAAATCGGGATGATACCTGCCTTATTATCGAACTAGTTAAAACCAGCCTGAAAATGGGAAAGTTTTAAGGAATGAATACGTACGTACCTACATATGTACCTGTGTCAGGCTAGTTATGTACCCAGATGTACCCACATTTTGTAAGTAAGGACATGGTCCATAGAGAGCCAAATTATTTAATTGCATGACTCGACCTTATACAATTTCTTGCAGGAGAGGAATTTACTTTGAATGAATCTTTAAAACCAAGAATAAATTTATTTAGTGGCCAATTCTTCTCGTCAGACTTTAAAAAACCAATTCTAATTCATGAATGAGACGATTCGAGAGAGATGAATTGGGGCAAAGATTTGCTTCTTCTTGGATTGCATTGCACAGCATCCTCCTCCCTGAAAAAAGAAGGAGAGAGACACTTATACATACATAAATAGGCAAAAAAGTAGTAAGTAAGTGAGTTTTAAGCAGATTCATTGTCTCTCCTTTTCTCCGAGAGGCAAGGAAGGAAAGGTGTCCTCGTCCTCTTGTTCTCCTTCTGTATCAATAAGTGCATGGAGATGAAGAAGATATGCACCACCTTGATCTATAGGTGTCTGTGTATTCCCTCGTACCAGTGGCCGCGGAAGGGTGGGGGGACAAAGGGACAATGTCCTCAGGGGTATTTGATGTCCCCTCCCCTATCCTGCAATGTTAACTTTCCCACCACCCTGCAATGTTAATGTCCCCACATGTCCCCACGGGTATTCGATGCCCCCCCCATCTGCCCATGTTATATAAGCCCCTCCCTTCCCTATCCTACCATGTTAATCTCCCCAGATGTCCCCACCATCCCCCCACCTTATATAAACCCATCCCCCTCCCCTGTTAATGTTCCCCGATGTCCCCCCAGCTTCCGCGGCCACTGATTATTCCCACAATAAATAAATGGTCCTGATGTATGTATGTTGAGTATGTAAGTGTCTCCCCCCATTCGAAATCTAACAAAATGTAAGTACAAACGTACGTATTCAAGCCCAACTACTCCTCGATTATTCAATAGAATTACGGCAGAGAATAAACCGGAGATAATAAATTAAGTGAAGAAGAATCACCAGCATTGCCATCAGCATCAGCATCATCATTTTATTTCTTAATGGGCAGGCTAAATTCGTGTAGAACTAATTAGCAGTGATCATGAACCCCCGCAGAATCTTTACACATCCTTTCAGGATGGCCAGCTAAACACAATTGGATTCATAGTCATTGTCCTTGTCCTCTAATTCTGTCTGAATCCGTGTTCTCCTTGTTTTCCGATTTTTTTTGCAGACTCACAGTATTTACGGATGGCAACATGTCTGTCACCAAAATTACCATGTGGCGTTTTTAACAACAGGTAAGCAGAAGAGGAGAGGAAAGGATTTGTCCCTTCAAAATAAATACAGTGCTCTCTCACTCACTCACTCAGCATTATTTGTGTGTCCAGTGACCGCGGAAGGGTGGGGGGACAATGTCCCCAGGGGTAGTCGATGTCCCCCATCTTATATAAACCCCTCCCTTATCTTACAACGTTAATGTCCCCACGGATATTCGATGTCCCCATCTTATATAGACCCCTCCCTCCCCTGTTAATGTCCCCACGCCCTCCGCGGCCACTGTTTTTGTATGTCTCTCTCTCTCGCCCCGATTGATGCGATGTGACATTATGTTCTTGTATCCGTATACACGCCTTATTTCGCTTCTTATGTATCTAAATACGTAATCCATTATTATTATTGTTTAGTTAAGTTAGTTCGATGCAGTTTTTTGTGTAAAGACGCCATTGTTTGTGTTGATCTTTAAATTGGTTCGAAAAGTTCGAAATAGGTAACTGATTTGTAGCAAGTTTCGCAACAAGTGGTTGGTTGGTTACTCGGTGTGAGAAGCACGTTACGTACGTGGTCTCACCGAATGCAATGCAAGTGGTATCGTATGGGCACCAGATGCACAGTTTTTGGTGGCTCGTCGATAACAATAAAAGATCACAATTGTTATGTGTCTATCTGATTGAGGAGTACCTACATTTTTCGTCTGTACGGGTTAATTCATTCATTCCAAATTTTTTAAAGTCATCCTGCCTCCTTTCTTGCCTCGTCGATCGGTGTGGGTGTACGAGACACGTCGACATGATGTTAAGTCACCTGCTTTCCGGTTAAGAAGAGAGAATTTGTGGAATGTGGAGTTTTGCAAAAAAAGTGCAGTTTTTTACACACATCGCGGATCTGATGTGATCTTTCTTCGGAAGGAAGAGGAGAAGAAGAATGAGTCACACGTACACACTGATCGATACTAAATGCAGGATATGGATATGTGCATATCTTCGGGTGGATATCAGATGGAGAGATGACGACGATATAGTATTTACTCTCTTGGAAGAAGAAGAGATGATCTCTGGTGGTGAGCTGCACTGCAATCCACGTGCTACCGGCGTATAAATAGAAGAGAACTAATTTTAGGGCCAAAAAATAGAAACCATATTGGGTGGGCGAAACTCGGCTAAAAATACGGAGTGATGATTCTTAAAGTTATTTTAAGTTGGTTTTGGTTAGAGGCACCCAATTCGCAGGGAAGATATGGACGGATACACGGGTAAGAATGGAGGGAGGGAGTAAGATAAGTAAGTAAGTATGGGGACGATGCATTGCATACTAATGGATGGATGGATAGAACCGCATTTCGGGTGGGTGGAGTGGAGTGGTGGTGACAATGTGTATAACAACAACGAAATGGATTAATTGTAAACAGAATTTTATACAAACAAAAAAAACGGGTATTTGTGTTCGGGTATTTGTGTGCATTCCGGGGAAGAGGAGTTAGAAACACTGGAAATAATAAGGGGGCAGATTTATCACTGAATTGGTAATAAATGATCAGTATGAAATTAGTCGGTATTTCGTTTCTTGCCGGTTTGGTACATTTTTTAACGGAAAAGCAAAAAACGAAAAAAATGAGAGGCTCAAGAAACTGCAAGATAGTGCAAAAAAGAGCAAAGAAGTTCACAAAAGTGCGAGAAATATGCGCCATTTAGCGACGCGCAGTATGAAGTATTTGTCGCGACGGGGCGTGGTTTCTCGCGCCTTGCATTTCTCCCAGGTCAAAATAGTTACCTGCAAGAAACCACTTTCCTCCCGTTATTTCTCACAAATAGTCATTTACTTGTATCCTAAACACAGAAAATAACTGATAAAAAGGCAAGCATTTTAATTTCACGGGTGAAATTATTATCCCCCGAATATCGGTAGTGTTTAATACCCGGTGACAATTTTGTCCCCGTATTATTTAGCGTGCCTCCACACCACATATTTACTACTCAATATAACGGTTTCGGATTAGCGAGGGCATAACATAAGAGATCTTACATAACGTAATGTTTTTATGTCCGTACATATCCTCACAGAAATTGCGAGCGTATACAGTCATCAATGTTTTTGGCTCAAAAATAATGCGTCCCATTGGGATGGGAGGAATGGGCAGATTTTATTTTGCACCAAAAAAGTGAGACGCCTCTCATTCTCGCATACGGCCTTGCCCATCTGGTCACATTGCATAACTCCTCGTCTCACCTTCCTCACCATGAGATCAAGTCGTAACTGCTGCTGCTGCTGCTGCTCATCCACTCATTGCTGCTCAGGTGCATTGCTCTGAAATTCCGTCTCAACTTGCCTCGTCGCATGGTAAATATGAGATTTCTGGTCGAAAAAAACTGATTTTGGACAAATATTCTTTTGGAGGGGATTGGATATCTAAAATCCTTGAAGAAAGGATGTAAATACGCGTCTCGTTAGTGGTTTTATCGAGTTAGTCGTCTAGTGGGAATCTCAACTATTGCTGGGTGACGTAGTTTTATGAGAGATGTGTGATTTAAAATTAGAGTATTGCTCATCATTTGAAGTGGCGAAATGTCATCTTCTTCTTCTTTTTATTATTCGAGGAACACGTGAGGAGGCCAATTTTAATGAGATGTGTATTTACAATTTGAGACGGATTCTTCATCTTCATCGTCATGATCTCATGTGTATTGTACATAAATATGTCTGAAAAAGGGACATTTTTCGCACTTTAAAGCCCTCTTTTTTTTAGAAGAAACCTTCCCCGATAACTTGAGGCCCTGAGTGGTTTCTTGAGAAAGTTTATGGTATGAGAGATCTGTTTTACGTGCTGATGATCATCACCCTCCGCTGCTGTATCCTCGACTGGTTAGCGACGCTGGGAGAGAAGGCGCTATTAGGAACGAGTTGGTCTCTACTCTACAAACACAGACTACGAGGACGGGTTTCGGCCAAATTCGCCAATTTATTCGCAGTGCTGACGTAACCCTGCATATGTACGTCGGGGAGCGTCGGCATTGTTCGTCTCCCAAATATGGTCAAGTTCAAGAGCGATGCGATATGTAAAATAAATAATGAAGAAAGGAGAAAAAAGAGTAAAAGTGTTTACGCTTTTTGTCCTGTCTTCTTCCGCATCATAAAAATGAGGTGAGGTCGCCATACCCACACGGCCACGGTGATGTCCAGTCCAATCTAGGATGATGACGACCAGTGGCCGCGGAAGGGTGGGGACAGAGGGGCAATGTCGCCAGGGTTGTTTATTTTCGATGTCGGCATCATCTCCCCATCTTGTATAAACACGGGCCTCTACTTATCCCACAATGTTAATGTCCCCAGATATCCTTACAGCTTCCGCGGCCACTGGTCCCTCAACAAAGTCTATTTTTCTCCATTACAGTGGCCGCGGAAGCTTGAGAGGACAGAGGGACAATGTCCCCACAGTTGTTTATTAGATGTCCGCATCATCTTATGTAAACCCGTCCCTCCACTATCAATGTCCCCACGGCTTCCGCGGCCACTGACGACCACTACTTACTTACTACTGGCTGGCTGTGTGTGAAGAGTGTGTCGTCGTGTATACATACATAGTCGCACTTATATAGTTAGTTAATCATGACAATGATAATCTCGTGGTCTGGTCTGCGAGGAGATAATTAAAGAAAACTCTCGACTCATCAAACGCCCTTGTGTTCATGTTTAATTTCAGTTCTGAGTTGTTCTTCTTATGGATTCGACTCGCGCTATGCGACGAATGACCTCATCGTTTTGCTTACTCGTTCGTTCTTAATTCACTCATTTATTTATTTATCTTTCAACTTACCAAGTTGTGTGTGTGAACGTGAAGCAAACCGCAATAATTTCTGAATGGTGGATGTAGATGTGCATACGTACGTAACCTGTTGATCTTATGGAAAATGTGCAGCATACTTACATTTAGCTCAGTCAGGAGTGGTAGCCCACCCAGTGGCCGCGGAAGCCGTGGGGACATCTGGGGACGTTAGCATTGTAGGATGGGGAGGAGGGACGGGTTTATATAAGATGGGGAGATGATGCGGACATCGAACAACCGTGGGGACAGGGGGACAATGTCAAGCAGCTTCCGCGGCCACTGGTGGTCTAGTAGCATCTTGATTGGGAGAGGCATTACACGATGTCCATCCGTCTTCAGAAATTAGCAATTCCGGTGAGAAATTAGCAGAAGCAGGCAATTAATTAATTACGATCGACTCCTGTACATCACGCCCAATAATGCTGATTGCTGCAGGTGTCACTTGTCGAACCCGGGGGGCAATGTGCAACATATTGCAGAAAAAATCGTTACCTTTTCATGTCCTGTTTATTTGTTATTGCATTGCAATAATTTGCTAATGGAGGTGGAGGTGAAGGTAGTGTCACTTATCGGACCGGGGGCAATGTGCAGCACGTTGCATCGCAAAAAATTGCTACAAACATAACTTGTCCCTTGTTTATTTGTTATTGCAATAATTTGTTAATGGATGTGGGGGAGGTGGAGGTGAAGGTGGAGGTGATTGGTCTGCTACCTTCTTTTCAAGTATGCCCGAATAAATAAATATTATTCTTACGTAAAGGAGACAAATTTATGTGGGATGTTCTCCGAAAGAGGAAAAGAAAGAAAGCAGGAATCATTTGTAAATATGTGGATTCATTCATCCTTTGCAAAACTGTGGTCGGTCGGTCGGTCGTCGGTCATATGCATGTGGTTATACGGAGAAGCGTAGGTGGGTGGATGGATGGAAAAGTGAAGTATGTATGTGCATATTTATGTAAGTCGGTTGATACATGTGTGACAGAATTTGAGTAAAGTAAAAGTGGAAGAGGACATAGAGAAAGTGTAGGGAAAGGGTTGAATTTAGGAGCTAATGGGAATTATTATTATGCATTATGCATAATCATCACCATAACATAAAGTCAGGAACCATTAGTACATACATAAATATGTGTGTATAATACGAATCGATACATGGTTTTAAGTGTTACATAAATATTATGTAGTAGTTGGCAATTTATTTGGTCAATTGGTTGGTGTGGGCAGGGTCATAAAGTGGCCACGGAAGGGTGTGACAATGTCCCCACGGTTGTGAGATGTGGGCATCATCTTATATACCCCACAGCTTCCGCGGCCACTGCGGTTATGCATTCACCTCGGTCAAAGCCTTCTTCTCTCTGCTCAAGTATTTCATTACGAAATGATGATAATAATATAATAAAAGTCGCTCAATTAAGAAGAAGCCGGCCTGTTCGGTGGTCGGGGTGGTAATTGGCCGTGGCGGTGGCGGTCGTCCCCCCATGACTGACCCTGGAAGAAGAACGTTGTTGTGTAACGTGCCACATAATTGATCGCGGTTACGGATAGAGCTATCTGAGCGAAAGTAGTGAAAGTGCTGTCCTCCCGTAGCTGGTTAGTCCATCCATCCACTACTGCAGTCTTCCACTTCCTCGGAGAAAGCCGAAGCCATCCATAATACCCGGGTATCGTAGTGAAAGACGTCACAAAAATCCCGTATTTGACGTCATGACCCCCCGTTCTTCTCGGGGAAAGGGTGGTCTACGGCGGAGGGTGAGTTCATTCATAAAATTTAGTTGCCTATCTTTCTCTTTGACTCGTTCAGTCGCAGGCTGGCCGTGAGTTGCTAAACATCATTTTGTGAAGAACTCTTCTCGCGTGGTGTGTTAGCTCTTCTTCTTCTTTTGATCTCGCTCTTATGCAAGCACCACTTCGACGACGACGACCGCCACCACCACCACGACATAAAAATCGTATACATATACTCGACTCCACACTACTTTCCATTTCACTTCCACTTCACCTCTCGTTCGTGCGAGGTGCAGCAGTGACGGCAGGCGCGGATAAGTAGTAGTGGCGTCTCATAATTTCCGAGTACCTGATTCCGGTGCATTTCTTACTGAAAAACGAAACGACATACCTGATTGAATATTACTGAAGGACGATTTCGACTGAATATAGGGAGACCTGTCACACGTGTGTCTGAATTTGTTCTTAGGAGCAGAGTGAAATTAAGTAGTAGTAAATAGATAAGTGTAGTATCGACGGGGCAGAGAGAGAGAAAGTGTGTATATATTTGTACCGATAAGTATTTAGTAGTTATCATCTCGAGTGAGAGAGTATTAGCTGTGGATAATTCGTTGAGTGGTTCACCTGCACCGGTGCCTCCGGTCGTAGACGCAAACATTTCTCTCTCTTCTTCTTCTGCCACGACAGAGTCGGAGTCCACCTCACCAAGAACCGAGCCAGACCCCATACCAGCCAACATGAGAATGATCGAAGACCCCGTGTTGACCCTTTGTCACTTCCCTTCGCCCGGGTCTAACCTTCAGGAGCGGAAGAAGGTCCGTGTCCTACCCTGCGTGTCCCTCAGCCTCCTTTGCTTCTCCCCACCGACGGCGACTTCACCCCCGACGTCCCCTCTCCTCCATAAGAGACACTCACTCTCCCCCCCAGATTCGGATTGCTGTCCGCTCGACAAGCTCCAGAAGGGGTTGTCCCCTTCCTTCCATAAGATCGAGGACAGTCTCAACACTCCCGTTACGCATTCTGCGGCTGGAACGGGATTCTTTGGGAGTAGCGTGGTGCCGATATTGGACCCGCCGCCGATTGGTATGTGTGATTTTGTTTGTTTTTAAGGGGTACTTTAAGGGTAGCATGGCATGGCATAAGGGTTCAGGGGTGGGGGGACATGTGGGGACTTATTTACGTGGGAAAGATGCGATTTCTGGGGGGAATATATCTGTCCCCCCGCTTTTTATGTATTTTTTTGGCTCCCTTAAGGGCACTGGTGGCATGGCATGGCATAGCATAAGGGTTCATTATTGGCGGGGAAAGTTAGGGGGACATGTGGGGACTTTTTAACGTGGGAAAGATACGATTTCTGGGGGAACATATCCCCCCCGCTTCCTGTAAGCCACCCATGTATGCAAGCATCCTGACCCACAGGTTGTAAGCAGGACTGGACTGGGGCAGTAGTTGGATGGCTGACAGAGTTGCGAAAAAAATTGCGCTTTCACCGTCCCGGGTATAACTGGGAAAAGTTGCACGTTGACGTCACACCTCTCTCCTCACACAAAAGGCTTTCGTGGCAACTGTAGCAGGAGGACAGAACTCGGAGAAAACAGTTCTGCTATTTTCAGGCATGTTTCATACCCGAAATCGCGTAGGCGTCGGGCTCCGCTAGACGTATAGGGGGGGAGGGGAGATATACCTATGGGGCTATAAGCTACATATTGCCATTTAGGTGGTGGTATGGTGGTTGCAATCAGACTCCAGTCTCACCACAGAAACTCCAGTCCGTCCGAGTGATGGGAATTCATTCATGCAACTAAGCTATATTTTATGCATTACGACGATGCAGTCAGTCGGCTTTATGTATTTAGCTGCATTCATCATCATCATCATGCAAAAGTACTTATAAAACGGCTGGAACACCGTGAGGAGCACCAGTCTCAATTGGAACGCGGTTGATGACTGACGGATTGCTGCAGCTTTTTCATGAAATTATGCATTGCGGTTTGCAGTGCGTTGCATAATTTGCATATAAATTGTGGCGTATATATTTCACGTCCCCTTAAAAAACATTGAATCAATAATGACAATTTGGTGTCCCACAGGATCCTTAGATTCCGACTTGACCCTCACGCCAAACAACAACTCCCCCTCGTCAAGTCCCCCCAGCAGCCCGAAAATGTTCCCTTCACACCACCACCCCCTCGACGACCCACATTCCCACAACCAACAGCAGCAGCAGCAGCAACAGCAACAACTCCACCCACAGCAGCAGCACGCCCAACAGCAACAACAACACCACCACCACCCCGGCCAGCAGCAGCGGCTTCGCGTAACCATGCCCCAAGTCAACCAGCAGCAGCAGCAGGGTCAACAATCCCTGAACACGCCGCTCCCCCAGTCCGCTGGGTCTCCTACGGGCGGAATAAACTGGATTCTACCCTCACCCGACCGTACATTCTATGCCCCCCTCTTTGGCATCCTGACCCCCACCTCGCAACCCCAACAACTCACCTTTAATACGGATTCGCCCAATTCTGCTTCTCAATTTGGAGGCTCACAGTCAGAGTTTTCATTTGACCCGTCTTGCATCTCGATGACGGATGACCCCTTCCGCCAACAGCAGCAGCAGCAGCAACCCCAACAACAACAACAACAGCAACAACAGTCGCAGCAGCAAGTTCAACAACCAAAGTATCACCCCTGGGCGACCTCCGACTTCGACCAAAGCACTCAGGAGCAGTTAGTCATACCAAAGCAGGAGCCGTTTGCCGAGTATTGCACGGGAGGACCACCTTCCGTTGAGACCACGGCCTCGCATGATTCCTCCGCGACGCAGCAGTCCGTCGGGCTCGCGGAGTATAACCCGAGCACTTCCAAGGGGCATGAGATTCTGAGTCAGGTGGGAGACACGTTCCAGGTAGGGCTGAAAATTAATTAGATTTAATTAAGAAAATTGTATAGGGAGTGAGTTAATGGTTGATTAATATTATTAATTACTTAATTCCCCCCATCTTTTTATCCCCCACAGGCCGGACCGTTAAGACTCGTGCCCGTGAAACCACGCCGTTATCCGAACCGACCGAGCAAAACGCCCGTGCATGAACGTCCCTACGCTTGCCCCGTGGAAGGTTGTGATCGTCGCTTTTCCCGTTCGGACGAACTCACACGACACATTCGAATCCATACTGGCCAAAAACCTTTCCAATGTCGCATCTGTATGCGCAGTTTTTCCCGCTCGGACCATCTCACCACCCATGTTCGCACGCACACGGGGGAAAAGCCCTTTTCGTGTGACACCTGCGGGCGAAAGTTTGCCCGTTCCGATGAGAAAAAGCGGCACGCCAAGGTTCACACAAAGTTGAGGACAAGACGGGAAAAGTGTGCCGCGTCGAGTACAAGTGCGTCAACGACAAACACGTCGACGACGACGTCCTCCTCCTCGAGTACAGTGCATCCGAGTAGTAGTCACAACATCATGATGCCCCCACACGCCCCACAGCAGCAGCAGCAAATGTCGCAACAGCAACGCCTCGCTCAGGCCTCCCTCCCGCACACCATCACCTCACACGACATGCCGATCGTGACGACGGGGGGGTTGTGAAATTCACTGTTCCCCGTCGACGACGACGAGGACAACGAGGAGGACGAGGGCGTCTCTTAAAGTAAAAAACATACATACATAATTCCACAACAATCAGACTCAGTTCAAATTGTCATCATGGCCATCGTCATCTTACTATCAAGAGTGTGTAAGTTATTAAAAAAAACTCTGCTACTTCCTTCCTACTCCTACTAAATGCTACTTATTAGCTGCTCTCACGTATGTAAAATAACTCTGCTAAAAAGAAAAACAAGAGTGTTCCTGGGTCGACCTAACCAAAAACCAAACCAACAAAAAAAGTTTCACTTATTCACCCGTGTCATAAAACGATATACAAAAAAAATATCCTCCAGTTCAGTGGTGTCCAGTCCATGTACCTCCCTGCAAACCAACCAACCTAAAAACTACCTTCATCCTTATCATCATCAACTTCAACTCATCATAAATTTCATCATCATCTCAACGTTCGTAGTAAAAAAAATAGGTTGTCTAATTACGTACCAGAAAAAGTAGAAACTTTACAAAAAAACTTTGCTCGTAGCCAATTTTCATGATCTTCGTCTGCATGATTTTTTCATCTCATTGTTACATACGAACTCCACACGTTGTGCTCTGTAAAAGTAAGTAAAAGTAAGTAAGAAGTAACTAACTTGTAGGTAGGTAGGTAGGTAAAAAAAGTTGTATAAAAACGCTTACCATTGTCTTCTGGATGGATGGATGGATGGATGGATGGATGCATGAATCGGATCTTTTTGCTGGTGATACGAATTTTATGGGTCAAGAATTAGTAAAAGAGTGCAGTACCAGTGGCCGCGGAAGGGGTGGGGACATTAAGATTGTAGGATAGGAGAGGGTTTGATGGGGACATTGTCCTTCTGTCCCTTCGCCCTTCCGCGGCCACTGTTTTACACGCAGTTTTACAGCTCTGTATTACTTACCATTTGTTCATTACAAACAAAGAATTGTTGTCGTTGTCCGTAGTAAAAGTAGTCTGTTGCACTTTGTATTCTTCTTATCGAGAGAGCTACCTCGTCTCCTCTCAATTAATCGTAATCAAATCCTGACTCCCATCATAATTCGCAATCACATCTGCTGGCTGCTGCCAAACCCCGTCGAAGTTAATGAGTTGACGATACAAATGCATAAATTGTCTTGGATTCGATATATTAATCGTATTTTTCACCTTTTTGACTCTTTATTTCCTTTTTTTATTATTTACTTATCCACTTCTTATCATCAGTCTCAAGTTGAGAAGTTGAGGGAGAGACGACGCGACGCTCTGGGAGGAGAGATGACTGACTAGATTCAGATATTTACTACGTTATAATTATTAATTAACTTGTACTTACTTACTCAAAGAACTACCAATGATCTAGTGTTTTTTAAAAAGCAAGATGATAAGGTGTGTGCGTTAACAGCCAAACCAAAAAACAAGCAGGCAAAAATGAGAGAGAGAAAGAGAGATATGTACCCACAAAACAAACTATATAATTAACTTTATAAATGTATTATTACTATTAAATATTATTACCAACCTACAAAAATTCAATCCAAGCTAAATAATTTAACTATACATATTTAATTAATTAAATCAACAAACAAACTCAGTGGAAGTGGTGGAGAAAATCGAGTCAGATAACAGACCAGATTTATTATTACAATTTAAAATATACAAATGTGTAATAATCTTAAAAATTTAGCAAGTATAGTTAAATAGTTTAAATTAAATGTAATCTCGGTGTAGTTTTTAACTCAACTCAACACTCATAACTTAAATGTGACCGCTTTTTAATTTTTTCTCAAGAAAAATCCAAGTATTTAAAAATCTTGATAACTTTTAAGGAAAACATCTCATTTTTTTAGTATTATTTAATAATAATTAAGTATTACACGCCACAACAATTATTATTAATTACGATATTATAATCATTCATTATACAATGATGATGATGACTATCTAATCCAAATACCTGCTGATTCTCGTGTAATTTTATTATCGTTCGTTCATTGTTGTATTTACTACTTTATTATTATTATGATTAAAAGGTGCGTTTTATAAATACTTGACTTGTTTTGGAGCAACTTGCGCCAATGTTAAAGTTAATACTTTAACTATGGCGCAAGTTGGGCGAAAAAGGAGTAAAGTATTATTTATTGTTGTTTACTATTACCACTACTACTACCAACCACTACTATACTGAATATTACTATATTGTTGTGTAACCATTGTATTGTTGTCGTCGTAAATTGTTACATACACAGAAGAATGTATTGTTATCCTTGTCGTGGTAAAAATATTATTGTGTTTGTTGTACCAACAACGAGTATACATTTAATTATTATTATTATTAATTAGTTAATTATTTAATCGTGTTGTGTAATTCATGAAAATATTGTATTTTTATGGTGTGATCCGTGGTGCACTATTTTTGGACGTCTCATATTATTAATAATAAATTGTCATGTCAGCCAATTTGTAGTAAGGTTTTCTTGGTATTTTTGAAAAAAATCTGAATTTTTTTTCAAAATTTCATACATACATGGATATTTTCATCAATCCATTTCTTATGCACATTTTCACGTCACTCACAATTTGACGAGTTGAGTAAGGTTTTCTGAAGAAAAAAAAATTCAGAATTTTTTCATAACGGTACATAATTTCGTACATATATGGATATTTAATTTGTAATTATTTTCATCTATCCATTTTTTCTGCACATTTTCACATCACGCAAGCAAACTTTGTGAGATTATTGGATTGTGTATATAGAAAAATACTGAGAAAAAGCGTGGTCATCATTTTACCAAGTCATTTTTTAAGATGTGCACCTATTCCGTCAAGAAGACGACCACGAAACGAGGCACTAATTCGTTTCACAATGCAACAAGAGCAGTGACCGCGGAGAAGCCGGGGGGACATTAACATTGTAGGATAAGGGGGGAAGGGAAGGGTTCATATGTCGACATCGAATAACCCTGGGGACATTGTCTACACCCTTCCGCGGCGCCTGAACAAGAACAGCATACACACAGATTTATACATACTGCCAGAGCCGACCCAGAGACCAGACCACTCCCTTGAGTAATAAACCGCATTAAATTTGTGCATGCATTAGAGACTTGAAACTTTCATTTCTTGGGAAATTTGAGACTTTGCGAAAATCCGAAAACCGAGGCCTTAAATCGCCCTGAAATTGTGGTGGGTACAAATTTCCGTCGGGATGGAAGTCTCGGTGTAAATTGGAGCCTCGCAAGGTATCGAGATGGTTGGAATTAATGAATTTAAAGAGCATGAGGTACATATCGCATCGCATGGCGTGAGTTTTAGGGTGCCTGCAATACTGGGCCTGCCTTGGATTTGATTTTTGGGCGAGAAGAAAGAAAGGGAATGGAATTATGTGCATCTGAACTGAAGACAGGGCAGTTCTGATATTTTTGCCTTTTGTGTCTTCACAAGAAGACAACGCCTTTGTAACGTTGTCCCTGATTTGGCTCGCCTCTTGGTCCAGTTTCTTCTCTATGCAGTCATCATCCTGCGATGGACTTGTTGTTATCTACACACACTTTTTACGTGTAGCTTATACGTATTTACATATCTACATATGCCACATGTATGTAACACACTTGCTACCACATATTCTTCCTGAGGTTCAACTTCAAAGTGTCTCTCTGCCTCGAAATCCAAGGCGGAGTGGAGTGGAGAAGAGGAGTGATGATCTCATCTCGACCCATTGTATCCCAATTACTTGCACACTTATCATTAAAATATCAATGTGACCATTCAACTACTAATAAGTGCAAGGATTCGTGCTAATGCAGACGCGATGATATGCTCAAGGTACCACTACCACCAAACCACATGAGTCGACTTTTGTCGAGTTAGACACGCATAATAATTTCCTCCCTTTTCCTATTTATGTATGTGTGTGTGTCGCAAAAGATGTATGAGGCAGCAGTTCAGTGGCTGCGGAAGGGTGGGGACAGAGGGGGGATGTCTACAGGGTTGTGAGATGTCGGGATCTTATATAAACCCGGGCCTCCCCTATCCTACAATGTTAAGGGTCCATTGCATGGGAGTTTTTAATTTAAATTTGTTTGTCTCAATTTTCCCTTTTTATATGTATTCAAATTCATGCGATTTTGAAATATGTGTATTTTTTTAAATGAAGATTTTAATGCATCTAAAAATCCATAATTTTTAGGTTTACAAAGTTAGGAGGTTAGAATTATGATTTTTTCATGTGAAAATATTTAATTTTAATGATCGATGTTTACATGCATACATTAAAATCTTCATTTTGGAAATAACTCACAAAATCGCCATTTGAATACATAGAAAGCTAAAGTTGAAACACAAATTTAAATTCTAAACCTGCATGCTATTGTACGTTAATGTCCCCATATGTCCCCTCACCCTTCCGCCGCCACTGATAACATTACATTCATGATCGCTTGTTGTGATCTCGAAATACTCCCTTTTTTGATCGTCGTCATCATCATCATGACGATGATTTTGATTTGACTTTTAAACCGGAGGAGGACCCAACATTTCCCTGGATGACAGGACGAGCGGAATAATTAGTTATGAAAAACATGACGACAACGGTGCGAAGAAGGCAAAAAAACTTTGTGATTTGAACAAGAAAAGGAAAATAATTGGGAGCAAGTGAGCGCAAATAATGAGAAGAAGAAGAAGGAGCAATTTATTTATATATATTTAGCTAAATCTAATCTTGGATATGTTTATACATAATATTCAAATATGAGTTGAGACTCTTGTTTACGCACGTCAATCATGCGGCCAAAACTTTCTCTGGATGCTAAATAAATTTTCCTGTGCGGAGGGATGGAATCGAGTAATGGAATTAATTTTCTGGGAAAAATTGGCTTCTTTCTTCTCGCAAAACATAAATCCTGCTTTGTGCTTTCTCGTTCTGCTTTCTTTTTGCTGGTTTGAAGTCATGTTTTGTGAATGTACATTTTCAAGGAATTTAATCAGGCAGGAGAAAAACATGTACATACGCATATTTCGACATTGGCGGCGGAAACAGGGGGACATTATCCCCACAGAAATTCAGGAAAATCGTATCTTTAATAAGTCCCTCCTCCAATGCTAATGTCCCCCCAACTTCCGCGGCCACTTAATTTCTCTCTGGGAGAAGGAAACTCGTGCATATGACACGATTTAGGACGGCTTGACTTGCCTCTTGATTTCAGTATTTTTCCAGAATTACGTACTTTTCTTCTTATTACTTTCTTCTGATAGGTAATTGGTTGTCGGGTTAATTTTTCTGGGTTAGTGTGGAGTGGACCTTTTATGTCGAAAACATTATTAGAATATCTGTATTATTACTTTTCGACTCATTTCCTCACTAAATTGGGGACCTCGTTTCGTTTCGAGGAAATTGGTCACAATGTAAGTTAAGATTTACCTTTGTGTGGCTGCTTCTGCTGTATTAATTTTTTTCCTCCTTTGATCAAGTACCATCATGATCATTTATGGGTAATAAGTTGACAACCAAATCAATACCGTTGAGAGCACAACTCGAGAACGTACTTATTAATAATAAGCAGTGGCCGCGGACAATGTCCCCACGGTTGTTGGTTGTCCGCATCATCTCCCCATCTTATACAAACCCGGCCCTCCCCCATCCTGCAATGTTAAGGTCCCCAAATGTCCCCACGGCCACTCGTAATAATTGATATATCGAGAGACTTGAGAGTAAAGTAAGGAACATTATTAGTAATAAACAGTGGCCGCAGAACGGACAATATCCCCACGGTTGTTCGATCATCTCCCCATCTTATACAAACCCGTACCTCCCTTGTTAATGTCCCCACACCTTCCGCGGCCACTGGTAATAATTGAATGATTACAAGGCGTGAAAAGAAATCAAGATGGGTGAACAAAAAAGGTGGCCCCTGGTTGGTTGGAAATGTCAATTTTTTTTACTATTATTATTATTCGACAATCTATCTATCCATGTACACGGAGTGATGTATGAATGTACGGACGGGATGCTAATACATACATAAATAAGTGATGAAATTCTTCTCCTTGAACGACATTCCATTCCGGACCATTTGACATTTTTGTCTTCTCGGACTCCGACTTTTGATGACTTGTCACCTAGCACTTTGATAATCAGAAAGAGAAAAAGTACGGCACGACCAGGATTCTCACTTCAGTGCCGAGTGGTGTGGTGAAAAAGGATCAATAATAATAAGATATTTAATAATAATGTGCCATGATGCGGAACGGACGGACGGACGGGAAGGGCACCAACCTATCTACTTTACCAATTTGTGGTTGATGTTGCTGCTGCTGCTGCTGTTCATCTCGATTCCATTCCTTGGAGATTTTTCGTTAGTGGAAGAAGAAGAACGGCACGGTTATGCGGTCTTTTATGGTCAAGGAGACATTAAATGCACCTGAATATTTATACATACATACGCATACTTTTAGGTGTATGTACTGTAGAACTGGAGCTATGTAAGAGTCAGCATGCATGCATATTTTGGAGGAATATGTGTAGAAATCTATTTAGTCATGCAGTCCCATGAGCTCATCCATCCCTTGAAGGCCTATGGCAAAAGTCTTCTTCCACATCCAACAAGTTTAAGTCGAGCAGGTTGGAAGTGGACCCATGGATTGAAGAAGATCTTCTCCTCTCGTCCCAGGCGGAGAGAAGAAGACGAAGATGCATGACGTCAGACTCATAAAAGGTATCACATCTGGTTAAATTTTGCCTTATTACGCCAATTTGTCACCCTTCACAGCAAATAATACACCTCCACGCGCCATCATTTATCAAGAGCTCATCATCCGTGGTACAATTTGGTAGGAATTTTCAATCGTAATCAATGAAACGCGATTCTCCTCCCATTTCAATTAACTCCACGTGCAAAAGAAAGGAAAGAAGAGTGTGTATGTACATATGAATGGTTGGCTGACTACATATTGTGTGCAGACGCGTATGTACATGTATCTACACCACTGCTCTGTTCGACTTCATTCACAGGTAAAAAATGCGATTAGAAGAAATATTTTTTTAGCCAGGGAACACGGAAAGAATCGAAGCATCACTTGTATATATGTTCTCCTGCTGCTGCTGCTGGGTCCATTGTGTTATTAATTATTGTAGCGGAAATTTTTTGTGAGTCTGTCGAAACGCTCGAACTCTGGAGCGTGTTAACCTTTCCTAATTTTGTTTTCAGGTATGAATCAACTCTAATTTTGAGGGGGAGGAGGGATGACTTTGATAAGGTCATGGGGTCAGGAGTGGATGCCGCGGAAGGGTCAGGGGACAGGGGGGACAATATCCCCACATTTGTTCGATGTCGGCATCATCTGCCCATCCTATATAAACCTGGCCCTTCCCTATCCTACAATGGCAATGTCCCCACATGTCCCCACGGCCAGTGGGGGGTCAGGTCATAGGTTATTTATGGAGAGAGACTTGCCTTCTCCTC